CGGTGACCCCAGGACGGGGATGACAGCTGGTCTCTACCGCTCACCCCCACCTCGCGCCGGGCGAGTGGGTTCGCGGGGCGGGCTGCGAGCGGAGGGCGGCCCCCCGCACCCCATCCCGCCAGGTGCGCCTGCGGGTGTGCAGGCGGCCCTCCCCCACCGGCCCTGGATGGCCCCCTGGTTTTGAATACGACGGTCCGGCTTTGTGAACGCCCCCCCACCTGCCAGGCCCCCCACGGCCGGGGCCCCCCCTCCCCCGTCACGGCCGACCCCAGCCTCCCCACGCTGGTTCCCCTCGCCTGCCCCCGTCCCGCTTACCCAGCCTTCCACCCCGCCGGGCTCCCCGACCCCGCCCCTCCCCAGCTCCCCTGCTGCCCCGCCCGCCGCCGGCTCCCGCGCGGGTCCCGCCCCCCGCCCCCCGCCTCATTAGCATAGCAGCTGCTCGCCGAGCGGGGACCCGCGGAGGAAAGGGCAGAGGCCTCGGGAATGAATGGGGGCCGCGGCTTTGGAGAGGGCGAGAGAAGAAAGACCGACAGACGGACGCGCGGAGGGACGGTCCGACGTAGAGCAGAAGAATGCGCCGGGCAGGGGCGGGGAGGGCTGGTGGGAGCGAGCCCGGGCCGCCGGGCGGGGTGTGCGGCGTGCGCGGGCCGCGGGGAGGGAGGGCGGGCGGCCTCCGGAGACCTGAACCCCCGGGAGGGGGGCTGCGCGGGAGGCGCCAGGGGCAGTCGTCCAGGCGCTTCCCAGACCTCCCACGGCCCCCTGTGGCCTGTACCCTCACTCCCTGGCCCCAGGCTTTGTCCCCCAGCTGCCCCAGCACGGGCTTCTTCATCCTTAGAGGTCCAGGTGGACGCAGGCCTCCCTGTGGGCTCCTTGGGACAGGTCAGGAAGCACTGGGGCTCCCTGAGGTCAGAGCTGCAGGGCTGTGCCCCTGTGCCGATGTGCACCCCAGTCTGTGCTGGCCTGGGCTGAGCTGCAAGGCCTTTGGGGGACAGATTCCGGGGACAGCCCCTGTCTGTCCTCCTAACCCGTCTCCTGGCTCTTGGCTCTTGGTCCTGGCCTCCAAATTCTGCTCTCCTCTTCTGGCCAACTTTGTCCTGGCTCCCACGCTGCTGCCTTTAGACATAACTCTTTTTGGCTGACTATTTTCCTGCGTTTCCTGGTCTCTCTCTGGCATCTATTCCAACAGTAAATACTTCCTGTGTCCGGCCCGGGTCAGGTCAGAGATACAGACAGTTGGACAGGACTCACCAGTGCCCTTGGCTGAAGGAGCGAGGTGGGCCCTGGTCCATCTGATCTGCCTCCTTTCCCCAGGCAGCCACTCCAGGGGTCCCAGTGGCCCAGCCCCTGCCTGCCAGAGCCCCCAGCTCCAGGTGTCCTGGTGTCCCTGGCTGGGGCCCTCACCTGGCCACACACACCTGCAGAGCAGAGGCCGGGGAGAGTCCAGCTGTGCCTCCTCTCTCACCCTGACGACAGAGGCTTGACAAGATGCTTCTGCTCCAGGAAGCCTGTCTGGGGAGGAGTGATGGGGACCCCCAGGTGACACCTGGGGCCAGTTTGTTTACTGAACACCAAGGTCCAGGAGCAAGGGTCTGCCCTGTACCCTGTCCCCACGGGGCTTCCTGGGCCTCTGCCAATGAAAAGGTGACCAGTGTGTCCTCAGCACACCTGGAGTCCCTCACTGCCACCAAGACCAGGCTGGAGGGCTGTCTGTGCCCAGAACAGGCCTTGGCAGAAAAGCGGCAGCAACCTACCGGGGCTCCCCGTCGTGGGGCTGGGGAGCCACACAGAGAGAAAACTGTCCCTGCTGGGAACAGCAAAGCCTTTCTCAGTCTGTGTCTTTAAGAAGAGAGAACATGTGGAGTTGCAGACAGTCCTGCGTGGGAGCAGCCATGTGGCTGGAAAGAACCCCAGGCCCCAGGTCCCACTGGCTGGCTGGCCTTTCCACCGAGGGCAGTTGGGGCTGCTGTCCCCACCCAAAGGCTAAGGCCGAAAACAGCGCCACCTTTGACCCGTCTTCAGCTGGCTTACCCCCACTCCTGTGGCATGCCCATGTGCCCAGGCCTGACCTCAGTCTCCAGGTACCCCCACTTCCAGGCTCTTGTAGCCACTTTCCCTGTTGCGGCCAGGAAACCGCAGCTGACACCCTCGGCCCCCGGCCTCCAAGCTCGCTGTGAGCACCGCAGACATCTCCTCCCCAAGGGCTTATTTGCATCAAATGTTCCACTCACCTCCACAGGTGTCTAAGGACGGCTGGCCCCAGTCTCGTAGGCCAGTCGGGGGACAGGATGCTGTGGCACCAGTGTGCTGGGAAAGCCCTCAAGGTCAGGACAGAGCGGGGGACACGAAGTGGCACATGGCACGGCAAAGCTTCCAGCTTGGGAAGGGCAGAGTCCAGCAGGCTGACGGGGAAGCTGCCGCCCTTCAGCTACTTGCAGAGGGGCCTGAGGGCTCTGCCTGCCCTCCGCTCCTCCGGGGGGCTACTCTTGCTGGGGTGGGTGTCCAGCTCTCCCTGCAGGCGCCCCACACGCAGCTGGGGGTGGGCCCACGTCTCTGCTTAAAAGGGACAGGAACAGACAAACCTGCTGCACACATCCAGACACACTCTGGCCTCCACTCCAGCAAAGCTCTGCAGGGAGCAGCCAGCTCCAGGGCCCAGCTGGCCTCCTTGGCCCTGGCCACCACCAGGGGTCAGGGAGGAGGAAGGGGCCTTTCACGCATCAGGAGTGAGCAACTCTGATGTCCCCCCAATTTTAAAAGATGGCCCTCTCTGCAGCAGGTGGTCCAGCGTGAATCCACAGTGGCAGAAGAGGGGCCCGTTCTCCCAAAGACCCCATCTCTCAGGTTGGCTGGGGGTCAGGGGCGGGAAAAGCTTTGAGCGTAATTTTCCACGTGGAGGCCTTAGACATTTTGCGGGGAGAAACGGGTTGCTCTCCGGGGGCCCTGCATCGGCACCTCCCAAGTCCTGCATGTGGCCCACTTGGGCTGGCGGTGGAGCCCAGCCCAGAGCCAGTTTCCCAGGCTCTGTCTTTAGTGAAAACGAGCCAAGCATTGTGTAGACATCACCCACAGACAGCATGTTGCAGCCTGACCCTCAGGTGCCAAGCCCAAGAAGAACCAACACACTTTTTTAAATATAAAAAGGTCAATGAAAAATTTATTTATAAATTTTTCATGCTGGGCTACAAGTATATCGTACACTCAGGAATGGGCTGCAGACTTCATCCAGTTAGAAGTGATCAGACCGGGACCCATACACAGCTTCCAGAAGCCTAGAAAGTCTTAACATTAATTAACATAATTAAAAAGTTATTTGCATCTAGAAAAAAATATACAGAAAAACTCCTTTTGGAGTAATCTGTGCCTGTTTCAATGTCTGCTTGTTCCACTGACATTATCAATATATTCTTCTCACACAAGGTTTTATATAAAGCCACAGATGACTTCGAGAATCTGACCAGCCACGTACAAAGGGCCTCCACCCACCTGTGTCCTCAAGTGCTCCCCATTTTTGCACGAAGGGTCAGCAGCACTTCTACCCAGGAAGCCTCATTTAAATTTGAATAATTCAGTCTCCCTTTTATTTCTCAGGATCAAAACAACAAGGGGTGTGGGGTTGCATAGAAAATCGGAACCTCGGAGACCAGGAAGGGCGCCTTTCAGGACTGAAAGTGACGCGGACGCACCGCCTCCGGCCGGGTCCCCCGGCAGCCCTCCCGGCGGCCCCTCCCCCACGGCAGGATTTTGGGATTCGAATCGGGTTCTTGAAATTCCGGGAGGCTGAAGAGGGGCAAACGGTCCTTCAACTCACCCAGCAATTAGCACAAGAGATTCACAGTCTTATAGGTATTTTATAAAAATATAAATATGGGTACACTGTTGCCTACACAACGCTGGATACAACGCCCTTTAAAATTGGGTTTATAACCAAGATTCAAAAAATAAACCTAACACTTGGCTTAAAATATGTTAATATTTTATATTGTCATAAATGTTATGACATATAATCGTGGCAAATCCATTTACTTTTTTTAAAAAGTGTGCAACCGACTGTTCACTACAATAGGACTCGCTAGACAAGGTAGGGTCCCCAGCACCCCTCCATCACCGCCTCACCCGAGCACCCAGGCCCCCGCGGGAACCTCGCAAACCCGCAGGCTGGGGATGGGGCCGGTCACTGAGCGGAGGAGGCCGAGGGCTCCCCAAACTCACACGAACCGCGTGAGTGTGAGAGAGAGAAGCGGGGGCGGGGGGGACAGAAGAGGGGAGACTGAAAGAAGTGGGGAGAGGTGCGGAAGAGAAACAGGAGCGAGAGGAAGTGGCACGGGAAAGCCATCGGGCTGGGCGGTGTTTTCAGTGCAACCAAGAAATGACAGACTCAAGTTTTTAGTTTTAAGACTAGGAAAAAAAAAAAAAAAAATGCATCTTCCCCCCATAACCACATTGACCACGCACAATATTTTCCAAACAAACAAACAAAAACAAAAACAAAAAAAAACCCAGGCGCACAAACTTCACCCACAAATATACACACACGATAAATAGTTTAGAACCCCAGCCACAGCGGAGCGCCTCCTCCGTGGCGCGTCGGCCGCAGGTCCCGCGGGCGGGGGGCGCCCCGAGCCTGGCACCCCCGCCGCCCGCCTCCCACCTCCGGAGAACACACTCTGAGCGGAGGATCCGGTGTCTCGGGATTCCGAACTTGCTGGTGGCGAGACTCAAATTTCAAAGGGGCTAGAGCCCTGCCCCGCCCCCACCCGGGAGGCGGCGGGCGGGGGCCGTGGGAAGCGCTCGGGCCGGCCCCGGGCGGCCACCGGGGGGCGCCGACCCCGGAGAGCGGACGCCGCGCGGGTCCCGTGGGCCAGACGCTCGCGCCGGACTCGCCGTGGCCGCGGCGCCGAGGGCCGGGCGCACACCGAGGTAGTTGGCGGGAAGGGACAGCAGAGGCGGCCCGCGCGGGGCCCGCGGCCGGCCGGCCGGGTCGGCGTCGGTCCGGGCGGGCATCACCGGCCGCCGCCCGCGTACTTGGCCTTGGTGATGAGATAGAGTACGATGTCCTGGTGGCCGCCGAACGCGGCGATGTGCAGCGCGCTCCAGCCGTCGCGGTTGGCCAGGCGGATGTCGGCGCCGAACTTCACCAGCAGCTTCACGAGCTCCAGGTTGCCGTCGATGACCGACTGGTGCAGCGCCGTCTGGCCCTCGGGCCCGAACGAGTTCACGTTGAACTCGCAGTTGGTCATGTTCTGCAGCAGCGACTGCAGCTCCTGCGTGTTGCCCTTGCGCACGGCCTCCTGGAAGATGCGCTGCGTCTGCGGCGCCGAGCAGGTGGACAGCTCGGCTTGGCTCATGCTGCCGCCGGGCGCGGGCCGCGGGCCGGGCCGGGGCTCAGCGCGGGCGGCGGCTGCGGCTGCGGCTGCGGCGCGGGCCCCAGGCTGTCTCGGGGCCCGCCTCGGCGCATGGAGGGCGCGGCGCCCCCGGGCCCCGCACGCCGCCCCTGGGCGCTCCGGGCGCTGGGGGCCGGGGGCCGCCGCCGCAGGGCCCCCGCCGCATTCAGCCGCGCCCGGGCGAGCGGGCGATCGGGGCGGGCGCTGCGCTCGCGGGGGCCGGACGAGCCGGGGCGGCGGCGCCGCGCTTTCGGGTCCCTGATTGCTTCGGCTGCGGCTCCCACGCGGCTCCCACGCGCCTCCCCACGCGCCGCTGCACTCGCCCGCCGGCCGCGCCGGGGCGCCTTTTACCTCCTTTATATTTGCATAACAATGGGGCGCTCGTGACGTGCGCGCCGGCAGCGCGCCGATTGGGCTGCGCCGCGAGGGGGCGGGGCGGAGCGCTGCGGGGCGGGGCGTGTCCGGGCGGCGCGCTGCGCGGCAGGGGGCGCTGGTCGCCGGCGGCGCGGAGACGGGGCCGGGAGCCCGGCGGGGAGGTCCTCGCTCCGTCGCGCCGCCGCCCCGCCCCCTTGGGCCCCCGCCCTTCCACCCCGCCCTCCGTGTCTCCGCCGTCGTCCCGCCCACTTTCCCTCCGGCCACTCGGGGAATTCCAAGCTCCCAGCGCGGGCAGAACCGGGCCCGGGCGCGACCCGACGTGGACCCGAGGGCGGCCTGTCCTGGGCGGGGGTTCGCGAGCATCTCAGACCCTGGAGGTCCGGGTGGAGACCCCGATCTCGCCCCGCGTTGCTGGGACGCGCAGGCCACGGACCCTCCGCGTTCTCAACGTGACCAACGCGCGCACAGATTAGACCCGCGCAGCCCGGCCCCCGGGACACAGGTCGACGCGGTGACCTCTCCACGAACAGCTCGGGCGTGTGGCCTCAGCCTCGCGGGCCCTTCCCGCATGAGGACTGCTCCCCCGGCGGCCCGGGTCACCCCGTGTTTGTTCCCCAGCCTGACTGTCATGAACCCAGCCCTGCCCTGGGGAAGCAGGGGGGTTTCTCGATGAGGGAGCCCAGGGCTGGGGACCGCGTGGGGGAAGGAGGTGGGTGGGAGGCAGTCAGTCCAGGACCCGAGGGCCCGCCTCCCTCTCCTGCTCTACCCCATCAGCAGGAGAGGGGACAGGAAGGGCTGGCCAGGTGCGCAGCCCCAGGTAAGGCACCAAGGGTTGCTCTGAACTGACTCATTTCCAAACTGCAAACCCATTTTTAATTTACACTCTTAACGCTGCCGCCAAATTTCCTCATTAGGATTTTACAGTTTATAGCTGGGCTGTGGTCGCCGGAACGAAGGAGAGATTCTCAGAGCTGCAGGCGGCGCGCAGGGACTTGCAGGGAATTCCCCGTGCGGCAGCTCTGGGCCTCAGCTGGGGAGACCACCCTGTTAGGCCTTGTTTGGCGATGGGCTCTCCCCATGCTTCAGGACCCACGTGGGCGTGCCCCCACCTGGCTCGGTGCTCTGGGAGGGGTCACAGCCAAACCACAAGAACAACCAGGCAAGGCCCCTGCAGGGCTGGTTGCCTCTGGCCAGCGGCATTCAGACCTGACCCCCACTGACTCCCCTACCGTCCTCCTGGTAGCAAGCCCCCCCTCCCTTGATTTGGACTTCCCGAAGCTGGTGGTCTAGCCGGTCAGCTCAGGAACTATGCCCTGAGCAGGTGGGCAAGGTCTGCCTGAGCAGAGACAGGAGCTATGAGCCCAGGCCCTGCACTTGGCCTGGCCGCTGGTGTGATCTGGGGGTGCCACTACTGCCGGAGCCTGTGAGGGTATGTCCCTGGCTCAGTAAGGGGGCCTGGGATCAGTTGTTGCCGAACTGTGAACAGCTGGCTCCTGATCACCCCAGCCCCCCACTCCCCAGCACCAGGGACCAGGGCCCAAACCCAGGACAGGGACCCTTGGACTGGGTCAGCATGCGACGCTGTGCAGGGCCAGTCCACCTGCTCCCTGGAACAGGGTGGCCGGGACGGGCAGGTGTGCTCTGAGGACATGTTCGGATGGGCCAGGGTTGCTTCCTCCTCATGTCTGTGTTCTTCATGCATCTGCCAGGGCCCAGCAGCGCCTAGGGCTGTCTCCGGAAGGTGGTGGGTTCACAGACAGGCCCCTGCTCTGGTGGGCTCAGGCCCCCTGGTCTGGAGAAGGGCATCTGGAGACTCTGCTGGGCCCGGGAGCAGAGCCTGGGAGAGAAGTCCCATTGACACCCTCTGCGGGTGTCAGGGTGGGCAGACAAAGGGGCCCTGTGAGCTCAGTGTGGGAACTCGCGGCCGCCACCACGGGCCATGAAATTGGCAGCTTAGGCGCCCCCCGGCAGGGGCCATGTGGCTGGAGTGGCCGCGGAGTCTAGCCTGCGGTTGCTGGCCACCTTACCCAGCGTCGTTGTGAGTACGGGTCAAATGGGTGTACCTGGGCCTGCCCCCCTTGCCCGGCTGCTCCTGCGGGCTCAGGTGACTGTCACACTGTCCACGGGGAGCTGCTGGACCCGAGGCTCATGCCCCGTCACTGTGGCTCAGAGGTAATTTCACTCCGTGTCTCGCTGGTCCACACCCACACACAGCCTACACGTTTGCTGAAAGACGCTTCCGAAAGGAGGACATTTGTTCCAAATGCCTCGGTGGGAAGGGGAGGGGCTCCCGGGGGCTCTGAGCCTGTGTGTGTGTGTGTGTGTGTGTGTGTGAGGGTATAGTGGTTCACTGGCTCTGAAGGAGAAGCCATACCTGGAATCTGGGGGGACAGACCCAACCCTGACTACTAGGTTGGACCCGCTCCTTCTCTGGGGGGATGGCCGGAGGAGGCCAGAGTTGAAGAGAGACCCCTTCTCCCTCTGGGGACCCATTTTCTTTGGAGGCTGGGAAGGTCTGGGCGGGGGAAGGGACTGCACGGATGGGGCGGCTGGCCGGAGCGGGGCTGAGGCCTGTGGCCACCTTAAAGGCAGTGGGCAGGGGAAGGAGGGTGAGTAGGCCCTCGGGCAGGCGGGCAGTGGGGGCGGGGCTTCCAGCTAATTCATTAAAATGTGTCGGGAGCGTGGGAAAGAGGAGAGGATTTCTTCCCAGCAGCCCAGACACCTGGTAGAAGGGCCGAGCTGAGGATACAGATCAAATAACAAATACTCAGCCTGGCCAGCGCGGCCAGTGCGCAGGAAGGACGCCTGGGGCAGGAACTGCGGCAGACAATCGTGGGCTCCTGGCCGCTCAGGCACTGCCTGGCACGAGGCCGCAGCCCACCCTGTGGGCCTGGTGTCTGACCCCAGCTCTGAAGGGGTCCTAAGGTGGTCCGCAGGCTGGGGCAGGTTCAGGACCCCAATGGGGGTGCCTCAGAGCCAGGGTGGCTGGCAGCGAGTGTGAGCTCAGGGGGTCCCAGCGGGTACAGCAGTCCGGGCAGCACAGGGCTCGGGAGGCAGGAAGGCGGGCTGGGCCAGGTGTCCCCAGTCAGATGTCCTCTGCTTTTTCTGGAGGTCGCACAGAGTTGGAAGGGCAGAGTGAGGCTGGGGCTGGACCTGAGGGGGGACAGGAAGGACACACAGCCTCCTGTCCCCTAGCCTGCGGTCCCCGGCCTCTCCCCAGTCCAGTTTCCGTCTGTCCAGGGCTGGCTGCAGCGCCAGGGCCAGGTCAGAGCAGAGTCTCCAGGAAGCAGCTGTGCTGGGAAGAGGGCCGGGCACCTCTGCTGCTTCCTCTTAACCCTACCAGGGAAGGAGTGTGGTCCGTCTGCCTCCCCGGGACAGGACGCCGGGCCGGAGGTCCTCCTTCTGGAAGCTGCCCCCCAGCTGCAGAGGGTCCCCATCCCTGGTGGGGTCCAGCCTGCCTGCTTACCTTGGCACCCCTGCCTGACCTGGGGCTCAGCAGTGACCAGGGGGAGCCGGAAGTCCAGGCTGCCCGCTGGGAGGGGCATCCTGGCCCAGCTGGCCCCAGGCTGCTGGGCGCACAGTGGAAAGGTACCTGGCACAGGGCGGGTGCTCCAAAGGAAAGGAGAGGATGTGGAGTTGGCAGGACACCTGTGCACCCCCACTGGCCCCGCCCTGCACACTCAGTCTGCGCCCCTGTGGCAGGGGCTGGCCTGGCATGGCCGGTGCCCCCCGCACCTGAGGGCGTCACTCCGACACCTGCAGGTGCCCTGGGTGGAAGCAGAGGCCCGGCACAGGCCTCAGGCCTGACACCCGGAGGCTTCCGCCTGGGCCCCTGGGCCAGGTCTAAGCTGGTTTCCGATCCGCAGGAAGAACAGGAAAGGGATGTGATCGAGGGAGGGGTGCATTCCTGGGGGGTGAGCAGGAGGAGGTGGGCGGTCTGGGACCAGGCCTGACCTGGCAGGAGCCTCTACCTGTGGGCCCCGTCCCCTGGCACCCCCTGCTCTGCACCACACCTGGCACTGGCGCCCTAGGCCTTCCATGGGGTCAGCTATCACGAGCCTGAGCCTCGGTTCCCCCAAGTGGGCACAGCATGTGTGAGCAGGGCCCTATCTTGTAATGTGATTGCTGGTCTCTCCCAGGAGGGGGCCACCCAGCCCGGACCAGGGAAGGAGAGTGGGGGGCCAGGGCCGCAGGTGCAGGGGTGCCTCCCCCAGGGCGGCTGCCCTGCCTCGTGCCCCGGGCTGGGCTGGGGCCATTCCCTAGAAAGTGCCCCCGGCCTGGCCTAAGGGACCCTGCACCGCAGGACCTCACCATCCACGCTCCTTGGGGTTGGAGGCCCCCTGGCTGGGGCCCTGTCCTGCCTGGCCAGGGGCATGGCTCTTGGCCTGAGAAGGCAGGGAGGGTGGGGTGACGCTCCGAGCACAGGGCAGTGTTGGGCAGGGGCCGCACAGGGACCACAGCACTTCGCCCCGGCCCCACAGCTGCGCGGCAGGTGTCCGGTGTGTGCGACGAGCCACGTTCGTAAGTGAGCGCTCGGCCACAGCCATGCAGGTGGGCCTCTTCCACTTTTATTTCATGGTGCAGGCCCCGGGGGCCTGGGGCACCCCGAGGAAGGGCTGCTGGCCGGGACGGGCCCACGGGAGCCGGGCGCAGCAGCCAGGACCTCGCGGAACTGCGCGGCCACGCGGCCCAGGTGGGAGCCCTCCCAGAACACCTTGCCGCAGCCCACGCAGCAGTAGAAGTGCTGCAGGCCCGGCCGCCGCAGCACGCCCGTGGGGATGCCCGCCAGCTGCAGCTGGGTGCCGTTGCTCAGTGTGGCTGGGGCCCGGAGCTGCAGGTCTGCCTCCTCCAGGCCGCGGCAAGGGGGGTCATAGGTGCAGCCCCCCGGCGTCTCCTCTGGCGCTGAGCCTGGGCCGGTACAAGCAGCCACCCTGAGTCCCCACATTTCTGGATGTGCCCCCCCACACACTGCCTCATCCCACCCAGGGACCCCTGGCCCTCTCTCCCCATTGCTCCTGCCACCCCCAGCCTAGGGCACAGGGACTGACCCCCACAGCGGTCCCTCTACTGGGCCAGGACCCGAATCCCATCTTAGGGTGAAGCCAGGTGCTGGGGTCCCTGTGCTCCGTGGGCAGTGCCAGGGCTCACCTGGCTCCTGTGTGTCCTCACTCTGGGCCTCATCACCTGTCAATCAAGCACATGAAGAACTCCTGAGAACAGGCCTCTTCCCCCAACCCCAGTGGAGAGGGCGGAGGGCAGGGTGCCAGCCGCCTCCTCCCATGGGAGCTCACACCTTGGAACGTTCTTGGGGCTCAGAGGTTCTGGACACGGGATCATAATGAAGGCGCGTGAACACGGTGGGCAGTGATGGGATAAGCCCACTGACAAGGACCCAGCTGCACACCCAGCCAGCACCAGGGCCAGCAGGTGGGGACCCAGGGGACGCTGGAACTCGGGGTGCTGGAGACCTGGGGGGAGAGACCCGAGGGCCCGCCCCACACCCAGGACAGCACAGGGAGCCACCAGGCTGCCCCCACGGAGGGCCAGCGCAGCTGCAGGCCGGCAGCGGAGCCCCGGCAGCAGGTGGGAGAAGCGGCCTCCTTAGTCCTGCTGACCCTCGTAATTTGCTTGGCAAACATTTCTCTACAGACAGCTCCAGATAAATTAGAGCCAAGTCTGAATGGGGGACACCCCGCCCCCGGCCCCACAACCCGTCTGGCCTCCCTGCCTCCACCCAGCCCGTCTGACCCAGGACTTCTCCGGTAGCTCCCGACACACCAGACAGCCCACAGGGGTGCTGCCCCCCACCCCGCTCCAGGACCGGTGAGAGCCTCTGGGGGGGTGCGTGGGGGCCAAGCAGCCGTGGTCCCTCAGAGGGCACTGCCCGAGCTCCACCCCGCTCGGGCCCTGAGTGTGTCAAGGCTGCAGCAGAGAGCTGCCCAGGGCTGGACAGAGGGGTCACGACAGCTCACCCTCTGTGTCGGTGGCCCCTGCACTGACCCCGGACTTCAGAGGGAGGTGGGAAGGACAGGAGCAGCTGGGTGGGGACATCAGCTTCTTGGAGAGGCATCTGGCCTCAGGATGACCGACAAGAGGTCCCTGCGATGCCCTGACCCACCCCACCTCTGCCCTCCCCTGAGGAGGGGCCAGAGGTTCCCCGCATGGCCCTCGGCTGGGTCCCCTCTCCGCAGGGCAGGAGAAACTGGTTCCAATGGCAGGGCACCTTCACAGTCGCTGGGTGCCCTGCACCCTCCTCTTTTTAATCTTACAGAAAGGGAACTGAGGCTGGGTCCCTGGGGGTGCATACCCAGGCTTGCCCTTTGTCTGCCCAGGCTCAGCCCTGTTCGGGTTGATAGGTGCCATCGGCGCACAGGCGTGCAAGAGAATGCTGCACCGGTGTCCGGGTGCGCCCCACGCTCGGCCAGGGTGAGCGGCAGCCAAGCAGGGCCCAGGGGAGAGAGGGGTGTCCACCACCCGGGGCGGCCCTGCGGGCCTCAGCTTCCGGGTCTGCCTGCGCCCCAATCTTGCTGGAGCGCTCTTTCCCATCAGCACGCCGCCATCCCGGCCTGCACCCCTGAGCTACCGCCAGACCCCACCAAGCCCTCGCGGCCCACCCGTGGGGTCACTCACCTGCGCTGCCAGGGTCCTCCCAGCGGCCACTGAGCCACACGAGCTGCTTCATCAGGTCTTTGGGAACCTTCAGGTACTGGTCACAGTTACAGGCCTGGGGACAAAGAGGGTACTGAGGGGGGCAGGCCCCCCCCGCCCCCCCCCCTCAGCCCGTGCTCCTGCAGCTCTGGGTCTGCAGAGTGTTTCGTGTAGACAAACAACACAGTACCAGGGGCACGCCATTTCCTGGGGGCCCCCCCTGACTGCAATGGCTCCTAGTGGGCCCTGGGCAGCCTCTTCCGGCTCCCGAAACCCTGCAGGGCACTGCCACCACCCTGGCTGTCCTCCCCAGCCCCTGGGCTGGCTCAGCACTGGTGGGGGACGCAGGGCCCAGCATCTAGGGGTCATGGTGGGCACGGCCACACCTATGGCGGCCCTGACCCCACAGCCCGTCTTGGGGAGAGCCAGGTCCACATCTCTCTCTGCCGCCTCGGGGCCGGGCACCAAGTCCGTCAGGGCCCACGGGCAAAGCTGCTGTGCTCTCACGCAGGGTCTTTGTGGGGGACACAGCGGGCTCTGAGGCCCATCCCGCCCTCGCCGTGCAGCTGCCCCAGGGCTGCTCCCTGAAGGCCGCCTGGCAAGGGTGGGTCTGGACCCCAGGGTTCCTTTGGGTGACAGGGTGTGTGGGGCGCACTCACCTGGCCCCCAGACAGTTATGTGTAGGTGCCTATGGGACACTGGTCACAGCCCAACCAAGGACATGGGACCAGCTTTCGGGGGGAGGAGGAGGAGGAGCCCAGGGCAGGGCCTGGGGTGGTATTCCCAAGGCACAGGAGGGACGGGCGCTGTCTGAGCTCCTGTGATCACTCCCGGCCCCTCCTGGATGAGCTGGGCAAGGGCCCTGGATGACACGCTCTGGGGCAGGTGGGTAGGCGGTGGCCTCAGGCCCCGGGAGCTGCAGGGTGAGCCCACGTCAGGGGCATCACCCACCCTGCCCCCACACGCCCTTTTCCCACGGGCCTTTCGACACCTTGGGCTTTACCTGTGGCCTCACTGCTGCATGCCCCCCCCTGCACTGCAGCTGGCCAGGGGGCCAAGCCTGGGGCTGCCGGCGGGTGGGGCGGCCTCTGCCTGAGCACTGGGCTGGGCTGGGGCAGGGCTGATCCCAGGCAGAACCTCCCCCACGCGAGGGTCTCCTGCGCCCCTGCCAGCCCACTCAGCCAGCCTCTGGCACCGGGGGCCTGCTGTGCGCCCTGCTCCCCTGGCCGCAGGTCTCAGGGGCTGCCGGCCAGAACCCTGTGCTGCCACCGGCCCGCGCTCTCCCTGTCCGGGCCAGGGAGGCTGGGTGGGTGCTCTGCCAGGGGTCCGTCAGCCTTCCCAGGACCTGGGCCTGGCGTGCACACCTGGGCGGGGCTGCCAGCTCACGCTGAGTCACTGCACACAGACAAACGCTCGGTGCCATCCACAGGGACCCGGCCACACCCTCGGGAACCACCACTGCCGGTGTTCCCACGGCCGCTGCCCACTGTCACCCCGATAGGGCCCTGAGAGGCCCTCCCCCACCCACCCCACCCCAGGGCTGGCAGAGCCGGTTCGTGCCTGCTCTCCTGCCCTCTGCCCTGCGTTTCCCATCTGCAGGAGGGCTTGGCACCCAGGGCTTCCTCGTCCACCTCCCATCAGCCCCATGGCTCAGCCACCGCTGCCTGACCACCTGCCCTGGGTGGGCAGTGCCCACCCCTTGAGGGAGGCAGAGTGCCCGCCTAGTCATGGGCTCAGTGCCCGTCTACCTTAGGCCTCTCTCTGACACCGAGGGGGCAGCAGAGCCTCTGGCCTCCCCTCTTGAAGAAAGGGGGCTTCTGAGGGGCCGACGTGCTTAGTCACAGGGCCCCACACGGGGTCCTGCCCGCCGAGGGGTGAGCAGGTGGCATCTGAGCCCACCTCCTGGGTGGGCAGTGCAGACCCCAGCCTCGGGACGCCTGTGGGTCTGGGTAAGACCAGGGGGAGGCCTGGGGGCCCAGGACAGTCTCTGTGCAACCCCCATCCAGCCCGGAGCCTGAGGGCAGGGCTGGGCTGGCCACGCCCCCAGATCCTGGCTGGGAGGGAGGGGCCAGGTGAGTCGCGCAGGAGGGGCTGGGAAGGCTCCTGGCTCGCTGGTCCCAGGGGTCCGCCTGAGCCGGGTTCCCACGGCTCCCCAGGCTGCTGGGGGCCACGCCTGCCTCCCCACTCCCGCAGCCCAGGGACAACCTTGGGCAGGGGCAGGAGCCCACGGCATGAAGGCGTCTCCTGGGGCTGGGCCCCCACAGGGACTGGCCCTGGGCACTGTGGGGCCTGTGGACCCCCCGCCAGACGAGCCCAACCTGGCGGCCTGCCCTCTGCAGCCCCTGGGCCCCGGGCCTGGGGAGGGTGCCAAAGGGCTGCTCCGCTCACCTCCCCAGGAGGTGGGTCTCGCTGGGCTTCCAGAGGGTTTGAGGCTGAGGCTTGGGGGCAGGCAGCTGGAGGGGTCAGTTCCCAGGTGCCCAGCCAGCCTGACGTCTGCTCGGAGCCCAGGAATTCCAGCCACACCTGCCACGGAAGCCATTTGGCTGAGCCAGGGCTGAGCCACAGGCAAGGTCACTGTGTCTGTCCTGAACCATGCCCCCAGGAATGTCTGGGTTCGCACTCCTGGGTGCCCCGCTGCCTGGGTGCAGGGGCCACACGTGCACTGCCCTGCGCACACACCAGGCGGCGGCACCCCGTGGGGTGGGGAGGGCACGCAGGCCCCAGGGCAGAGGAACGTGGACCAGCAGGAGGCCGCCTTGGAGGGGCCCCCGACCTGCTCTTCCAGGGCCCACGGCCCCTCACACCACCGAGTGCAGCTCACCGTGCCCAGGCGTGTGGCCACCTCCACACCCTGCGGCCCCCTCCAGGGGCACTGAGGCAGAGGGGAGGGCGTGATGCGTGCTGCCCCCGGGGCTGGCCGGCAGCAGCAGGAGAGAGAGCCGTGCTCCCAAGGGTGCCGGGCAGCGCAAGCGGCCTGTCCAGGTTGGGAGCCCAGCGAGGGGCCCACTCCGCAGGAGGGCCGGGGTGAGGCTCCCTGCCCAGCCTGCAGCCAGCCCAGCCCTCCCTGCCCAGCAGGCCCAGCCCCACCTTCCAGGGGAGATGGTGCCAGGCCGCTCTGGCGTCCTGCTCTGAGGGGTTTCTGCTCTGCCCATCCCAGGAGGGTTGGGACCCTGAGGCAAGGGGCAGGCTGTGGGAACCAGGGCTCCCCCCTGAGGGCCGGAGGGGCTGAGGCTCAGACTCAGTCTGCCCAGCCCGCATCCCGCCCCCAGGGAGAGCCAGGCCCCCCATGGGGGAGGGGGATGAGGGCCCACGGTGCCTGGGGAGCCCCTGCTGGGATTTCTGACCCCACAGAGGGGCCTGGGTCTGGGCTGAGGAGCTGCTCTGGAATAGTGGGTCACCTCTCACTGAGGAGAGGAATGAACAGCGATGCACACACACACACAGACGCAGATGAGAATGGACGTCAGTCACCCTCGTCCTCGCTCAGCCTCAGGTGGTTCCGCACCTTCCACAGCAGTGTCTCAGGTACCACGTCTGGGAGGGGGACCACGGATGTGTCGGTTTCAGGACACCAGTGTCCCTGCCCCGGGGTGACTTGCTCGTCTGGTCCCTGCTATCCTGGGACAGGTGGGTCCTGAGGCCTCGCCAGCTGGCTTGGCCACCTGACCCCCGCCCAGAGATGTCCCAACAAATGGTGCTGGGTCCAGGGACAAGGGGCTGGGACAGGGACCCTGGCCTGGGGTGTTAACCTGATCCCTGCATGGAGGTGGGGCCGGCCGGGAGGAAGCAGGTCGGCGCCCAGCCTGGGTCAGCTCCACACCTCAGTCTCCCACGCCTTCCCAGAGCAACGGATGGGGCCCGAGCCATCTGCTCCCAGAGGTGACATGGCCCTCCCCCAGGACAAGTGTGTTACCCAACTCTGCCCACAAAGACAGCGCTGGCCCTGCACTGGGCGCTGTCCCTCCAGTTCAGCTCTGGTTTCCACTGCAGATGGGCTGGGGTGGGGGCCAGAGGACTGTGGCCGCGCCCCTCAAAGACAGCCCACAGTGAGGTTCGCAGGACACTGTGGGGTGCAACCCCCAACCCACAGGCAGGACACAGAAGAGGCAGGAGGGCCAGGCCCCAGGCCCCAGGCAGGCTCCTGGCTGGGGAGTGTGGGTTGGCTCTTCTGTTCCCATGAAGCAGGCTTGGTCCCCCAGCCTTGGCCTGGTCCTCAGCGTCTGAGACCTGGGATAGTGGCCCTGCAGGGGCCTAGCTTCGTGCGCCCCACCCCCAGGCTCAAGAAGGTCTATTCCCACGGGCCGGCCCCTCCCCCACCGGGCCACTGCCCATCCCCTTTGTGGGGCCAGGACAATGTCTGCACAGACAGCGGGGGATGGGCTTCAGGCGCTCTCAGCAAACTGCAGGTTGTGGGGGGTCGGGCCCTGGGTCCTGGGGCTCCAGGAGTCCCCAGGCCGGCCAGGTCTGGGCATGCTATGTGAAAGCCGGCACTTGGCAGGTGCCTCTCATGAGCACCCACGCGTGAGAGGTGGGAGAGTGGGCAGCTGAGCCGGGTCTGCCTGGGAGCCCGTGACTGTGTGCTCTGCTGACCCGTGTCTGTGTGAGCACCCCACGGGGCATTTTCAGGGTGCGAGGGTTCTAAGGCAGGTGGGGGAGGGGACAACAGCATTTGGGACTTCCCAGCCCGGTTAGGCTCTTGGCTCATGTAGCTTCACAAGGCTGGCACCCCTGAGTCTGGGCCTCGGCCTCACAGGGAGGTGTGGGTCTGGCACCCCGAATGGGACCCCCCTTAGCCCCAGTGGGCCCACATCTGCCTGACGTTCTGGAAGCAGAGCCTCCGGCCTAAACCCAGAACACGCGTCGAGTGGCTGGGGAGGCCCAGACCAGCAGTGGCCCCGCAGCCACGCTGGGGCAAACCTGTGCTGGTCCCTCCGATGGTGAGGGAGGAAAAGGGGGGCGTTGGCATGGGAGGAAAGCCCTGTCTTAGCTGCCCCGGGCACAAGGACAGACTCGGAGTCCAGGACACTGGAGTCTGAATGGGAGGCCCTGCCTGCGAGGTCCCCCCGGCCAGGGGCAATGGGAGGGTCTGACCCTTTGCTCTGGGGCCTGCAGGCTGAGCCCTGGGAAGTGGCTGCAACAGGACGAGTGGGCAGGCCTCCCACTCAGTGCCCAGCCCCACCCTGGCAGCTCTGCCCCCCCTGTGCCGCCCACAGCCCCTGGTCCCCTCAGGGCCCGGTGTGCAGACCCACCGTGCGGGTCAGCGGGCGGAGAGCCCAGAGCAGGCTCTCCAAGGCCCCTCCGTGTAAGACCCCGAAATCCAGCCCGTTGGGTGGGCGGGGGGCTGGGAGCCAAGGGCGGACAGGTGGCGCCCCGCCCCCTGGGCGCTGCGGGGGACCAGCGCGGGGCTCCAGGAGGGCAGGGCCGGTGCGACCTCGGGCGGTGCGGGGCGCGCACGTGGCCGGCTCCGCGCGTACCTGCCAGCTGCACACCCAGGCCCGCCCGCCCGCCCGGCTCCGGCGGAGCGGCGAGGCCCCAGGGGGCGGCCGGGCTCGGGGTCCCCAGGCAGCTCTGGGATCCCCCTAGGTTTCTCCGTGAGTGGGTGCGGGGCAACCACCTGTCCTGGGTGAAATCAAATTCAGTCTGGCCTTAGGCCCTGGGGGGGAGGGGGGGTGGCGCCACACCCCCCAGGCCCCTCAGTAGGCACCCCCTCCCGGGTGGCCTAGAGTAACCCCCAGGCGGCACAGCACACCCCTCCCCCTCCCCGAGGCTCTCCCCTCAGTACCTCCCAAGCGGCACATACCCCGCCCCCCGCGGCGTCGGAGCGCCCCCCAGGCGATTACCCCGCTGCCCTCCACCCCCACCCCGTCCCGAGGAGCCCGAGAGGCGCCCCCCATGCCGGGGTTCCCGGGCACCCCGGCGCAGCGGGCCGTTCCCAGGCGGGGGAGGGGCGGCGGCCGTGAGAACCCGCCGGCGGCCGGGCCGCGTGGGAAAGCGGGGGGAGGGGCGGGCGGGGAGGGCGGGGCGCGCCTGGGAACCGCTCCCGCCCCCGGCCGGCCTTTGAAAGGGCCACTCAGGGCGCCGGCCGAGATTCAAAAGCAAACGGCCGCCTGCAGCCCGCCTTCCCGCGCCCAGGGGGGAGGGCGAGGGGCGCGGGGGGACCTGGCCCGCCCAGCGCTCCGGGGGCTCCGGGGGTCGGGTGGGCGCCTCCTCCCACCGGGGCTGCGGGGTTAGGGAGGGGGCTGGGGGACCCCGTCCGCCCAGGGCCATGGGGAGGGGTGGCGGGCAGCAGGCTGGGGAAGTTGGGAGTCCACCCGATGGGGTCGGGGCGGCCCTGGGATGCCCCCCCTGCCCCAGAGGAGAGGAGCCGGGCGCTCAGACCTCAGGTGGCAGACCCCGAATCCAAGCAGGACAGCCTGGGGCCTGTCACCCACTGGGTCAGGGCTGCACCAGGGCCAGGGGACCAGCCCTGGCCTCTGTGGTCAGGGTCCAGGAAGACAGAGAGTACCAAAGTCCTCTTACAGAGAGCAGTTCTGAGAGCTGGCTGGGCGCCTGGAGGACTTCCTGGAGGAAGCAGCACCTCCACTGGGGCTTGGCAGGGCAGGAGGAGAGGGTAGGGCCTCAGATGCCGCAGGAGCTAGGGTGTGCTAGGACGGTTACAGAGGGCTGATGTGAGTGGGGGGCTGGCAGTACGGAGGGGCCGCATCTGTGAGCATAGTGTAGGGTCTCCTGCCTCTGCCCCTCCCTGCCCCTCCCAAACACCTGCACCTCATCAGATGGATTTTCCGAGATGGGGAGAAGCAGCTGCTGCCTGAGCCCGGCTCTCCCCACTTCCTGGGGTCCCCACAGCACACCTCCAGGGAGGGTGCAGGGCTGGCTGAGCAGATCTCTCCCTTCACGGCTCCTTCTCCTGAGCCCCCGGCCCCCCAGGCTGGCAGGGTCTCAGGCCCCATCCGGCCAGAAGATGGCTCCCAGAACCCGCCAGCCAGGCTGCTCCCACAGGGGCTCTGACAGCCTCAGGCGGGTGGGTGGGCAGAGAGCAGGGCTGCCGGGGGGTGGGAAGTCCCCCCTCCCTGGCCCCTGTCTTACTCTGTGCAGCTAGAGGGGGAGGTGGCCAGGCAGGTGGGGGACACATGTCCATAGGGGTCCTGCTGCACTGGCTGTCTACACAGGCTCCTGCCCTCAGGACATGGACGGAGCCGGCGCTGCCTGGACACGCTGCTCTCTCACATTGAGGACCTTTCCCAGACTCCAGCCACAGCTGCCCATGCCTCCTTGACCGGCAGCCCCTTGGGCCTCACACCCGAGGCCACCAGCCTGTCCTGCCCCCCCATCCAGGCCCCATGGCCACCCGCCCAGCCGCTGACTGCTCCTGGCCCTGCCCCACTTCTGCTTTGGGGCTGCAACTGCCTCCAAGTAAGGAGCGCCCCCTCTCAGATGCCAGCCAGGCCCCTGGGTAGTCAGTCCCTGCTGCAGGCGGGGGCGGGGCCAGGTGTGGGGACCTTTCCTGGGGGCTGCAGCCTGTTGAAAGCAGCCACGGGCTGGGCACACTGAGGTGTTTGTGGACACGGATCGGACTTGCACGGCATGTGGCTCGAGGGCCGCAGTGGCTGACGCAGGACCAGGTGCCGCCAGCCCAGCCCTGAGCCTCGGGTCCTATAGACCCCGAGCCACCGCCTGCCCCTTGGAGGCCTGGCCACGTGGTAGGCACGCTGTGGGCACTCTGCCCGCCTTCCCTGTTTCTCCGAGCCCAGGTCTAGGCCGCAGCAGAGCCCTGGGGGCGATGGTCGGGGGGGCTGGCCTCTGCCAGGTCTGGCCAGCGGTTCCAGGTGGCTGGATGGCCGGGGCTCCCGGGAGCAGGACTGTGACAGTGGCCAGCAGAGGCGAGGCGCCGAGGGAAGGCAGACCCAGCTCCTCTGACCCGTGGCGGGGTTCTCTCAGCTGGCGGGGCCCAGGCCTGAGGGGATGGCGTTGGGGTGCCAGCCGGTCTAGCTCTTGGCCTCTCTGCCGCCCTCCCCCAGCTCCCAGGGGCCTGTCTCGGCTGCCATGGGGTGGGCCTGCACTGGACAGGCTGAAGCCCGACTGGTGGCATGTGTGGCCCGCAGTCCCGTCTCCCACAGCAGCCCGGGCAGCATGCCCACCCTCCCCTGGGTTCGGCCTCTGAGTGGAGCCTGTAAGCTTGCCACCCCTTTGGGAAGTGGGCAGGACATGTTTTCATGCTTCTGTCAAAATCCAGGGGTGCAGCCCAAGAAGCCTGTCTGGAGGGCCCCCGACCGCTGATGGGAGCACCCATCACAAGCTCCTGTCAGGACAAAGGTCTGGCCCCCCCAGGCACGGGTGAGAGAAAGGGTGTGAACCAGGCTGGGGCTCACACCTCCCTTCCTGAGCACTGGTGTGGGTCCCGGGACGACACACTGAGGGGCCGGGGCTGCCTGCCAGGTGGCCATGTCCGGCAGCTGCTGAGCTGTGGTGTGAAGGGTGTGGGTGTCCTGCTGGCTCAGGGGTTGGATCAGGGCCACCAGGAGCCAGGGGCCCCAGGGTGGTGGGGTCTGGGTTGGTCCCTCAAGGGCCATCTGGTAGGAACTGAGGCTGGGTGCCGGCTGAGACCCAGGGCTCTTCTGGAAGGGGGAGGGGCAGACGGGGAGGCCCACAAGCTGTGGGGGGGCCCGGGGGGCCTCCTGGGATGCTGTGACCAGCCTCGACCCACCCCACCCTGCTGTCACTCCTGGGGGCTGTGCTGACCTTGCCCGTCCGGCCATCATCCCCACCAGCATCCATAGTCGGGCCCCAACCCTGCCGGGACCTGCCTGGTGGCTCCCACTGTCCTTGAGCCTTAGACACTGGACCCTCCAGGCTGGCAGGCCGGCTGCTCCTGCCCCGTCCTCCTCCAGAGCTCCCCGTGGTGGCCCCTCCTGCCACCTCAGGAGCAGGGCGGTGGCCACCCCTCCCACAGCCTTTGTGCCTGTGTGACCCCGGGGGCACCGAGTGTGGGAACTGGGCTGGGGGCCTCGAGCACAATGGCCGGGGAGGGGTGGGGTCAGTGCAGCTCAGCCTCTTCCTGTCTGTCCCTCCGTCTGGGGCTGGTCATCAGGAGAGAGGCAGGGTCTCCCGGCCCAGGGACGAGGCCGGGCATGGGCCTCCCGGCTACCCCCTGGGTCTGGACTCTGGGGTGGGCACTGGGGGCAGATACCATGAGCCCCCTTCACAGCTGCATTCTGGGTGCCCACTTCCGGGGCCAGCAGCACTGAGGTCCAGGACACTCCTGCCACTCGGGCTCTGGCTCCCACCGCGGCGGGGGGACCGGAGGGACAGTAAAAATAGACGCTCTGCCTGGCCATGTCAGGGTTCGTGCGTAGGCCTTTTTTTTAAACTCAAATTTCTTTGATAAAATATTTTCCCATGGTGGACGGCACTGGGAACGGCCTCTTGGCAGCCGCTCCTGACGGATCATCCCAGGCCCAGATCACCAGCTTCAGGGGTCACAGCCCTGCCCTCTGGGAGGAGCCCACTGCCCCTTCCCCGCCCGCCCGTGGCTGGAGGGGTTCTCTGTCCCCACAGCGGGCATCCCAGTGGAATCCCAGTGCCCAGGGCACCCGCCAGGTGCGGCGTCATGCTGCTGGGGGCCAGGCGGTGCGGGGACCAGGCTGCAGACCCCGGCCAGCCTGTGGCCCTCTCCCACCTCGCTCTCCCGAGTGCCCTCCACGCGCCAGCCCGAGCGCGGCTGGGCCTGCTCTGGGAACGCGTGGTGGGTTTTCCCTCTGGGAACGGCACCAAAATAGCAGAAGGAAGGAAAAGAAATGGAAACGGCCTGGCGGCGGGAGCTCTCCAGGGAGGCGGCCAGCTCCAGCCAGGTCGGGGCAGCGGAGGCTCCGAGCCAGTGGCCAGGGTGCGCAGGCCGCTGGGGTGCAGGGCAGGCCCCCCGCCGAGCACAGCACAGAAGCCCTCTGGGGCAGTCTGAGGGCCCGCTCTGCCTGCCAGCGCCCCCTGATGTCCAGATGGGCTCACGAGCCAGCCCAGCCCTTGCTGCGACCTGTGGGACAGAGCCGGGGTCTGCAGCCCAGGGAGCAGCCCGGTCACTGTGAAGGCTGAGCCTCCGGCCATCACCGTGGGGTGAGTGTGTGGCACCGTTTCTGGGCTTGGTGTCCACCTGTAGGCGGGCCTCTGGTCCACCTCGACCGGCCCTGCGAACAGCACTCCCCTGGCAGTGGGCTGGGAGTGGGGTGGCCGTGTGCAGGGCTGGTGGTCAGCTGTTCCCAGCTGCTGCTCAGGCTGAGCTCTGGGGTTCACCAGGAACATAGGCAGGCTGGGGAGCAGGGGCAGGGTGGGAGCGAGCCTGAGGCCTGCCTGGACCCCGTGTGGCAGCTCAGCAGGGAGCTGCCTCTGCTCCTGGTGACTGGGAGCCCGGCCTCTGGCCTAGGCGCTCACGCCACCAGCTGGTTCACCACGCGCCAGCTCGTCCCCCCACTGTGCCCGGAACACCGCCGCAGTCACTGAGGCCAGGTTCAGATGCGGAAATCCTGGCTTCTCTGAGACCCCCTTCTCGCTCCCCTGGTCCTGTTCATGCTCCTTCCAGCTGGGCCTGTGCACGCCTGGGGACGTCCCCCAAACACCTGTCTGCCCCCCAGGGGGCCCCGCCCTGGGCACACCCCGCCTGAGCCCAGCTGGGGCTGCTGCACAGTTGTGAGCTTCGGTGGCCCCCCGGCCCTGGTGTCCCCACTCCCTGACCAAGGCCCACGGGCCCTGACGTCTGGCCTCACATCAGGCTCCCATCACCTACTGCCCTGCACCGCCAGCCCCTCGCTGGGGCCACACACCGGCCCTGCCTGGGACCCTGCCCCTTCCCGCCATGTCGAAAGCGTTTACTACAAGCAGGAGGTCGGGCAGGCTCCCGTTCCCCTTCCCCACGTCCCAACCCCCAGGGGTTGGTGCCTGCCCTGTCCCCACACCAGACTCCAGAGCCCAGACCAGCACACTCCCTCCCCGACCACGGGCTCAGCCGAAAACCTAGGGACCTGGCCACACACTGGAACCGGATTCTGAGCCCTCTGCCCCTCACCTGGGCAGGCGCCACACCTGCTCTCTGGCCCCCCGCCCCCTGGTCTGTCCACTGCTGCCCCGCTGGGCACTGCCCTCCCACCGGTCACCTGCGGGTCCCCTCGGGGCAGCTCTGCCTCCCAGCCTGTGAATGAGCCCCACGGCCCCCCAGGCACTCTCCCAGCCCAACCCCCACGCGGCGGCCTCACCCAGGCCGCCCTCCGGGCCTGGCCCTCGGGGGTCTGATGGAGCTCAGGCTGCTCCCCAGCACTGGGCTTCCCAGGGCGCCAGAGGGGACTTCCTCCCAGTTCCCCAACTTCCTGTTTTCTCAAGAAAACGCACCAGCAGAGGCCCTGAAAAGCTCATTAAAATGCCTCCCTGCTTCCCGGACGTCCTGGGGTCTTTACAACACTCGCCAGCGTGAGTACAAAGCGGCAGCAGACACAGTTCCTGCCCTTCCCCAGCTCAGCCAGGGAAAGGCTGGGATTCATTTCCCGTGGCCCAGGGCCACTGTGGTCCTGGCAGGGCAGGGGCCCAGCCTGAAAACAGGGGCTTCCCTCTGGCCTTCTTCCTCGCACTGTGCTGGGCGCCTGCCCCAGGTGCCGGTGCAGGAATGAGCCGGCGGGGCAGCCCTTCGGGCCCCTCCTCTCTGTGGCCCAAACTCCAGAATGTTCTGCACCAGAAGCCCAGCCAGACAGGACTTCCCAGGATTTCCTTCACTCCGTCCAGAGGCCCGGCGGGAGGCCAGCCCTGGGTGCAGGACATTCCCCAAATCCCAAGGACGTCCCGGCCGAGCTGCTCCCTGGACCTCAGCCGCCTGCGTCCGTCCTCCCGGCCCCAGGTGACAGTGCCTCCCGAGCCCTTGTTTACCTGGCACGTGGTGTGTGGGTGGTGGGGAGGAGGGAGCACACTGCCCACTGAGCCAGTGGCTACTGCGGGATGAGCAGGAACGCCAAGGCTCAGGGCCTCTGGTGCCCAGCACCCTCCAGGGACGTGCCCGGTTCCCGTGACAGGGGCTCCCTGGCAGCCCCAGGGCTCACACGGGCACCGAGGCAGGCTGGGGCACGAGACCCACCTGGCAGCGGCTGAAGATGTCTGCGTGGGCAACGCGCACGTTGAAGTGCCGGAGCACAGCCTTGGCCTGCTGCTGGGCCTTGAGGGAGCGGTCCACCCGGAAGCAGCGCCCAGCCCCCACCTGTGCCTGGAGCTGCGGGGAGATGCGGCTGAGCCCAGAACCCCCAGGCCACCCCCTCCCCGAGCTCGGGGCCCAAGAATTGCCCCTTGGTCCACCCAGGACGCAGCCCTCTGCTCTCGCCCCACTGCGGAGCCGGAGTTGGGGGTCTGGGGGGCGGGCGCAGGCGGTGCTCACCTGGTGGTACGGCTGCCCCGAGGTCAGGATGACCCTCCCCTCCTGCCGGGCGACCTGTGCAGGAGAGAAGACGACCAGTGAAGGGCACACCACCACCTTGGGTGGGGCTGCTTTTGTCCCCAAAGTGGCCTCTGCCTGGGGCCTGCCCAAGTCCTCCTGCTTGTGGTAAACGTGCATCCCGCGCGTGCCCAGAGCAGCCCCCCGTCCTGGGTTTGTCCTGGGCATTGCCTCGTTGTAGAGATTTGGTCTTAGAGTCCTGCAAAGATTTTACGTAATTGCAAACAAAATTAAATTTAAAAAGCTGTCTCTAAAAATCCAAAGGAGCCCTGGCTGATTTGGCTCAGTGGTTAGAGTGTCGGCCCGCAGACCAGTGAGTGGTGGGTTCGATTCTGGTCAAGGGCACGTGTCCGGCCCTGGTCAGGGTCACGTGGGAGGCGACCAGTTGTCGTTTCTCTCCCCCCCTCCCTCCCACTCTCTCTGAAGATGAATGGAATGATAGCCTCGGGTGAGGATGAAAAAGTAAAAATCCAAAGCAGATGAAAGAACTGAACCGAAAAGAGGGAAGTGTCCCAGGCACAGGGAAGCAGCACACTGACCACATGTCTCGAGGCCACCGCACTACAGACCGCAAGTGGCCGTACCCTGCAGGGATCCTGGTGTTGGTGAGGACACGGACGTTGTTATTCTGAAACGTCTGTGTGTGGATGGTGACACAAAACAGACAGTAATGTGATGTCATGAGTGGGAGGCTCTGCAGCTGAGAAAGGAGATCTGGGTTAAAGTGAAGGGGATTGTGCAACGAGCCCCAGAGAGGAATGGAAGTATAAGCGTCTGATACATATACATATACATATACATATACATATACATATACATATACACGTACGTATTTCATCACTCCCCCGCTGCGAAGGCCTAGAAACAAGAACCAGCCCTGTGTCCAGACTGGTGTCTGCCTGGCCCCACGCCGCGGGAAGTCGGAGCCTGTAGGAGGAAGGGCCAGCTCCAGGTCTGGGGCGGAGACCGCGCACAAGGAGGCGGGAACCTCTTGTCAGGCAGAACGTGAATTAGTGTCAAAGTCCGCAAGCGTCGCGTCGCGTCGCAAAGACTCAGGATCCAGCACAGGGCCCACACGACCCGGGCAACGTGCCCGCCAGTGAGGTGTGGCAGACGGAAATGTCCGGCACGGTGATGTCGCTGTGGTCAGCACGGTTGCTTAGGAGTCACGAGTTGTCTTTGAGGATGCAAGGGGCCAGCCCAAGGACGTAAGAGCTAAGACTATAAAACTTTTTTTTTTAATTCTTTTTTGTTGATTTTTAGAGAGAGAGGAAGAGAGAGAAAAACACACGCCCCAGCTGGGGAATGAAGCTCACAACCTGGGCTCGTTTCTGAGTGGGGATTGAACCTGCCACCTTCTGGCGTACAGGATGATGTTCCAACCACCTGTGCTACACCGGCCAGGGCAAGACTACAAAACTCTCAAAAGAGAACTGGAGAAAGTGTCATGATATTGCATTCGGCAGTGATGTCTTGGACATGGCACCCAAAGCAAAGACAACAAAATTGAAAACAGATAAACTGATGTCCATGAAAATGAAAAACTTTTGTACATATTGGACACTGTCAAAAAAGTTAAAAACAACAACAACAAACATACAGAATGGACAAAAATATCTGCAAATCATATATCTTATTGGGGATTAATGTCCAGAAAACATAAAGAACTGCAACTTAACAACAAAAAGGCAAATAACCCAACTGGAAAATAGAGAAAAAGACTTGAATAGACATTTCTCCAGAGAAGACATCCAAATGGCCAAGCAGTACATGAAAAGACACTCAACACCCTTAATCATTAGAGACATGCAAGTCGAAACCACAGTGACACAAGTCACACCTATTATGATGACTTTTATTTTTAAAAAACGAGGAAGGAAGGAGAAGGAAGTGCGTGCTGGTGAGGATGGAGATAGCGGGGCCTCACACACTGCTGGCGGGGATACACAGCGGTGCGGTCGCCGTGGAAACAGTACGGCAGTTTCTCAGAAGTTAAGCACAGGATGACCATGTGACCCAGCGAGTCCACTTCTGGGTCTATACCCCAAACAATCTCAAGCAGAATCTCAAACAGATGCTTGTGCTCTAAGGTACAGAACAGCATCATTCACAGTAGCCACAAGGTGGAAGTAGTCTGAATGTCCATCAACAGGCAAATGAATTAACAAACACAAAACACACACACATGCACATGCATGGCATTTATTCTGTTTTTGAAAGTAAGGGTCGTCCTGGCCGGTTTGGCTCAGTGGTTAGAGCGTTGGCCCGCAGACCAGAGAGTCCCGGGTTCAGTTTCCGCTAAGGGCATGTACCTCGGTTGCGGTCTGGCCCCATCCCCAGTTGGGGTTGCATTGGTGGCAGCCACTTGATGTGTCTCTCTCATGTCAATGTTTCTCTCTCTCTCTCTCTCTCTCTCTCTTCCCCTCCTCTCCCTCCTGCTCTGTCTGAAGATAAATGCAAAAATGTCCTCAGGTGAGGATAAAACAAAAACAAAAACAAAAAACAAAAGTAAGGGTCTTCTGACACATGCTACAATACAGATGGACTTTGAAGACACTATGCTCAGTGAAGTAAGTTAGACACAGAGGACACCTACTGTATGATTCCACTTATATGAGGGACTGGGGAAGGTCAGATTCCTGGAGACAGACGGAAGGATGGTTCCCAGAGTCGGAGAAGGGGTGATGAATGACTGTTTAATGGGGACAGAGTTTTTGTCTGGGATGATGAAAAAATTCTGGAAATAGATAGTGGCGATGGTAACACAACATTGTGAATGTACTTAATGCCAATGAATTGCAAATTCAAATATGGTTAAGATGATACACTTTGTTATGTCTATTTTACCACAAGACAGAAGAAAAAAGCAATAAAGCAAGTGATTATTTCTAGCGATGACGAATACACACCTATGTGATGAATAAAAGTATTAAAAATGCAACTGAGGTGAGGAGAGAACCCAACGAAAGGGCGGTCGAGAGAAAGTCCCGACTAGCTCCAGAGAGCTGACAAAGGGCAGACGCAGACAGCTCGACAGGAGCCGCGGACACAAGCGACCGTGGGCTGTTTCCAAAGTTCTGTCACATCAGCATTGCAGACCGGCAGCACTGCCTTCCAGGGGAGAGAGGGAGCAGAAACGTGCTGGGGACAATGGCCCCAATGAAAGGACATAGCAAAGGGAGATCTTTTAGCAAAAAAAGAGCTGGTTTTCCTTAAAGCATGTCCGTGCACATGCACATGCACACCGCGTGAACTCAGAGCCATCATACACACAAAGCAAATATGACGTCTAATCGGCAGAATTAAGAAACAGCACAGTTTGTTAAAATGATGGAAAATAATAACAGGTAAGATGGGAAATGGTGAGAAAGCTACACTGAGCGGAGGTGCCTGTGTTAGTTTTAACTTGAGTCACTGTGAACTCAAATACACGTGCTCAAATTTCTGGGGCAACCCTTAAAAGAATAGAAATAGTATTTATAACTTTCAAACTAATAGAGGAAAAAATAGAACGGGGGTGAAAAAGCTAAAAGAATACAAGAAAGGGAAAAAGGAACAGTAAAAGTAGGACAAGTGGAAAGCACAAATCAGGACAGTACAGCTAAACCCAAAAATTGATTACAAAAAATGTAAATGGACTAAATTAGCAAGTTGAAAAGCAAAGGCTGTCAGAGTACGTTTTTTAAAAAAAATCCAGCTAGAAGCAGTTTATAAGAAATACACCGAATGTATAAGATAAAAGGAATGTTGAAAATGAAAAGGTGAGAAAATAATATACAAATACTAATCAAAGAATTCTGGAAATGGTATTAATATTAGTTTAAATATACTTTGTGGTAAAAAGTTTTACTAGAGCCAAAGAGGTTCACCTCATACAAGAGTTCACCCAAGAGGAAGATACAAGAATTCTAAATATTGGAAGAAAAAATGGCGGTGGAGTGAATGGAATAATTCTAAAAATCGTGTGCACGTATGCCTAATAACAAGTTTTAACAAATAAATACTGAAATGACCATCAAGAATTTGATGAATCCACCATCACAGGAGACTTCACTATAGTTCTCTCGGTCTTTGATTGAATCAGGCAGAAAAACAGTCAAATGAGCACAGGTGATTTGAGTGTGAGTGTGTGTGGATGTGTGTGACTGTATGACTGTGAGTGTGTATAACTTGTATGAGTGAGTGTGACTGAGTGTGTGCAACTGTGAGTGTGACTGAGTGTGAGTGCACAATTGTGTGTGTGACTGAGAATTGTGTGACTGTGTGTGTGGCTATGACTGTGTGTGCGTGATTATGAGTGTGTGGCTGTGTGTATGCGACTGTGTGTGTGACTGAGTGTGACAGTGACTTTGTGTGTGCGGCTGTGACTATGTGTGTATGTGATTGTGAGTGTGGCTGTGTGTGTATACGACTATGTGAATGTGTGTGACTGTGTGAGCAACTGTGCGTGAGCAACTTGTATGAGTGTGAGTGTGACTGAGTGTGGCTATGAGTGTGAGTGTGGTTGAGTGTGGGTGCACGGTTGTGAGTGACTATGAGTGTGTGTGTGACTGTGCGGCTGTGACTGTGTGCATGTGCGTGACTGTGAGTGTGACTGTGTGTGACTATGTGAGTGTGACTATGTGAGTGACTGTGTGACTGTGTGATTGTGTGTATGACTGTGAGTGTGACTGTGTGTGACTGTGACTATGTGAGTGAATGTGTGTGTGATTGTGAGTGTGTATGACTGTGAGTGTGTGTGTGTGTGTGCGTGAGCGGGATGAACATGACTGGAGAATATGTATGCTTTGAAGTCCACATGGAACATTTATAAGAAGGATCACCCCGGTGGCTACCAAGTCAGTCCTCACAAATATCTAAATTGGCAGTATACGGACTAAGCTCCTTGACTATAATTCAGCTAGGTTAGAAATCTGTTTAAAAGGATCACGAATCCCTGGCCGGTTTGGCTCAGTGGTTAGAGCATCATCCCGCGGACCAAAGAGTTGCAGATTCGATTCCAGTCAAGGGCACGTGCCTCGGTTGCAGTTCAGTGCCTGGCCCTGGTCGGGGTCGTGTGGATGGCAACCACTCGATGTGTCTCTCTCACGTTGATGTTTCTCTCTCTCTCCCACTCTATCTGAAGATAAAAATGGAAAAAAGTATCCTCGGGTGAGGATTAAAAAAAGATAATGAAAAAACTCCCAAATTCCAAGCTTTCTGAAATTAAAAAAAAACAAAAACAGCCTTCTAAAGAACTAAGTCAAATAAGTAATTATAACAGACACTCAAAAATGGCCCTGGCCGGTTTGGCTCAGCGGTTGGAGCGTCGGCCTGCGGTCCAGAGAGACCCGGGTTCAGTTCCCGCTAAGGGCACGTACCTCGGTTGCAGTTTGTCCCCGGCCCTGGTTGGTCATGTGGGTGACAGCCACTCAATGTGTCCCTTCACATTGATGTTTCTCTCTCTCTCTCTTCCTCTCTCTCCCTCCCGCTCTATCTGAACAAAAAATGGAAAAATGTCCTCGGGTGAGGATTAAAAAAAAAAAGATCAGGACTAAACCAAATAATGAGAAGACGACATATAAAAAAACAAAGCTCATGGAATGCATTGAAAACAGTACTTCAAGGAAAAGTTATGGTCTCGAATGTTTACATCATAAAATTTAAAAGGCTGAGAATTAAAGAGTGAAGCACTCCACTTGGAAATGACCCCAAGAAAGCAAAGGAAGGAAACTATAAAGATAAGAATAGAAATTAATGAGATAGAAACAAAAAATGCAACAGAAAGGTCCAACATGGCCAAGTGGGAGGCTCACTGACGGACGCCTGCAGGTGCACAGGCCGTCGCCGCTGTCGCTGTCACAGCCGTGGCCAGGCCGCGCCGCGGGCCCGGGCGACAGCTCTGTGGGACATGCCCCAGGGGAAGGCACAGGTTACCAGCGTGACCGAGAGGGTGCAGCTGGTGACAGAGAGAAGCCGGCACCAGGAGCTCCTCCCGGACAGCAGCCGGCCACGTGTCATGCAGAGTTGCAGGAAACGGAAGAGGCCAAACCCCCAACTTGTCTATAAGGCTTGAAAATAAGGTGATGGGAGATTAAAGTTCCACTTGGACGTGCTCCCAAGATGGGCCCGAGCCCCCAGACAGGGGCCACAAACCCAAAGCAGCAACATGGAAAAAGACAAGTTAGTTCCAAAGGAAAAGGTCATGTTCACGGGTGAAAGGGGAGACCCCCCCCCCCCGATTCTCTCTGTGGCTGCAGATGAGTGGTCTTTCCCAGCCCATGTGGGGTCGCGGGACGTCCTCGGGGCCGTGGGGCCCACTGTGCTTCGTGTTGAACGCTCCGTCTGAATCCAACGACACCGGCCACCACCTGCACGGCCCTGTCCCGGAGGCCTCGGCCAAGAGAGTGAGATGAGGCAAAGAAAGAAAAGCCAGGAGGCTGGGAAAGGACTGGAACCGTCCTCGTGTGCGGATGACACGCCCACGCGGAGAACCCCAGAACTGACAGGCAGTTTCGCAAGGTTTCCGGATAGGGGGTCGACCCAGAGGCGACCAGGAACTCTGGCCCTGCGGTTCCCGTGCCGGCAGGAAACCAGACTTAATTTATAAGCGACCAAAACGCCCAGTCCCGGGCGAAAGCTAAGGACGCGCAGGCTGGTGATCAAGGCTGTGAAACAGGTCGGAGCAGTCAGATCAATACTCACGCAGATGACCAGCTATGATAAGTGTTCCCCTGCACCCCAAACTCGGCGACAGCAGTTCCGAGCACCCCAGCTGTTTCTAGACCTCCGCAGGAGGAAGGAGGCCTGGCCCCGCAGGTCTCAAGGGGAACTAGCTGTCGGACAGGCCTTGAGCAGACTGGTGGGAGGGTCCCCCAAACCGCCTGGCCCGTGGTTGTGCTCATGGCCAAGATCCATTACAGAGGGCATGTGGGTGGCGGTGGTCATGCGACGTGACCCCCCACACCAGCAGCAGTCCATCCGGGACGCGCGGTCATGTCACCTCTGGCTGGCATGGACCCGGCTGCAGACTCCCGAAGGGACCGCTGGGTCCACACACGCCACCCCGTTGGGACAGTCTGGGGAGTGTTGTATCTGCGGGGGGCTGTTGACCAGCAGCTCCCAGATGCCGGATGAGGGCCAGCCTGGGGAGCAGGCCTTCCTGAGGACAGGGTCACACACGCTTGGTTTCCACACAAGGCTCCAGTGGCCGGTGGTCCCGTGAAACACTCCACCTCACCGGTCATCGCGGGAGGCCGATCGGCCGAGGACACGGCCTCATAGGACAGGCAGGACAGGGAGTGCGGACCGCACAGGCCAGGGCAGCGGCTGTGCTGCTGCTTGTCACCCGGCCACGCACAGGTGAAACTCTGGGTTCGGTTTCAGCCCCTCCAGCTCTGCGGCCCCAGGTCGCGGCTCCTTTGGGGGCAGACGCTGAAGCTTCTGGTCCCTCGTGCAGGGTGAGCTGGAGGGAGGCCCTCACGGGCTTCCCCGGCGGAGCCCCAGCGCCCTGACCCGTCGCTGACCGGAGCGTCCGGAGGTGGCGCGGGCTCGGTTGCTCAGACCTCTCCCACCGGAGGACCGATCCGTGGAAGACCGATTTCAGAACCACTGCTCAGGACTCAGTCTGCAGACCGTCCCTGGAGCTGCTCCGGCACTGACCCACGTCACAGGGGCCTCCCAGAAGAGAAGCCGCCGCTGTGTGTAAGCAGATTTCCTGACGGGGCTGTGGTGGCCACTGGGGGGCTGCAGCCATTGGGCACCGCGCCCACAGGTGGACTTCCTTCTCACTTTGGTTCCTGCGGAGGTGGCTGAGGCTCGGGTTTGGCCAAACCTTGGAGAGCCACCGGTCCTCGGTGACCACACCCCTGATCCGTGGCTCCCCATGCCCTCGGGCGCTGGGCACCTCTGGTCTGACGAATGGTCACCTTTCTGTTCTTGGACTAAGTGTCCCAGCTCCATCCAGGTCAGTGTGTTTACCTCGGCCCTGCCTCTGCCTCTTTCCCTCCACCCCTCACCCTGCAGTCTGTCCTCAGCTCTGCAGGTGTCCCGGGGCACGCAGCTCCCTCTGCTGCGACCTGGCGTCCCAGCCGTCACCACCAGGCCCTCGCACCTGCGTTTCTGTGCAGACTCCCACGCTTTTCCTGTCGTGACCTCCAAAACACCGACTGCCTCCGCCACGACCTGACTTCAAAGCCACCCCCATTTCAGGTACGTGTCCCAGCCGCCGCACTCGGGGGCCCAAGTCCGTGTTCTTCTAATGCTGCTGCAGCGTGTCACGTGGTCAGAGCAGCGCCACGGGGACTGGTCATGGGCTCCGTGTTCCGCTCGGGGCTCCTGCCGAAGCCCAGGTGCTGGCAGCTGGCCCCCGGGAAGCACCCGCTCCCAGGCTCTGGGGCGCCGGCAGGATGCAGCCCCTGTGGCCGCAGGACTGAGGTCCCGAGGCCCTGACGTGTGGCCTTTGATTCCGCCTTCCCTGTGCGTGGCTGAGGGCTCTGCGGGGACCGGGCCCCCTGAACAACTGCAGTGATCTGCCCGAGGCCGAGCTCCACAAGACACAGCTGCAGAGCCTTTCCCACGACGTGCAGTTCACAGGTGTACTTCGGGGGTAGGGCGAGGATCATGGGGTCAGAGCCTGCCTTCCACTTGCTGGAGACCCCAGGCACCCTCGGGGCCGGTGGGAAGACACTTCCTTGCTGGTTGCTGGGCCGCTTCGCCGCTGATGCCTGGAGCCCTCGGAAAGCCAGGCTGACACGCGTCTCCGCCCCAGTGAGCTGGACACAACCCTGGCTGGGGCAGGTGGGTTTTCTGCAGGGATGCTGGCCATCGCCACCCTGGGTGCAACCTTCCTTGGACACTGGGCCCAGGCCTCTGGGAGAGGTGGTCTGGGAGGGGCCAGAGACGGGGGAGACAGTGGACGTCCGTTCACATGTGCCAGGGGCCACGCAGGAGGTGGGGGTCCCACCCGGCAGGTTCTCAGGCCTGCCCCCCACAGCCTCAGGACATGGGGCTTGTCCGTTCTCCCAGCCAGGGCCTGGGGGCGGGGCCTCGGGCATGACTGTTCTCGGGCACTGACTGGAGACGGCTGCACAGGGCTTCGGACTCACGAGCAGCCCCGAGCGGTGTCTTGACCGTGTGCCCTCTGTGGTGTGAACTGTATCTCAACGCGCCTGTTAAAGACACTCACCATCCAAGTTCCAGCCCGACTTTGGAGACAGCTGCTCGGGTCCAGGGCAACTCAGCCCCCCCACTGGCGAGGGAGTGGGGGTCCCCCTGCCCCCACCGGGCTGGCGCCTGACTAGACAGCATACCCTTCCCTGTGCTGTGGGCCCTTTGGGGGTGCTGCTGGCCCGTGTCTCTCCCACCCAGCCAGGGTCTTGTGACCGTTTTGGTAAGACGTGCGTGAGGAACTTTATCTGACGAATGTGACCTGCACAGATAACCAGACAAGTCTGCGGAGAAGCAGAACCATGGTTCTGATCACCCTGACCCACGTGGTGGGTCACCCTGGACTGCCCTCCAGGGCTGGGTGTTTCTTCATGACCCTGGGGCGGGGCCCCCTCCCCCGTGGAGCCCCAGTGTGGGTGAGCGGAGCCCGCGTGGGCGTGAGGAGCCCGCGTGGGCGTGAGGAGCCCGCGTGGGCGTGAGGAGCCCCCGTGGGCGTGAGGAGCCCGCGAGTGACCGGTGCCGCATGGACAGCGCCCTGCACGCACGCCAGGCATCCACTCTGGTTTCTCAGAGAACAGAAGGGCTTACAGCCCTCAGCCTTTCCAGATGCCAAAGGGCACCCCGGGGACAGGACCGCCCAAGGGCTCCAGCCAGCAGACCCCAGCCCGGGCAGCCACCGCTGTGCCTGGGGCTCCAGGGGTGCCGTGCCCTCCGCCACTGCAGCGCCGCCCACACCGCCCGGGTCCCAGGACCCAGGACCCAGGACCCGGGCCGCACGGCCCCACTCACCTCGGCTGCCTGGCGGGGGCCCTCGCCGGGACCCAGCGCGAGCGCGTCCACGCCCAGACAGCGCAGGCTGCGTGCCAGCCCCTGCAGCATCCTGTCACACACCACGCGGAAGGCCCTGGCCGGGACCTCGGGCACCTGCAACAAGCCCTGCTCAGCACCTGCCCCGGCTCGGTGGGAGTGGGGGCCCAGGGCTGTGTGGTCGTTCTTTTAAAAAAATCTTTTAAAGTACTTTTTTCTTTATTGACTTGAGAGAGGAAGGGAGAGGGAGAGAGAGAGAGAAACATGGATGAGAGAGAACATGGATTGGCCGCCTCCTGCATGCCCCCCACTGGGGATGGGCCCACAACCTGGGCATGAGCCCTGACCAGGAATTGAACCAGCGACCTCTTGGTTGACGCTCAACCACTGAGTCATACCGGCCGGGCTGGTTGCTCTTTTTCAGAAAAACTTTATAAAGAGAATCGAGCAACATGAGCTCGATGCAGGAAACAGATAACATGACAGAGTCACCCACGCTGGACTCCAAGAGGAGCCTGCTTGGTTCCTGGGGGTCCCGTGTACTCTGAAGTGGGGTTCAGGGAACACGCTGGCCTGGTATCGGGAGGGGCTGGGACCCCCTGCTCCAGGAGGCTGCCCACAGTGTATCCCTTCTCTCTAGGGGGAGGAACCCAGGCCTCCCCCACCCCAGACCTCCACCCACGCAAGGTGCCTGTTTTATGGACAGTGATCCTCCTTCCGGAAAATCCTATGAAGGGACCCCGAGGGGCTCCAGTCACCTGCTGGGGTGGTGCCGAGGCCTCCTGGGGGCCTGGCGGCTCCGGGGCCCCCGACCTCTTGCTGTGCCCCAGCCTCGGGCTCCTGGCCAGGTCCCCCGACAGCTGGAAGCGGGCAGGCTCTCTGCACAGTGCCCAGTACACCTCCAGCAGACAGTAGGCATCGGCAGCTGGGTGGGCAGGGACCGGCCTTAGCCTCCTGCCCGGGAGGCCGGAGGTGGGCGCGGGGCGGGGCGGGGCGGGCGGGGTGGGGCGGGGCGCACCTGCGTACAGCAGCTGCTCCTCCCGCAGGGGCCGCCGGTCCCAGTTGGAGAGCTGCTGTGTCTTGTCCAGCGGCTTGCCCAGCACCTGCTGCACCAGGAGGCTGAGGCCCCGCGTCCCCTGAGCCCCGTCCACACGCAGGGCAGGCATGTCGGCCCGAATCTGCCAAGACAGGGCCCTCGGTGAGGCTGCCCGGGGGACCACCCGTGCCCTCGCCGCCCACGTGGGCTCTGGGGCAGCCCTGCACCCACAGCACTCAGTGCAGGGCCAGGACGCCACGGCCGCTGTGCGGGGTCTCAGGGCCAAGGCCACACACCGGTCAGCTCTGGGGCGGACTGACGTCTGAACCCCTAGGTCACGCCGAGAGCTCCTGGGGGAGCCAGAGCAGTGACCCCCCCCCCCCCCCGGGAAGGACCGAGAGGACAGACCCCACCCCACTGACCTGCCTGTGCACCCACAGCAGGTCCAGGCCTCCCTGCAGCTGCTTCTGCGCCTGGGCCAGGGCGGGGCAGGAGGCCCCCAGGCTCTTCAGGTCCCCTGCCATCCCGTAACCTGTGGGCAGGGGCCACTGGGCAGTGAGCACCTAAGGAAGGGGCCCTGCTCCACCAGCACCCTCCCTGGGCAGGCAGGGATGGGCAGGCGAGCACTGTGCTCACCCAGCTTGGTGATGGACGGGTCCGAGAGCAGCCGGGACACCAGTCGGGAGAAGGCCTGGGAGGTCCGCCCTCCTGCCGGCCGAGAGAGCGCAGGGAGGTCCAGCAAAAACACGCGGCCCTCCACGGCCACCTGCATGAGTGACGCCTGGGGTCGGCCCCCCGGGCAGAACGAGGGCCTCCACTCCAGGTCCATGCCGACCACCTGGCCGGGCTGCGGACAGAGGCAGGCCTGAGGGGCTGTGGCCAAGGACCAGAAGGGCACAGCCAGCCTGCCTGGCCCCCGAGGACCCAAGGCCAGGTGAGGTGCCTCTGCTGGGAGGGCGTGGCCACCGGTGAGCCCCCACACACGTGGGGCCGTCCCCCACTCCGCACAGAAGGGGCCAGGCCTGTGAATCAGCTGGTGCAGGTGCCCTGCCATGCGGGACGCCAGGGGACGAGGCAGGATGGACAGCTGAGTGCAGCGGGTCCTGTGTGGACAGAGCCCCCCGACCTCGAGCAGCAGCCCCAGCCGGTGACCCACCTGCAGGAGCTCCTCCTCGTGCCTGGCCAGGTCCTGCCACGTGGCCAGGAAGCGAACATCCTCCCTGGCGATGGGCAGCTGGTAGCACTGGCCCCTCGTGTCCTTGGAGGGCACCTCGGCCGTCCTGGAGGAGCACAGCTGTGGCACCTGGTGTCCCGGGGTCCCCCCAGCACATCCTGACCTGGCTGAGCGGGTCTGCCCTCCGGGGCTACAGGCCCTGGGGGTGCAGCTGGGCTGCTGGGCTCCCAGGAGGGACCCTTCTGTCTCATGCACTCTGCCTACCTGCCCTTTGGGGACGGGGGTGCCCCCCATTCCTGGCTTTCTCTGTGTCTAATGTCCAAACCACTCGCATATACAAGTCACGGAGCCACTTCCCAAGGGACAGGGACCCAAGGCATGTGCCCCTCGTCGGCCCCCAAGCCTGGGGTGCTCACCTCTCCTGGAGCCGGAGCCGGCGCAGCTCTGTGGCCACCGAGGCCGGCAGCTGGTCCTCGGGCAGGGACAGGTCCTGGGCACAGCGGGCAGCCATGGCCACGTCGGCCTGAGAGGCCAGCAACTGCTCCTGCAGCCACGGGCTAGGCCCCACCAGGCCCTGGGGACAGGGCAGGAGGTGGGCTGTGGCACCTTGCTCCGTGGGGGGCGCAGGGTGGGGTGCAGACAATCCCAAAGCCCCCAAGCCCAGCAGTGGCCCCCGCAACAGAGATGCTTGGGGTGACAGCCACTGTCCAGACAGGTCGACTGCCCCTGCCCTGCCCTCAGCCGAGGCCTCGCTCCCCAGGTCCACACCCTCACTCCACCCTGTTTGCCAGGACTGCCAACACCCCCTCCTCGGGCCACCAGGACTAAGACCTGCTCATCCTGTGGACCATGGTCAGACCCTGCTCCTCCCCGGCCCTTGACCCTCAACCCCTCTCCACTCCACGGGTGGCTCCCAATACAGCTGCCCTGTCTCCTGGGCGGCAGGCACCCTCGCCCCTGCTCTGGGTTTGCCACCATGCTCAGGAGAGGGGGAGGTCGTGGGACGCTCCTGAGCCCACAGTCCGGAGAGTGGACAGAGAGGCAGCCCTCGGGCAGCAGTGACCATGGGACCTCCCGGAGCTGCTCTCCAGTCCGCAGACTGCCCCCCACCAGTGTCCTGCGTGGAGCAGGGGCCTTCCCACCCCAGCTCGGCCCAGGGAGCCCCACCGGCGGGCCCAGCCGAGGGGCCCAGCCCTGGCCCAGGCCTCATGTCCGTGAGGTCACAGGCTGCTGCCACTCGGTGGGAAGGGATGAGAGTTGGGGTCCCCTGCCCTCCCCACCTCCAAACCCTGAGAGGCCCTGCTGGCCACCCCCACAGCCAGCTCTGCACCCCAGCGGCCTCAGACCCCCGGCTTCCCGCCGGCTGCAGGTCCCACGTGGACACAATATGTGGAAGCCTCCGCATTCCTCAGGATGTCCGCTGCCCTTCCGGCAGGCTCGGCCTTGGCACAGGGACTGGCCTTCCGGGCCTTGCCGGGGTCCGCGTTCCTCTCCGGTGACTCACCGTACTCCCCACACGGGACGCCAGGGGCAGCTCAGCACTGCCCCCCACTGGATGCCACGCAGGACAACAGAGTGTGCTGCCTGCCCAGGACAGAGGTGGGCGGTCCCGCTGACCGGGCCCTGCGCACGCTGCGCCTGGGGCCCCACGACCCCCTTCCTCCAGGACCACTCAGGGTCCCCCTCCGGCTCCACCTGAAGGACAGGCTGCTGCAGAAGGGGGGCCCTTTCTCCCACCGACCTGCAGGGGCCTTGGACCACAGGCCTGTCTGCACACACACACACACTTTCGGGGCACCCCCGCCCCTGCCCGGAGCGGGCGCCCCCACCAGGCTGGGCTTCCGCAGGCCACTCACCCGCACGTGGTCGGCCCAGCTCTCCTGAGACATGCTTCCCTGCAAAGGGGCCCCAAGGTCAGCTTCCAGCAGCAACCCCAGGTGCAGATGCCGCCTGCGTGGGCCCCTCCACCGCAGGCCCGGGGTCAGGCCTCTGGGGACACACGCACCTCCACAAACCGCTTGTAGCACAGGTGCCGCAGGGCCGCCAGGTGCCGCTGGCTGACAGCGTGGGGACACGAAGCTGAAAGACAGTGCGGCTCAGGCCCGGTCCGCAGGCCCCAGGGCCTCCACCCCACACTCTCCGACCCAGCATCACGGCCCCCTCCACGCCCCGAGGGGCCTGGGACACCAGTCCACAGATTCAAAAGCCCAATGAGCCCTGGCTGGTTTGGCTCAGCGATTAGAGTGTCGGCCTGTGGACCGAAGGGTCGTAGGTTTGATCCCCAGACCGGTCAGGGTCGTGCAGGAGGCAACCAATTAATGTGTCTCTCTCACACCCATGTTTCTCTCTCCCCCTCCCTTCTCCCTCTCTCTTTTCCACTCAATCTAAAAATCAATGGAAAAATATCCTCAGGTGAGGGTTAACCAAAAACAAATCCAAAGCAAAGTGAGGAAAAGGAAATCTGTAACTAGCGTCCTTGCAGTGAAGCGCTGAGCCCCAACCCACTGAGCCCCGATCTGCTGAGCCCCGACCTGCTGAGCTGAGCCCTGAGCCGCTGAGCCCCAACCCACTGAGCCCCGACCCACTGAGCCCCAACCCACTGAGCCCCGATCTGCTGAGCCCCGACCCGCTGAGCTGAGCCCTGAGCCGCTGAGCCCCAACCCACTGAGCCCCGATCTGCTGAGCCCCGACCCGCTGAGTCCCCACCTGCTGAGCCCCGATCTGCTGAGCCCCGACCCGCTGAGCCCCAACCCACTGAGCCCCCACCCGCTGAGCCCCCACCTGCTGAGCCCCGATCTGCTGAGCCCCGACCCGCTGAGCCCCAACCCACTGAGCCCCGACCCACTGAGCCCCCACCTGCTGAGCCCCAACCCACTGGGCTGAGCCCTGAGCCGCTGAGCCCCGACCCACTGAGCCCCGACCTGCTGAGCCCCGACCCGCTGAGCCCCCACCCGCTGAGCCCCCACCCGCTGAGCTGAGCCCCCGCCCGCTGAGCCCCTAAGCGCTGAGCCCCGCCCGCTGAGCCCCGACCCGCTGAGCCCCGACCCGCTGAGCCCCCACCTGCTGAGCCCCGACCCGCTGAGCCCCAACCCGCTGAGCTGAGCCCTGAGCCCCTGAGCCCCAACCCACTGAGCCCCGACCCGCTGAGCCCCGACCCGCTGAGCCCCGACCCGCTGAGCCCCCACCCGCTGAGCCCCAACCCGCTGAGCTGAGCCCTGAGCCCCTGAGCCCAACCCACTGAGCCCCGACCCGCTGAGCCCCGCCCCCGACCCGCTGAGCCCCCGGCCGACCCGCTGAGCCCCGACCCGCTGAGCCCCAACCGGCTGAGCCCCCACCCGCTGAGCTGAGCCCCCGCCCGCTGAGCCCCGCCCGCTGAGCCCCACACGGCGAAGGCTGTCTGAGCAGCAGAGGGAAGAGGAGCAACAGCTTTCTGAGAGGCTGAATTCCTCCCGACGATACGTCCCAGCCCATCCAAGGTCTCAGGATGCACGGTCTCTGACCACGATGAGATGAACACACCAAACCCGACAGACGACAAAATGTCACGTGGCTTGGAAGCAGAGAAGCACATTTCTAACTAACCCACGGGCAAAAGAAGAACAAAGTGTGGCTGAAACTGGAGCTGAACGGTAACAACGATACTGTACGTTGAAACGTGGGATCTGGTCAAGCAGCGGAAAGGCTTGACCTTTAGTTTGGCGGGCAGGTGAGGCGCACACCAGGCGGGAACGAAAGAGCCCAAAGCAGGGCAACAGAAGCAAACGTCAGCACGTGGGACCACGCCACGCCAACCTCTGTGCCGCACAGGAACACGCTGGAAAGTGAATGGGCAGCCCACGGAGCGGGCGAAAATATGTGCAGGTCACGTATCGGATAAGGGTTAGGACCCAAACCATATAAGGAACTCATACAACTCAATAACAAAAACAAAAACACGCCCCCTACACGCACAAAAACCACTAAATAATCTGATTTAACGACGGGCAGAGGAATGAATAGACATTTTTCTGAAGAAGACACCCAAGCAGGCCACAGGAACGTGGAGAGATGCTCTGCATCACTAGTGATGAGAGAAATGCAGATGAAAACCACAGTGAGATGTCCCCTCGCACCTGTTAGAATGACCGTCACCGGAAGACAAGAGACAGCTGTTGGTGGGGGTGCAGGACAGGGGACCCTCGCGCCTGACGGTGGGAATGCAGACTGCCGAGCCACTGAAATGGTACGGAGGGTCCCCAGAAAAATGAAAAGTAGAATGACCTAGGACCCAGCAATCCCAGTTCTGGGCATTTGTTTGGAGGAAATGAAATCAGTGTCTTGAAGAAATAGCTGCACCCGTGTCCACTGCAGCCTGATTCACAGCGGTCAAGACACAGAAACAACCTGCGTGTCCATCAGCGCCCAGTGGATACAGAGGTGGAACACAGAGATGATGGAATATCACTCAGCCTTTAAAAAGAAGGAAATCCTGCCCTGGCCGGTTTTCTCAGTGGTTAGAGCGTCAGCCCAAGGACCAAAGGGTTCGAGTCCTGGTCAAGGGCGAGCGAGTACCTGAGTTGTTGGTTCGACCCCTGGCCCCAGTGGGGTGTGTTCGAGAGTTGACCAATCGATGTATCTACACATCAGTGTGTGTGTCTCCCTCTCCCCCCACTCCCTCCCTTCCACTCTACCTAAAAATCAGTGGAAAGCCCGGCCGGCATGGCTCAGTGGCTGAGCGTCGACCCTGCACCAAGAGGTCACCGGTTTGATTCCCAGTCAGGGCACATGCCCAGGTTGTGGGGGGCATGCAGGAGGCGGCCAATCGATGTTCTCTCATCGATGTTTCTCTCTCTCTCCTTTCCTCTCTCTAAAACCAATAAAGAAAAAATATTTAAAAATAGATAAATACAAATCAATGGAACAAATATCCTCAGGTGAGGATGAACAGAGAGGGAGAGAGAGAAGACTTCCGGGAGCCACGCCCAGAACGGGAACCGAAGTTAACAATACCCGCATCGCATACGGGCTGAACGTCTTCACACGAGAAAACAAGATAACTGTGTAGGTGACGGATGTTTGCTCAACTCACTGTGGTGACCGTTTCACAATATACACAAATATCAAACCATTACGTTGCGCACCTAAAACCAGTGCGATGTTACAGGTCAATTATATCTCAACTTGGCAGAAAAGCCCAAAGCTAGTTCTTTGGAGAAGCCAACACTTCAAGTGCGGTTGATGGAGGGAGATGAAAAGGGAAGAGAGAAGGCCCCAGAGGCTGCCAGGTGGCGCGGGGTGTCACGGCCCCGGTGACGGCTGTCCCCACGGAACCGAAAGCACCTGGGCTGGGCTGTGTCAGAGGTCACGGTCCCACGAGCGGGGTTGGTGCGCAGGCCATTTGTACCCCTGGGGAAGAAATCACCCGTCTCAGGCGACCTCAGAGGACAGCGGGGCTGTGGTCACTCCCTTCTCAGAGGCCGGCTGAACCTCGTGCACACCCGGACTCAGACACCCCGGGTCCGCCGCGCACACAGACGTGGACATCACACGGCCTGGCGGTGGCGTGGGCGGACCTGCAGCCTGGCAGGCAGGCTCCCCAGGGATGCAAGGCTGGTATGACACAGAAGGTCAGTTAAGGAGCCATAGTCACAGTCCCGACACCTGTGGTCTGGAAAAGCACCTCACCCTGGGAGATGCAGGAAAGGTCTGTGACAAAATTCAACACCATCCCTGACCAAGTCTCAGAACACTAGGACTCAGACAGAATTTCCATGATCTAGTAAAGACTTTGCCTTTGAGATGAACCAAAGAGAAGGGTGCCTGTGGTCACCCTGGGGAGGAGGGAAGAGGAGGGGGAGGGGCATGGGGGAGGGGCACAGTGCAGGTGCAGCCTTGGTGGTCCTCACCCAGAGGCCCAGCCTCCCAGGGGTCCCCCAGGTGGGCAGAGGGCTCACAGGTGGCTGCTGCTTGGTGACCAGGCCCGGGGCGGGCTGCAAGGGGGAGCAGGCAGTAGACAGGAAGGTGTCACCAGGGCCAGTGGGTCCTGAGTGGCCTGAACCCGGCAGGCAGCACAGCCCTGGCACCCCTGGGTGCGCAGCCGGGCGCTGCACGGTGCAGGTGCGGAGCCTCGCTCACCTGGGTCCAGGCCGTAGCGCTCCAGGAGGCGCAGGACCTGCCGGCTCAGCACGCGGGGGCTCAGCTTCTCCAGCCTCAGGGAGGTCACCTGCGGGTACCGCCTGCAAGAGAGACATGGCTCCAGCCAGCACTGCTTTCTCTTTGGGTGAATCTTCAAGATTTCCATTTCCAGCGAAGTCAGAAGAGCAGTGTTAAGGTCAGGTGGTTCTGCGAGGCGTATAGAAAAGGCAGTGAGGCACCGTACCCCGGCGCCAGCCCCTGCGCGAGCAGCGCCTCCGAGCGCCACACCTGCTCCGGGACCTCACTATCCAGCCTGTGGGCGTCTGACCTCAGCTCCCCTCCCCGTCCTCCCCAGTCAGGTCAGAATATCACAACCGTGCTAAGCACATTCTCCTCAAGGGGTTAACATCTCTCGGGGTTTGTCCTGGGGACTGAGCCCGCTTCACCCCAGGTCAACACAGGTGAACAGGGCCCCTGCTCTGCCAGCTGCGGGCTGCTCCCCGGGCCCCTGCCCATCGGGGTCCAGGATAGCCGTGCCCTCTCCCCCTGCCAGGCTGCAGACCCCACTACGTTCCCACAATCGGGTTGTGGAGTGGTACTGGAGATGGTCCGAGACTTGTCCTGCAGCTCACCAGACGGGCTGAGCCAACACTGGGCTGCAGTAACCCCAGACCTGAGCAGGCGCTGCTCTCGGAACCCCCTCTAGCTCCTGTTCGCTCTGGTTTTGAGGGTTCTGGGTTTGAGGGCTCTCAGCCAGTGTGGGCATCTCTGGCCTCTCCCAGCCTGGGGAGGGGCTGCACGAGCTCCACGCTGGTCGCCCTCCTGTCTTCCTGGAATCCCTGTCGCTTGGCTATTGGACCTTCTTGAGAGAATGTCTAATCTTTTTCATCTTTCTCTCCAATGTTGCTTCTCTTGATTTGCTCTGTAGTATTTTGGGAAGGCGTCTTCACGGGCGTCTTCGAAGCGCTGCATCACGCTCCTCACTGGCGGCCGGCTGCAGCCCGTGCTGCGGGGCCAGGTCCCTTGTCAGGTGACAGCGCTTACTGCGTGCAGGGTCTCTGAGGGTCTGCTCCTGCCTCTGCGTGGTCCGTGCACGTTTTCCGGCTCCCGCGAGGCCCGAGGCCCGCACCCTGGCCGTGCCGTCCTGCCCAGGAGGTGATTTCAGGGCTAGTCCAGAAACAGACTCTCAAATTCCCGTGCAAATGCAACGGTCTAGAAGGGGGGACACGCTTGGAATCCTCGAGACACGCGACTACCACAGTCAGAGCGTGTGGTACTGCGGGTGGTGGACGGGCTGGGCCAGACACACGCACGGACCCCGGACAAAGGCACCAGGAACTGGGGGAAGGACAGTGACAGCTAATGCTGACGGAACAATTAGCCACCATGTGGGAAAAAAAGAACTGAAACCCAGACCCATCTAATAACCAGTCACCACCCTGGCCAGTGTGGCTGTGTACTTAGAGCCTCGGCCCACACACCAAAGGGTCTCGGGCTCAATTCCTAGTTAAGGGCACGCACCTGGGTTGCAGGTTCAATCCCTAGCCCCGCATGCGCAAGAAGCAACCAACTGATGTGTCTCACACTGATGTTTCTCTCTAAAAAAAATCAATGGAATAAATACCCTTGGATAAAATTTTTTTTTTATCCTCACCCGAGGACATTTCTCCATTTTTTGTCCAGACAGAGTGGGAGGGAGAGAGAGGAAGAGAGAGAGAGACATCGATGTGAAAGGGACACATCAAGTGGCCGCCACCTGCATGACCAACCAGGGCTGGGGACAAACTGCAACTGAGGTACGTGCCCTTATTAGGAACCGAACCCGGGTCTCTCTGGACTGTAAACCGATGCTCCAACCGCTGAGCCAAACTGGCCAGGGCTCGTTGGGTAAGGATTTTTACAAAAGGAACTGCCCGGCTGGCATGGCTCAGTGGCTGAGCGTCGACCCTGCACCAGGAGGTCGCCAGTTCGATTCCCGGTCAGGGCAGATGCCCAGGTTGTGGGCCTGATCCCTGGTGGGGGGCGTGCAGGAGGCGGCCAACTGATGTTTGTCTCTCTCCCCTCTCCCTTCCTCTTTCTCTAAATCAACAAAGAAAAATAAATAAAAATTTAAAAAGGAACCATAAAGACCTAAAATGATAAAACCTTTAGAAACAAACAGAACGTGCTCGCACCGGTAAGCTAGGGGAAGCGCCTCAATGTCCTTGAGGGACAGACGGGACTTCGAGAGTGAACTTGTTCTCCGAAAGACGCCGACAAGGAGACCAGGTGAAGTGCCCCCGCACGCGTCCGACCCGGGCCTCCAGCCCAGGCTGTCTTTCTTACGCTTGATCTTGGCCAAGAGGCGGAGACGCGATCAGTCTGTTCTCAAATCTCTCAAAACGCAGCCGTATGAAAACCACAAACAATTTTAAAAACACGCACAGATGCAGCCCCCCGCCCGCGGAGCAGCGAGCGCCGGCCAGGGAGCCCCGAGAACTCGCTCCGTGTCACCCGTGGCCGTGGAGACGCAGGGAGGGGACTCGGGCGGCGTGACAGTGTCTGCGGGGAAACACGCAGCTGCCCTGCACGCGGCCATCGCCCTCCTGGGTGCCCACCCGCGGAGTGAGGGCCGAGCCCACGCGGAGGCCCGCAGCAGCTGTACCTCCAACGGACACCGGGAGCTCCCGCGGCAGGTGGCACCGCCCTCTGCACCTGCAGCGCCGCCTCCACACCGTCCGGGCACCGAGGGCCGGGGCGCGGGCGCGGTGGGTCCGGGTGGTGCGGACGCCGCATGGACACGCCCGCTCCAGACACGCAGCTTACTGCGCAGCAGTCCCACTCGGCACATTCGCGGGCTGTGACTCTTTCCCCGTGGTATCCTCGGCCCGGTTCCGGAAGTCCCCGTCCACTTGTCGTTTGCTGGGGACTTTCACCCCAACAGCTTTGGGGTGTTACCGTCTTTTTCTACAGGTGTCGAGATGCTTCTGTGGTTTGCTGTCTAAACTGTTACCGGGGTGGATTCCGAGTGGTTTTTGAAGGGTAAACCACCCTTGCATTCCTGGAGTAAATTCTCCTTGATCATGGGGCACTAGCTTCCTAAAGAAATAAACTTTGCTTTTTTTATTGCAGTTTTGGGTTTGCCGCAAAACTGAGCAGGGAGCACCGAGGTTTCCCAGGTGTCTGCTCCCCGCCATCAACGCCTCCAGGGGGTCCATGTGCTACACTCGATGGACCCACACTGCACCTCACCTTCACCCCAGCCCACAGCCATCGGGGTCACTCTTGGTGGGGTGTTCTGTGGGTGGGGACAGACATGGGGTGACGTGTCCATTGTCACAGCGTCACACAGAGCAGCTTCACTGCCTGAAAATCCTGTGCCCCCCACTCCCCAGCCCCCCACCGTTCCGCTGTCTCCAGTCTGTCCTCCTCCAGACAGACGGAGCTGCAGTCACAGCGTGAGGCCTCGGCAGTCTGGTTCTCAGAGTCACAGGTAGGTGAGGCTCCCCTGTCTGCACGGCCTCGGCCCAGGTCTCTACTGCCGAGTAATGTTCTGGTCTGTCCTCCGTCCCCTACGGACGGGCGCCGTGGTGGCTCCCAGGTGTTGGGCGATTCTGAGCAAGGCTGCTGTGCACACCCGAGTGAAGGTGTCTGTGTGGACGAGGTGCTCAGCTCCTTTGGGTAAAACACCAAAAAGCACCATCGCTGGGTCCTGTGGTTAGAGGTTTGGTTTGTAAGAACCGGAGAACCTGCCTTCGGAAGTGGCTGCACCGCCCGCAGCCCCACCAGCAGGGGGCGAGCGTTCCGCTGCTCCCTGTCCTCCAGCCGCCGCGTTGCCCTGCCCGGGGTCTGCCCGGGGTCTGCCCCGGGTCTGCCCTGGGTCTGCCGCTCTGACAGGCCTGTGGTTGCTTCTCCTTTCAGGTTTCACTCCTCTGATGACATACGATGGAGCATCTTTTCACGCCCTCACTTGCCATATTTTTAAAATTCTCACCCGAGGATATGTATTATTGATTTTAGAGACAGAGTAAGGGAGGGAGGGAGGGAGGGAGAGAAACATGGATTGGTTGCCTCCCTTACACACCCTCACCAGGGATGGAACCCGAAACCTGGGCACGTGCCTTGACCAGGAATCGAACTGGTGACCTTTTGGTGCACAGGACAACGCTCAACCGACTGAGCCACACAAACCAGGGCTGCTTCTCATTTTTTTCTTCTTTTTATTTTTAATCCTCACTCAAGGATATTTTTTCATTTATTTTCAGACAGAGTGGTAGGGAGAAACATTGATGCAAAAGAGACACAGTGACTGCTTGTTTACCACATGACCCTGACCAGGGCCGGGGACGAACTGCAACCAAGGTACGTGCCCTTGACTGGAATTGAACCCAAGACTCCCTGGTCCTCAGGCCGACGCTCTGACCACTGAGCCAAACCGGCCAGGGCTCTTCTCAGTTTAACTCTAGAACGTGTAAGTCGATTTGACCGCTAATATTTTGTTCAGTATTTTTGTATCTATGTCTTTGAGGTACACAGACTCTACTTCCCTTTCTCCTCGTGTCTTTTTCACGTTCTCTGGGTGCTCCTGTGACCGCCTGCAGCGACTTCCTCCGCAACTTTGAAAGAATTCACCAGCGAAGGCATCTGGTCCGAAGTCGTCTTCACAGTCAAGTTTTAAACTACACGTTTGATTTGTTGAGTAGGTATAGGACTATTCGAAGTTTCTGTTTTTTCTGGTATCAGTTTTGGTAAGTTTTGTTTTCCAAGAATTTGACCTACCCATCTACACTCTCGGTGTGTGTGTCACTGGCGTCTCTCCTGACCACTGAACGTCTGTGGGGCCCGAAGCGATGCCCTTTCACCGCTGATGAAGGTCATTTGCGTGTTCTTTCCTGGCACGCCCCACGGCCCGCACCAGCCATCATCCCGGGACTTCACGGGTGACTGCCGGCCGCTCGGCTGCACAGCTTCCCTCCCGCCTCCGCTCGCTCGGACCACCCGGGCAGTCATGCCGTCCCAGGGCGGCTCTTATTCCCAGTGTGTCCGCCAAGGGGCCCTGGTTCCTTTCCCTGAGCACGGTCCTCAGGGCCCAAGACCTGGGAGCCGGGGTGTGCGCCCTGTATGGTGTCACTGCCTCCAGGCCCTGTCAGGGCCCAGACTGGGAAACGTTAACTCACTCACACCCATTCCCACAGTCACATCTGACTCCCCACCCGTGTCTCCCCTTCACATCCACCCCATCACTGCTTTGCTCTGTGTCACCCTCTTTCTGAATACATAGCAAGAGCGAGGACAACAGACGCCACCTGTGCCTGCCTGGTGCCAGGTGCGCCCTGCAGCTTCGTGTGTGTGATGTCACAGCCACCCTTGGGGACCGGCAGAATGCGCCCCATGTTTGGGGAGAGGAAGCAAACCCAGAAAGTGACCGTGCGCAGGCCACTGCTCCAGGGGACAGTGGGTCCAACGACCCTGCTGGGAGTCTTGGGTCAGATTATCAAGTGAGACCCCGGGCTGCGTGGAGAGGTGGCCTAAGAGCCGTCCCAGACTCTGTGTCACCCTGGGGCCACCCCAGACGCATCCCTGTGCCCCACCTTCTAGTGACACCTTCGTATCTCACACACACGTGTACACACTTGTGCACACACATGCACACAGATCCGCTTGCTCTCTGTGACTGCCGGGACGGCCGACGCAGCGCACACTCCACGAGGAGAAGACCAGATGGGCGCGGTGCCAGGGCAGTTAGCGCCCTCACACAGTTCCTGCCAGTGTCCGCCTCTGGGCTCTGCACGCAGCCCCTCGGAGACCTTGTTCCCCCACAGGACTCACCGGGCGACAACACTGATGTCAAGGCCGGGCTGGCACCAGGAGTCCATGAGGGCCAGCAGCCTCCTCTGGAGGTCCGGGAAGCCGTCCACGTAGCGCTCCACGAGGTTCACCTTGTCCTGCAGGAGCAGGGGGGCACTCATCTGCCGGAGAGGATACCCTCAGGCTGGAGACCCTGACCCCCACCCCCACCCCCCCGCCCCGGTGCAGGAAGCGCCAGAACCAGAGGGCCTCGCGGAGCTCGGAGGCCAGCACGACAGCCCCCCGTGGAACCCGCACACCCCAGCTCAGAGTGCGGTGTGCTCACCCAGCACTGGTGTCCGAGCCCCTGTGCACACAGCACACACTTGCATGAACCACACCTCACACGTGAATGCGCGCGCACACACACACACACACACAGGCCCCCACCGCTCCCTGGGCTTTGTCCCTGCAGCTCTGTGACTGTTACATCTCCATGACGAAGCACTGGAGGCCCACCACCGGCAGTGGGCCTGGAAGCCCAGACACACCTCACCGTGGGCAAGGTGCAGTGCCAGCCCCTGGCCTGGCTCACGACCACAGACCTCCCAGTTGCCCAGGTCCTTCAGGAGGCCCTGAGGGAGCCCCTTGCTGTGATTGGGCCTGGGCAATGCCACATCCCCCTGCAAGAATCAGGACTCAACAAAGGCCCTCACTCCCTTCAGCTTCCCCCAAGCAACCTCGTAGGTCAAGCTGTCTGGATCTGACTGGACGGGGTGCCCCTCTGGCCCCCTTGGGCAGAGGAAGGCTGGCTTCGTGGCTCCTGGGGATGGCCGCTCTGAGCACGTTATGCCAAAGCCCGCTGATGGCTCAGTCCCCTTCACACAGTCGGGTGGTCACATGTGACTCCTGTCCCCCGTGGGGAGCAAAGCCCAGGGCTCAGAGGTGGGAGCTGCCTGCCTGCCTGCCAGACCCGGGCCGCATCCTGGCTGGAACCTGACATTCACACGAGAAAGACACTCACCTTCTCAAGGTCAAGTTCTGGCTGCAGCCGCAGCCTCGTGCCCAGCGTGACAGCCTGGCAAACACAAAGGAGCGGTTACACTGGCTGGGGGCAGGCAGCCATGGTGGGGCTCCTGCCCCTCTGCACAGATGCCTGGCCACCACCCGTCACTGCGGGCACAGCGACGGGGGCTGTTCAAGTCCAGCCTGTGGTGTCCTGGCAGACAAGGCCCCTGCACTGAGCCAGACTCCACAGGGGGCAGGTGGGAATGACCCATGCCTCCCAGGCTGGGGCACGGCCTGCACGGGGTCTGGAGGTGGGTGCTGGGCCCAGGTGGCCCCGACCAGGGCCTGCTGATGAGTGGGCAGAGGATGGGGGTGGGGGCAGACAAGAGGCAGAAGGCCAACCCCGCAGCTGGCCCTCAGACAGGGCCGCGGCTGGACCGGACCTGACCCCAGGCCACTCAGTGAGAACGCGCCAGCCCTGAGCTGCAGCACGTAGCGCAGGCCGAGCTATTAATACTTTCCATACGTCGTGCTCCCATTATGAGCAAAAATAACCGCCGGGGCAGCCACCCACCCTGCACGGCTCACAGAAAGGACCAAAATAGCGGCCTGGGAAAGGCTCACTCAGGCCTCCAGCCGGATCTAGAGGGGGTGCAGGCCGGGGCCCTTCCCTGTGTAGCGCTGACCCAGTGCCTCCACAGCCTGGCCAGAGTCCAGGAGCTGGGCCTCCACCAGCCTCCCCGGGACCCAGGGCAGGGAAAGGGGGCATAAGGTGGGAGGGTGGGGCCTAGGGCCAGGGGAGGGGGCACAGGGCTAGGGGAGGGGGTACAGGGCCGGGAGAGGGGGCACAGGGCCGAGGGAGGGGGCACAGGGCTAGGGGAGGGGGCACAGGGCCAGGGAGGGGGTACAGGGCCGGGAGAGGGGACACAGGGCCAGGGGAGGGGATACAGGGCCGGGGGAGGGGACACAGGGCCGGGAGAGGGGGGCACAGGGCCGGAGGAGGGGGTACAGGGCCGGGAGAGGGGACACGGGGCCGGGGAGGGGGCACAGGGCCGGGAGGGGTACAGGGCCGGGAGAGGGGACACAGGGCCGGGGGAGGGGGCACAGGGCCGGGGGAGGGGGCACAGGGCCAGAGGAAGTGTTATTAGCCTGCAAGTACGCAGGTCCAGCTCCTTTGAGGACAAGACTTTATCATCCTTCAGGCCCCAGCCTTCTGTGGGCCCCACCCGTCCAAAAACCCTCTGAATCCCGGAGCGAGGCCTCAGGCCTAGTGGAGGTGGCCTGGGATGGTGGCCTGGGCGGCAGGTGGTCAGGAGAGGGTCACACACTGGCTGGGCACTGCCCCGCCCTGTTCTCCAGCCCCCAGGCTCCCCCTTCTCTGCCGGCCAGGACTCCCTCCCCCCGAGGAGCCAGCAGCATCCCAGGGGCCTTCGGTGTCCACCCAGCCCGCTTGCCCACTGCCCTGTGGCCAGGGCCCTCTGCACGGGGGGTGTCCAGTGCTGTGGCCAGGGTCCTTGGCGCGGGGGTGTCCAGTGCTGTGGAAAGGCGGGGCCAGTGTGGAGGGCGGGCCGTGCCCAGAGCTCAGGCCTCACTGGGGGGGTGCACACCCTACGTGCCGCACAGGGACACGATCAGGAGGATTTCCCGCCCTCCCCCGGTCTCCCCAGAGCAGCCAGCCTTCTGGCCAGAACAGAGCCCTCCACGCGCCCAGGGTGCCCTCTCCCGGCCAGGCGGCCCGCGTGGATGCTCCGGGGTGTGGCCAGCGAGCCTGGGCTGGAGGCCATGGGCACCCCAGGGACAGTTTAGGAGCTGTCCTTGCTGAGCAGCATGGCCTCCGGGCTCTGCGAGGCTGGGCTGGGGGAGGGCACAGGTACGGGACACGGCGCCCTGACTCCATCTGGGGGGCCACAGTGACCTGGGGGTGCAGTTGGCAGCTGAGCCACCTCCTCCAGGGCAGACCCCGGCTGCCTGGTGTCTGGGTCGGGGGATTGCGGGAACCTTACAGACTGGCCCCCGAGCTGCTGCTTTTGGGGAAAATAGCAGAAAGCCCAGAGGCGCCAGGGTGGCCACGTGGGCAGAGGGTCCCCAGAGCCCCTGGGCTGCCTGCTCCAGTGGCCTCGGACCCCAGGACGGGCCTGCCTCCCACCTCTGTGGCGTGGCTGGGCCTGGAGCCAAGCCCCCCCCCCCACTTAAAGCAAAGCTATCTTTTTACCTTAATAAGCTGTTTAAAAAATGTAAATAAAATAACTCAGGAGACAAAAGCGGGCATTCATGCCGCCCAGAGCCAGCCGCCGCCTGGACATGAAATACCGCGTCGCATTAAGTCGGGTGCCCGCTGATCCGAGCACAGGCCTGAATGCGGCCTCGGGCGCGGGCACTGGAGCGTACACCGCCTGCCGCGGCCGCGGGGACAATGGCTGCCCTGCGCAGGAGCCGTGCGGGACAGAGCCCCTTTGTGTGGGGACCCTGCCTCGGGGCGCGAGGGCGGTGCGCCGGCCCAGACACCCTTTGAGAGCCCGCGTGTGACAGAAGACGGAGCACCGGCCTGTCTTCTGCGTCCTGCATTCTTCACAGGCGCGGCCCGTTCAGCCCCCCGAGAAGGGCCTCACGCCCGGAGCGGCCGGCCCCACATTGTCCCGAGTGGCCATCTTGGTGTCTCAGAGCCATTCACCAGCCGGCAGACGAGAGCCCGACCGGTGGGGTGACAGGGACGAGGCGCGGCCGAGCTGCCCACACCTGGCACACACCTCTGAGCCCGGCGCCCAAATTCCACTGAGCCTCCCCTCCGGGACGCGGGCCCACGCGGGGCAAGTGTCCTGGCTGCCGCTGTCCCTGGTCAGGCTCATCTCGGACCCAGGCAGCTGTGGCTTTGGTGAGCAGGGCTGAGACTCAGCGCCAGACCCCGGTTCCTCCCTGCACGGGACGCCCCCCCCCCCCGCCCTCGTCCCTGCCGGCTGGGCACAGGTCCCACCACTCCCCACGCTGGCTCACTGGTCACCGCGAGGAGCCTCGGGCTTTCCTGCGCCTGCAGCAGCGGCTCAGGGCCACGGCCCAGGGCGCCTCCCGTGCTCGCCGCAGGCCTGCCACTCCCTGTGGCCTCCCTCGAACCCGGGTCACTCCTGGGCCCCTGGCCAGACTCCCGCTTTCCCTCAGAAGCTCCTTGTTACAAAGGAGACGGAGCAGACCCAGGTCCCATTGCCCAGCCCCACTGCCTTCCCACAGCAAGGGGGCAAAACCACCCCCCTCTCGGGCACCAAATGCACAGCTCGGACTGGGCACTCGTCACCGACACGACCCCCAGTGCCAGCACCGTGCCCCTCGCTGAACTTCCGCAGGTAACACGACCGTGATGCTGGGGGCCGGCCTGGGGCGCCAGTGCGGGCGGGTGCGAGTCTTGCCTGAGCCTGGTGCCGGGAGCCCACAGCACCCTTGGTCACCACCGCCGCCTGACCCAGTCCAAGCCACCCTGCCAGCACGCAAGAGGGGGCACCACCCACAGCGCAGCCCCTTAGCACCCAGGGCTCTGGGGTGGGGGTGGGGCTGCTCCTGCAGATGTCGAACAGACTCGGTCACTGACCAGACCAGCTGTGGGAACAGGAGCACAGTGGCCAATCTCCAGGCGGGTGGGGACCTGACACGCCCAGTGACCCTGACACACAACTTCTGGGCAGAGCCGGGTGTCCCCGTGCTGGACAGAGCGCAAGGACCACGGCACCACGAGGTAGACCTGGGCACAGCCTGGGGCTCCCGGGACCCCGACATCAGGCATGGCCTCGAGCTGGGTCCCCGCACGGCTGGTCTCGTGAGCCACCCCCGCACCCCCACAGTGGAGGGGTGGAGTCCACGAGGGGCCACACTCACTTCCTTGAACCTGCCCTCCTGGTGGAGCCCGTGCACATGGGCCAGCAGGTGGCTCCGGTCTGCATCCCGCAGCTGGAAGATGCTGACCAGCGGCTCCACAAGACTGGGGGGACACTCAGCCAGGACCCCGAGCACACGTGCCTGCAGCTGCTTCAGCCCTGGGCTGCCCTGGAAGCCAAGAGCCGGCCTCAGCGGTGATGGCGTCCTGTGGCTGTGGGCTTGGTGCAGGGCAGGCGAGGCCAGAGGCTGGGGACTCCGGTGAAGGAGACAGGTGGCCGTCAGGGGCTGAGGGCCAAGCCCACAGGCCGAGGTGCAACGGCCACCCAGCTCCCACCACGCAGGCCACCCAGCGGCTGCAGAGGCCCCATCAGCTGGGCACGGAGCCCACGGTGCTAAGAAGGGTGGGTGGGGTGGGAGGAAGCCATCTTCGGAGCATGGTGGGGTGGAGAAGGGGCTCACCTGGGCGGGCCCCGGGGGAGGCTGTGTCTGCAGCCAGCGCTCCAGCTCACAGGTGACCCAGGTCTCCAGGGAGGAGCCCTTCCAGCGCCAGCCTCTGACACTCCCCAGCAGGTCCAGGAGTCCAGCGCGCGGGTCGTCCAGGGCAGCGAATCCCCGCCAGGCTTCCTCCTCGAGCTGTGGGGCGGAGACACGAGCCCCAGTCACTCAGCCCCCAGCCCTGCCGTGCAGGGCAAAGCTAAGGCGAGTCCGTCAGGAGACACAGCGGCAGCACCCTGGCCTCCGTGAGGTCTCCGCGCCGAGGGCCTGCTGTTCCTGCCCCGGGCCGGGCAGCGGTCAAGTGTGCACCGACAGCCCCAAGAACAAGGGCTTGCTTCCCAGGCCAGACAGAGGGAGACGCTCCGTCCAGGGGCTCGAGTCACTTGTCTGCACCCTGACCACCTCACGGCATGCGCGGGACACAGGGATCACGCTCCAGAGATGGTGACGGTGGGCGGGGCCGAGCAGGCACGGGGACCAGGCAAAAGGAAGGAAAAACCCAAACTGAAAAATGCCTTCGGTTTTTCTCCACTTCCTGCAGAAAGAACCCCACAGCACATGTAGTGTCCACCTCCCGACTTCAGGGGACAGTGTGCGTGTCACACAGACTCTACAGCTGTGCCCTCCACGTGGCCATGAGACGCAGAGACCTGGTCGGCAGGGCCCTGGCTCTGCCCTGCCCGAGTCAGCTGTCCGGGTCACAGACACACCCTGCAATCAAGTCCCTCCTCGGCCACAGCGACTTCTTGAACCCCCAGGTGGAGCTACCGGCGTGAGACTGGGACCAGCGGACACATCACACGCCCACCCTGACACCAAGCCTGCCTGCAAGGAGGTGGGGCCCCAGCTGCCCTCGCTGTAGCCTTTGGAACTTGCTGGACAGACTTGAGAACAGTCTCAAATGCGGTGACACTGTCACCCTCTGGGACGGGCGGGCAGAGGCCTCATTCCCACCGGCTTGTGCCGCTGGGGGAAGGGCAGCGTCCGCACCAACGCCCCCTCCCCAGGAAGGCGTGAAGGACACAGCCCAGTCTGAGCCACCACCTCCTGCTCACGGGAGGCACAGATGCAGAGACGCTGCTTTGGGCGTCGGTCCTAACCGCACCCACAGCCCCAGCATAGCTGCTCCGAGGCTCGGGAGCACCGCTGGAGGGCCCGTGGGACCGCGTGGCTCCCCGTCCCCGACAAGCCAGTTCCCCAGTGGGAATGAGACTCCACCCGAGGCCTGAGCCACAGCCCCGCCCAGCCTCTGCCTGCCTGGCCCCCGCCCGGGAGAGCCGTCCCCAGCTCTGGCCAAGCGCCTACTGACGAGTGGCCACAAGAATGCAGGCTTTCCTCAAGGAGTCACTGTCCTTCCTTGACCGGAGACGGGCAGCGGGGCCTGGCTGTGCCGCAGGAAGGAGGGGCCCCGAGAGGACCTGCTCGTGTGGAGGTGGCTGGGCAGGGGCTGAGGGAGCAGCCTGGCCCCAGCGTCCAGGGCTGGACAGCGCCTTCCCAGGAGTGAGCGTCCACGGGCGCCGAGAGGGAAGCACCAGGCTCGGGCAATCTGCACGCCGGGCAGGGCACCAGGTCAGCCCTTCGAGTGTTTGGGGAGCTCGGACCTGGCGCCTGTCCCGCACAGCACCGAGAAAGGACACCGGCGTGCGAGAAGTGAGGTGCGGTGCGCGGGACCCCAGGGCTGCCTTGGAGGGGTGGGCGGGGGGCTGGGGGCTGGGACCCCCAGGGGTGCCCTGGGGATGGTGGCTGCTCACGGTGGGCCTCCGTGTCTCATGGACCGGAGCTGATCACACCTGGGATCCAGGACGTCCGTCTTGGTGACGCCACGGGCCTGGCCACCAGAGGGGCTGCCACAGGAGCTCACCGTGGAGACCCAGACGCCCAGGCGTGTGGGTCACTGAGGCCCTAAGACAAGGGTTGACGGGACGTCAACCTGGGGTAGAAAACGAGTAACTGCACCTAACGTTGAGAGAGGAATAAAGGACGACTCGGAGCAGGTGGAGACCCTGGCGCAGGCGGCTAGTCGTGGCCCAGGGTGGACCTCACACCCTCGGGTCCAGCACCCCCGGTCACTCACTACCCGCCTCGGTCCCAGCCCCTCGCCCTGGAGGGTTGAGGCCCCTGCGCCCCTCCCGCTCTGCTCCTGCCCTCAGCCCGGGGGTCTCCACGCCCACGTCCACGTCCACCACCCTGTGGGCCAGTGGTTCTCACCCTTCCCGATGCCGCGACCCTTCAAGACAGCTCCTCGTGTTGTGGGGACCCCCAACCATAAAATTATTTTCGTTGCTACTTCATAACTGTAATTTTGCTACTGTTATGTCTTAGGTGACCCCTGGGAAAGGGTCGCTCAACCCCCAAAGGGGTCGCTGCTGTAGACCCAGGCTGACGCCGTCTTCTCCCTCCGGCCTCCTGACGCTCCTCCCGCCCCCGCCCCCGCGGGCTGTGCGCAAGGTCACCCTGGTCCTCAGGGCTCTGCCCCCAGTGCCCGCCCTGCCTGGTGGGCTCGGTGTTGCCATGGTCACTCTGCGAGCTCCTGGGGCCTGAGTGGGGCCCAGGGGCCCAGAGCCTGCGAGAGCTCAGCAGGGCTGCCTGCACCCCTGAACCGGCATCTCCCCTTCTTCCTCCCCCTCCCTCCCCTCCCTCCTTCCCTTCCTTCCTTTCTTCTTTCTTCTTTCTTTTTTGTAAATCCTCACCCAAGCATATTTTCCCACTGATTTTTAAAGCGAATGGAAGGGAAGGAAGGGGAGAGAGAAAGAAACGTGGATGAGAGAGACACACATTGCCAGGCTGCCTCCCGCACGACCCCGACTGGGGCCAGGGATCAAACCTGCAACCCAGGTACATGCCCTTCGCCAGGGACTGAACCCATAACCCTCCGGTCTGAGGGCTAATGCTCTAACCACTGAGCGAAATCAGCCAGGGCTTTTAACGTGTTTTTATTGATTTCAGAGAGGGAAGGAGAGAGAGAAACATGGATGAGAGAGGACATCAGTTGGCTGCCCCCTGCACGCCCCCCACTGGGGACCGAGCCCACCACCTGGGCATGTGCCCTGACCGGAATTGAACCAATGACCTTCTGGTGCACAGGGTGATGCCCAGCCACTGAGCACACCAGCCAGGCCGAACCAGCATTCTAACAAGCTCCAGAGGCCTCACCGCTGCCTGGAGCCCCATTTCCCACCCTCCCCGCCCCCCATTTCTCCTGCTGTCCCCACACAGGGGCTCCGAGGACTTCCCAACCCCACCGCTGTCCTGCCAAGGCCTGCTCCCTCCCATCAGCGCCCGACCCTGAGGCCTCCGCCCATCTCGGAGAAACAACCACAGCCCCTCACAGCCCCCCACGGCCCCCCACAGCCCCACTTCTTTCCTCCTTCTACTGTGAACCCCAAGAGGTGTCCAGGCTCAGCCTCCAGTCTCCCTGTCATGTCCTGTTGGGGTCCCTGCGCCGCACACCCACCTGCTCACTGCTGCCACTTAGCCAGCCCGTCAGTGCCAGGTGTCCCGGGCCGCCTGTGTCCTCATCCGCAGGCCACAGCTGCACCCCTCACACCCCACCCCTGTGGGCTGTAACTGGACACGCTCCCAGCCTGCCCTGCCTGCTGCCTTCCACCCCTGCTCAGGTCGGGTCCCGGGGAGTCACGAGTGTCTGAGCTCGGACAGGGGGAGTGTGGCACTGGCCACTGACTGAAACCCCAGACCAGCTCTGGAGAGTGACCCATGAGCGGAGGGGACCTGTGTCCCCACCAAGCAGAAGCTTCGAGCACCAACCGCCAAGTCAGGGCACTTTGAACACTCATACGAACTAACACAGAACCAGCCTCTCGTCCACCAAAGAAAAAGACGTGTGTGTGCGTGAAATACGTCGCACGGCGGTCGAGGAGACCCCGTGACGAACAACAGAAAGCAGAGACAGAGACCACAGAAGCCCGTGAGAGCCGGCGACGGCCGTGGATGCGGCTCAGAAAAGCAGACAGACTGGAGTGAGGGACCGGGGCTCGAGGAGGCGGGGAGGGCGGCACGAGCTGCAGAGCCACCGGGACCGGGTGGGACACAGACTGCGGCCCCCAGCCCGCGGCCGAGATCCCGAGACCACGAAGAGCTGACGGCACAGACGCTTCCCGGAGAAATGAAGCCAGAGGCGGTCTGAATGGGCCGCGACCACGAAGGAAACCAGGTCCTGAGTGGGCTGTTCTCTGCCCTTCCAGCCTCACCACCAGCTGTCCCGGAGGACGGCAGGGGCATCTCCCACCAGCTCGTGAGGCCAGTCACCTGGACACCAGGACAGACAGCAGACAGGCTCGCAAAGCCGCAGGCACCAGGGAGCGCGCAAGGCGTGTCTCAGACACGGAAACCCATCCACGCCACTCACGGCGCACTCACGCTCCTTACTCTGAAACACAGGCTGGGACACAAAAACGTAACAGGTGCAGAATTTCTGGCTTTTCACAACTCCAAGTCTGTCCAGCTGACAGCCGGCGGGGCGCCCCGGGGCCTGAGGCTCAGGCAGGCAGCTGAGAGCAGCTATCGACCACGCCACGCAGCCTGTCCTCAGGGCAGAGGTGGGGCGACCCCGGGGGTCTGGCTGCCCTGTGATCCAGACAGCAGGCCCCTCCGCACCAGGAAGCCGGTGGGAGCGCACCAGGAAGCCGGTGGGAGCGGAGAGCAAGCTGAGAACTGGGCGGAGATGACGCCCTGCCCCCGAACACCCGCCTGCCCTCCTCAGGCTGTGGGTGGCCCGGCTCATCCCTCTGGCCAGCAGGGGGCCTGCGGCCTGGGCAGCTCTGCCTCCGGTCTTCCCGGAGCAAAGTGTAGGGCAGGAGGGGCCACATCAGCAGCGCCCTCGCCTCCTTGGGGCCCACGAGGCAGAGCGGCCCTCCCGGTACAGGCCACGAGGGGGACGCGGCCTGGGGTGCAGCTGCTGCAGGATTCTGCCAGGACCCCCTCCTCCGGCCGGACCCACGTGTCCTTCGATGTCCAGACGAGCTGTCTGGCTGCCCTCCTGGGAGAGGCCGCTGTGAACCGGCCCTCAGGGGGCCACACATAGCACACGTCCATGGCCACCAGGTCCATTGTTCTGTGCAGAGGCGGGTGGTGGCCCCTCCCTCCCGCTCTGGGCCTCAGGGGCCCGTGTCCATCTGAGCATTCAGACGGGATGGCCCAAGGCTGGCGGCCAGCACCCACCGCCGTGTGCTCACCTGCTGCAGCGCCCGCGTGGACCACGGCGTCTGGAGGGTCTGCAGGAGCACAAGCATGTCCTGGCCTGGGGGGCGAGACAGGGCCATGGAGGGCTGAGTGGTGGGTGGGCCTCTCCACAGGCCTGTGCCCTCTCCCAGAGTGACCAGGGTCCCTCCCTGGCCGCCTGTGCCGCTCACTGCGTGGCTTCCACCCGTGGCCCAGGTGCGCATCTCAGCCGTAGCAGGTCTCAGAACAGCCCAGCCGTGTGGGCAGGGAGCGGTGGCAGACAGCAGGCCAAGCCCAGAGCACTGACCAGGGTCATGTCCAGTGGGGTCTGGCCCCCTACCCCTCCACGTCATGTCACAGCCCACCCCCACCCACTGCGAGGCCCAGAGTGGTCCCGGCTGCAGCCTCCCTGCTCCTGCGCCCTGGCTCCTGCTGCGCCCCAGGCTGGCTGCTCCCCGGAGCTGCCCTCGAAGGCCAAGTGCTCCTGCCCCCCATTACTCATTCAGGCCCCAGGCCCTGCAGAACAGCCTGGAGAGCAGAGGGAGTGCCCACTCGGCCCCGCGCTGGCCGGGAGGACCCTGCTGGGACCCCAAGCCCAGGGCAGATCAGGGTCGCCCTCAGGCCAGGTCCAAGTTCAGCACCAAGGAGGGTCAGCTGGTCTGAAAGGTCACTGCCACCCGGGAGCCCGGGAGCCCAGGCACCCAGCTCTGGGACACCCACAGCCCAGCGCCCTGGCTGCCTCAGTGGGCCTCCCCGCACCCCACGGCCTCCCACCCTCTGGGCCTCAGCGCAGCCCCACAGTCTCACCTCTGCCCCCACCCCTACCTCTGCCCACCCCAGCTCCAGGCCTCCAAGCTCCCCTCCTCCATGAGCAGCCTCCCCACTGCGCTGAGGGGTTACTGAGCGCGGGACCCGAGAAACGTCCAGAAAAACCTCCTCCTGTTCTGTCAGGAACTCTCGGGCCACTGGGCTGAGCCGGCAGCACAGGAGGGGGGGCCAGGGGCTGGGCTCCCAGCTGCCCCTGACCACTCCCGGGGGCAGAGAAGCCCTGGCCCACACTGAGGCCCACCCAGGCCTCCACGTGGTGGGGTCAGGGGTCAGAGTCAGAACCGGAACGTGAGCCCTGTGTGGGGAGAGGGGAGGCTCCTGACGGACTTCCCAGCTCACATCTGGAGACAAGGAGTCCTGGTGGCTTCAGCAGCAAATCTCCCCAAGAACTGAGGGAGGACAATCCGCCAGGCCCTGCAGCAGACGGGACCCAGAGGGGACCCCAGAGTTAGCCTGCCGATCCCCGACCTGCATTGCGGGAGAAGGTGCTCACAGGCGCCTGCCCGATGCTGCGGAAACTACTGGACCTGGCTACTGTGACTCAAGGTCCCATTTGATTCCCCGTCGGCACAGGCCGTGTTGCAGGCTCGATCCCCAGCAGGGGGCGTGCACGAGGCAGCAGATGGAGGTTTCTCTCTCTCTCTCCCTTCCTCTCTCTAAAAAAAGAGAAATCAATAAAAACATATTTTTAAAAAATTGACAACACAGGCCCTGGCTAGTTTGGCTCTGCAGTTAGAGCCCACGGAACAGAGTCCCGGGCTCAGTTCCCGATAAGGGCACGGATCTCGGTTGCGGTCTGTCCCTGGCCCTGTTTGGCGGCATGTGGGTGGCAGCCAGTCGATGTGTCTCTCTCATCGATGTTTCTCTGTCTCTCTCCCTCCTTCTTTCCCTCCCGCTCTATCTGAAGATAAATGCAAAATGTCCTCGGGTGAGGATTAATTAAAAAAAGAAAAGAGAAAGGAAACGGGGCAAGAACCCCGGGGCCTCCGTTCCTGCGAGACTGCAAGGCCGTGAAAGCTGTCCCGGAAACAGTGTGGGGTGGCAGAGCCGGCGAGCCCAAAGCTGGGCCCGCCCTCACGCCTCAGCAAAATAAATTCCACCTGATCAAGGACAAACCATCACGAACACCCTCACGGCACCTCGCTCTGCAGCTCCGTGTTCACGGCTCACACGGAGCCAAGCGCTGGCTGCAGCCGTCTTTCTGACGAGGAGACGTGGGGTTAAGCAGCCTGTGGTGGTCGCAGCGAGGAGGGTGAGCTGTCCCCTAGTGGTGCGGGGTTTTCCATGGCCTCAGTATCACAGCCCAAGGCGGGTCCCACAGCCCCGGTGGGAGATGCCCCCACCCAATGTCTGGTCCCAGGCGCCAGCCTCACAGACAGCTGTGGTCCCAGGCGGCACAGGCCTGTGAGGGGGATGGAGACAGGCTTCTGGGGGCTGCTGCACCCGACTCCCTAATGTCCCGAGGAACTCCAGGGCCCTGAAATCGGGCACCGGCCGGACCCCAGTGACGCGGCCTTTCTGATCAGCTGTGCGAAGGCCACGTTTTCAGGAGGAAAACACTGAATCCAGAGACATCTCGATTGAGAACGTTCTCTCGGCTCGGGGAGGCTCGGGAGGGAAGGCCACCAGCAGCAGGCCTGGGGCCTCAGCGATGTCAGAGCTCCGGGGACACGGGCAAACCCATCGCGAGCCCACAGACCCTGGTGGGGACATGCTCACTGAGAGGGCTGTCCCAGCCTGGGGTCTCCCAGAGCCCCCTGTCAGCCCCCAAGACCCGGGGTCCCTGTCCCCTAAGACCCTGGGTTCCTGCACCTCCACACCCTGGGTCCCCACTCTTGTCTCTGGCTGGCCCGATGGCCAGAGCGGACCCCCAACACGATGGCCCAGTCCGGAGGCCACCAGGAGAACTCTGGGAAAAGCCTAGTCAGAGCTGCGCTGCGACGCCTGCGGCCGGTTTTCCAGGTGAGGAGCAGGAAGCAGCTCTCTGCTGACCACGTCCATAGCCACCAAAGCAGAACTGCCTCCCCCGGGGCTCCTGACTCCGCCAGGGCAGGACGCCGGGCTGACCCTGCACACCCTCCCGGGCCTGGGCGCGGGCTGGGGGCACCACGTGGGGTCCTGGGCTCCCACGCTCACAGTGCCTGGCCGGGCCCCTTGTTCCTTAGATGTGTCCAGTGCCCCTGCCCCTTCTTGGCAAGAAAGACAGAATGCCTCTGTGTCCAGCCCGGAACCCGGACGGCAGACAGTGTGGCTGCAGCGCAGGCGCTTAGAGGAGCCCTGGTTCCCACCAGCCCCACGCACTGCCCCCGGGAGGTCCCGGGTCACGGCCCACGCACCCTGCCCTGGGAGGTCCTGGGTCACGGCAGCCAGCTCTGTGTAAGTCACCAAGTGAGTGGGGCCACGTGTCCTGCACCCGAGGGCTGGCGCCACCTGCACACTCACCTCCACACGGGAGGCGCCCCATGCGCCCCAGCCCACGCAAAGCCACAGCCCACGCAAAGCCACAGCCCCCGACGCCTCCCACCTGGGGTCCCCGCCCAGCATGCATGTGTAACCGTGCACAGCACCCCACTCACGCACACTCCCCGCACCTCCCCACACCAGCCCAATGCAGTCCGCCTGGACTCAGGGCTGAGCAGGACAGACTCACCCTGGAACAGCACTCACCCCCAGCAGGGTCTCCAGCAGCGGGGTCACCGCCGGCAGGGTCACCAGCAGCAGGGTCACCGCCGGCAGGGTCACCAGCAGCGGGGTGTCCGGGGTCCATCCTCAGAGCGGGCTGGGCCAGGGGCGGGTGCAGGCGGCTCGAGGAGTGTGGAACTATGAAGAGGGACAAGTAGGCTCTGGGTTCCACAAGGAAGGGAGAAGGGATCCCGCAGGCCGGCCACGCAGGGCCCAGCTCTGTGGTCTCAGAGGCGCGGGGGACCCGCAGCCCTGGCTTCGCCTGCCAGACCTCAGCGGGGGACCCGTGACGAGCACCATGAGCTCCCCTGCATGGGCTCACCCAGCCCGAAATCACCCAGGCCGCTGCACCATGACAGTCCCAGGGGCCACTAGGACACGTTCCCACATTTGTGGCGAGTACCCTGTAACCTGTACGTTACAAGCGTCTGCTCACGTGCAGTCTGGCGGGCATCACAGCGCCGCACACAGCCCGCCAGGCACGTCGGGACCGACACGGCAAGGGAGGCAGCCCCACCCAGAGCTGGCGCATCCAGGGGTGCCTTCGGCTGCCCCTTTGGCTGTTTGCACCCATGTTGCTGAGGAACACATGGTGCGGTTACTTCCTGAATGTCCTGTCCTACTTGTGACGGACCAGCTCAAAGGTGAGGGCTCACTGTTGTACCCTCGTGCCCATGCCCCTGCAACCTCCTAAAACAGTTCTTCTTTTGTTTTTGTTTTTATTCCTCACCTGAGAATACTTTTCCATTTATCATCAGATAGAGTGGAAGGTGGGGAGTGAGAGAGACGGAGAAAAACATCCATGTGATAGAGCCACATCGACTGGCTGCCTCCCACATGACCCAACCAGGGCCAGGGACAAACTGCAACCGAGGTAGGTGCCCTTGACAAGAGTTGAACACGAGACTCATTGGTCCGCAGGCCGACGCTCTAACCACTGAGCCAAACCAGCCAGGGCCCTAAAACAGTTCTGTGTCCTCCGTGGACTCACTGTTAGGGAGACACAAGCATCACCGTGTAAACGCCGTTCACAGCTGAGCCGCGTGGACCATGTGACTTCGCTTTCCTGGAGTTGGCTCCAGGCTCCGCTCCAGCCATGTGGAGTGACTGGTGCCCGGCCAGCCCTCCCGATGAAAACACGTCAACCGGAGACACATTTCAGGGAGCTGGCTTCTGAACATCAGAACACGTGTGACTGCTTCCTAACAGGGGGGCAGTGCCCGAGGTGGGCCCAGGACAGCCAGCTCCCCCTGGGGGTGACCTCCAGCCAAGACGACTGACCTGCAGCCCAGCAAGCAGTGTGCTGCCCAGCAGAGGAACTGGTGGGACAGGGTGCTATTCAGGGTGCGCCAGAAATATGGGAGAGCAGTGCAGGATCCCCAAGGCAGCTGTCCCAGGGCAGAGAGGGTGACAGAGACCCCTAACAGTCAAGCGGTGCAGACCAGCCCGGCCAACACCCCAGCTTCCAGCTGAGATGCCACAAAGTCCACACCTTAGGACCATGCCTAGAGTGAACCCCATCCTAGACCTAAATGTAAAACTGCACCCCAGTAAAATCCACAGGGGGATACTTTGTAGATTGAGTCCCACCAAGATAAAGACCCACCCCAACAAAATGTCAGGCCACACCCCCCAGTTCAAGGTCATCAGCTAAAAATTAACTGCCTACCAGGACAAAAGTTAACGTTCTTCAGAGGAAGATAACAGAATCCAGAGTCTCTACAATGCATCATTCAGAATCTTCAGTCCATAATATAGAAATCACAAGATTACAAAGGAAAAAGAAAATAAGACCCACAGTGAAAGAAAAGAAAATTTTAAAAACAGATAACAGAAAGCAACTCCAAGGTGGCTCAGATGTTGGATTTAGCAAAGACTCTCACAAAACTGTGTTCAGAGAATGGATTAAAAAAACCACGTTCAAAAGTTACAGGAAACTATGAGTAAACAGAAAGGAGAGGATGGAAATGACATGAAACTAGTACATAAAAGAACTAAATGGTAATTCTCCAATAAAAAGTATAATCACTGAGCCCCGCCGGTATGGCTCAGCGGATTGAGTGTTGTCCCATGGACTGAGAGGTCCTGGTGGGATTCCCAGTCAGGGCACACACCTGGGTTACAGGCTCAATCCCCAGTAGGGGGTGTGCAGGAAGCAGCTGATCGATGTTTCTCTCTCACATCCATGTTCTATCTCCCTCTCCCTTCCTCTCCCCCTCTTGCTTCCTCTCTAAAATCAATTTTAAAACACCCACATTATAGAAGAAAATGCTCCCAGTGTGGTACAAATTGCATCTAACCGGCGGCGGCGTGTGCAGGGGATGCGCAGACCCCTTGTTAGAACTGAGCAGCGCGCAGGCACAGACCCCCAGGCCTCCTCCCGACTCCCGGGCACCCGGAGGGGGGGGGTGCAGACTGCCAGGTCTTAGTATTTTTTTGCATTTTCTAAATATTATACAACATCATGCTCCACTCTGTACCCGTGAAAAAAGAAAACCCCCAAGCACTACTTTCAACAGTTAAAATAAACAATGGAACCCCAGCTTCAGGAGATGGTGCCACCTGCCACCCTCCAGTAGCCTGATGCAGTGACAGGTGCGCGAGGCCACTCCTGGCCACGGTCTGTGGTCTTTGGGGATCCAGCTCTGCCCTGGTGGTCGGCCTGATGGCTCCGAACCTGTCTTCGTAGTTACCTGCTGCTGCCAAACAGGCTGTCTGACCTGTGGGCTCCGGAACTGGAGCTGTGGCTCAGAGTCTCTGGGGGCGGCCGCTAGGACAGGCAGGGGGCGCCTTGCAGACAGCGCACTCATGTGGCCGAGAGCACATCACCTGTGCGGTGGGAGCTGCTGGGTGGCGCCTGCCAGTGGGACCTTCCCTGCCCTGGCCCCGTAGTGTCCGTGATACTGTCTCCTGCTCTGAGCCTCTGCCCTGGGCTCCGTTCTCAGGGGCTGCATGGCTGGAGTCAGCCCCTCGGGGAGGTTCCACATTGTTCCGGAAGCTTCAGCGGGTGCCCAGAGAGGGGTGACACCCTTGGTCCCTCCTGGCCTGCGTGTCCAGTGGTTTCCTCCTCTGTTCTCCCTTGGTCCTGTCAGAAGTCAATTCCAGGGACCTTTTCAAGAACTAGTCTTTGGTTTTATGGATGTTATGCTTTCTGGTTTAGTACTAAGTTAATTAAGCCTTTCTCTTCATCAGCACCTTCCGCTTCCTCCTGGTTTCTTCTATTTGTGTTTGACGCCTGAGGCCTGGCTTCCTTTCCCACCGCAGATGGATGCTTTTTGGTTAAATACAGTGATACCTCGGTTCTCGAACGCCTCGGATTTCGACCAAATCGGTATTCGACCAGGAGATTCGAGAAACTTTTCTCTTGGAATCCGAACAAATATTTGGAACTCGAACTTCCGAGATGAGCCGAGTTGAGCCGAATGGCGTTCATTCGGCCCAGCGCGCCTTGCTTGCGTCATCAGTGTGAGTGCAGAGAGAGAGTCACGCTTTACACTGAATTTAACCCTTAGACATACTGTACACTTTTATTTCTTGTTGAGACTTATGTTTTTCTACATATTATATACAAATTAGGCCAGTAAATAGGCATTTTCTGGGGCTTGGAACGAATTAATCCAGTTTCCATTATTTCCTATTGGGTTTCATTGCTTCGGTTCTCGAACAATTTGGTTCTCGACCGTCCTCCTGGAACGAATTATGTTCGAGAACCGAGGTATCACTGTACAGGCTTCTTCAATTTGCTTTTTCTCCCAGTGGTCCCTAGATATCCCTCTCCCTTCCGACACCCAGAGCAGCCTGTGCCTTCCTTCATAAGGGGCCTGTCACTACTCCTGGGAAGCTCCTACACGCCCTCGTCCCTCCAGTGTTTCTGGGTGCAGTTCAATCACTCATTCATTCTTTTCACGGGGCGTTTATGCCTTTTGGCTCAGGCCATTTTTGTTTTATTGCTATCCACCCTTCACTCTCTGCACGTCTCCCTGCAGACAGTGGCGCGGGGCTGGGGACGCGCAGCCCTTGGTGTGGTGAGGGCGGAGGGTGCCACACACTGCCGGCACTCATCTGGCACAGGTGCCACGGCGAGGCTGAAGGGGACGAGCTCAGAGCGGCAGCAGCCAGCGCAGGTCTGTGACAGTGGAGGGAGGACCCTGTGCCTCCAGGTGGCCCCAGGCCCAAGGACACCAGGACACCTACCTACCTCCCAGGTCTGCACCACCTGGACCCTGAGGAGTGAATGAAAACTCCCCATTTTATTTTATTTTATTTTTTTTTTAATCCTCACCCGAGGACATTTTTCCATTTTTTTTTGTTCAGGTAGAGTGGGAGGGAGAGAGAGGAACAGAGAGAGAGAAACATCGATGTGAAGGGACACATCGAGTGGTCGCCACCCGCACAACCGACCAGGGCCGGGGACAAACTGCAACCGAGGTACGTGCCCTTAGCGGGAACCGAACCCGGGTCTCTCAGGACCGCAGGCCGACGCTCTAACCGCTGAGCCAAACCGGCCAGGGCAAAACTCCCCATTTTATAGTCTCCTTTCACTCGGACCCTCGAAGGAGACTGCTCTTGGCCGACTTCCATTGCTGGAGCAGAGCACCCGCTGGAACGCGCCGTCCGTCTTCCTGGTCATCCCTGGTCTTCCCTGGGTTCTTCTTCGAGGAGTTTGGGGAGGGGGACGGGCGGAGGGAGCCTCAGTAACATGTTAACGGTCACAAGCCGTGAACAGGCTGAAGTGGTGGGCCTGGGAGAGGTGAGCTCGCTGCGGGCGCCAGATGGACCCTCCAGGGAAAAGCAGCGACACCGGGGCCCTGAGCCGGGAGGTGCCCTAAGAACTCTGGGAAAGACACAGCCCAGGGTGCGCCTGGGCCTCTCCGAGCTGACCTTGGATGCCGAGCATCAGTGACATCCAGGCTATTTCTATTTCCCGAGAGAAAGCCCTTGGGTGGCATTTTAGTTCACCTTGGAAACTGCCATTGTTCAAATAGGAAAAAACTTTGTGTTGGGCTGCAGTCAATTCCCAAATATCCAATTTCTGCTCGTTTGATTGACATCTGTGCTCCAGAACCAACGCCAGACAGGGGGCAGGCCCTCGGGGGAGCAGGAACACTCTCAGGGGAGGCAGATCTGTGGGTGCTGATGCTTGGGGTCCACTTCTGGATACTTTCGTGTATCAATCAACATGGTGAGGCCACAGTGCGCAGATAGTTGGTCAAACACAGTCGCGTGTTGCTGTGAAAGTATTTTTTAGACCAGGTGAACATTTAAAACAGACGCCTTGTAGTAATGCTGACGCCCCTCCGTAAGGTGGGTGGGCCTCATCCAATCAGCTGAAGGCCTGAAGAGGAAAAGACGGAGATTCCCGGGGAAGAGGGGATTTGGCCCCCGGAGCTGCAGCATCAGCTCTGCCCCGGCCATGCAGCCTGGGAGCCCTCCCTGCAGGTTTCGTACTTCCCAGCCCCCACAACCGTTTGAACTATTAATTCCTTAATACCAATGCATCTGGCCCTGGCCTGTTTGGCTCAGTGGTTAGAGCATCAGCCCAAGGACCAATGAGTCGCAGGTTTGATTCCAGCCAAGGGCACGTACCTTGGTTGCAGTCTGTCCCCAGCTCTGGTCGGGCTCGTGTGGCAGGCAACTAGTTGATATGAGAGAGACACATCATGGAAAAATATCCTCGGGTGACGATTTGTTAAAAATTAAAATAAAAAATGCCGACAATGATTAAAAATCTTTAAAAAAAAAAAAAGCAATGCACCCTGGCTGGCTCAGCAGTTAGAGCATCAGCCCATGGATCAAAGAATTGCGGGTTCGATTCCAGTCAAGGGCATGTTCCTCAGTTGCAGTTCGGTCCCCCGCCCTGGCCGGGGTTGTGCAGGAAGCAACCAGTCCATGTGTCTCTCTCACATCGATGTTTCTCTCTCTCTCCCTCTCTTGCTCCCCCCCTCCCTCTCTATCTGAAGATAAAGGGAAAAAATATCCTCAGGTGAGGATTAAAAAAAAAAAAGCAATGCTCTGTCCCCCCCGCGGGGTTTGTCCCCCCTGAGCGGGGTCTGTCCCCCTGTGTGGGGTCTGTCCCCCACCCCGTGTGGGTTTGTCCCCTCCATGTGGGGTCTGTCCCCCCTGAGCGGGGTCTGTCCCCTCCGTGTGGGTCTGTCCCCTCCATGTGGGATCTGTCCCCCCTGAGCGGGGTCTGTCCCCCTGTGTGGGGTCTGTCCCCCACCCCGTGTGGGTCTGTCCCCTCCATGTGGGGTCTGTCCCCCCTGAGCGGGGTCTGTCCCCTCCGTGTGGGGTCTGTCCCCCCCCCGTGGGGTCTGTCCCCCCCCCGTGGGGTCTGTCCCCCTGTGTGGGGTCTGTCCGCCCCCCGTGGGGTCTGTCCCCCTGTGTGGGGTCTGTCCGCCCCCCGTGGGGTCTGTCCGCCCCCCGTGGGGTCTGTCCGCCCCCCGTGGGGTCTGTCCCCCCTGAGCGGGGTCTGTCCCCCTGTGTGGGGTCTGTCCGCCCCCCGTGGGGTCTGTCCCCCCTGAGCGGGGTCTGTCCCCCTGTGTGGGGTCTGTCCGCCCCCCGTGGGGTCTGTCCCCCCTGAGCGGGGTCTGTCCCCCTGTGCAGCGGGGGCTCGGTTCCGGAGGATCTCCCGCCTCCCTCATCCAAGCGCGGTCAGGCCCGAAGGGGGCGCTGTCACACCCCCTCGCCCCAGGACGGCGCCCGCCAGCAGCCCCTCCGGCGGACGGGTCAGACCCCTCCTCGCCCCCCCAGTCTGTCCAATGGTCCCAAATAAACCCATTTTGCTGGTAAAGTAACTTCCACGTTTAAGGTCAGCAGGGCCCCTCCCCGCGTGGGGACAACCCAGCCCGGAGCGGGACGAGGCTGGGCTCCGCCTGCTCGCTGAGACCCCAAGTCTGGGCGCGGGGGCAGCTGGTGAGGGACGTGCGGTTGGGGGGAGCAGGGCTGCCCTCGCTGCCTGCCGCCGGCGCCCCTCTGCGGCGCGGGCACGCGTGGGTGGCGTCCGTGGCCCGGGGCGAGCCCCAGGCGCAGCTCTGCCCGCAGCGCCCGGGACACCAGGCCTCCCCCGAGCCCGTCCCTCCTCGGCGCGCACCCCGGGACTCACTCACCTGAGCCCGCGGGGTCCGCCCGGAACCTTGACCCGGCCGCGGCGGCGGCGGCGGCAACGGACCCGGACGGCTTTGGCCGCAGCACCCGGCGCGCGCGAGGCGGCTGCCGGCGAAGCGCGAGCGCTGGGAGCGTCTGGGCGGACGTCCGGAGGGGCGGGGCTTCTGGGGGCGTGTCAGGCGGGCGGCCTCGGGGAGGGCGGGGCCATAGCCAGAGGGGCCGGGCCGCGGGTGGGGGCGGGGCCGGGGCGGGGCCATGCCGGGCGGGCGGGGCTGTCGCGGGGACGGGAAGGGGCCTCGGCCGCCAGGGGGCGCCAGGGACCGCGGGAGGCGTGGCGCACCTGGCGCTCGCGGACATCCTGCCCGGACCAGTGCCCAGCGGTCCTCACCCCCGACCCCGCCGCTCTCGGAGGGGCCCCACTGCCGACCCATCTCCGGACCCCGACGTCCCTGTCCGCGGTCCCCGGCCCCCAGGCATCCCACCGGACCCCTCCCGGGACGCCCCCGCCGCCTGCCCGGAAGCAACGGCCTGCGCGGGAGGCAGGTGCGGAGCCGCCATGCCCTCGCTCGGGGACCTGGTGCGCGACTGGCACCGGGGCGCGCAGGCCGTGGAGCGCGGGGACTGGGGCTGCGCCCTGCGCCTCTTCTCCGGCGTCCCGGAGCCGCCCGCCAAAATGTGCTTCAACGTGGGCTGCGTGCACCTGCTGGCCGGCGACCCGCAGGCCGCGCTGCAGGTGAGCCGGGGCGCCCCAGGGTTGGTGCCGAGGCTGCTTCCAGGGGCTGTTCTCTGGCCCTGGCGCCGGGTCAACCGCGGTGCGATGCAGACCCAGCTCCGGGGTGCGCCCAGTCCCCCCCTTCCCCCGAGGTCCCCTGAAGGTGTGCGTTCGATGCTCTGCCTCAGCGAACACCTAAGGCAAGTGGGAGCCGTGGGGTCGGGGGACTCGCCCTCAGCTGAGTCAGGGCCAGCACCGGGGTGCAGGGTTTCCTCCTGCCTCCACTATGTGGTGGCCACATGCCAGCCCCGGCAGTCCTGGGGAACGGCGGGACCAACTCTCACCGTCCAGGGGCTAACATACCTGGAAACAAACTCGAGGCTGGATCGGGCTGTCCCCCAGGGTGTAGAGTTTGGGGCAGGGGGCTTCAGCAGATGTCCGTGGTGATGAGGAGGAGGCAGTTTTTGCCTAAACCCCAGATGTGAGTGCTCACCTGTCTCCCAACCTGCTCCCCAAAACAGAACCAAGAGCTCAGGGGTGCACTGCGGCACACACACCGGGCTCCGCTGGGGGCAGCCCAGAGCCACTCTGCCCCTTTAAAGGCTTTTTGTTCACCAGCGAAGCAAGTTACCCAACTTCTGTCTGAGAAGAGGGTGTGACTTGCAAGAATGTCCACGTCAGTGTCCCCCAAACTCCTCCGTCAGCAGGGACTGGGCAGAGTGCACAGGGGACCCTCCGTCACTTCTGACCTCGCATACGAACCCACAGTTCTCGGTAACCCTTTCAGTGTAAAGGTTGAGGAAGGGGGTCCAATCTCTGGACAGCAGGTGGTTCAGCAGTAAACCACAGGTGTCGGGCCATCCGGCCGTGGCTTCTGCTAAACTGTGATTTAACTAGAGAGGGAATGCAGGCAGGGGACCTCCCTGAGAGGGGGAGCCCAGAGCTGTCCAAAGTCAATGAAGCCCTGGCCGGTTTGGCTCAGCGGTTAGAGCGTCGGCCTGCGGTCCAGAGAGACCCAAGTTCGGTTCCCGCTAAGGGCACATACCTCGGTTACAGTTTGTTCCCGGCCCTGGTTGGTCGTGTGGGAGGCAGCCACTCGATGTGTCCCTTTCACATCAGTGTTTCTCTCTCTCTCTCTTTCTCTCTCTCCCTCCCACTCTATCTGAACAAAAAATAGAAAAATGTCCTCAGGTGAGGATTAAAAAAAAGAGATTAAAAAAAATGGAAAAATGTTCTTGGATGAGGATTAAAAAAATAGTCAATGAAATTAAGTAATAGTCGAACAGGCACATTGGAAATAGGGAGATGTTTAGAAGAGACGGAGCTACCATTCACTGTTTCGGGGAGCAGCTCAGGGTGAGGAGGGGCTGCTGGGGCGTCACTCTGCTGGGTGAGCCTTGGTGAGCCTTGGTCCAGCTGCTCCGGAGGGCGGAGCAGCAAGCAGACGGGTCTCAGGCACCGAGCAGTCCCCACACAGAGCATGTGGGCGCACCTTCACCACTGGGTCAGATTCGGTTCAGCAAGCCCCCCACTCGGCTAGACCTGTGAAGGGGAGACCATGATGCTCCTCCACGGTCTCTGTCCTCGTTGGGAACAGGTGACGTCACTTCGGAGTGTGGTTTAAGGGAGAGCTGTGTTATTGTCCTTTCTGGTTCTCCTGGGTAAGAAGTGTGTCACTGTGTGTGAGCTGCCAGAAATAGGGTTTACAAAAGGCAAAACACTTGCATAACCGCATCCCCCAGAGGTAAGCCATCAATGTGCGGGACTGTGTCCTGCCGGCGCTCCTCGTCCTTGTGGTAAACAGATTGGTTTGTGACATTACCTCGCTGTGCTCTGAGCCCCTCAAAGGCACCTCAGGGGTGGGGGTGGGGGTTAGCTTGTGGGGACCAGAGAACGGACCTGAATGGCCCTGTGCACGCACAGGCACGAGGTCTGAGGGCCCCTGGCCTGGCGCAGGTGGCTGTCACGGGGCCGATGGAATGTCTTGGCCCCGTCACTGGTCATCTGCCCGGGCTGCATCTGTGACACGGGGTGGCAGGTTACAGACCTTGGCATTCCACAAGCATTTTTATTCCCAGGCATTTGACCAAGCAGTGACCAAGGACGCCTACCTGGCGGTGGGCTTCTTCCAGCGAGGCCTGGCCCACTTCCAGCTGGAGAGGTGAGCACAGGGCTCCTGTTCCTTCTCTGCCGGCCCCCTGGCCTCCTGCCTCCGCCCCTCGCCCTGGGTCACCCGGCGCCCGGTCACTGCAGGTTCCAGGAGGCCCTGTCCGACTTCCAGCTGGCCCTGGGACAGCTGAGGGGGAACTCCGTCATCGACTACACACAGCTGGGCCTGAGGTTCAAGCTACAGGCCTGGGAGGTGAGCGTGGGTAGGTGGGGTTGGCCGGGCCTCTGGGGTGCTGTCCTTGGGCAGGTGGCCCAGTGGTCCTCCCGGGACCCTTGGTTTCTGCAGGCCCCAGGCTCTGGGCCCCATTGTCTGTTACTGTCACAGGGGGTCCATGTGGACAGAGGCTCCCTGTGGCCAAGGTGCCCCCAGCCCCTGCCAATCGCTCTTCTACCCCAAGGAGGCTGGGGGCTCGGTCGAGGTGGGGCACCAGGAGTGTTTCCAGCGGGTGGGGGGGGCGGGGGGGGCAGGTGGAGGAAGCACAGTGTGGCTGTGGGCTCTGGTCAGCTCTGCATCTGGCCCAGCCTGGGAACACACCGCCTGGGCCCTCAGGGAATCGTGGAGAAAGGCCGCCAGGTGCCGGTCCGCAGCCCGCCTGTGTCCCCCCGCCCAGGTGACTCCCACCAGCCCTGTACAGGATCCCCAGGGCTGACCAGGAGCACGGTGTCACCCACCAGGCCGCAGAGACAGGTTTCTCTTGTTGGGAGAAGATTCGCTGCCCCCCAGCAGGTCCCTGGCGACAGCTTTAACCCAATCCCATGTGTCCGTCAAAGTCCTCCTGCGTGGCAGGGAGGGAACAGGACAGAGAAAGGCGGAGCCGAGACCCTGGGGTGCAGCACAGGGAGGAAGGGGCCATGGAGGGGTCCTGCCAGATGTAGAACGGGGTGAGACAGGCTGGAGAACGCCCCAGAGGGGGGAGATGGGCCAGAGCGATGGCCCACCGGAGGGAGGCCTGGGAGTGACCGCCGCTGAGCCAGGCAGGCTCCGTGAGGCTGGGGCCAGAGGAGCTTTGGCAAACCCTGGCTGGTTTGGCTCAGCGGTTGGAGCCTTGGCCCGTGGACCAAAGTCGCGGGTTCGATTCTGGTCAAGGGCACGTACCTCGGGTGCAGTTCGGTCCCTGGCCCTGGTCTGGGTTGTGTGGGAGGCAGCCAGTTGATGTGTCTCTCTCATGTCAATGTTTCTTTCTCCCTCCCACTCTATCTGAAGATCAATGGGAAACATCCTGGGGTGAGAATTAAAAAAAGAAAGAAAGAACAGCCCTGGCTGCAGCTGGGGAGTGGTGGCAGCCGGACCAGGGGTCACCAGGGGTCACCAGGGCTGGGAGTCGGCCGTGGGCGCAGGGCGGGTCCTGGCCGACACCTCACTGTTCACCTGGCCGCCAGGTCCTGTTCAGCGTGGCGGCAGCGCAGTGCAGGCTGGGGCGCTGGGCCGAGGCCACCGGGAGCCTAGAGGAAGCCATCGCCAAGGGGCCGGAGGGGGCCCGCCGTGACCTGGACCTCGCCCTGGCTCAAGTGCAGGTGAGGGGGCGGGTGGGGAGAAGCAGGCCAGCCCCCGCAGGCTCCTGAGCTGACCCAGATTGGCTGCTGGGGCCCAGAGCCCGCAGTTTGGGGCTCACGTATGTATAGACCCCCCAGGACCAACTCTGAGATGAGGAAACTCCTGGAGGGAGGTGGCCCGTGTGCCCAGGTGTGGAGGCGAGGGCTTTCCGTGGCCTCTGGGAAGACGGTGGTGGTCCGTGACCCCTTCTGCAGCGGGCTCGGGCTTCTGCGGGTGCGGGCCTGGTCAGACGTGGGCCGACTCCCCCAGAAACAGGTTCCCCTGCAGCCTCGGCGGGGCCCAAGGGGTGAGGTCTTCCGGCCCCACAGGCGGTACCTGGAGCACCTGGAGCCTGTGGATTTCCTGGGCAGGGCCAAGGTAAGAGGGCACCCAGCAGGCCACGGAGGGAGGCGGCCAGGCCTTGCTGAGCTCACAGGGTGTCCTCACGGGGACACATGGGGTCTGGTGCACGTCCCTGCCGAGGCCTCGGTCGGGGGAGAGTGGGCACAGGGCTGGGGGCATGTCTCCAACCAGAGCTCCCAGACCCAGGCCCGAGAAACCAGGACACAGAGCCGGGCCTCAGCATGTCCCTCAGAGCTCCAGGCCCAGGGAGGCCGCATGAGGACCTGGCCACAGCGAGCCCACCCGGCTCAGGCTGGCCAGCTGGTAGCACACCAGCACAGGACACCAGGGCAGCTCGGCCCCGGGGCAGGGCCGGTGCGGGGAAGTGAGTCCCTGTGTGCTCAAAGCCAAAGTCACTCTGGTTTTGAGCTGGTGGCCCCTGGACCAGTTCGACACCCCACAGTCACCGGGTCCAGCGTGTGACCTGTGCGGCCTCGGGGGGGTCGTGAGCCGAACACCCGCCTCTGCACGCTGAGTGGCAGACGGGCTCTGAGTGGCACTGACCTGTCCAGTTAGCGTCCCCTTGTCACAGCAGACTTTCTGAGGAGCAGAAATATTTTTGAAGTGTCAGAAATAAGTTAAAACGAAGTAAGTTAAGACGTTTTCCTTTATGAAGCGTATTTTGCACCTGGCCGGCCCCCGTGTGCCCTGGAAGCCACGGGCCAGGAGACTTGGGTGGGCTGCGACCAGACACCACGGGCCCTGGTGCCTCCTGACCGGCTGCCCCGCTGACCTTCACCAGGTGGTGGTGGCCTCTGGTGTGCCCGACGACCAAGACAAGGGCGCCTGGCCTCAGCAGCCCCAGGTGGGTGGCCGCCTGCCCTGCAGCCCAGCCTCTTCCCCTGGGTGTCGGGGTCAGGGTGCTGCAGACCTTGCCCCAAAGAAGGAAGTGCTACCCCTGCTCTGAGCCCTGCCCGGGCTCCCCAACTCTCCTCGAATCCGAATTGGGGGTGGCTGCCCCACCCCGTGTGCCAGTGCACGAAAAGCACGCGGGCTGGCCTGGGGAGACACTGTCCACCCACCTGCCCGGGCTCCCCATGGGCATCCGCTTGCTGAGCAGGAAGCCACTCTGCCCACAGGTCCGGGGTGCGGATGGTGGGACCAGGCCCCGGGCTGGCCCAAGGTAGGAAGGGGGTCCCCCTGTGTGCTTGCTTCTCCTGTCGGGGGGTGGAGCCCCATGCACCCCGTATGGCTGCTCCCCGCCAGGGGCCAGGACCCTTCCGTCCTCTCTCGTGTTGAAACTGGCCGGAGCCCCCACTACCAGGCCTCCAGCCTCTCAGCCCTCCCCACGTCCCCATTTGTCCCGGGGCCCAGGCTCCCTGTCCTGAGCCTGTCCTGCTCCCATCGGACACGCTCGGGCCTCTGTGGGCTCCAGGCGGCAGGAGGGTCCGAGTGAGGCTCCTGGGGCGGGGCCCGGGCTGGCTGTGCTGTGCCGTGAGCAGCACCCACCGCCCCACCCAGGCCTTGGAGAGAGGGCCGCTCCCATGTGGTGGTCAGGGTTGCACAGGGTGTGGGCACAGAGCAAGCCCCCAAACCTCAGCCGGACTCTACACTGCTCCCCTCTCGGCGGGGCTCCCCTCAGGCCTGCCTTTTCAGGGCTCTCAGGGGAGGGGTGCTGGGCGGGCTGCATCGGGGAGAAGTGAGCGCTGAGAGCGGGCCCCTCCCCCAGGGCCCAGGACACAGGCCCCTGCAGAGCCGGGTCTCCCCTCAACCCCAGGATGCCCCCCGATGCGGACATGGAGGTCGGACCCAGCCCGGCAGGGCAGGCTGGTCACTGCCCACCTGTCACCTGTGATGAGCAGGTGAGGGAACTGGGCGGGGTGGGTGGGAGCCAAGGTGCTGGGAGACCCTCTCCAGGCTGATCAGCGGCCCAGCTGGCACCACAGGGTCTCAGGACAGGGCAGGCAGCCGCCTCGCCCGCTGGGAGATGGAGCCTTGGCTTCCTGTCAGGCTGGGGACCTGGGGCGACATGCTGAGGCTCCCAGTGCACAGACTGGCCTGGCCTGCACCCCTGCCTCCCGTCCTGGACGTGGGTGCCCCCAGGTGCTGACGTGAGGCTGAGGAAGGGACACGGGCTGCACTGGCAGGTGTGCCCAGCGTGGTGCCCACAGCCGGCACCAGGCCTGGGGTCCTGCCACACACAGGGCAGTTCAACTGTCCATTCAGCGTATCAAGGGCCTTTCACTGTGTTCCCCGATGTTCCCCCTCTGCCTGGCCCCCAGCCTCAAGGCCCCATGCCCGGCCCCCACCCCTGCCCACTCTGCCTGGCCCCCAGCCTCAAGGCCCCATGCCCGGCCCCACCCCTGCCCACTCTGCCTGGCCCCCAGCCTCAAGGCCCCATGCCCGGCCCCACCCCTGCCCACTCTGCCTGGCCCCCAGCCTCAAGGCCCCATGCCCGGCCCCACCCCTGCCCACTCTGCCTGGCCCCCAGCCTCAAGGCCCCATGCCCGGTCCCCACCCCTGCCCACCCTGCCTGGCCCCCACCCCTGCCCACCCTGCCTGACCCCCACCCCTGCCCACCCTGCCTGGCCCCCACCCCTGCCCACCCTACCTGAGCCCCACCTGCAAAGCCCCATCCCAGGCCCCTCAGGCCCGGCCCCACCCTGGGCCCAGCGGAGCCTGTGGCTTCCCTTGCAGAGACCCCACACGCAACAAGTGGGAAGACAGGTTCCTCCAGGTAAGGACGTCCTGAGTGGTGGTGCTGGGGGGCCGCTGCGGGGGGAGCAGGCACCGATGTGCTGGGGGGGCCGCTTTGACCCCCAAGGAGGAGGCTGGTGGCCTGGGGCTTCCTGTGGGTGGCGGTTCTGGCAGCTCCTCCAGGTTCCCCTCTGGGGGGCACCCCCCACCTGAGTCTCCGCTCTGCCCCTCCGCAGGGCTCCTGGCAGCTGGGGGGCCAGACCCTAAACCCTCTGAGGATCCCACAGGTACTGGGGTAAGAGGTCCATACTCCCCAGGAACTTGAGGGCCCTGAGACCAGGCCTGTCCTCTGGCCCTGGGGACCCCGGCTGAGAAGCCTTATGGTCCCTTAGCCCTAGCCCCTCCCGCCCTCAGTCCCTGCCCTGGCCTCCCCAGCCCAAATCCCGTCCCAGCCATGAAGATTTGGGGCTTCAGCCCAGCTGGTGTGGCTCAGTGGATTGAGCGTGTCCCATGGACTGAGAGGTCCTGGTTTGATTCCCAGTCAGGGCACATGCCCAGGTTTCGGGCTCAGCCCCCAGTAGGGGGCGTGCAGGAGGCGCTGGTCAATGTTTCTCTCTCACATCAACGTTTCTCTCTCTCCCCCTTCTTCTCTCTCTGAAAAAACATTTAAAAAATATTGGGGGCTTCAGAGACCCACCACCGCCTTTCTGCCTGATCCCAGGAAGTGGCTGCAGGGGACCCCGAATCCTTGGTGACCGTCATGGTGCAGTGTGCCTTCACCCTGGCCCTGAAGGCCCCGCGAGGAGCTGACCTGTCCAGCCTGAGGAGCCTGCTGAGCCAAGCCCTCCCTCGCCAGGCCCAGTGCGGGCAGCTCAGGTGGGCTCCTCTCAGGCCCAGGCCCGGGGAGGGAGCCCCCGGAGGGGCCGCAAGGCTGCGGCTGGAGGAGAGCTGGACGCATCAGCGTGCGGTGTGAGGGCAGCACCCTGCCACAGCCCCTCGCTGCCCACACTGATGAGTCCCTTTGCAGTTACCGAGAGCCGGGGGACGCGGGGCGCTGGGTGCTCCTCCCCGAGGAGGGGGCGCTGCAGAGGGCCTGGCGGCTGGCGGCTTCTGGCCCCACGGGTCTGCAGCTCCGGTGCCAGGTGAGCCTGGGAGAGCACCAGCCTGGGCCCGGGCCGGCGACCCCAGGGGAGGCCTGGGACGCTCCGGTGCCCAGCCAGCCCTGCAGTGTCCCTCTGCCGCAGGCAGCGGGCGGGCGGCCCGTCCTCTACCAGGTGGTGGCCCAGCACCGTTACTCCGCCCAGGGGCCCGAGGACCTGGACCTGCAGCCGGGGGACACTGTGGACGTTCTGTGTGAAGGTGGGCAGTGCCCTCTCCTGTCCCCCTGGGGCTGCCGGGCACGTGGGGCCTGTGAGTGGCCGTGCCTCATGGCCCTGGCCCCTTGCAGTGGACCCGGCGTGGCTGGAGGGCCACAGCGACGGCCGCATCGGCATCTTCCCCAAGTGCTTTGTGGTCCCGGCCGGCCAGCGCCTGAGGAGCCCCGACAGCCGCCCACCTGCGTCGCAAGATCAGCCCTGAGGAGCCGGTGGCAGGAGGGAGGTTTTAATAAAAGCAGCCTGCCCCCCCAGGGCGTGGAAGTGTTCTGGGCTCGGCCACTGGGAGGGCCTGACCAGGCTTCTGAGGTGTGGGCTGTGCTGCTCCAGAGAAGCCCCTTGTCCCTTAGGCCAATGACATGGGGCTCCCCCGGCCTCCTCCTGAGGCTCTGCTGTCGCCAGGGACCCAGCCCCCCGCCCCTCCCAGGGAGTCAGGCCCTTCCTGGGCCAGCGTCACTCCCCACTCCTGGCTCCGTGTGGCCACACCGTCGCAACAGGGGCAGCCAGCGGCCCTCCAGCTGCACCTGTGCAGAAGGCCTCCCTGTCCTGGAGAGCACAGTGGAGAAGGGCCCCAGGTGCAGGGCTGGGGGGCTCGGACGGCCATGCAGTGCCCTTGGCCAGAGCTCCCAGGACAAGCCCCCAGAGGTCCCCCGGGGCAGGAGGTGGGGCAGTCCCAGTAGCTCAGGCGTCCAGGCTGAGTGGCCCCACCGGGCTGTGGAGCTGGGCCTCTCCCGGGGGTGCCGGCTCAGTCCCGGGCCCAGAGGAGCTGGGCCGCAGCAGCGGCGAGAATGGCCGCGAGGGTCAGCGCCACGAAGACAACGCTGGCCACCCAGACGCCATAGCTCTCTGCCCGCCACTGGGCAGGCACCTCGGCCGGGATCATGTTGGTCAGGTTCAGCATGTAGCCCAGTGCCCAGCCGATGTCAGTGCCTCCAGCCTGCGGGATACACGGGGGTCAGGGCCTTGCTGGCCGCCCCCAAACTCAGCCCCCGCCCTTCCTGGCCTGGGAGGCAGCTACCTGCTTGCGAAACTCGATGCTGGGCCAGGTCTCCTCCGTGAACCCGTAGCCTTCGAGCAGGAGCGTGAGCATGTACAGGCCCGAGGCACAGTGGTCACGCAGCCAGGGCTGCTGCCCGGGCCAGGCCGCCTCCACCTGGGCCAGGAAGGTCGGAGCCAGGTGAGGCCACACCTCCCGGAGCACCAGGGGTGGGTCCCACCTGAGGCCGAGGGGTGTCCTCCCTTCCATGGCTCCCCCAGAGCCACGAGCCAGCTGTCCAGGCGGGGGCCCTGGACCCACCCACCAGCTTCCAGGGCTTCTGGCAGAAGTCCCAGACGGTGGCGTTGACGGTGGCCAGCGACTGCCTGGAGGTGAGGTTCAGGAAGTGGAAGGTGTGGAAGAAGCTGGAGAAGGCCTGTGGGGGGACAGGTGTGTCTGCAGGGGAGCGGCTCCCAGGCAGGCCCGGCCCCACCCGACCCCACAGCGGGTTGCCGAGTCCCCAGGAGCCCCCCTGGCCCACCTGGCAGGAGGCCCCTGGGGCTCAGAAGGGGCGGGACCCCGGTGCTCACATAGAACTGGCCCCGCACGGGGGGCTGGTAGACCCCGTTGAAGGCACAGTCCTCTCGGCCCTCACAGCTGGAGAAGTTGAAGAGGCCCCGGGTGGCCGACACGCAGGCCCTGGGATTCCCTGTTCCTTCCACGGTCAGGCTCTGGGGGAGGCCTGGGGGCGCTGTGGCCTGGACACAAGGCGACTCGTACAGGGGGGCCAGGGACACCGTGCCCCGGTAGCCGCTGTGGTAGCAGGGGTGGCGGACCCGGAGGGCCTGGCGGCTCTGCAGGAGGGCGGGAGGCGGCCTTGAGCACCTGCCGGGGCGGGCAGCCCAGAGCCTCCCCGGGGCAGCCCACCTGCGCCTGCAGCAGCCCGGCCAGGAGCCTGGTCAGCATCTGGTCGCGCCCGAAGCAGAGGTAGCTGTGCGTGTAGACGCTGTGCTCGAAGCCGTAGAGGCGGAAGGCGGCCTGCGTGCTCTTGTCCAGAACAGGGCCTCCGGGCACGAAGGTGATCTGGGTGGACGCCCCGCCCATGTCCAGGGCGCCCACCAGCGTCCCCTCCGGAGGCCGGATCCACTCTCCGGAGAACGAGTACTAAGCACAGAGGGGCGCCGGGTTCCAGGACCAGCCACGCGGACCCAGCCCTGCACGTCCAGCCCCCACCCCGGGGCTGCCCGCGGCACCTTGACCAGTAGGCCCAGAACGTAGTTGATGGTGATCCAACCTAAGGCACCTTCATCCTGACTGGCCAGGAGCTCAGCACCCCGAAAGTCCAGGGGAGCCTGGCCCAGGACCTGGGTGACTGCGGCAAAGATGTCCCCCGCCTGAGAGCTGTTCTTCTGGCTGTGCAGGGGGGACCAGGGCTGGAGCTGGCTGGGAGCCCCCCTTGTCCCAGGCACTGTGAGCACCCTCATAGCTGGGAGCCCCCCTACCCCAGGCTCTGTGAACACCCTCACAGCTGGGAGCCCCCCTACCCCGGGCACTGTGAGCACCCTCACAGCTGGGAGCCCCCCTTGTCCCAGGCACTGTGAACACCCTCACGGCTGGGAGCCCCCCTTGTCCCGGGCACTGTGAACACCCTCACGGCTGGGAGCCCCCCTACCCCGGGCACTGTGAGCACCCTCACGGCTGGGAGCCCCCCTTGTCCCGGGCACTGTGAACACCCTCACGGCTGGGAGACCCCCTACCCCGGGCACTGTGAGCACCCTCACGGCTGGGAGCCCCCTTGTCCCGGGCACTGTGAGCACCCTCACGGCTGGGAGCCCCCCTGCCCCGGGCACTGTGAACACCCTCACGACTGGGAGCCCCCCTACCCCGGGCACTGTGAGCACCCTCACGGCTGGGAGACCCCCTACCCCGGGCACTGTGAGCACCCTCACGGCTGGGAGCCCCCCTACCCCGGGCACTGTGAGCACCCTCACGGCTGGGAGCCCCCTACCCCAGGCACTGTGAACACCCTCACGGCTGGGAGCCCCCCTTGTCCCGGGCACTGTGAACACCCTCACGGCTGGGAGCCCCCCTTGCACCGGGCACTGTGAACACCCTCACGGCTGGGAGCCCCCCTTGTCCCGGGCACTGTGAGCACCCTCACGGCTGGGAGCCCCCCTACCCCGGGCACTGTGAGCACCCTCACGGCTGGGAGCCCCCTACCCCGGGCACTGTGAACACCCTCACGGCTGGGAGCCCCCTTGTCCCGGGCACTGTGAACACCCTCACGGCTGGGAGCCCCCCTTGCCCCGGGCACTGTGAACACCCTCACGGCTGGGAGCCCCCCTTGCCCCGGGCACTGTGAACACCCTCACGGCTGGGAGCCCCCCTACCCCGGGCACTGTGAACACCCTCACGCCTGGGAGCCCCCCTTGCCCCGGGCACTGTGAACACCCTCACGGCTGGGGGCCCCCTTGCCCCGGGCACTGTGAGCACCCTCACGGCTGGGAGCCCCCTACCCCGGGCACTGTGAGCACCCTCACGGCTGGGAGCCCCCCTTGTCCCGGGCACTGTGAACACCCTCACGGCTGGGAGCCCCCTTGCCCCGGGCACTGTGAACACCCTCACGGCTGGGGGCCCCCTTGCCCCGGGCACTGTGAACACCCTCACGGCTGGGAGCCCCCCTGCCCCGGGCACTGTGAGCACCCTCACGGCTGCCCCTGACCACCTATGGGCTCCACGCTCGCCCACCTCACCTGAGCAGCCTCATGCCAGCCGTGGCCCCCAGGAACAGGGGTGTTTGCGGACGCTGAGCCTCTGGGATCACGGCCAGCGCCTCCTCCAGGCAGCCCCGCAGGCTCTCGCCAGCCTGCGCAGGGTTGGAGGTGTAGGAGGAGATTCCGGGCCCTGAAACACAGCACCCGAGGACCCGGCTCCAGGCCCCGAAGTCTGGCTGGGTTGAAAGGGCCTGTGGAGAGCTGGATAGTGGTCCCCAAAAGGTGTGTCCACGTCCTCACCCCCTGCCAGAACCTTCGAACGTGACCCTCTTTGGAAAGAGAGTCTTCGCAGATGTAATTAAGAACCTCAAGGTGAGGTCGCCCCGGATTCCCTTCGAGGGCCCCACATCCCATGACAAGGGTCCTTATGACAGAAAGGAGAGGGGCCCGGCCAGTGTGGCTCAGTGGTCGAGCATCAACCCTGCACCAAGAGCTCCGGGTTCGATTCCTGGTCAGGGCACATGCCCAGGTTGTGGGGGGCATGCAGGGGGCGGCCAATCTCGACGTTTCTATCTCTTTCTCCCTCTCCCTTCCTCTCTCTCTAAAATCATAAAGACAAGCCCTGGCCAGTGTGGCTCAGCAGTTAGAGCCTGGGCAGCAGAACGAGGAGTCGCGGGTTCGATTCCGGTCAAGGGCACGTACTTCGGTTGCAGTTTGTCCGCGGCCCTGGTCAAGGTCATGCGGGAGGCAACCACACGCGATGTGTCTCTCTCACATCGATGTTTCTCTCTCTCTCCCTCCTTCCCACTCTAGCTGAAGATCAATGGAAAAATATCCTTGGGTGAGGATTTAAAAAAAGTAAAAAACAATAAAGGTTGAGAGAGAGAGAGAGAGAAAGGAGAGGGAGTCAGACAGGAGGGCACCGCAGGAGGAGGAGGCAGAGCCTGGAGGGTGTGGGCAGGCCCGGGAGCCCCCCGGCTCTGGAAGAGGCAGCAAGGGCTGATCGCGGTCTCTGCAGGCTCAGGGGGGGCCCCGCTGACCAGCTGTGCCACCTGGGACAGGTCACTCAACCTCTCTGAGTCCCCTTTCCTGGGGGTTAATTTGCTGATCTACTGAGGGATGGAGACCAGCCTGTGCCACCTCCCAGCCCTCCACCAGCTGAGAAGCCCAGCCAGGCAGCGGGTGGCCAGTCCCCACACCACCCACCTTTGACAGACAGCCCACTGACCTTCCACCTTGCAGGCCAGGGCCTGGCTGACCACGCCGGTGTCATTCTCCTTGTCCGCTGGCCACCGATACACAAAGAGGGACGTGTGGGAGGACCCCGCATCAAACACAATCCCAAACTGGTAACGACACCAGGGTCAGGAGGGCAGGGGCCTGGTGCACCCCGCCCCGCCAGCCTCCCCGCCCGGGCTCCGGGGTGCACCTTGGTGTCCGTGGGCAGGCGGACGCTGGTGGCCTCCACCAGGATCAGGATGAGCGCAGTGACGGCCAAGGCCGCGGTGGCCCCCAGCAGGGCCGCGAGCACCCGCTCCTTGCCGGTCAGCTTCATGGTGGGGGCAGGGCTGGATCTGGGGGTGTCCAGCCCACCTCACTGGGTCAGTGGGCAGGGCCAAAGGCCACGCCTCAGGAGCCCAGGGTGCCCAGGCAGTGGACGGGGTGGGAGCTGGGCACCAGGGCCCTGACAGTGGGACAGCGCCTTTGTGATGCCGCATGGAGGACAGTCATCTGGGCAGCTGGCCCTCTGACCCCTCCCAGGGCCCGCGCTCCCCTCCTGCCTCGTCCCCCAAGAGGAGGAGCCCAGCTCTGCAGGCGGCTCTGCGCTGAGCTGGGAGACGCAGGCCCCACCGCAGGCCCCTCCAGACGGCCTGTTCTCCCTGGGAGTCCGGCGTCAGGCCGGAGCCCGGCCGGAGCGCACAGGTGACCTCTGTGACCCGGTGAGCGGGGCTGGCAGGGTCCCGGGAGGCTCCTGCACCAAAGGGCTGGGGCGGAGGTGACCAAGGCAGCCGGTCTGCAGAAACCCGACCTCCCGCTTCTCTGGTCTGAGTTGGAGCTTCGGGCGGCCTCAGACGGCCCCTCAGCAGCTGGCCGGCTGACCCAGGAGCGCAGGGACCTCTCGAGCGGCCGAGCACACGGGTCACCAGGAGCCTTGGGCCAGCTGGCACCACGGCCCAGAGGAACCCGATCTCTGAGTCGGTAGCACTTGGGGGTTCAAGTGATTTTGTATGATGTCGCCTATTCCCGCAAGAAGGCAGACACAGCTTGTGCGCTTCATTCAGACAGGACAGCCCCTCAGGATGGGTCAGCACCCCCTTAGGACTGGTCAGGCCCCTCAGACCAGGACAGCCTGCCCCAGAATTGGTCAGCACCCCCTTAGGACTAGTCAGCACCCCCTTAAGACTAGTCAGTCCCTCAGACAAGGATAGCTCCTCAGGATGGGTCAGCCCTCCCAGGGCTGGTCAGCACCCCCTTAGGACTGGCCAGCCCCCTCAGACCAAGCAGCCCCCCGGACGGGTCAGCCCTCCCAGAACTGGCCAGCACCCTCAGACCAGGACAGCCCCCCAGGATGGGTCAGCCCTCCCAGGACTGGTCAGCACCCTCAGACCAGGAGAGCCCCCCAGGATGGGTCAGCCCTCCCAGGACTGGTCAGCACCCTCAGACCAGGACAGCCCCCCAGGATGGGTCATCCCTCCCAGAACTGGCCAGCCCCCTCAGACCAGGACAGCCCCCGGACGGGTCAGCCCCCTCACCTGGGCTGGCGGACAAGCGGCTGCAGCAAGGGGGAATCCAGACTGCGGTCCCTCCGGCACCTGCCAGGTGCTGCCCTGCCTCTCCCCTCCTCCCCACCCCGTCAGTCACCAGCTTCCTGGACCCAGGTCTGCAGCCGGGCAGGTAGCTGAGCCTGGAAATGGGCACTGCAGGCCGGAGCTGCCCACCCCAGCTCACAGACCAGGGACTGGAGCTCAGTGGGGTTGAGTACAGGCCCCTGCACAGGGTTATCGCCCCCGCCACTGAGGGTCTCCCCAACCCCTAGCTGCCCACATTGTCCCCTCCACTTGCTGCCCAGGCGTGTCACCTCCCTCTGCCCGTCCTGTTCTGGAACCCAGGCAGGTGGGCCCCGCCCTTCCTGGGAAGCTGCTCAGACTTTGCCCTCCGACCCCACTTTCTGCCAATTGGAAGACAGTGCCCGGGCTCAGGGTGCAGAGAGGACAGAGTCAGGTGACTAGAAGGGGGCAGAGGACTCAGCCGGAGCAAAGGCCAGGACTGTCCCTTTGTGCAGACAGCCCGGCCCTCCCTCCTGTGCACCTCTGTGGTCACGCCCACCTGGCCGCCCGCTCCAAACATCAGCTCCCTCTCAACAGTCTGTCGTTGGGGACAAGCCCCGGGGATGGACTGAGCCTGGCCTCTCCCACTCAGGACGAGGCCGAGGCCCATTGGCTATTGTGGGCACCGGGGGTCCCTCCTCTGTGCCCATGTCCAATCCATTTGCACAGCTGGGCCTCCCCCGTCCAAGTCACTTCGGGAGTTTCTGCTTTCCGACCCTGAAGCAGTGTGGGGACATTCAAGCACAGGTCTCCACTGGACTGACCCAGGAGACAGACCGCTGGGTCCTTAGTTCAGAACGCGTTTAACTGGACTCGAAACCGCCCGCGTTCCGGCAGGAGAGCCTGCCTTGGGCATCTGGGCTTACCCCGGTCTGCTGGGTGGGGTGACACCCTTGGCTTCCCTTCTAGCCAGCGCTGACAGCCAGCCCTGCCGCGGCCTAGTCTGCGTACACGCTCCGTTTTCAAAGTGACTTGTTTGATTTCTTCCTGTTGAGAGAAATCTTTATTTATTCCAGATCTGTTCCTTGTCACGTGTGTGGTTCGAAAACATTTCTTCCAGTCGGCGGCTTGTCCCCTCACTGTCTTCAAGGTGTAGTTCACAAAGCCGAGTTTAAGTTTTTGATGAAATCCGGTGTATCAATCGGTTTATAGATGGTGCTTTTCATGTCAACGCTGAGAACTTTTCACCTGAGCCCCGGTCACGAGGATGTCCTTCGACAGTTTCAGGGTTCACGGTGCACATTTGCATCTGTGGTCCGTTTTGAGTAAATCTTTGTACAGTTGTGTGCTGCCTGGCCGCGTTCTGGTCTCCTGACCACACAGACAACGGTCCTTACGGGACCGCAAGGAGCTGGGAGATTCCTGTCGCCCAGTGTGGTCGTAGCCATGGTAACGTCACAGAAAACACAACACGTTTACTCATGTGCTGGTGGTGATGCTGGTGTAAACTGCTTGCCTACAAATATGAAGGACTTCCCTTTTTAAAAATTTTTCTTTATTGATTTTAGAGAGAGAGGAAAGGAGAGGGAGAGAGAAACATCGATGTGAGAGGGAAACATTAATCGGCTGCCTCCTGCACGCCCCCCACCTGGGATTGAGCCCAAAACCCGGGCACATGCCCTGACAGGAATAGAACCGGGACCTCTCAGTCCCTGGGACGACGCTCAATCCACTGAGCCACACCGGCCGGGCAGGATTTAGGTCTTTTTAAAACAGCGTTTTCTACTTTTTGGAATAAGATCCAGTGCATTTTATTTTATTTTATTTTTTTCATCCTCACCCGAGGACATTTTCTCATGTTTTGTTCAGATAGAGTGGGAGGGGGAGAGAGAGAGAGAGAGAGAGAGAGAGAGAGAGAGAGAGAGAGACATTGACGTGAAAGGGACACATCAAGTGGCTGCCACCCACACGACCAACCAGGGCCGGGGACAAACTGCAACGGAGGCACGCGCCCCTCGCGGGAACCAAACCCGGGTCTCTCCGGACTGCAGGCCGACGCTCTAACCGCTGAGCCAAACCAGCCAGGGCAGATCCAGTGCATTTAAAAAAATTCAATGTATTTAAACTAAAACAACAACAGCTCACTCACTTCCCTCACTTCCGCCCCACCTCTTGCAGCCACCAATCTGTTCTCATCTATGAGTCTTTTGCTTTTCTTTTGTTCTCTTTGATTCCACAAGTAAGAGATCATACACTATTTGTCTTGGCCTAATGTTCTCGAGGTCCATCCATGTTGTCACAAATGGCAAGACTTCCCTCTTTTTAAAAAAAAGTTTTGTTTTCTTTATTGATTTTAGAGAGAGGGAGGGAGAGAGAGATAGAAACATCGATGAGAGAGAACATCAATTGGCCGCCTCCTGCACGCCCCCCACTGGAGATTTGGCCCACAACCTGGGCATGTGCCCTGACCGGGAATCAAACTGGTGACCTCTTGGTGCAGGGTCGACACTCAACCACTGAGCCACACCGGCCGGGTAAGACTTCCCTCTTTTTCATGGCTGATCAAAAGTTCCACTGTACATGTGAACCACACCTCCCTTATCCACCTGTCGGGGGGCACCCCGGTCACTTCCCAGCTTGGCTGTTGAACGAACGCCGCCATCGATGGGCTGCACCTGTCTTCGATATACGTGGGCTTTGTTCTTCAAGTCAATCACCAGAAGTGAATTCGGACTGCTGGATCACCTGGCAGTTCTATTTTTAATTTTTTGAGGAACGCCCTACTGTTTCCATGGTGACAGAGCATGAGGGGTCCCTTTTCTCCACATCGTCAGCAACACTCAATTCTTGTCATTTTGCTGATGGCCATTCTAACAGGCGAGAGGTGGTATCTCTGCGTTTCCTTGATGATTAGGGCACTGAGCATCTTGGCATGGACCTGTTGGCCATCTCCAGGTCTTTGGGAAAATGTCTACCCAGACTGTCCTACACAAATGTCAACTAGGTATTCTTTCACCAAAAAGGATTTATGTGAGAAAAGAAAGAATTGCAATCTCCTATGGGTGGCCATGGCGAGGGGAAAACGGAGGAAATATTTTATGGAGAGGAGAGGAAGTTAAGGGGGGCGCTGTTACCAGCCAGAGCTCCATTGTAGATGTGGGGGTCCTCCCGATGGAAGTGAGAAGCTCCTCCCAGAGGCCCTCCTGAGTCCACTCTAGGTTAAGGTCTCTGCCATACGTTTTGACAAGATCTGCCCATTTTTTCATTGCATTGTTTTTTATTGTTGTCTTTTGCTATTGAGTTTTTTAAAATTCTTTATATAGTTTGGGTATTAGCCCCTTATCAGATATATGGTTTGCAATTATTTTCTCCCATTGTCTTTCTTTTTTTTTTTTTTTTTTTATCCTCACCCGAGGACATTTTTCGATATTTTGTTCAGATAGAGTGAGAGGGAGAGAGAGAGAGAGAAACATCGACATGAAAGGGACACATCAAGTGGCTGCCACCCACACGACCCAACCAGGGCCGGGGACAAACTGCAACCGAGGTACATGCCCTTAGCGGGAACCAAACCCGGGTCTCTCCGGACCGCAGGCCGACGCTCTAACCGCTGAGACAAACCGGCCAGGGCTCTCCCATTGTCTTTCATCCTGGGGATGGTTCCTTTGCTGTACAGCAGCTTTCTAGCTTGATGTAGTCCCACTTGTTTATTGCTGCTTTTGCTTTGGGTGTCAGGTTTAAAAATCATTGCCAAGCCCTGGCTGGTTTGGCTCAGTGGTTAGAGCATCAGCCTGCAGTCCAGAGAGACCCGGGTTCGGTTCCTGCTAAGGGCACGTACCTCGGTTGCAGTTTGTCCCCGGCCCTGGTTGGTCGTGCGGGTGGCAGCCACTCGATGTTTTTTTCTCTCTCTCTCTCTTCCTCTCTTTCCCTCCCACTCTACCTGAACAAAAGAATGGAAAAAATGTCCTCGGGTGAGGATAAAGAAAAATAAAAAATAATAAAAAATAAAAATCATTGCCAAGTCTGATGTCAAGGAGAGTAGGAATGTTATGTCCAAGTCTTTTTTTAAAAAATGTTTTTTTAGAGAGAGTGAAACATGGGTGTGAGAGAGAAACATCGATCAGCTGCCTCCTACTGGAGGATCGAGCCTGCAACCTGGGCAGGTGTCCCAACTGGGAATTGAAACCAGACCTTTCATGAGGGCCATGGGCTGACCTCCAATCCACTGATCCACACCAGCTGGGCTGTGTCCAACTCTTTAGTCCATTTTGTATTAATTTCTGTGGTGTAAGATAGGGGCCTAGTTTCATTCTTTTTTTCAACCCTCACCTGAAGACATTTTTTGATATTTTGTTCAGATAGAGTGGGAGGGGGAGAGAGAGAGAGAGAAACATCGATGTGAAAGACACATTGAGTGGCTGCCACCCACCTGACCCAACCAGGGCTGGGGACAAACTGCAACTGAGGTACGTGCCCTTAGCGGGAACCGAACTCGGGTCTCTCCAGACTGCAGGCCGACGCTCTAAACGCTGAGCCAAACTGGCCAGGGCTCTAGTTTCATTCTTTTGCATGTGGCTGTCCGGTTTTCCCAACATCATCTATTGAAGAGACTGTCCTTTCCCCAGAGCATGTTTTCTGGCTCCTTTGTCATAGATTTACTTACCATATACACATGCATGGGTGTATTTCTGGGTTCTCTATTCTGTTCCACTGATATGCTTTTGTGCCAGCACTATACTGTTTTGATTACTATATCTTTATAATCTAGTTTGAAAGCAGGGGGTGAAAGACCTCCAGCTTTGTTCTTCTTCCTTAAGATTGCTTTGGCTATTTGGGATCTTTCATGGTTTCATATAAATTTCAGGTTTATTTGTTCAAAAAACATTGAAAATTTGATAGAGATTGCATTGTATCTGTATATTGCTTTGGGCAGTATGAACATTTTCACAATATTAATTCTTCCAATCCATGAGCACAGAACATCTTTACATTTGTTTGTGTCTTTGTCAATCGATTTTCATTCGAATCGTATAGTTTTCAATATACAGGTCTTCCAGCTCCTTGGTTACATTTACGCCTAGGTAATTACTTTTTTTTTTTTTTTGATGCAACTATAAATGACATTGTTTTCTTAATTTCTGACAGTTCAAGATGAATGTAAAAAAAATGCGGCAGGTTTTTGTGCATTGATTTTGTGTCCTGTAACTTTACTGAACTTATTAGTTCTAATAGTTGATGATGGAGTCTTTAGGGTTTTCTATACATAACATCACACCATCTGCAAGTAGTGAGAGTTTTATTTCTTCCTTTTCAATGTGGAAGTATTTAGTTCTTTTTCTTGCCTGACTACTGGGGCTAGACCTTCAATCAAAATGGCAAGAGTGAACATCCTTGTCTTGTTCACCACTGAGTATGAGGTTAGCTGTGGGCTTGTCATATATAGCCTCTGTTATGTCAAAGTATGTTCCCTCTGTACCTACTTGGTTGAGATTTTTAAAAATCATAAACAGATATCACCCTGGCTGGTTTGGCTCAGCAGTAGAGCGTCCACCCGTGGACCAGAGTCGGGGGTTTGATTCCAGTCAAGGGCATGTATCTCAGTTGCAGTTTGTCCCAGGCCCTGGTCGGGATCCTCCGGGGAGCAACCAGTCAATATGTCCCTCTCACATGGATGTTTCTCTCTCTCTCCCCCTCCCACTCTGTCTGGAGATAACGAAAAAAATATCTTCAGGTAAGGATGTTTAAAAAAAATCATAAACAGATACTGAATTTTGTCAAATGCCTTCTGCATCTGTTGAGAGAATTGTATGATTTTTGTCCTTCATTTGTAGGTGGTGTATCACGCTGACTTGCAGGTGTTGAATCATCCTTGCATCTCTGGAATAAATCCCACACGATCATGGTGTTCTATCCTTTTAATGTATTGTAGAATTCCATTTGCTAATATTTTGTTGAAGATTTTGGCATCTATGCCCACCAGAGATATTGGCCTGCAATTTTTTGTGGCATCCTTGTCTGGTTTTGGTATCAGGGTAATGCTGGCCTCAGACTATTTTTTTAAGAATAGTTTGAAAAGGATTGGCATTAATTCGTTGAATGTTTGGTAGAATTCACCCATGAAGCCATCTGGTCCTGGACTTTTTGGGGGGATGTTATTGATTACTAATTCAATCTCCTAGCTAGTCATTTGTCCAGATTTTATATTTCAGCACGATTCATTACATTTCAGGTTGCCAGGTTATTTCAAAAGGACATAACAAGCCCCATTACCTTTTCCCCACACGTTCACCAACATATCTTGTTTTTATTTTTTTTTGCCAAACCAATGAGTAAGAAGCAACACCTCATTCCTTCTGTTGTTTTTCAATCAATTTCGAATGGGGCTAAGAATCTCCATGTATTTATTGGCTATTTGGTTTCCACTGAGTTCTCTTCAGACCTTTGCTCCTTTTTCCCTATTGGCTTTTTCTTATCAATACACAAAATTTTTTTCTATATTAAGAACCTTAATTAACACTCTCTCTCGTGTGTTGTATTTCTTCCCCAACCATCTGTTTATGTGTCTCAACTGGGGCCGGTGGACAGGCTGCCCTGCAGTGACCTGGGGTGGCGATGGCGCTGTGCTGTCCTCACCCAGCCTGGCTGTACCTCTGCTATCCCCTTACTGGTGTACTTTCCCCAAAATGCTTTTCCATGTTCCCCGGCACCTTCTGGGTTTGCCACCTTTCCCTCACCACGCTTCTCCTTGGCGGTGAAGGGTACGGTGAATGGAACCTTGTGTGGTAAAACCTTGAGCCTCCTATGGGTGGACCCTCCCAGCCCTCACCCACTGCAGCCGACTCTCAGGACTGTGGGGTGGCACACTTGCTGAAACCACCCTAGACTGCAGGGTCCCCATTAGAGGCCAGGCGAGGGGCAGGGCACACAGCTGCTGGCTGGTCCTGGGGTCAGCACTGCAGGTGACGTGATGAACGTGCCTTCTAAACACAGCGTGTGCAGACAGGTGGGCCACACTGGAGAGTGTTGTCACACAGGCCTGCGTGGGCTCTTGTCCACAAACAGAAATCCTGGCACCCCCAAGTGCCAGGTCTCAGGGCCCAGCCCATCTGGGATGCCCTGGGACAACTGGTGACCAAGGGCTGTGGCCCGAGCTGGTACGCCCACCCTAGGAAGGTGGTGCCCCCAGGTCCCAGGTCCCCCTCCAGCCTGCACCCATGCCACCGGCTGGAGGCCTCTCCCCACCCCCAGCCTTGATGGCCTTGGGTGACCCAGCTGGCCCCAGTTGTTAGTCCCTGGGCCCCTGGGGTAGCCAGGCCTGTCTGTGTCTAGTGACAGCTCGGTCACTAGAGGATGTGTGGCAATATGCACATCTGGAAATGACAGGCTAAGGGAGGCAGCTGGTCCAGTGGTCACTCCTGGCCTTCTGCTGTGGCCACACTGCTGACCACATAGAGAATAACCTGACTGGGGTGGTCCTCTGCTCCCCTGGGGGTGGGAGCAGAAGGGACAAGGGACAGGGTGTCTCTACTCTCACCTCCCCAGCTGCTCGGCCCTTTCCAGGACCTCGGTTCCCACGTCCCTGCAGCGCCCTCCCTTGGCTGGGAGGTCCAGCAGCCCAGCACCCGTCCAGGCCGTGCGTGCAGGCGGCCCCACAGCAGCCCAGAAGGCCCTGCGCCCAGGGGGGTCGCCCAGGCGGCACGGAAACAGCAGAGCCGGCCGCAGCGGAGGGTCAGGTTTAATGGTCACTCACGGTATCGTACACGGTGGGGCCCGGCACACGCCCGCCCGCCCCAGCAGGGCACAGCCAGGTGCCTCAGACGCGGGCTCTGCAAAGGGGGCCTGCCCCCGAGCCCCGCTATATACAAGCGCCCCCAGCGGGCCAGGCGGGGTGCGAGCCCAGCCCCGGCGGCGGGCGGCGGGCTCTGGCCTGGGACGCGGAGCCAGGCCGGGAGCAGCGCGGGGCGCCCACGGGGCCCAGCCCCGGGGCCTGCACAGCCCGTCCTTCGGGCCAGGCCTGGCGGCGGCGGGGGCCCTCCACCGAGCTCCCTCGGGACAGAGGGAGGAGCGCGAGCGGCCCAGCCCGGTGCTGGTGATGGGTTCGCGGGCGCGGGCCCCGCGCGGCCGCCACGCACGCCACCCGCTCCCACGGGCTGGAGGAAATTGCACTTGTTCCGGGCGTCGCGCGAACCTGAGCGGTGAGGCTGCCCCGAGGGGCCGGTCAGGACCAGGACCAGGACCAGGACCAGGACCGGGCTCGGCCCGGCCCGGCGGCGGCGGCGCCCTCACAGCACGTCCTCGAAGTCCAGCAGCTTCGAGTGCTGGCGGCTCTTCCACAGGCGGTACAGCCGGAAGTCGAAGTAGGTCTCGATCATCTGCTTCCCTGGGGGCGCGGGCGGGGCTCAGGGCAGAGCGGGGCGGGGCCCAGGGCGGAGGCGGGGCTCGGGCGGGGCTATGGCAGGGTGGGGCGGGGCCCGGGGCGGGGCTATGGCAGAGTGGGGCGGGGCTCGGGCGGGCCCTGGGCGGGGGCGGGGCTATGGCCGAGCAGAGGGTCAGGGCTCAGGGCTGTGGCTCAGGGCTCAGGGCTCAGGGCTCGGCTGGAGGAAGGGGGCGCTGCCTCCTAGGCCCCACCCCGAGTGCTGGGAACCAGCCTCACAAACTCACCTTGGGCTGACAGCTCCAGGGGGGACTCAAAGATGACCCTGTAAGGGGTCATGAGGGTCCTGAGATTCTGGAACAGCTGAAAGGAGGGGCGGGGCCATGAGTTCAGGGCAGGGGTGGGAAGGAGTTTGAGGGCATGATGGGGGAGGAACCCCCCCAACTGGCTGGGCTGAGGTACAAGGGGTTTCTCTGGGGGTATTAAAGGGAGAAGAAAAGAGAATCTGGAGAGAAATGGGTGGGGGGCATTCTATTAACCCTTTTCATGGGTCTAGGGCTCCAGATGCCTAGGTGGGGCTTGGGGGTCCCTGTACCTTCTCCCCGTTGGGGTTCCCCAAAATGTAGCAGCCCATGATGTGGACGATGTTCGGCTCTGGGTTCACTTTGCTCATCAAGCGGCTCAACCGCTTCCAGAAGCTGGTGGGAAAAGGGCGAGCAGGTGTTCTCCAACCCAGGCCCCAGGTGTGACGCAGGGTGGGTCAGGGCCCAGCTGAGACAGAAGCCTCTGGGGAGGGGCTGTGGGTTGGGTGCACCTGTCTCCAGCCCCATTCCCCAGCCCCCACGCTCACTGAATCATGTCCCCAGCCCCCACAGCCACCCACCTGCTCACTGGGTCATGTCCCCAGCCCCCTTCCCCAGCCCCCACAGCCACCCTGCCTGCTCACTGGATCATGTCTTCCTCCTTCCCCACTTTGGCAAAGGTGGCCACCTTGTTCTTGAGCAGGTATAGGTGTCCTGGGCCACCCTGTAAGAGACTGTGGTCAGCCTCACAGGCTGCACACGAGGTGTCCATTCAATGCTCCTCCAATACACATATACCAGGTGGCATCCACCCCCCTCCCCAGCAGGAAAGCATTTAGCCTCACCTGGCAGAATATGAGCATCTTCCAGATCTTGGCACCCTTGTGGTAGATGTTCAGCTTCTTCTCTATCTCCTCTGAAGAGGGAGAGGTGTGAGCGCTGCCCCCCAGTGCTCCCTACAGCCTGCGCACACCCCCAGCGCACCCCCCAGCAGACGGTGGGGATGCAGGGCACATACCCAGGATGTCGTCGAAGGTGGCGTGCTCGTGGTCCTGGGACAGACACAGGCCACATCTGAGTCAGAGGCCCTCTCAGGCAGCACCCCCACCCAGCACTGGGGGACAGGCGGAGCCGGGGGGCACTCACGTAGAGAATGGGGATGATGGAGGGGTCGTCCCTGCGGATGATGGTGGGGATGTACTCAGCCTTGGGCACCTTGGAGGAGATGAGCTGGGAACAGCACAGGGAACTGCTCAGGAAGGGCCTGGCCACCTCTGGGCCAGGGGTTGTAGGAGCCCCTGTGAGGTCAGCCCCACCCCCAGCAGATGAATGATACTCCCAGGCAGCCCACAGAGGAGCCCGGTGAGAAACCACCCCAAACCCTGCAGTGGCTGCGTCATTCCCAGGCAGAAACAGTGGAGCTCCTGGAGGAAAAAGGAAGCCCTCCGCAGACCAGATGGAGAAGCACTGGGGTGGCCAGTCCTCACCATGACCTTGGGCGGCAAGAAGCCCTCAGTGTCACAGGCCACCGCCTCCAGGCCCTTCTCAGTCTCCCAGTCCAGGTCCTCGAAAGTCTCGTCCAAAGTGCAGTGTGAGCTCTGCAGGTCACTACCTGAGGAGCAGGGTGGGTCAACGGGGCTGCGGGCCATCAGCCCACCTCCTGCCCAGCTGCAGTTCCCAGAGACAGTGGTAGACAGAGCGGGCAAGCCACATCCTGGAGGGTCCTCCAGGCCAGCGAGGACACAGGATGGGTGAGGGAGTGGAGCCAAGGTCACCGCCAGCTAGGCAAGACTGGCTGCTGCTGGCCAGAAGCTGCCCGACTGGGGAGGCCAGGGGACCCCTGTGCAAGGCTGGCGGGAGCCAGGATGCGGGTGTAGGCTCCAGCCAGGTGCGCCTGGTGCCCTGGATCAATAAGGAGCTGAGCACTGCAGCCCGTGCCCCTCAGGCTTCGGAGAGAGGAGGCAGCGCACAGGCAGAGAGCAGAGGCCTACAGGCGCCCTGCCCGGCCCACCACCGCGGTGCGTTACTCTGCCCGCAAGCGCCGAGGTGCAAGGCGCTCGGGTTTACCGACAGCTCATCTGAAGCTCGGAGCAGAAGCGCAGAAGCTTAGCTGCCCGGGCGGGGGACCCGCCCAGCAGAGCTGGGGGCCTGGGGGCCTAGGGGAGCCTTGGGGAGGGGTGGGCTGGCCTGTGCGGGGCACCTACTGTCTCGGGAGTCGTGGGAAGTGTCGGCTTTCATGGGGGTGGGGTCGCTCCAGGACCGGCTGAAGCTCCGCTCGCGCCGCTCTGCGAACGCTGCGGGGAGAGCAGAGCCCGCGTCAGGCCTCAGCGGGCGGGGCGGGGCCTGGGCGGGGCCGGGGCCAGGCCCAGTGCGAGGGCGTGGCCTGGGAGGCCGGGGGGCCGAGCCCGAGGAACCAGAGGTGGGCTGGGCCAATGGCGGGCCGGCTCTCGGGCAGGATCTGGAAGAGTCGGGGAGTTCCAGGGTGGGGCAATGGAGAACGCCAATGTGGGAAGAGTAGGGGTGTTGGGGGGCGTGGGGGGCTATGGCCGGAGTCTGGGAGCGCTGGGGTGGAGCTGGGGATGCAGCTGGGCAGGGTGGGGTTAAGTATGGGCAGCACTGGGGACGGAGCCCCAGGACGCCAGTGGGGGCGGGGCTATGGGCGGAATGGGGGTGCCAGGGCAGGGCTAGGGGCAGAGTTTGCGGGTGCTGTGGCGGGGTTAGGGATAAAGCCTGGGGTGTCAGGGCGCTGCACTAGGGGCAAGTTGCAGTCGGGCGTGGGCCTTAGGGGTCTTCCGTGCAGAGCGAGCAGCACTCAAAGCCCAGCCGGCCAAGAGCAGGACCCCGCCCCCACCCCCACCCCCGCCTCCCCACCCCCTTACTCTGGGCCTTCACCCTCCGGCTGCCGACCATGCGTAGGTGTTTTCGGAAGTTCCTGGGGGGATAGAAGCACCAGGGGCTGCGAGGGGGGTGGGGAGTGGTCCTTGCTCCCACATCCCCTGACCTCCACTGCTAGTGCCACATCTGACTCAGAGAAGGATGCCCTCCCGGAGCCCCCACACAACCCACCCAGAGGCAAACCCCACCCTGTCCCTCTCCTTACTGTGACCCTTCCAGGGCTCCCCTTTGGGGCCTGGACAAAGGCACACTGATCAAGCGACTCTTGCCACCCCACCCTCCGTCCCCTGGTGACTAGGACGCTCAACACCCCACCTCCACTGTGTTGCCCTCCCATTCCCTCCTTGGCCCAGGCCAGCCTCTCTCCCGGTGGTCAAGGGCTCCTGCCTTCTGCCCTTGGCTGGGCAGCGCAACTGTCTGCATCACCCACAGGCAGGTCTGGGGCCTGCAGGAGATGCCCCTCCCCCACACGTCCCTGGGCCATCTCAGGGACAGTTCTTTCTCCCCAAACTTTGTGCCCTAAAAGGCTTGAAGCCTGAATGGACAGACAGCTTCCTGGACACATCCCTGAGGTAGGAGTTGGGGAGGGTTAGCCTTGCCACTGACCCCACAGCTCTGGGCTTCGCAGGCCAGAGAGAGACAACCGTGACTGTCCCCCAAAACAAAGTCCTGGGCGCCCAGGCCACGTGGCCTCTCCTGCCTGCTGCGTCCCCAGAGCAGGGCCAGGCCAGTGGTCGCCACCACCCCTCCCCCATCCGGTCTGCTGGCCGGACCAGCACAGACACGAGACGGACCCTGGTGGCGAGAGGCTGGCAGGCCCTACCTCTGGATTACAGACGCAGACTCATTCTCCCGCTTCCGGCGCTTCCTCTCCGCGTAGCCCCTGAACACCCTGGGAAACCAGGAGTCAGCACTGCCCTTGGCCACAGGCAGAGGGACAGACACGAGGGGACAGAGGCGCGAGCGCAGGGACCAGTGGGACATCCGGGCGCTGGGCCTGGCAGAGGGGTCCTGGCTGCCTCGCCCTGTCCTGGCCCGGCCCTGGCAGGCCCGCTGCAGCCTCGGTGCCCGCGGGGACACCGCACTCCCTCACAGTCGAGCCCAGATCCCTGGCCTGCCCAAACCTACTGGGGGGGACGCCCCAGGGACAATCGCATGCCCTCAGGCTGGAGGTCCCACGGGTACTTACGAGATGCTGCAGGTACGGCCGGTAGGGGCAGCATGAGAGAGAAGACACAGTGAGCTTTGACCGCTCAGCCCAGCTAGCTCCCCGTGGTCAGTGCCCTCCTTAGGATTCAGAGTCCCCCACAAGTACCCCAGGTACCCTCAGGGCGCTGCACGCTGTGGGCCAGCCCCTAGAAGGGCCGTGGACACCAGTCACCATGGCCCATGGCCCAGGTGCTGTGACATGCCAGGCCAGCACAGAGGCCGGACTGCCCTGCTAGCCCGGGGACCCAAGGGGGTGGTGGCATCACTTCTGGGCCCCAGGGTGGGTCGCCTGTGGGGAGGGCACCTCTTTGGTGTGGAGCACACTACAACAAAGGACGCCCCTGGGAAGAACCCCAGGATAGAAAACCCAGACGCGTGTCACAGGTGTGGAAGGGCAGACCTCCAGGGGCTCCTAAGTGGTGGTCACTCGGGGCACACACGGAACAGAAGCAAGCTGCAGTCTGGGGCGTGCCTGAGGGCAGAGCCTCGTGGGCAGCGCTGGGTGACACAGGCCCAGGAGAACCCCCCCACTGGTGACTGTGTCAGAGGCAGCCTCAGGCTGGACCCGTGAGGAACAGGGACCGGCTGAGCGCGTGGGGGGGAGAGCAGCTGGCTTGCCTTCCCTCGGAGTGACGCCACTTCTGGGCAGGGGGGCTGCTCAGGAGCAAGCACCCCTGTGGAGCTCAGGGGAAAGAGAGGGTCCGGGACTAGTTCCGAAGCCCAGAAGAGGCCCCGGCCAGGCCCCGAGCTGGGGCACAAGTCAAGGACATGACTCACGCTTGCATAGTCGTGGTTGCCGTCTGGAAGCTAAAGAGGTTTTCCTTGGGGAACCAGGTGCGGATAGGGGTGTGAGTGTCGTCTGGAAGAGACAAAAGGAGCGGTGACCAGGGAGGCTTGGGGGTCCCTGGTGGGGAAGGGGTGCTTCTGAGGCAGCCAGCGGAGGCTGGCCCGGGGCCCCGAGGCGACGGGCACCCACTCAGCTGCTGGGGCCGGCACGGCTCAGTGGCTTCGTGACGCTTTGATGGTCTCTGCTCGGCTCTCCTTTTGTTGAGAAGTCCTCTGAAAGGACAGCCTGTCCCCAGGGTGCCCAGCAAACGCTCCCTTTGGGAAGGGGGGGCGGGGACAAGGGCCGCAGCCCTCCTGGGGGCGCGGGGCCTTCTCTGCAGCAGGACACGTGTGAGCTGAGCCAGACCTCCCCCCAGACCCTTCCAGGGGGGAGCAGGGAGCGTGGACACTGCAGCTCCCAGACAAGGCTGAAGGCTCAATCACGTCGCTCTGATCCTCCCACCCTGACCCCTGCCCGACCCCGCCTGTGTCCCTCACAGGAACATGGAATTGTGGAGGTGAACTGCCCACCCCCCAGGCCTGTGCCCTGATGCCCAGGAGGTGTCCTCAGAGGCGGCGGCAGCACAGCCAGGAGGCACCGGGCTGCCTGAGTGTCCCAGGGAGACCTTTTCAAGACACAGTGAGCCTCTGGGGTCCCCAGCCTCAGGCACAGCCTGATAACCCCGGGAAGAGGCCCACCGGCTGGCCAGGCTCCAAACAGCTACATACGTCCTGAAGTATGTGGGAGCCCTGCTTGGTGGGCCCAGAGCAGGGGCTGTTCCCGGGGACTCCTCAGAGGCAGCCCAATCTTCCAACTAAGCCATGTTTCCTGCCTGCTCAACCCTCAAGACCCTGCCGGGCCCCTCCTCTGGGAGGCACTCTTTGATTGACTTGGTGCTGGCAGCGCCAAAGTCGACCACGGGGCACGGGACAGGGTGCCAGGGACACTGCCTGCCTGCTCCGACCTGGGCGCCCTCCGCCTGCCTGAGCCTCATGATGGTCGCTGCGGGCAGACCCCAGCACCAGCACTCCGCCCAAGTCCTCCCGTGCCCGAGACGAGCCCCCTCACCAGACACACGGTCCACACTGTACATCCTCTCCAGCTTCTTGCGGCGACTGGTGGGCTGGGGCACAGGGGGCTGGTCCAGCCCAAAGGCCCGAGGGGAGGGGCCGGGGGCCAGCGGGGCGCACCCCGGACATTCCTTGGAGCACTGGTGGCTGCCGGCCCAGTTCTGACAGGGGGTGCTGACGTCCTCACAGCTGGCGCGAAGGGCCTGGCTGTGGTGGTGGGGGTGCTCCCGGTGCCGCCGCCCCTTGACCACCGCCAGCTCAATGGCCTCGGCCTCCGGGCTGGGCAACAGGGCGGGCTCCCCGGAGATGGTGTACACACGGGGCTGGGGACCCTCTCCGGCTGGCTTCCCAATGACCGCTTCCTCGGAGAGGCTGCCTTCGTAGCGGCCGTTGGAGACGAGGGAGAGGCGGCGCTTGTTCTGGGGGGCTGGCTGCATCTCGGGGGACCCGTCGTGGCCAGAGTAGGCGTCAGCCAGCAGGTGGTCTGGGGAAGAGGTGCCAGGTGAGTCTGCAGGTACTCAGAGGGCAGAGGACACCCGATGGGTGCTTGGCCTGGATGTGGGAGCCTGGGGCTCCTCCTAGAGGTTCCCACCTCCCTCCAGCCGGCCCCAAGCCCCTTGTGTGTGTGAGGGGACAACAGGACCAGCTACCTGTGGGTGACGGGTGGGGCAGGAATAAACAGGCCACCTCCTAGCCTGCCACCGCACTCATGTGCCCAGTGCCAACTTCTCCCCTCCCCCCTACCAGCTGGCCCCCAGAGACATGGTGCCAACCCTGGGGGTGCCAGGAGGCCGGTTGCCATGCCAACAGCCCAGGCTGGGTGGGTGCCATGGTGATGAGTGACTCTGAGCTCCTCCTGGGGCTCTGGGCCAGGGAGGGCAGGGGGCATGAGGCAGCCGGCCCAGCAGGGCAGCTGCGCTCTCACGCCGGAGCCCCCAGGCCCCCCGGCTGGGCCCGGCCTGGAGCAGGGGACAGCAGGCCGAGGGTGCAGGGCTGCGCACAGACCCATCCCGGCACTGCTCACGTGCGCCTACCTGCACCGTTCCGGTTCTCAGGGTGACTCTGGGACAGGTACTCGCCGAAAGCTCGGGCGGCTCTGCAGAGTGGACAGCAGGGCGCCGTCAGCGCGCACGGCCCGCCCTGGCCTCTTCTGCAGCAGCAGCACGGGGTCCTCACCCCCCCCATCCCGGGCCTGGCACCAGCGAGGGGGGGATCCCCCAGGGCGGGCGCGCGCAGCCCACCCCGAGACCCAAGGTCGCAGCTCTCGGGACCCCTGCGCCCAGCGCCCGAGGCCGGGCCCCACCACCCGGGAGCGTGGGGGCGCACGAGGCGGGGTGGGGGCGGGGAGGCGGCGCCGGGGCGGCCGCCGGCGCACTCACCGCACTTTGGCCGCCACGGAGGACATGGCCTCGCTCCGCAGCGCCCTCCTCCGGGAGGCGGCGGCGCCCATGGTCGAGGCGCCGGCGCATCCCCGGCCTCAGAGCGCGCCCCGCGCCCGCCGCCTCCGCCGGGGTAGCCGCGCCGCACAGGGGCTCGGGCTGGGGCCGGGGCCCGGGACCCGCATGGCCGCGCCGGGCCCTCCGCGCGTCCCGCACCGGGAGCCGCGGCCAGGACCGGGGGCGACGCTCCGCCCACCGCGCGTCAGGGCCGGGCGGGGCGTGCACCGTGACGTCAGGGGCGGGCCGCCCACCGGGAAGTCAGTCCGGAGCCCTGGCTGGGAGGGGCGGTCCGCGTGACGTCAGGACCTGGGGGGCAGCTCCGACAGTGACGTCAGAGCACGGCCCTGGCCATGCGGCAGGGGCGGGGCTCCCGGCTCGCAGTTCCCATCACTAGCTTGGGAGCCAGGAGGCAGGCTGGTCACCTGTCTGTCTGGGGGGTCCTAGGCCTTGGGTCAGAGGTCTGCCTGCCCCTCGGAGACCCACGTCCCCTGCTCTGAGCCTGCAGGGATGGTGGACCCCAAAGCCCCAGGCCGGGCAGTCCTCCGTCCTGGTGTGCAAAGGGCTTCCCCGGAGCTCTGAATGACTGGAAATAAGGGGGGGAGTCCGCGGTGGAGGGGCCTGTGTGTACCGAGTGCGAACAGTGCCGCAGCGGCCGGGAAAGTCTCCTTGGCGGGGCGACCCCTGCTCCACCCCAGATCCTGGTGCTCTCCCTGCTGGGCCTGAAATGGTTGCCGGGCCCCACCTCCTGTTCTGAAGGCTTCATATCCCCGCAGAGGGGTGTCTTGAGCCCTAGGGTCCCCATGTGGTGACCTCCAAGGAGGGCAGGCAATGCCATGCCCACCAGGCCTCAGGGATGTGGTCCCCCAGTGGCCAGTGATGGGGCGGCTGCTCCCTGGCTCCGGTCGAGCACGGCTGGGCTTTGCTCTCCGCCACGGGGGCCTGGCGCAGGGACCACACGCCCACACAATCAGATCTGCTTTTATTGACCGCCTAGGTGGAGGCAGGGCCCTCGGCTCTCAGAGGCCTCGGGGCTGCAGGGGCTGGCCTGCGCCCAGGGTGCTGTGTGAGCAGGAGGTGCCAGGACCAAGTGCCCCACCGGGAGCGGCAGTGCAGAGGCTGACACCCAGCTCGGCCCTGGGCCCCACCAGGGCTCCTGCCCCAGGGCTGTGGTTTCCGGGCTGGTGCCCTGCAGGAGCAGGCTTCAGGGAGGTCAGGGCGGAGACCTCTACGGTGCCCTGCAGGAGCTGGCTTCAGGGAGGTCAGGGCGGAGACCTCTACGGTGCCCTGCAGGAGCAGGCTTCAGGGAGGTCAGGGCGGAGACCTCTACGTGTCTTGGTCAGAGAGCCAGGGGGTCGGTCAAGGCGTCCTGGGACAGTTTGGGGGAAGCCAGGCTAGGGTGCTGATGATGAAGTGGGGGCTCGTCTTCCTGTAAGCAGACAGTCAAGGGGGGAACAGGCTGGAGGGCGACCCTGGTGGGGTTCCCCAGCCCTGGGTGGCAGCAGGTAGCGAGAACACCGCGGCCTGTCGGGCCTCAGAGCCGGTGCGGGGGCCAGGGCGGTGCAGGCAGCTCACCGAGTCGGAGCCCACGTCGGCTGGGGAGCTCTGGAAGTCAGCGTAGGCATCTTGGGGGCCGTCTGGCAACCCCTCCTCGCACTCGGTCAGATAGTCAGACTCGTCTGGGCAGAGGGAGGGCCGTGTCGGTCTCCCCAGGCAGGCCACACGGCAATGGCCCAGGTCCCTGCCCACCGCCGACCAGGTCCAGGGCCACTTCCACCAGCCCCCTCAGCTCTATGGCACACGTCCTGGGTGTCCAACTCACCGTCCACCACGGCCACCTTGGCAGGCTCTATACGTGACACAATCTCGGCGAGGTCCGTGAAGGAGGCATTGGGGCAGGTGAGGACCTGCAGGGCCGAGATGGAGGACACGTCTAGGCAAAGGCACCACTTGCTGTGCCCCCTGCCCGCAGCCCTGACTGCCCGCCAGGCCCGCAGCCCGCTGCCCTCTGTCAACCCCTGGGACCCTAGCTGAGGATCCCCTGTGCAGAGGCAGGAAAGATGGGCAGAGTCCTGAGCAGACACCCCAATCAGACCGCCATCCTGTCCGGAGGGGATAAAGGGGGGACCCAAGAGCAGACAGATGCCAGGAGACAGTCCCCAGGGCCATGGCAGGTGCTGCACGTGAACATCTGGGTGCTCCAAGGCTGCCGGCTGCAGGGCGCAGGGCACCTATCTGGGTGGTGTGTGGGAGAGACAGGCCACAGGATGGGGGGAGGAGGGTGCCCGCTGGGCGCTCACGTCGCAGGCCTTCATCTTGCCCTGCCGGTCCTGCAGCATCTTCTCCAGCACACCACTCCGCTTCCAGATGTCGAACACCGTGCGCCCGTGCTGGTACCCCACCTCCTGTACACACAGAGGGGACCTGGGACTGGGCGCCGGGGGGCCCCACCTCCTGCACACAGAGGGGACCTGGGCCTGGGCGCCGGGGGTCCCCACCTCCTGTACACACAGAGGGGACCTGGGACTGGGCGCCGGGGGTCCCCACCTCCTGTACACACAGAGGGGACCTGGGACTGGGCGCCGGGGGTCCCCACCTCCTGTACACACAGAGGGGACCTGGGACTGGGCGCCGGGGGTCCCCACCTCCTGTACACACAGAGGGGACCTGGGACGGGGCGCCGGGGGTCCCCACCTCCTGTACACACAGAGGGAACCTGGGACTGGGCGCTGGGGGGCCCCACCTCCTGTACACACAGAGGGGACCTGGGACTGGGCGCCGGGGGGCCCCACCTCCTGCTCTGAGGGCACCGGAGCCCAGCCCCGCACCCCACACTCACGCAGATCTCGGAGAACTTGCCGAAGTCCAGGGTGCCGTAGCTGTCGATGGGCGGGCGCAGGCACTCGCAGTAGTCGCTGCTCCGCACCTGCTCCAGCTGCCGCACGCAGCACACGTAGGCCAGGCGCGTCTGGATCTCCGCCATGTTCAGCACCTGCCCGGCACAGCCTCCTCGTCTCGGACCCTGGTCCCCCCCTCCCTGGGGGACATGGCTCTGCAGGCCTGACCCTCCCAGGGCTGGGCCAGCAGCAGGGGCAGTGAGGCTCAGGGGCAGGAGGCTGAGAGAGCTGCAAGGGCCAGGCTGCACCCCCAGGGCTGCCCACCTTGACCTTGGTGGCCAGGGGGTTCCAGCGCTTCCAGAGAAGCCACCACCCAGACAGGGCGTCGCCGTAGTTGGTGAGGTCCGTCTCGTCCCTGCTGCCTACGTCGATGGCGATCACCACCTTTGCCCCCATCGACCTGGCCACATCCGCTGGGAGGAGGAGACCCTGGTCACCACCCGGGACAGGTGCACAGACCCCAAGTCGGGGTGCAGCCTCCCGACAAGCTCTGAAGCCAGCTGAGGACACTGAACTGTCCAACAGGTGGCAGGTGTGCCAAGGGAGGCCCCACAGCACATGACACCTGTGGGCTGTAGGTCCCAGCCACGGGCACAGACGGGAGGTGGCTGCTCCCAGCCCCTCCACGGCCCTGGTTCTGAATACTGACCACGGGAGCACAGGCAGGACTCACGCCAAGCGCGCATGTGTGTGCGTGCATGCGTGTGTGCGCGCACGCGCTCTCTGCTCTGCGCCAGCCTGTAACCCTTGGCACGCTCTGAGGAGAACGTGCACCAGCACCGGGAGCGGAGGCGGCGGGCAGTACCTGGGAGGTTGTTGATGTAGCCCCCGTCCATCAGCAGGTGCCCGTCTTTGGGGTCGCAGAGAGGCGGCATGTAGCCCGACAGGGACATGCTGGCCCGCACATACCTCCACAGGGAGCCTGGCAGGGGAGGGGGAGGGGAGATCACCGGCCATGCCAGGGGCAGAGAGGGGCCTTCCCAGCCCTGCACCCCTGCCCTGCACCCTCGGCACAGCCTGGCCTATGCGGGGTCCTCACCTAACTCACAAATGCCCACTGCCCAGCACGCCCCCGTGGCCTGACCGCGGCCCCCTCCGACCTCACTGCCCGAGCACGCCCCCCTCTGCCCCCACGGCCAGAGTGAGCCCCCTCCACCCATGTCCCAAGCGCACCCCCCTCCGCCCCCGCTGCCCCAGCAGGCCCCCCTGTGCCCCCATGGCCAGAGTGCGCCACCTCCACCCATGTCCCAAGCGCACCCCCCTCCGCCCCCCCTGCCCCAGCAGGCCCCCCTGTGCCCCCATGGCCAGAGTGCGCCCCCCTCCACCCATGTCCCAAGCGCACCCCCCTCCGCCCCCACTGCCCCAGCAGGCCCCCCTGTGCCCCCACGGCCAGAGTGCGCCCCCCTCCACCCATGTCCCAAGCGCACCCCCCTCCGCCCCCACTGCCCCAGCACGCCCCCCTCTGCCCGCACGGCCGGAGCGTGCCCCCTCCACCCACAGCCCAAGTGCCCTTCACTCCTCCTCCCCACTCAGCTCACAAGTTGTGTTCACCCCCCCAGTCTGGGATCTGGGCGCCTGGCAGTCCCCCAACACCGGTCTTTCATGGCCAGGCGGTTTCTGCATCAGAGCTCCCTCTGGTGACCTTGGGGCCTCCCAGCTCCTGGAGGCCGGCCGTCCTCGGCCTGCGTGGGCCCAGAGCGGGAGCCACCCAGGAGCAGGCAGGCGCTCACCGTCTGTGTGGACCCGCATGGCCGAGGCCGAGATGTCCGTGGTGACGGTGAAGTAGGGGATCCACAGGTCCTGAGGGAGGACGGGCTCAGAGGGGCGTTCTCCTGGCCACCAGCCAAGGGCAGGGAGGGATGGAGGGTGCAGAGGGTGCAGCACAGGCCAGGCAGGGCCCCCCGGGCAGCCCTCTGAGCACCTCGATCTGCCGGTCCTTGAAGACGCTGCAGATGCTGCTGTTGAAGCCGGCCCCCGAGAACATGGAGGTGATGGGGTAGGTCAGGTCCAGCACGGTCTTCACCATCGACGTCATGTCCTGACGGGGCACAGTGAGGCCCCTGTGAGAGACCAGCAGGAGCTTCCGGGAAAGGCAGCAGGGACGGGGGCACCCATGCCCTCCCAGCAAACAGAACAGAGGCGTGGGGGTGTCCTGGGGGTGGGGGACTCTGCAGGGTGAGCGCTGGGCTCGAGGTCCTGTGGGGGGAAGGCCCTGGGGGTATGGAGGTCCTGGGGAAGGGTAGGACCTGGGGGGGTGAAGGTCCTGTTGGGGGGAGGCCCTGGGGGAATGGAGGCCCTGGGGGTATGGAGGTCCTGGGGGGGGTAAAACATGAGGGGGTGGAGGTCCTATGAAGGGGAGGTGGGGGGTGGAGACCCTAGGGGGGGCAGAGGTCCTATGGGGGGAGGGCCCTGGGGGGGGCAGAGGTCCTGTGGGGGGCGGAGGTCCTGGGGGGGCAGAGGTCCTGGGGGGGCAGAGGCCGTGGGGGGGCGGAGGTCCTGGGGGGGCAGAGGTCCTGTGGGGGGGAGATCGTGGGGGGGGGCGGAGGTCCTGGGGGGGAGAGGTCCTGTGGGGGGAGGCCGCGGGGGGGCGGAGGTCCTGGGGGGGCAGAGGTCCTGTCGTGGGAGGCCCTGGGGGGACCTGCATAGCCTTGTGCAGTCGCCTGGCAGTGAGGCGTGCTCCTGCTTGGGCCCTGAGCTCCAGCCTGCCCAAGGGGACCCACAGAGGCCTCCCGGGGAGGGAAGCTGCCCTGGCCTTGCTCGGGTGGCCCTCACACACACCCCAGCGGGCGCCTCAGGCCTGCAAGGACCCTCCTGCCAGAGCCCTCCCCTGGGGTGGGCAGAGGCCGCCCTCTGCAGTGAGGGTCTAGTCAGACACGCGAGGACATCCAGGTTCCAGGCTGCCTGACTCCTCAGGCTCAGGGACGGGGCCCCCCCTGGGACGTGCACAACAGCCCTGCGGGACGAGGCACCTGCCCACGCGCACCCTGCCGGGTGTGAAGACCCTGCCTGGGGGAGCCAGAGGGACGCAGGGACCCAGGACAGCGCGGGGCACCCCACAGCCCTCCAGTCAGCAGGGCCCTCACTCAGGATGCCGGGCCCGCACCAGCCCCCCCCCATCCCCAGTGTGGCAGGGGACACAGGCTCAGGAGGCCCACCTTGCCCTGCCCCAGTGCACCCCAGGACAGGGCGAGGTGGGCTGTCCACCCAGGGCTCCCTGGCGGTGCCCACACCTGCACCCGACAGGCAGGGAGAGGTCTGCCGGGCCCGGGCCGACCCTCACGGAGGCTGAGCACCGTCCCTGCGGCTCTGCTCCCAGGCCCAGTGCCGGGCGCGGAGCCCTGGCCTCTCCTCAGGCAGCGCCGAGGGCAGTGGTCTCGGGGAAGAGCGTCCCTGAGCAGTGTCCTCACGGATTTGCTGCAGGGGACGATTGGTCGCCTTTTCTGTTTTGTTTGCTAATCCTCACCCAAGGATGTATTTTTCATTGAAATACAGAGAGAAACACATCGATTGGTTGTCTCCCACATGCACCCCAATTGGGGTTGGGGAGTGAACCTGCAACCCAGGTGTGTGCCCTTGACGAGGAATTGAACCCTTGACCCTTCCAATGCACAGGCTGACACTCTGACCACTGACCCACACCAGCCAGGGCCTCGGCAAACACTTCTGGTATCACTGTTTCTGCTGGAAGACACGCAGAGCCTGAGGGTGGCCTGCAGCCCGCACGGCGGGGAGGCTGAGCGGCCCCTGGACACGGCAGCCCCTCCGCTCCAGCCAGGGCTTCGTCCCCCAGCCCTCGTCGCCGCGGGCCCAGCTCTGGACAACCGTCCTCCCTGTGTCCCTGGGGCTCCGGCCCTTGGGTCTTACAGCCCCGGGAGAGGCTGCGCCCCAGGTGCCCGGGGTGCCTTTCTTGCAAACGGACCAGGGCACCCCTCCCCCGACCTTTATCCAAATCTCACACCCGCCAACATTCCTTTGCCCAGCTCACCCAGGGCCAGACAACTGGGCACAGTCATGTCCCCAGCGCACAGGGATTATTCGGAGGAGCTGAGCTGAAGCCGTGACCCTGCCCTTCCCACGGAAACCCCACTGAGGGCTCTGGCCGGGGCTCTCCTTGCTCCCCCATGGCCCTGAGGATGGTTGTGCCTCGTTTCCAGCGGAACCTGGGTGAGGTGGACTTGTTCTGTCAGTGGCCCTGTCAGTGGTCCGCGCTGCCCTCAGTCACCTCTGAAAACTGAGGCACCAACCGGAGCCGACCCCCCGATGTGATCACACCCCACGTGCTCCCTCTCCACCTCACAAGCCACACTCTGAGCCCAGGGGCCTGCAGAGCTGCGTGCAGGGCCGCGGTCCAGTGCCCACCCCCAGAGCTGCCTGCAGGGCAGTGGTCCAGTGCCCACGCCCAGAGCTGCCTGCAGGGCCGCGGTCCAGTGCCCACCCCCAGAGCTGCCTGCAGGGCCGCGGTCCAGTGCCCACCCCCAGAGCTGCCTGCAGGGCCGCGGTCCAGTGCCCACCCCCAGAGCTGCCTGCAGGGCCGCGGTCGAGTGCCCACCCCCAGAGCTGCCCGCAGGGCCGCGGTCCAGTGCCCACACCCAGAGCTGCCTGCAGGGCCGGGGTCCAGTGCCCACCCCCAGAGCTGCCTGCAGGGCCGCGGTCCAGTGCCCACCCCCAGAGCTGCGTGCAGGGCCGCGGTCCAGTGCCCACCCCCAGAAGCTGCCGCAGGGCCGCGGTCCAGTGCCCACCCCCAGAGCTGCGTGCAGGGCAGTGGTCCAGTGCCCACCCCCAGAGCTGCCCGCAGGGCCGCGGTCCAGTGCCCACCCCCAGAGCTGCCCGCAGGGCAGTGGTCCAGTGCCCACCCCCAGAGCTGCCCACAGGGCAGTGGCAGTGGTCCAGTGCCCACCCCCAGAGCTGCCCGCAGGGCCGCGGTCCAGTGCCCACCCCCCGAGCTGCCCGCAGGGCCGCGGTCCAGTGCCCACCCCCAGAGCTGCCCGCAGGGCCGCGGTCCAGTGCCCACCCCCAGAGCTGCCCGCAGGGCCGCGGTCCAGTGCCCACCCCCAGAGCTGCCCGCAGGGCCGCGGTCCAGTGCCCACCCCCAGAGCTGCCTGCAGGGCCGTGGTCCAGTGACCACCCCCAGAGCTGCCTGCAGGGCCGTGGTCGAGTGCCCACCCCAGAGCTGCGTGCAGGGCAGTGGTCCAGTGCCCACCCCACTGTTCCTGAGAGGGCAAGGCCCTTACCTCCGCCCACTGCTTGGCCCGGATCCGAATCTGGCTGTAGTTTCTCTCCTCGGCGTACAGGGCGCCCATGAAGGCCCCGATGGACGTCCCTCCGACCATGTCCACGGGGATGCCGCACTCTGTCAGGGCTCGGATGATGCCAACCTGGGCACAGCCTCTATGCCAACCGGGAACAGAGAACAGGAGTGAGGGCCACCGCCCGGACCCACACCCACTGCCCTGGCAGAAGGCACCAGGGACATCTGTCCTGTCCCACCCACTCCTCCCTGCCCAAGGGTCAGGAAGCGGGGCACAGACAGGACCTGGAGAGGAACAGCGGACACCATTCCCAGGCCTGTGTCCTGAGAGCAAGCCACAGCGTCTGAGAAGGACGCCACTGAATAGGCTTTGGACAGACGCAGGAGGGGCAGGGGACACAAGTCCAGGCCCACCAGAAAGGGCGGTCCGGTCAACAACCCAAGGGTCAGCGTGAGGGGGACACAGACGAGCCCCTTGGGGACAGGAAGCCAGCATCGGACTGAGGTGGTCGCGCTGAGCCTCCAACTACTGCGACGGTTCCCCTCATGGTGCCACCACTCAGAAATGCTGGCACGAGAAGGCCATGTGACCATAGCCCGGAGGGGACAGCAGACGTGGACCCGAGGAGCTGGGGACAGAGACCGGCCGGCCCAGAAAGGACCGCCGAGCCCAAGGCGGCAGCAGCCTGAGCGCCCTGGCGGGTGGAGGAGGCGCACGGAGGAGACTCTGGGGCCGTCCCGCCTCCACAGAAACCAGAAGGAGCCCGCAGGCTGCAGACCATGGCCCTTGACGGCGTCGTGTCCAGCGAGAAGCCAGTCACAGGACAGTCCCGGGGGACCCACGCCTCCAAGGTCCCAGAGGACTCAGAGCCAGGCAGGAAGTGGACGGTGGGGGCCGGGGGAGAGTCAGCGGGGAGAATGGACACTCCTGGAGGGGACGTGGGGGCGAGCCCGACGCCGAGGGGTGCATGCAGTCATAGGGTAAGCTTTTGCTTTCTTCTTCTTTTCTTTCAATCCTCACCCGAGGACATTTTATTTTCTATTTATCTTCAGGTAGAGAGAGGGGGAGAGAGAGAAGCATCGACGTGAGAGGGACACATCGACTGGTTGCCTCCCGCACGATCCCGACCAAGGCTGGGGACGAACTGCAACTGAGGTCCGTGCCCTCGGCTGGAATCGAGCCTGCTCACTGGTCCACAGGCTGACGCTCTGACCGCGGAGGCAAGCGGCCAGGGCGAAGGGTGCGTTCTCCGGTGCACACACTGCAGCACAGTGATGCCTGTGACCTCGACAGTCGGGAGCTATGATGTGGGACTGAAAGGAGGCTCGGGGCGGGGGGGGGGGCAGGGGGACCGGGGCTGAGAACATCGCTGGCGGGCGGGGCGCCTGCAGACAGAGGGCCAGGACATGCACACCGGCCCTGGCCGCCTGGCTCAGCTGGCACAGTGTGCGCCCACACCAGAAGGTCAAGCGTTCGATTCCTGCTCAAGGGCACACACCTGGGTTGCAGGTTTGATCTCTGACCCTGGTCGGGGTCGTGCAGGAGGCAAGTGATCAATGCCTCTCTCACACCCATGTTTCTCTCTCTTCCCCTCCCTCCCACTCTCTGAAAGTCAGTAGAAACATATCCTCACGTGAGGGCTACAAAACGATGACAGTAACAGGTGTAAGACTGCTGAGACAGCACATGGGACATGGTGCGGGGGACCCACGTGTCCCTGGAGCCTGGGAAGAGCAGGCAGCTGGGACAAAAGCAGGTATCTGCGGGGAAAGGGTTTGGAATGTTCTAGAGATGATGACTGAAGCGTCATAAACACTAAGCATAAATAAAAAGAAAGTCATTCTTACATCACTGAGAACCAAGACAGAAAGGAACCTTACACCAGCCTGAGAACAAAGCACAGTCCTCCAGAAAGCAGGCAGAGCGCGGCCACTGCGCCGGGGGTCCGCCAGCGGGCCTTCACACAGAGGTCGGGGGGGACAGACCAACTCAGATCAGAGGCAGCACACTAGGGAGACAGGACAGTCAGAGCAGAAAAGAACGAACCAGAAGACAAACACGGGGCGAGGAAGGACACGGCTAAGACTTGGTGCTTCCAAACGACACCTCCTGGGGAAGAGACATGAAGATGAGACCATCGGGGCCAACACCAGAGGGGAAGGCGCCCGTCCGGCGCTCCGGGTACAAAGGCAGTAGGCACCCGTGGACGGTGCACCGCAGCGGGGACATTCAGATGCAGGAGACACATATGTCACCAGACCTGACGCAGAAACAGAAACTGAGTAGTACCACAGTGATCAAAATAACTGAATCTTTATGTCCTCACAGAGAGAATTTCACGTCCAGATGGTCCTACTAGTGAAGTCTACTCGGCGTAGAAGGAAGAACACCACACATTGCACAGAAAACCTCCCAGAGACCAGGAAACAAGCACTTCCCAGCTCAGCCTGGAAGCCAGCAAACACACCTACGTGATCTCCAGAGAGAACACGGGCCCTCCTCCCTGGGGCTCGCGGGGGCCGGCAACACGTGCGTGGACGACAGCCCAGCAGGTGTCTACCTGGGTGCAGGGCGGCTTTCACCCAGGTCGGTCAATGTGATTCACATCAGCAGAACAGAGGAGACAACCACCCACCATCTCCGCAGACCTACAGTAGCAACCATTCAGGATAAAACCAAGCCAACTAATCAGAGGAAACTTCCTCCGCCTGACAAAGGGCATCTCCGGAAACCACAGCCAGAGCACATGCTGTGGACACTGAGCGCTGCCCTCAAACCTGGGAACACGGCGAGGAGTCCACACTTACAGGCGTGGGGTCCACACTCACAGGCATGGTGCTGAAGTTCTAGCCACAGCAACGAGACAAGAAAAAGAAATGAAAGGCATATACCAATTTTGGGAAGAAAGAGAAAGTACTGTCTTTATTCTCAAAAAACATAACTGTATACACAGGAAATGCAAAAATAAATCTACAAAGAGGCTACCAAAATAAGAGAATTTAGTGAAGTTGTAAAATATGTCAATTTACAAATACCAGTTGTCTTTGTGTATACCAGCAACAAACAGTTTGAAAATGAAACTTAGAGCCCTGGCCAGTTTGGCTCAGTGGTTGAGCATCAGCCTGTGGACCAGAGAGGCCCAGGTTCGGTTCCCACTAGGGGCATGCATTACACAAAAAAAAAGAAAATGAAACTTAGAAGATACAACAACAAAAACAACCCATAAAATACGTACGTAATTCTAAAACTTACACGGAAGTCCAAAGGGCCTAAAGCAGCTGCAGTGAAGGAGGCCGTGACCATCATGGACAGGACAGGACACACATTGGGGACACCTAGCGCCAGGTGCACATGCACCAGGAGCCTCAGAGGGGAGGGAAAGTCTGGAATAATCGGTGCCCCATGACTGGATAAGCATGTGGAGGAGACACAGACCCCACAAAGCGCAATTTCAGGTGGATCAGACTAAATGCACGGGCTGGAATCAAGCTGCTAGAGGAAAACACAGAACATCTCTGTAACCTCAGGGCAGGCAAGAGGGCTCAGAACACCAGAATAACCATAAACAACTTGGAGAATCACTTCACCACAAGTAAGAACTCAATAAAAAATGCCATTAGGAAAATGAAAAGTCAGACATTATCTTAGCAATAAATACACCTGGCAAAGATTTGTCATCAGAATGTATAAATAACCTTTAACTCACTAACAAAGAGAAACCACCTACTAACCATCAGTAGGGATCGTACGTGGAACCGCACAAAGGAAGGCACACAGAGGACCGTGACATGGACACTGCCGATCCCGGTGCTGACAGAATGTGGGCAAGCCCCCTGCCCACGACCAGGCCCTCCGCTGCTCGGTGTCTGTCCAGGAGGACAGCACACACGCGGACTTCACAGCGGCTGGAGCGGTTCTGTTCCTCATATCCCAGGGTCCACGGCAGCGGCGCAGTGGGTGTGGAGACCACGGCCTGGGGCCGGGCCGCTGCCGACATGTCCACAGCACAGACAGACGAGCATGGCAGAAAAACTGAGCCAGCAAGTGAGACCTGTGCCCATGCTCTCAGAGAGACTCAGTGCTGCAGCAGGGCGGCAGAGCCAGCCATGGAAGCAGCTCTCCCCCTCAGGAACAGCTCAGCAGAGAAAGTCGATTAGAAGATACATTTCCGATAAATCACCCAAAAAGAAAAACAGGACAGATGGACAAGGACATGTCCCCACCAGAAGCTCCAGGGAGAGAGAACAGTGCCCGGGGGTGAATTCGGAGAAGTCCCCTGAGGCAAGGCACCCAGTGCAGAACGGAACTCGGAACAGCCCCAGCCCCTCCTCAAGGGCTCTCAGGACTAGACTTCCAGGAAAACGCCTCGTGAGTAACAGCAGACTTCTCGACGGCAACACTGAAGCTGAAGCGACAGTGGAACAGCCGTACCGCCGCACCTGCAGCCCCACACCCACAGTCGCTACAGCGAGGCCATCGGCTACTCAGGCCCTGAAACTTTCACCTCCCACATGTCTTCTCTTGAGGAAACTTCTAGAGTATGGACTCTACCAAAATCAGGAAAATAATGAGAAAGAGGAAGACACGGAACCCAGGAAATGGAGTTGAACTCAGGAGAGAGACAAAGGCCGTCCCCATGGTGATGGTGCAGGGAAATCCCAAGGCAACAGCCGGCAGCTCCGCTGGAGAACAGCTGGCATGGGGAGGGCTGAGCACACGAGAGGCCAAAGCTCCCAGCAGGGCTGGGGACAGACGACGGGGCCGGGACACTGAGCAGACGGAAACTGCAACTCTGATGAACTCAAGGGAAGCATCTAGCCACACTTCTGCACTGTGCCCAGTGCGCACAGGCTCCGCCAAGGAGAACCACACGGGGACCATGAGTGGTAGAGAGGGGGACAGTCAGTCAGAAGATGCATGGATGTGAGACAGAGAGAGGGCAGACAGGTGATGTATGGATGATAGAGAATACACAGACAGATGGAGATGGATGATGGATGAATGAGAGATGAGGTATGGATGATAGATGATTGATGGATGAATGACAGACAAATGGATGATGGATGGATGACAGATGATGGATGGATGATGGATAGGCGTATGACAGTGATGGATGACAGATAAATGGAGATAACAGAGACGCACAGATTGACTGCGTAAGAGATAGGTTACGACTAACGTAAAACTAGAAAAACAAATCCTAGAATAGGGACGCGATTTAGAAACACAGAAGAGCAAACGGCTAGAACACGGTGAGACGAGGAAACCTCTGGGGCATTGATGGACGTGGGCAGGGCGGGCAGAGGACTGCTATTTTGTGGTATATAAATACCACAGGGCCTTAGAGAAACTAAGTAGTGCTCTGATTAAAACTAAATTTTCATTACAAACGCAGCTGAGCGAGCCGTCCTGATGTGCCGACCACCCCCACGCCTGCTAAGGGCCTGGCCTTCGGGCCTTCCCTCTGGGCAGCTGCTCAAGACCAGCAGGGCCCTGCCTGCAGCCTGCACCCTCCACAGGTCGCCTGCTTTCCGGGTCCCCGGCTCAGCTTTGGAGTAAAAGTACGGCAGCAGGGGACACTCGGGCCGTCAGATGCGTGAGCTCAGTGCTACGCTTCACCCCAGTGCAGGCTGACGGGGGAAGCGGCAGGTGGGACAGGACACCGCATGCAGGGCCTCCACTCCGCTTGCCACAGCCCTGCCCACAGCACCAGCCCCCTCTGGGCGCTCCAGGCAGTAGCATGTGCCGTGAAGGAGCGCAGGACCAGCAGGGGCGGCCCCCGCCCCCTTCCTGTCTGTACGGACCGCGCCTCAGTCTGCACTCTGGTGATGTGTGGCGACAGGCCCAGGGGCGTCGTCTTCTGGTCCTTTCTAAAGAAGAGGCTGGAGCCCTGGCCGGGCAGCGGGATGCGCGTGTGAAGTGTAACCCACCCAGAGAAGCGGCCGAGCGAGAGCGCAGGCCTGTCTGCGGCAGGAGCCCCTCTTCGGTGCCCCACCCCCACGCCTGCTAAGGGCTTGGCCTTCGGGCCCTCCCCTCCGCAGCTCACTTGGCGGGTGAGGTCCTTGGGGCACCTCCTCCGGGGAGAGGTGCCCAGCACTGTCAGAGGGCCAGGACTCAGACACATTTCCCGGGAGGCCTTGCTAACAGTGCTGAGAAGCAGCTCCCGTCAGCCGCAGGGACGCCCTAGGCCCTCACTGGGCAGCAGTACTGCCGCCCACCACCCAGGGGCAGAGGGCTCCCCACACAGGCGTCCCCGGCCCTGGACCCAGCATAGCACAGATGCTGAGGGCGCCCTGCCCTCCTGTCCACAGCACTGCAGGGGCCTCGTCCCACCCTCCTCACGTCCCCAGCCCCACGTCTGCCTCGAGAATGTCTCCCGTGAACCAAGTTCGGGAGAAGGGTGCAAATGTTGGAGTCAGAAGGACACCACGCGGAAGTATGTGGCCGAGGCCCTCCAAGGAAGCGCTGCTACAGCGCTGAGGGGCTGCAGCGGGCTCCACGCCGGGCAGCAGGTGTCTGAGCAGGGGCTGAAGTGGGGAGAGACTCCCCGGCCTGGGAAAGGCCGGCAGAGGACAGAGCAGCTTTCAGAAGAGGACACAGGTGGCCAGACAGACACAGGACGATGGAGCCTTCTGGGCCACAGGGCAACCACGAGCCAGCGGGAGCACCGCCCGGCCACGCGCTCTGGGCCGCAGGCGAGCCTGGAGCTGTGTGTGGGCAGGGGCTGGACTCACCGTGCCCCGCCCCCTCCGAGCACCAGGGCGATGGTGTTCCCGGTCAGCACCCGTGCCAGGCGGGAGAAGTCCGAGTGCCGGTCCGGGGGCTTCTGGAAGAGCCGCTCGTACATCTCCACCTGAGAGTCCAAAGAAGGGGCTGGGCTCCATCTGACTCCGCCCTGTCAGCACCTCAGAGGGGCCCAGACCCCGGAGATGCCCCCAAAGGGACACAAAGCCCAAACCTCAGTTGAAAGCCCACCAGCCCCAAAGCGCAAGGGGGCTCTGGGTACGGACCCAGGAGCCCGATGCAGCTGTCAGGACGTGTCCACCAAGCCGCGGGGGAGGGCAGGCATGATGTGGGGGCAGCCTCTGCGCCCCCCCCCCTGCCACCCAGCCCCCGGGATCCCAGGGCAGGGACACCCCAAGGAAGGGGCATCAGGGTCTGCACACACCTCTGCCTGAAGCTACGCTGCCCGGAGCCCACCAGGGCCCTCTGGAGTCCCAGGCTCCGCCCCCCCCCCCCCCCCCCCGGGGCCTGCCGGCCTGGGGAGCACAGCAGCGCCTCGTGGCCCCGAGAGCCGGCGCAGGAGCAGGAGAGGCCCTCACCAGCTTGGGCAGGCTCCTCCTGGAGAAGACGCGGCGCGGGCAGCACAGGTGCAGGTGGCCGGAGCACCAGCTCCGCATGTTCAGCCACTCCACGGTGCGCGCTGGCGCCGGCCCCTCCTCCCGGTGCAGCAGGACCAGCTGCTTCTGGGCGCGCACGGCGGTGCTCTCCAGCATCCGCTCCAGCTGAGGGGAGCAGAGCCCGCGGTCAAGGGCGGCCGGGTCCTGTGAACCAGCCAGGCTGTGGAGCCTCTGCCCTGGCGGGAGGCTGTGACCAGGCCCCTCTCCACTGTGCGTGGGCCGCCTCCCCAAACACAGAGCCCTTCTCAGCTGATGAACTCTGCAAGCGGCCCTGCAAGGGAGCTGCACCCTGCAGAGTGGAGCAGGGCCGCCTGGCCGCCCGAGGCGAGGGCGCAGCTGGAGGGAGCACAGCGAAGGCGGAGGAAGGGAGAAGAACCGATGAAAGGACGGCAGCACCCACTTTGAACCTGTGCGCAGGGTGAGTAGGAGGCAGTGCCCAGCGGGAGGACACGGTGCCCAGGCCTCACCCGAGGCATCGGGTGAACCAAAGGTGACACCCTCTGGTCCAGGTGGGCCCATTTCAGGAAATGACGTCCCAGTTCAGGGATCAGGGACAGACGGTGGTGGGAACCCGCAGACAGGGAGGGTTCAAAATGATGGAAAGCAGGGCGCTGCCGTGACGCCAGCCCTGTGGAACAGCCGCGTGCACAGCGAGCGTGCTCGGCATGGACAGGCTCCTGCTTCACAGGAGGGGGGGCACTACGCGGCTCCGCTCTGCAGTGAGACCACCGCAGACCTCATGTCCGGGTGTCTCACCACCTGTCCTGAGCTCGTTCAGAGGAAAAAGCAACAGAGGCTCTGAGGGGAGAGTGGCCACCCCGGCCAGGACCTGTCCAGCCAGCACCCTGGGACCTGTCGTGGCCCCAGCCCAGCACTGTCCACTCCACCCCGAAGCACCCCGGCCAGCCCACCTCGCCCACCACGGGCTCCTGCTCGCCCAGGCCCACGATGAGGATGCAGTCGGCCTGCCGGATGCAGCGCTGGGTCCAGGGCGTGAGCGCGCCGTCCGCCTGGTAGAGCACAATCCGGTGCACGTCCTCCTGCTGCCCCAGCCAGCTGGACAGCCGGTACTCGTGGATGCTGGGCAGCGACACGGGCGTGGGCACGGGGCACGGGCAGGGCACAGGCGGGGGTGCGGGCGAGGGAGTGCGGGTGAGGGGGTGCAGATGAGGGGGTGCAGACGAGGGGGCTGTGGACTTGGGGAGCCGGCATGGGAGACAGACGTGAGGGGTACAGGTCTGAGGCGGAAGGAAGATCTGTCTCGGGATCTGCAGCTGACCCAGGACCTCGCTTAGGAAGACGAGGCTCTGTGCACGCCCTGCTGGGACCTCAGCCGAAGGTCAGGCGACCTCAGGGTGTTTTCCTGAGCAGATTGAGGTTGATGGTCCCGCAGACCCCTCCCACGGGTGGGCATGGTCACCACATCCTGATCGGCAGGAGCCGCAGGCCTAGCCTTGGGAGCCAGAGCACCACCCTTGGGGAGACCAGGAGACGGGCGCCAAGGGGCAGAGAGGGCCCAGCCTGGGGTCCCCGCGGGTCTCGGGGCTGCTCAGTGCTCCTGCCGCAGACACGCCTGCCCACGTGGCGTCCTGGACGTCCCAGAGGCGGGCAGACGTGTGGTGCAGGCCCAGCAGGGCTCAGCCCGGGGAGGGCTCTCAGCACGGCCCCCCCAGGAGGGCTCAGCCCGGGGAGGGCTCTCAGCATGGCCCCCCAGCAGGGCTCAGCCCGGGGAGGGCTCTCAGCACGGCCCCCCCAGGAGGGCTCAGCCCGGGGAGGGCTCTCAGCACGGCCCCCCAGCAGGGCTCAGCCCTGGGGACGGGCTCTCAGCCACGGCCCCCCCAGGCAGGGCTCAGCCCGGGGAGGGCTCTCAGCACGGCCCCCCAGCAGGGCTCAGCCGGGGCGGGCTCTCAGCACGGCCCCCCCAGGCAGGGCCTCAGGCCCGTGGACTGGCTCTCAGCACGGCCCCCCAGCCGGGCTCAGGACAGGGGAGGGCTCTCAGCCACGGCCCCCCCAAGGAAGGGCTCAGCCCGGGGAAGGGCTTCTCAGCACGGCCCCCCAGGCAGGGCTCGCCCGGGGAGGGGCTCTCCAGCACGGGCCCCCACAGCAGGGCCTCAGCCCGGGGAGGGCTCTCAGCACGGCCCCCCCACGCAGGGCCTCAGCCCGGGGCGGGCTCCTGCAGCACGGCCCCCCAGCAGGGCTCAGGCCCGGGGAAGGCTTCTCATCACGGCCCCCCAGCAGGGCTCAGCCCGGTGAGGCTCTCACCAAACGCTGCCTCCCAGCAGGGCTCAGCCCGGGTAGGCTTCTCTGCAAAGAAACAGCCCCACAGGGCTCAGCCCGGGGAGGCCTCGCACGGCCCCCCAGCAGGCTCAGCCGGGGAGGGCTCTCACACGGCCCCCCCAGCATGGCATCACCCGGGCGGGCCTCTGCACGGGCCCCCAGCAGGGCTCAGCCCGGGAGGGCTCTCTGCACAGCCCCCCAGCAGGCTCAGCCCGGAGGAGGGCTCCTCTGCACAGCCACCCAGCAGGGCTCAGCCCGGGGAGGGCTCTCAGCACGGCCCCCCAGCAGGGCTCAGCCCGGGGAGGGCTCTCAGCACGGCCCCCCCAGGAGGGCTCAGCCCGGGGAGGGCTCTCAGCACGGCCCCCCAGCAGGGCTCAGCCCGGGGAGGGCTCTCAGCACGGCCCCCCCAGCAGGGCTCAGCCCGGGAGGCTCTCTGCACGGCCCCCCAGCAGGGCTCAGCCCGGGGAGGGCTCTCTGCACGGCCCCCCCAGCAGGGCTCAGCCCGGGGAGGGCTCTCTGCACGGCCCCCCAGCAGGGCTCAGCCCGGGGAGGGCTCTCTGCACAGCCCCCCAGCAGGGCTCAGCCCGGGGAGGGCTCTCTGCACAGCCCCCCAGCAGGGCTCAGCCCGGGGAGGGCTCTCTGCACAGCCCCCCAGCAGGGCTCAGCCCGGGAGGGCTCTCTGCACAGCCCCCCAGCAGGGCTCAGCCCGGGGAGGCTTTCTGCACAGCCCCCCAGCAGGGCTCAGCCCGGGGAGGGCTCTCTGCACAGCCCCCCAGCAGGGCTCAGCCCGGGGAGGGCTCTCTGCACAGCCCCCCAGCAGGGCTCAGCCCGGGGAGGGCTCTCTGCACAGCCCCCAGCAGGGCTCAGCCCGGGGAGGGCTCTCTGCACAGCCCCCCAGCAGGGCTCAGCCCGGGGAGGGCTCTCTGCACAGCCCCCCAGCAGGGCTCAGCCCGGGGAGGGCTCTCTGCACAGCCCCCCAGCAGGGCTCAGCCCGGGGAGGGCTCTCAGCACAGCCCCCCCAGCAGGGCTCAGCCCGGGGAGGGCTCTCTGCACAGCCCCCAGCGGTGCTCTCCTGGCACCCACAGGCCTCTGCGCCTGTGGTCAGACCAGAGCCCATCTCCGCGGGCCACCACTGGAGGCGCACCTTCACGGGGGTGATTTCTCATCTCTACCTTCGAATTCCCCGCCCTGGGGAGCTCTGGGACAGGTGCAGGGCAAGAAGGACTCCCTCTGCATGGGGTCCTGGGGTTGGTCCTCACAGCCCCTCTGAGACTGCTCCGTCTCAGCTTCTCCCGAGCCCCAAGGGCCTCTCCAGAGTCCAGCCCTGGCCTTCCCGGTGGAGCAGGCCCTGCCCGCTGTGTCTGTAGCTCCAGACACCGTGGATGGGAGATGCTCAGACACACGTGAGTACCGTGCAGCCGCCCTGGCGAGCTGACCACACTGGGGTCCGCCGGCCTCCCCATGGGGCAGACAGGGGGCGCAGACCTGGGGCAAACATGAGGCAGACCTGGGGCAGACCCGGGGGTGCAAACTCCAGGGTGCGTGTGGACGCGGGGCAGACCCGGGGGTGCAGACTCCAGGGTGCGTGTGGACGCGGGGCAGACCCGGGGGTGCAGACTCCAGGGTGCGTGTGGACGCGGGGCAGACCCGGGGGTGCAGACTCCAGGGTGCGTGTGGACGCGGGGCAGACCCGGGGGTGCAGACTCCAGGGTGCGTGTGGACGCGGGGCAGACCCGGGGGTGCAGACTCCAGGGTGCGTGTGGACGCGGGGCAGACCCGGGGGTGCAGACTCCAGGGTGCATGTGGACAGGGTACGCTCCCAGGCGGTGCTCAGACCTGCTGAGAGCAGGGAGCCAGGCTGTCCCTGTGCAGGCCGCCTACCTGTCCAGGGCAGCAGAGCCAAGGCGCTGTTTGATGTTGTCACTGGTCAGCAGCAGGACGGGGCCTGAAAACAGAACCACAGGTCTGGAAACTGCCCGGGAGCCCACCTCCAAGGACAGCAAGGCCCTCACGGCAGCAGCCACAGGACAGGACAACCCTCCCCGCCCAGAGGGCCTCGTCCTGAGAGCCACGAGAGGCCGCACACTTCCTGTGAGGACGGGCCTGTGGCCGAGGGACGCTTCTGGGCAGGTGAGTCTGCATGATGTCAGGTGGGTGCTGAGCCCAGAGCTGGGAGCATGGCACCAGCTCAGGGCTCGGCAGGCCCAGGACAGGGGCCTCTCTGAACCTCAGTCTGCTCGTCTACACGTGCAGGAGCCGAAGCTCCTCAGCATGTAAATGCAAGATCATCTAATTTCCAATGCTGATGGAGAAAGAACAAAATTTTCTATTCCTGGAACATCTGTCATCAGACCGACATCAAGCCGGGGTGGGGGCTCCCCGGCCGGTGGCTCAGTTGTCGGGCACAGTGCCAGATGCCCAGACGCCCAGACGCTCAGGTCTGACCGTCGGGGTGCGCACAGGGGGCAGCCGATCAGTGTCTCTCTCAAGTCAGTGAAAACAGTCCTCGGGTGAGGTTAGAACAGAAAAGACTCCCACGCCCTGGCCTGTTTGGCTCAGCGGTTAGAGCGTCGGCCTGCGGTCTGGAGAAAAGACTCCTGGGCAAGTACTGCTTTCTGTGCTGTCAAGTTTCACTCTGACAGTAACTTTGAAATATTAAATATTTACAGTAGTGTCTTTCCACCTGAAAGCCGTTTCTGTCTGGACGGTCCAGGCAGGCACACCCCACGGGCACTGAGCGCCGTGCCGGGCAGAGGACGCACCTGCCTTCCCGCGAGCCCCTGGTTCAGGGTCTGACGGTGCAGCCCTGACTCAGCGGAGCAGGCTGTCCATCACCACGGTCACCCACCATGCACAAGAACGTGCGACACGTGAACAACAGGGAGAACTGCATGACTTGGGGAATTTCTAAGGGTCTCAGAAATTTGGAAACCACTACCCAAGCGTCAGGACGCCGGCCAAGGGCGATTCCGCACGGCCCGCACCCCCGTCCCTGCAGTGTGCCCGGTGTGGAGGCCGGCACCTGCCCCGTGCACTTGCAGAAGAAACTGGAAGGACCGAGGCAAGAGGAGGGTGCGGCCAGACCTCGGGCCCCGGGCCGAGCTTACCGATAGCGCTCAGGGCGTGCTTGAGTTCCAGGGCGAAGGCTGTGAGGGGCACGTCCTCCGACACGGGCATGACGGCCACCGTGGACAGGTTGCTGGCTGGGTTCCCAGAATCCCACTTGCTGCCGGTAGAGTGTAGCCCAAACTGGTGACCTGGAAGACCGGTCATGGGTCGGCCTGAGGAACTGGGCACCTCCGTGACGATCTTCAGGTGTCACTAGATGTTTCTGGATGACACCCAGGCACAAGCAGCCCCCCACCCCGTGCGGCCACACTGGCACCTCCCACCTCGCACACCAGCGCTCAGCCCACAGGAGGGCAGCAGAGACGCACACACGGACGGAGAACTCGAGGCCTCAACGCCGTGCCCGGGAGCCCTGTCCCACCAATGCTCGAGGAGCCTCGGGACCAGCACCCACGCTTCCACGGTCTCAGAGCGGGAGGACTGGTCCGGGGCAGCGAATGCAGGCGCGAGGGCGAGTCAGTGAGGCCACAGCCCACAGGTCCCGAGGCTCCGCACAGGGTCCCTGGCAGAGGTTTGTTCCTCTGAGTGGGATCGCCTGTTTGCACAGGGGCAGCCTCAGCCCTCCTGTGGCCTTGTTCCAGACAGACCCCGGGTTCCAGCTTCCTGGCTTCCTGACCACGTGCCCAGCCCGCTGCCTGGCTCCTGCACAGACCCTCCGACCCCAAGCACACAGCCAGGTGCGGGCACCGGCCACCGCAGAAGGCCCAGCTCCCCGGAGGGCCCTGACCTCGAAGACACTGCCCACAGGAACATCAGGTCGGGGGAGGAGATGAAGACAGCGGCCCACAGCCCTCTGGGACGGCAGCAGAGGCCTGACACCCGGAGGCGCAGACAGCGAACAGGCCAAAGACTGAGGAAAAGGGGCCGAAAACTTCCCTGACGTAGGAAAGACATGAGCTTCCAGATTCAAGATACAAACACACGGAGACGAGCAGACCCCAAGGAAGTTAGCGCCCAGTCACCCCAAAATCAAACTTCCGCAGCTAGCGGCACCATGAGGCAGGCCCCAGGCAGTGGGGACGCTGCCACCTGCTGGGCACGCCACGCAGGCGGTCGGCAGGGCAAGTGTCCCCAGGACGAAGGGGGAGCAACGTGGCTCAGGTGAAGGAGAGTTAAGAGAACACAGCTGGACGGCCGGGCTTCTCCAGGGAGAAGGGACGGTCAGACGGAAGCCTAGGGCCACTGGGGGAGCGCGGCAGAGGTGGTGGCTAGCAGACCCTCGCCCCTGAGCCTGGACACACCTGACAGCTAGCAGCAAGCCTCATGACACTGGGCAAGGGCTTTTCAACGTATGTAAAGGTAACTTTTAAAAAAAATCCTGACCACGGATATTTTTTCTGTTTTATCTTCAGATGGAGTGGGAGGGAGGGGGAGAGAGAGAGAGATCAACTGAGAAGGACACATGGACTGACTGTCTCCCACGTGACCCCAACCAGGCCCGGGGACAAACCGCAACCGAGGTACGTGCCCTTGACTGGAATCAAACCCGCGACTCTTTGGTCCACAGGCCGACGCTCTAACTGCTCAGCCAAACCGGCCAGGGCGAGGTAACTTTTTTTATTTTTTATTTTATTTCATTATTTTTATTTATATTATTAATTTTCTATTTTATTTTATTTATTTTTTATTCTATTTTATTTTATTTTACTTTATTTTATTATTTTGTTTTATCTTTTTGTGGTACGTCCCCCTAGCACAAACTGAACCCTGGACTCTCTGGTCTGCAGGCCGATGCTCAACCGCTCAGCCAAACTGGCCAGGGCGGTAACTTTTTAAAAAATCCTCACCCGAGGATGTTTTTTCAAATTGATTTTAGAGAGAGAGGAAGTGAGAGGGAGAGAGAGATAGAAACATCGATGAGCAAGAACATCGACTGGCCGCCTCCTGCACGCCCCCCAACGGGGATCGGGAACAACCTGGGCATGTGCCCTGACCGGGAATTGAACCGGGACCTTTCAGTGTACGGGACTGTGCTCCAACCCACTGAGCCAGCCAGCCAGGGCTGCAGAGGTGACATTTAAATATTTTTTCTTTGTTGATTTGAGAGAGAGAGGAAGGGAGAGATAGAAACATCGATGAGAGAGAACATCGACTGGCTGCCTCCTGCACGCCCCCCAACGGGGATCGGGAACAACCTGGGCATGTGCCCTGACCGGGAATTGAACCGGGACCTCTTGGTGCAGGGTGACGCTCAGCCCGAGCCACACCGCCAAGCTGCAGAGGTGACATTAACAACCACAGCGTGAGAGGAAGGATGGGCGACCGAACAGTGATGAGCGTGCAACTGCACCAACAGGGTCGGTGCTGGCGAAGGGGACAGGCGGGCGGGGCTGGGCGGGGCTGGGCGGGGCACCTCCCCGGGCTGCAGACAGAACGCGCAGAAAGGCTCAGGAGACTGAGAGACGGAAGAGGAATCAGAGCAACGTAAGAACGAGAGGACGGAGAACAATGAGATGACAGACAAATCCCCACACGTGAGTAATTACATTAAGTGTGAACGGTCTGAACACAAACAAAATGACACAGGTTGTCAGAAGGAAGACAGAATCACACCTAACTCTAAGCTTCCTCAGGAAACTTGCTTCAAACACGACTGTGCAAGCTGGTTAAAAGCTCAATGAAACAGACACACCACATGCTGAGCAGCATCTCCCAAGTCCACAGGCGCCCAGGAGCTGAGCAGCCGTCGCGTCTGGACAAGGCCTTGTAGAAGCTGACTGTCTGGGACAAGCTCCACTAGCGAGGCTGCGCCCGCCACCTCCACCGCCTCCGCACAGACCTGTCCACCTGCCCACTCGTCCCTCCACGTCCCACACTGTGCCGGGTCTGCACTGGGAGGGCACAGGCCCGTCCACCTGCCCACTTGTCCCCCCACGTCCCACACTGTGCCGGGTCTGCACTGGGAGGGCACAGGCCCGTCCACCTGCCCACTCGTCCCTCCACGTCCCACACTGTGCCGGGTCTGCACTGGGAGGGCACAGGCACAGCCCTGCCCCCAGATGCTGGTGTCCAGCTCTCAGGAGCTGAGGGACACAGAGGACTAGCCTGCGGCCAACAGAGGGGCTGAGGGCCCTAGGGTGCCGTGCTGAGGTGGCGACTGCAGAAGAGGGGAGCAGGTCTGCTGAGGATGCCCTGCGGGGGGGCAGAGAGGGCCCTGCGGGGGGAGCGGGGGGGCAGAGGGGGCCCTGCGGGGGGAGCGGGGGTGCTGAGGGTGCCCTGCGGGGGGAGCGGGCCAAAGCGGGCGGTCCCAGGGCAACAGAAGCTGAAGCCGGGCCTGCTCAGGGGACTCACCGGCCGCAGGTCCCTGCTGGAGGCTGCCCAGAATCTTCTCACCCAAGAGATGAATCAGCCGGGTCACAACCTGGGGCAGAGACAGAACAGACCCAAACCACCCACTTAAAACAAGGATCCGGGTTCTCAAAGCCACCAGGGCTGCGCCCCGCTCCAGGTCTGGGGGTGGCAGGCCAGCAGTCTGGTGAGCGTGTGAGACCTCACGCCATCCTGCCCTGTCTGGACCAGGCCCTGAATCGTCCTGTCCAGCGTCCCCCTTCTTCCCGCTCCGCCTGCTCATCAGCTGCTCCTGGTTTCCAAGGGGAGCCCTGCCCTGTGATGGACCCGGCCGCCCTCAGGGGACACAGCCAGGCCCCCACACTTCGCCTTGTGCGAGGCAGAGCCTTCCTGCCAGCCCTGCTGTTAGGTGCTCTGTGATAACGCGGGGCTGCTCCATCCCACTTCTACCGGGCTGGAGGGAGAGGAAGCGCTGGGCACTGTCACGCTGAGCTCACCCACGACTGTGCCCCTTTCCCGCCTACATTCTCAGGTGCTGCCTTGCAGTTTTCAGGTAAAAAGAGATGCACACGCCCTGCTGTGCAGCTCAGTGGGTCGGGCATCGTCCCCACACACCATGGTTGTGGGTTCAGTCCCCAGTCAGGGCACATACAGGAAACCACTAATGAACACAGAAATACGTAGAGCAAATCAATGTTGATTTGTTTCTCTCTCTCTCTCTCTTCGCTGCACGCCAAATCAATAAATAAAATTTTTTTAAAATACGCATTATCTCCAAATGTCATTTTACTCCTTTTCCAAATATATGCCAGTTGTTTCTGTTTTAATAGTTCATTGATTTTTAGAGAGAGGAAGGGAGAGGGAGACAGAGAGAAACATCAAGGGGCTGCCTCCTGCATACCCCTTGCCGGGGCTGAGCCCGCAACCCAGGTATGCGCCCCTGACCGGGAATCGAACCAGCAACCCCAAACCAGGATGGCGCACAACTAACTGAGCCACACCAGCCGGGGCTGTTCCGGTTTCTTAACTTTTTGTTTTAGCTTATGTTTTGTTCTGGAATAAACAGAATTAAAAGATTTCCTTCCTTTCCACTCGGTCGTACCGTGACGACTTCCCAACACGGACGACACCTTGAGTCGCACACGGCTTCACAGCTCATACGCTGACCTCAAGTACTCGTGGCTGCGTACTGAGAGCAATGATGAGTCTTGTCATTCCGCCCCGGCCAGTGTGCTCGGTGGTCAGAGCGTCGGCCCAGGCACCAAAGGGTCGTGGGCTCGGTTCTGAGTCAAGGGCACGTACCTGGGTTATAGGTTCGATCCCGGGCCCAGTTGGGGTCACGAGGGAGGCAACCAATCGATGTGTCTCTCTCACAATCGATGTGTTTCTCCGTCTGTCTCTCCCTCCCTCCCTTGCACTCTATCTAAAAATCAATGGAAAAGTATCCTCACGTGAGGATCAACAGCAACAAAAATGTTCTGTTACTGGTAGTGAGTTTGAGACTTAAATCACGGTAACTTCATGTACTAAACTGGTGGGTTCTCCATCTGTTCTGGAACGAGGTGTCGGCGGACAAGAGTGCACACAGGAGCCGGGGGACGGACAGGCGGAAAGGCCGAGCTGCCCGGGGCTGGTCCCTGCTCACACATCTGCTCCAGATGTCCTCGCCACACCCTCACCACTGGCAGACGACGTGAACACCAGAAACCCTGCCACAGTAACGGCCCCTGGCTGAGCTGCAGGGCCTCCTGGGTTCCTGTGCCCCCCCCCCCCGGCCCCCAGCTGCACTGTCATCACATCGGCTCCACTCTGGCAAACTCCTCGCCGCCGGGGACAGTGCGACGTCCTACAGCTGGTCGGGCGCGGCCTCGGGACACGCTGTGCCCAGCGGGCTTCCCTCCCTGTCCTGTCCCTGCCCCTCGCGCCTCCTGCAGTCGCCCAGGCCACCTGCCTGAGGCCCGTGTTGTCCTTCAAACCCGTGAAACCTGCTGCTCTGGGCTGTTTCGGGGGCGCTCACTCTGGCCCGTGGAGGTGGCAATCCCACAGTGCGACGGACCCCACTGCCTGGAGGCAGCCGCTCAGAGCCCCTACCTGAGGGTACCTGCGCTTGATGGACGTCAGGGCTCCTGCCGGAAGCTTGGCCAGCTCTGAGTCCCGGACCGCGTGCACAGTGGTCGCTCTGGGCTGGTGGGTGAGCGTCTCCACCTGCAGAAGAGAAGCTGGGTGCTGGGGCCGCACTGCTCACACCCACGCCCTGCAGGCCGCCGGGGGCAGAGTGCAGGTGAGACTGGAGGGCAGGTGCTGGCCCAGCCCTGCACCGTCCGAGCCTGTGGGGGTCTCCTGCCTGCTCCGCCTGGAGACCTCGGACCGTGGACCCCACCCGTGCGGCAGCCCTGGCTGGGAGCAGGAAACCCGGCCAGGAAACAAGCCTCGGGAAGGCGCCCCTCCTCACGGCACCCTGAGGGCTCCCACCCCTCGCCCAGACGAGGAGCCCGGCGGGCCCGCATGCCCCAGGGCAGGACCGAGTGGGCAGGCCCCGGCCTACCACGCCGATGAGGTCTCCCCGGCCGTATTCCCCGGCCAGGCGCTTCTTGAGGTCGTCCTTCCGGACCACTGAGCGCAGCCGGCCACTGAGGACGATGTAGGTGCAGTCCGACTTGTCCCCCTGCCTGCGAGGACAGGGCGTCGGGAACGGGCAGGGCACCGGCCCAGCCCGCAGCCACCCAACATAGCAAAACAAAAAAGCACAGCATTCTCACTCAATTCTTTCTGTTCTGGGAAATAGTTACTTTCCATTAGAAAGTAGGTATACCAGCGTGTCACAGGTCTATGGCGACTTTTAAGTACATGATTAAGTATTTAACATTTTCTTGGTTTTGATTTTCAACGGTAATGGAAACAGACACCCAGGCCTGAGCTCGGCCGTCACGTGGCATGGAGCCGGGCTCGCCCGAGATCCCAGGAAAGCCGGGCACCGGCACCTTCACTGAGCTGCTGTGACACCTCCCGCTAGATCCTTCCAAGGTGTGGCCTCGCCGTGTCTCAGAGTGCACAGGCGGGCACAGCGCCTGGGTGCCCAGCTGGGGTCCCGCCTGGTAGCCTCCAGCCCCGAGCTCTGAGCCACACGCAGCCCTGCTCCTGGCTCCCGCGCCCACCTGTACACGGCGCGCCCGGCCTCCACCTCCATCCAGTCCAGAGCGAAGTCGATCTGCCGCACGAAGGACGACATGCGCTGCACCACGGTGTGCGCGACGCCCAGGACGACGGTCGGCTGCTTCCGCATGATCCTGCCGGGCGCCCAGAGTCACGCCACCCGTGTCCCACGGCCACCCCACCAGCCTGCCTCCCTCCAGACCACAACCATGTCAACCCCGCCTCCCCTCCGCAGGTGACTCGAACGGGCCAGGGCTGGGACAGAGCACAGGGCCCAGTCACCACCTGCCCCTCTGCCCACGTGTGCCAGAGGCTGGCGGACTGGGGAGAGCCTGCGACCCCTCCCAGCTGTCACCCACTCCACGGTGTCCTTGGAGCACAGGCCACGCATGGGGCCCGTCCTGGCCATGAGTGGCAGGGTCCCTGCCCCACATGATGGACCTGCCCCCGGCTGCCCTGTGTCAGCGCGCTGCAGAGGGTGAGGCGGAAGCGGGGCCCGCGGTACTGTGGGAGCTCCCTGAAGGCAGCAGCAGGGGCACTGAACAGCTCAGGGCTGCAGCTGTCTAAACAGCCCGCGCTGTGGGCAGATGAGTGACCGTCACTGAGGGGACAAAGTGAGAGCTGAGCACGCAGGGACCTGGCGCCCTGCTCTGACGGCCGACTGCGGAAGCCCCTGCGACAGCCCAGGGGGCACCTGTAGCAGCCAACGCATGGGTCGGAGCTCAGGAGGCAGGTTTGGGGAAGGCGGGAATTAGTGTGTGAGACCTCAGGGGGTATGAGGACCCTCGGGACAGCAGGTGGACAATGGCCACAGGGTGGGAGCTGCCACATCAGACTCACACTGTGAGCACAGACACACTCTACACACAGAGACACACATGGACACACAGACACACTCAAGGATACATGGACATACTCGAGGACACACACACACACTCGAAGATACAAAGGGACCAGCCATGCTCCCCAGCAGGCTGCTCACATGTCTGGGCCTGGAGGGGCTGGTGGGACCAAGGGTCCCAGAGGCAGAGGGCGCAGCAGCCGCGTGACACCTCTTCCTGCTCCCCTCACCATCCCGCCCTTGTCCCCAGGACACCTGTCTCCTCAAGTATGAGCGGAGCGGAGGCAGGACCTGGAAGGCACCGGCAGGAGGTGGGTGCGAGGGCGGCGGGCGGGACTCACTCGTAGAAATGGGCCTTGGAGATGGACAGGAAGCTGCAGTCCCTGTTGGCCTTGATGGTGAAGATGAGGGGCTCGCCGGTGAGCACGGCCAGCTGGCCCACCATCTCCCCGGGGCGCGTGACGAACAGGCAGCTGTCCTCCTCACTGTCGATCTTCCGCTGGTACACGTGCAGCAGCCCCGAGACCACAAAGATGATGTTCACGTCCTGACAGGAGACCCCAGACCAGGAAGTCAGCTCCGCCGGGTGGCCGGGCGCCCCAGAGAAGCGGCGCACTGTCCCCTGCCTGCCTCTCACAGGGCTGGGGACGGCGGCGCGCCCAGGTGTCTGGGCGTCACAGCTACAGGAGGCGCCATGCAGCGAGCCCAGCCTCAGACGCATACCCTGCGCTGTGTCGCGGTGCGGGGCCAGCTCCACGCTCCTGAGACATGAGGACACGACCTCTCTCCCTCGAGCACCCAGGCCCCCGGCCAGCGAGGATGCCTCCTGCTCTCTCTGCAGAGTCCTCGCAGGTCTGTCCCACAGGGGCTGGTGGACCCCTCCGCCCACCTGCCCACATCACAGGTGTTTTGGGTACTTCTACAAACATGCCCGCAAAACCACTCTGATGTCAACCCCAACGTATCTGTGTCCATCATGTGTCCTCTTTCCAAACCGCTCACCCTGCCCCCTTGGACCACATCCCCGTGGTCTGAGCAGAAAAGGGCCAGAGCGGCTCGGCTGGCCTTCCCGAACCCGGGGCGGCTGGGGACAGCCTTCCACAGCAGCTCTGGAGAGGGTTCCCAAGCAGGGCCACACCCTCTGGCAACTCGGGCTGAGCTGGGGCAGGGAGTCAGCCAGCCGCCTGCTTCCTCAGAGGAAAACAGAAAAGAAGGGAAGAGAGGGAGGGAGCGGGGCCATGAGAGTCCTCAGGAGGACTGAAGCCTCCCAACGCCACAGCTCCTGCTGCCTGTCAGGGCTGTCCTCCGTGTCCTGCGCTCGCTTGACTCAGCCCGTGCCAACTGCCGTGTCCCCTGGGCCCTGACGCCACCGCAGAAGGTGGCCGGGCCCCCGACAGCGGGCCCCAGGCCCGGGCTGCTGTGCCAGCAGACGCGGCTTTGGAGGCAAACCACACAGAGAGCCTGCTCCTATGCCAAGCGCTCAGGAAACACAACTATTTTCATCTGCGTCTAGGACTGAGGCCTGAGAGCAGGATTATCTTCCTGACTCTAAGGGAGACCAGTAAGCATCTGTGTGCACACGTGTGGGTGCAGGTCTGTACACACGTGTGGGTGTGAGTGTGTACATGTGTGGGTGCGGGTCTGCGCACATGTGTTGGTGCAGGTCCGCATGTGTGTGGGTACAGGTCTGTACACATGTGTGGGTGTGTACACATGTGGGTGTAAATGTGTGCGCATGTGGGTGTGTACACATGTGTGGGTACAGGTCCGCGCACGTGTGTGGATGCGGGTCCGAGCATGTGTGTGGGTGTGGGTCTGCACGTGTGTGGGTGCGGGTCTGTACACATGTGTGGGTGTGTACACGTGTGGGTATAAATGTGTGCGCATGTGGGTGTGTACACATGTGTGGGTGTGTACACGTGTGGGTATAAATGTGTGCGCATGTGGGTGTGTACACATGTGTGGGTGCAGGTCCGTGCACGCGTGTGGGTGCGGGTCTGCACCCCCCCTACAAAGAGGACAAGCCCAGGGAAGCAGCCGTTCGGGGACAGTGACAAGAGACCCACGTGGCGTGCCCGAGGGCTCCATCCAGCACGGGCTCGCAGTGCCGGGCGCTCCAGGGACGGCTCCTCAATCCTCGGCCTTCCACTCACCTGGTCTCCCTGTCTTGACACCACGGTGCCCCCCGGGACCTGAAGAAATGTCACGCGGCCATCTAGCAGTGAAGGGTCCTGAACACAGAAACGTGGAGTCAACACGAGGAGTCAGAGGACGAGCTCAAGGGGAGGCTCCACGGGCCCACGGGAGACGGAGTGGACACGGGGCCCACAGCCTCCAACATCAGAGTGGTGAGGTCGGCACGGGACAGTGCGGCCGCTCAGAGCGCACCGTGCGCCTGAACCCGTGACCTGAGGGACAGTGAGGAAGGAGGGAGAGGCGCTGGCAGAGGGCAAGCACATGGGAATGCCCATTCTCGTGCCCGCCGGGCCAGGTCCGCAGCACAGAGCGCCAGGCGCCCAGAACGCACTCAGACTCGGGAGGTGTCCCTGCGAAGGTGGAGGACACCGGCCGGGCCGAGACCGGGACACACACACCCAGAAGACTCATTCGTGGTCAGCTGGAAGGACAGCGGGACCAGACCATCAGCACACACAGGGCTGTGACCCTGGCACAAGGCTGCCACCCGCCGAGGGAAACCACAGCCCGGGCCCCAGCCTCTTCTGTAGGAGGAAGACCTGGAGAACCAGCAGCCACCCGGCTGCGGCCCCACCTCCCAACATCCACGAGGCGGCTGCACATGGGGGCCTGACTGACAGACAGATTGGAGAACCACTGTCGCGCTGCGAGGAGAGATGGGTATCGTGGCTGCTTATAACCAGTGCCGGGCCCTGGCCACACAGCTCTGCTGGTTTAGGGTCGCCCCTGACATGCCAAGGTTGCGGTTTGATTCCCGGTCAGGGCACATGCCCAGGTTGTGGGCCAAGTCCCCAGTGTGTGTGTGGGGGGGGTGTGCAGGAGGCGGCCAATCAATATTCTCTGTCATCAATGTTTAAAAAAATTTATTTAAAAAAGTAATAATAGTAAAAAAATTAAAACAGGCACTGGTTTTTGTTTTATAGAGGTAACATTTAAATATGTTTTCTTTATTGATTATAGAGAGAGGAAAAGAGAGAGAGAGAGACAGAAACACTGATGAGAGAGAACATCAACTGGCCGCCTCCTGCACGCCCCCCACTGGGGATGGGCCCACAACCTGGGCATGTGCCCTGACTGGGAATCGAACCGGCGACCTCTTGGTGCAAGGTCGACGCTCAACCACTGAGCCACACCAGCCGGGCAAACCAGTGCCTGTTTTTAGAGAGAAAACACTGAAAACTTGCCAGTCTGACAACATGATGACAGGGTCGCTGTGGGGGCAGATCCTGGGCACAGGTGGGCCCTGGGGCACAGAGGAATCAAGGCCGCCACCAGTGGGAGGCACTTTGCTGGATGGTGGGTACTCACCTTCATCAGAATTTCCCATATATTCTGTATGTGTTTAAATTTCTCATTAATGAAAAAAAAATTTTTAAGTTTTTTGAAAAGACCTAAGAAACAAACCAGCAGCATGTGGGCCTCCTTCAGCCTCGCCTCCCAACGCGACCAGGAGCCCCTCGAGCTCCTCCTGGACGCCCGGCTTCCGGAAGGAGGAGCCGGGAAGTCCCCGTCCACCCAGCAGGTAAGAGCTGGGTCGCCGAAAGGCGGGTGCTTGGCAGGAACCTGGCGGCAGCTGACTGCTTGTGGGGGCTTAGTGCAGACACCTCTGAGAGAACTTCGGGGGACCCAGTCGTGGGGGCCCCACAGTACTGTGGATCTGACCCGCAGGAGCCCCCCCAGGCTCACATGAACGCCTGAGAGACCCCTCGGAGGGAACATCTCTGTTTCCTGACAAGCAGTCCTGTCCTCGGGGAAACAGCACCCGAGCCTCACGTGCTGGGGTCCATCAGAGCCCAGCTCCAGCCCCTTCAGCCACCCTGTCCCGAGGGGTCGGAGGTAGAGCAGGCAGCACTGAGAGGGTCACGGGACAGAGGCCGGGCTCCTGAGACCGAGAGCTGCCCAAGGGCCACAGAGCCTCCCCCACCCTCCCCATCACTGAAGGCCGGAGTACCACAGCCCCGCTGACCGTGTGCATCATGCCCAGCTATCAAGAAAAATGTACACGCCACACCAGAAGGCAAAACGCCCCGTGTGAAGAGACCAGCCAGCACGTGAACACGCAGACTCGGCAGAGCGGGCGTGATCAGCGGGAGTCTGCAATGACGACGAATGTGCGGAGGGCTCTGCAGATGAAGTCCAGCAGGGGACAGAGGGCAGCGTCCGCAGAGGACGGAGATCCTGCACAAGGACAGAAAGGAACCCCAAGAGCAAAGGGCTGTGACAGGCAGAGGGCCTTGGACGGGCTGCTCGTGGCCTGGACGCAGTGCGGGAAGAAGTCCTGACCCGGGGACACGTCAGTAAGGCTGAGAAGCAGGCAGAAGAAACGCTGACAACCCCAGGACAGAGTGTCCAGGGCGTGGGGCCACCAGAGAGGCGCAGCCATCACCAGGAGGAGGAGAGACAAGAACAGGAGCGATATGGGCAGGAATCGCTGTCAGAGCTCACGGACATCAAACCACATGCCCAGGAAGCTCAGAGAACACCCAGAAGGGACATGCACAGAACTACACCCGGGCCATCACATTCAAGTTACAGAACGTCGAAGATAAAGAAAAACATCCTGGCCTTGGCCGGTTTGGCTCAGCGGTTAGAGCGCTGGCCTGCGGTCCAGAGAGTCCCGGGTTCGGTTCCCGCTAAGGGCACGTACCTCACTTGCAGTTTGTCCCGGCCCTGGTTGGGTCGTGCGGGAGGCAGCCACTCGATGTGTCCCTTTCAAGTTGATGTTTCTCTCTCTCTCTCCCCCTCCCACTCTATCTGAACAAAATATGGAAGAGTGTCCTCAGGTGAGGATAAAAAAAAAGAAAAGAAAAAATCCCGAAAGAATCCCTTCGGTTCAAAAAACACTTTACGTGTAGAGGAGGTGAGATTAGAATTACTTCCCACTTCCTAGAAACCACGCAAGAAGAAAGTGGAGGGAAATATTTTAAGTGTTATGAGAAAAAAAACCACCAACCTAGAATTCCATACCCAGAGAAACCACCCTTCAGACAGACAGAAGCTGAGGGGATCTGTTGCCAGTACCCCTGCCCTGGAAGAAATGTCAGAAGCTCTTCAGAGAGAAGGAAAATGAAGGTTGGAAGCTCTGACCTACATGCAGAGAAGAACGCTGGTGGAACGGGAGATGAGCTTCAAGACAAACTGTTACTGTTCTCGCTCTTAGTTTATCCAACAAGCAAGTCTGTTGGAAACAAGTGGCAACGATGCGGTAGATCACGTGTGCAAGCAGATCACGTGTGTTAGATTACGTGTTAGGTCACGTGGGACAGCACAGACCGGGACTGGGCCGAGAGGCAGGAGTTAGAAGAACTTTGTTATTATAAGGCCTTCGCACCACCCGCAAAGCGGTGCAGTGTTTAAGAGAAAGATTCTCTCTCCACACTGAATATCTCTGATGCCAAATGAGCGGACTTCTGCACCCCAAGCAATTCACTAGCCCTCCAGGAACCAGCGGGTGTCCGAGGACTCAATTCTGACGCCGACTACCTGGAGCCAGTGTCAGAGCCCACGGGGCTGCCCCCACGTCAGATGCTAATCACAAGCAGAGGGTCCCCAGGGCACCCACACTTCTGTCCGACTTGGCTGCAAATCGTGTCCACAAACCCCCTCAGGTCCAATGGTTTCACAGAACGGCTCGCATAACTCAGAGAAACACTTCCGTTTACCAAGGCATCAGACAATAAAGGATATGATACGGGATATGGATGAAGAGGTGCACGGGGCCAGGAGCTTCTGTCCCTGAGGAGCTGGGGCGGCCCCTCCTGGTAAGGACATGCCCACCAGCCTGGACTCTCCGCATTTGAGCCCAGGTGCGTCCATGTGGTTTCACGGAGCAGGCATTACAGGCTCCAGCCCCTCCCTCCCCGGAGGCCGCGCTCCTGAGCATGGCTTTGCTGCCTGGTGACCAGCCTCCGCCCAGGAGCCCGTGAGGAGGCACCAGGAGACTTCAGAGGCTGTCAGGAGCCGGGGCAGACACCAGCCCGTGTGCGGGTCCTGCGGTGCCACAGCCGTGCTGCAGTGTCCTGGGTGAGCGGTGAGCGCAGGGGCAGGGGCAGGAAAGCCCTAGACAGTGAGAGTGGTGTGGCAGGGATGCTGAGAAAGGAGCTCAAAGCCACCAGAGGGAGAGAAAGGGGCGAAGTAGAGACAGAGCGAAGGCAACAAAGAGGGAGCGTGAAGATGTGACCAAAGCCCACGCAACAGCAGACACACCATCGCTTTTCACACGCCAGCGGTCTGGACACGCTGGAGAAAGACAGGTGGTCTGCAGGACACCCCTAGGGATACAAGGACACAGGCAGCCCGCCGACCCTGCACCAAGAGGTCGCCAGTTTTATTCCCGGTCAGGGCACATGCCCAGGCTGTGGGCCAGATCCCCAGTGGGGGGGTGTGCAGGAGGCAGCCAATCGATGTTCTCTCTCATCAGTGTTTCCATCTCCCTCTCCCTTCCTCTGTCTCAAAATCAGTAAAGAGAAAAATAACAACAAAGACACAGGCAGATCAGAGTAGACGGATGGAGAAGGGGCCGTGCCCAGGGGCCGCCCCAGACGAAGCCGGCTGCAGGACGAGCGTGTCAGGGTGAAGGGCACCAGAGTGACGAGGGCTGGCTCTCCAGCAGGACCCGGCAGCCCAGCACACACCGTGTGTGCACCAGCAACAGCCTCAGAGTGACGAGGGCTGGCTCTCCAGCAGGACCCGGCAGCCCAGCGCACACCGTGTGTGCACCAGCAACAGCCTCAGAGTGACGAGGGCTGGCTCTCCAGCAGGACCCGGCAGCCCAGCGCACACCGTGTGTGCACCAGCAACAGCCTCAGAGCGGGCGAGGCGGAGACCGAGGGCGCTGCAGGGAGAGCCAGCCTACTGAAACGCAGAGACCCCCACACCGCGGTCAGGAACGGAAGGTCCAGCAGGCAGGGGTCAGCAAGGAGGTGGCTGAACTGATTACCTCGACCAATGGGGATGATGGGCGACGGCTTCGCACACTCAGCGGGAGGCAGTGCGCAGCCTCCCACGCTCACAGGGAGCGCCCACCAGTCAGACTGCTCTGGGCCATGGGCCACGCCCGCACAGACTCCGGGAGCAGAGACAGTCGTGTCTGCTCGCAGACCACAATGGAATTAAACTAGAAATCAACGCACGCGAACAGCTGGAAATCCCAACACTTGGAGGCCTAACAACACACTTCTAAATAACACATGGGTCAAAGAAGCCATCTCAAGAGGTGTTTGAATATATGTATCTACATTTTTTAAATTTTTTCTTTATTGATTTTAGAGAGAGAGGAAAGGAGAGAGAGAGATAGAAACATCGATGAGAGAGAACATCGATTGGCCGCCTCCTGCACGCCCCCCACTGGGGATTTGGCCCACAACCTGGGCATGTGCCCTGACCGGGAATGAACCAGTGACCACTTGGTGCAGGGTCGATGCTCAACCACTGAGCCATAGGTCAGGCGTATTTAAAACTACTTTGACCTGCCCTGGCCAGTTTGGCTCAGTGGTTAGAGTACTGGCCTGTGGACCAGAGTTGTGGGTTCAATTCTGGTCAAGGGCGTGTACCTCAGTTGCAGTTCGGTCCCTGGCCCTGGTCAGGGTCATGCCGGAAGCAACCAGTCGATATGTCTCTCTCACTTCGATGTTTCTCCCTCTCTCTCCCACTCTAGCTCAAGATAAATGGAAAAGTGTTCTCAGGTGAGGATTTAAAAAAAAAAAAGTTGAGGATTAACAAAAAAATTTTTTTAAACCAATCATCTAAGTTTCCAAATTAGGAAACAACAAAAAAAAAAAGGCAAGTTAAATCCAAAGTAAGCAGGAAAAAAGAAACAATAAAAGAGCAGAAATCGATAAGACTGAAAACAAAATCAATAGAGGGGGAAAAAAAACCTGTTTCTTTGAAAAAGATCAACAAAATTGGTAAGTCTCTGGCCAGGTTAACTGAGAAAAAAAAGAGAGGATACAAATTTTTACTATCAGAAATGAGAGGCCCAGCAGGTGTGGCTCTGTGGATGGAACATCGTCCCCTGGACTGAGAGGTCCCGGTTTGATTCCCGGTCAGGGCACATGCCCGGGTTGCAGGCTCGATCCCCAGTGTGGGGCGAGCAGGAGGCGGCCCACTGATGTTTCTCTTTCACGTGGATGTTTCTATCTCCCTCTCTCCCTTCCTCTCTCTCCTTAGCGGGAACTGAACCTGGGACTCTCTGGTCCACAGGCCAACGCTCTAACCGGTGAGCCAAACTGGCCAGGGCATGTTCCATTAAAAAAAAAAAGGAATTCACCAAACACTTAAGGAAGAAGTTGTACCAATTCTCTGCAATCTCTTTCAGACAACAGAAGCAGAGGGAACACTTCCCAACTAAGTCCAGGAGGCCAGCATCACCCTTGTAACCCAACAAGACGTTACAAGGAAACACTGTTGCCGTGAACACAGATGCAAATGTTCTCAGCAAGATGCTGGCAAATCGACTCCAACAACACACAGAAGAAGCATACGCCACAACCAACCGGAAGTTACCCTAGACGTGCAAGGTGGGTCCGCACGGGAGAACCAATGGACGCGATCTATCACGTCAACAGACACACAGAAAAGCACCTGACAAACCCCAACCCCCACTCGTGATAAAAACTCTCTGTGAACAGAAATAGAGAGGAATTCCCTCAACTCCGTAAAGAATACCTGCAAACCCGGCAGCTAACATCGTACTTAAAGGTCAAGTCCGCGCCTCCTGCTAAGACCGGGGGAAGGCAGCACGCCCCCTCCCGCGGCTCCTCCCCGACATCACGCTGCAAGTCCTTGCTGCTGCGACCAGCCGGCGTGGGAGACCGCTTTACCCAGAGGAGCTGAGCACCTCGTCCACACAGACACCTTCACTCGGGTGTGCGCAGCAGCCTTGCTCAGAATCGCCCAACACCTGGGAGCCACCACGGCGCCCGTCCGTAGGGGACGGAGGACAGACCAGAACATTACTCGGCAGTAGAGACCTGGGCTGAGGCCGCGCAGACAGGGGAGCCTCACCTGCCTGTGACTCTGAGAAGCCAGACTGCCGAGGCCTCACGCTGTGACGGCAGCTCCGTCTGTCTGGAGGAGGACAGACTGGAGACAGCGGAACGATGGGGGGCTGGGGAGGGGGGGCACAGGATTTTCAGGCAGTGAAGCTGCTCTGTGTGACGCGGTGACAGTGGACACGTGTCATCCCACATCTGTCCCCACTCACAGAACACCCCACCAAGAGTGACCCCGATGGCTGTGGGCTGGGGTGAAGGTGAGGTGCAGTGTGGGTCCATCTAGTGTAGCACATGGACCCCCTGGACGCCTTGATGGCGGGAAGGCTGTGCGGGGGAGGGGGGGCATGAAAAATTTCTACATTTTTCTAAATTCTGCTGTGAACCTGAAACTGGTCTAGAACATGAGTGGTCATGGCGGGGAGGCCTGTTCAAAGGTCTGATCAGCAGTGAGGAGAACGCTCACGACACCTGGAGAAGTGCGGCACGGCGAGCAGGCGATGACACGGGCCTTTCCGACCCTGAGCTGCGAGGAGGACACTGTGGTGTCTTGGAACAGGGTCCCCAACCCGGAGAGGGGACGTGTGCAAGGCCCGTGCCTGGGCAGGGGCAGAGGCAGAAAGGCAGCCACGAGCAGGCGCCGCCCGGCTGGCGACAGGTGCCGAGCTCCTCAGTGTTACTGTGACCTCCTTAATGCGTCAAGTTTTCCACAACGAGTAGAAAGATAAAAGATATTAGATTCTAGGTGAACAATGACTGAAGACAGGAGATAAAATAAAAGCTGAGAAAACGTCAACTGGATCATCTTTACGCTCCAGCAGTGGGTGAGACGCGAGTGGGGGGGGGGACCGAGAGTTCCGGAGGCCGTCCTGGAGCCCGGACATCAGGGAACCGCAACCGTGCGAGCCCAGGGCTGGTGAAGCAGACGGGCCCTGCAGGAAGGCACATCAGCTCGGTCTCGTGGGACGTCCACATGGACGTACGCCGCCCAGCAGCTGAGCGCGGCACAGGGACACAGGGCACCAGGCCAACGGTGGCCAGTGTGCAGACGGTGGAAAGAGCCAGGCGGAAACACTCAGCATAGCCCAGACCCTCGGCCGCACGGTGACCGTGGGCACGTGCGCTGGAGCGCAGAGCCGTCTCCACAGCGGGACTCGGGCCACAGCAGGCTAGACGCCAGGAGACGCTTGCTTAACTTGAATAAAACATTGACATTCACGTGTACAAGACTTTAACTCAAACCCCCACAGGAGAGACACAAGCACAAAGAGAACCGAGCAGAGGTGACACCTGGAGAGAAGGCTGACAGCGGTGGAGGACGCGGACGGCGGAGGGCCCAGAGCTCCTAGCGAACTGACCAGGAGGAACGCACTCTGCCCCCCACAGGCGGCTGCAGGTCCCAGCACGGTGAGAGGGAAGCCTCGCTCTTAGAAGAAAGACCAGCACAACTTCTCAGCGGTGACAATGGGGGACCAAGGTGCAGGGGAGGCTCCCTCTGCCCTCCTTCACCCCCACACTGGCCTGAACACTGGCCCAGTCGGGATGCTGCTGGGTGCCACGTGCACAGATGACGAGAACGACATTGGAAAGCCCCTTCTCCCATCAGCCCGAGGCCTGCAGCCTGCTCTGTCGGCCTGAGGGGGCGCTGCAGAGCGGCACTGCCCGCGGGGCAAACCAGAGCCACCCAGAAGGACGGCGCTGAGGACAGGGCAGTGGAGGAGGTCAGACTCCCCAATACTGGCCGTGAGCAAAGACGCCTATGATCTGGTCCCTCCTCGAGTCCCGCACAGGAGACTGACTGCATCTGCCCGAAAACCCCAGAAAGCAGAGCAAGGAGACAGGCAGCCGCCCGGAAAGTGTTCTGTACGGAGTGCAAGGGAGGAGGTGTTTCCGAGCTGTGCAGAGAGCACCAAGCACGGAGGACGGAGGAGCTCCCGCCCAGGACCCCGCGAAGGCAAAGCCAGCGCGACATCGTGCCGGCCTGTCCCCATCACAGGACTCCGGCCTCAGGACCAGAGTGACCGGAGCCGGCAGGGAAAGGCAGACAGACAGCGGGAGCCCTGCCCTCTGGGGAGCTCTGAGGAGCCACAGTGTCCACCTGGAGCCCCGACTGCTGGCACGGACGCAGGGCCACCGGAGCCCTCGCCCGCCAGCCTGGAAGGGGACGACGCACCCACAGGGTCGCAGACACGTCCCCACCACGCGACAGGCACGTTCAAGCACTGGCCCCGGAAGCAAGAGGATGATGGCGCCTCCACCCCGGCAGCACGGAGCATGGAGCACGGACGTGGAGGACGCACGGATGGGCGCTCACGTAAGCTCCGCACCAGGCCCTGGGCAGCAGCGTCCTGGAGAAGGTCTGTGGCCTGGAGCCTCGCCCGACAGGGAGGCTGCACAGGGACCACACTTAAAACGTGAGGGCAAAGGGCTGAACACCGCGCCCGCGACGGAGGCCCAGCCAGGCGCTGTTGCTCTACCCTCATCAGCACCCCTCCCGGGTGGTGTGCAGCAACCCCCCCCCCAGCAGGCACCTGTGTGCAGTGGGGGCGAGGACCCCCCACCCCGCGCAAAGCGGGTCCTGCTCAGGAGGGTCTGGCCCGGCCCCGGGGGCCCTGGGACACGCGCCCGAAGGGAGTGGGAGCTGAGGGCGGATTCTGTGGGGTCAGACGCCCGCCCACCTCCGCACAGCCAGGGGACTGGGGCCCGGCACCTACGTCCAGCTTCATCAGGGTCAGCAGGTCCTTCTTGGCGGCTGTGAAGATGGCGTCTGTCTTCCTGCTGGCGAGAGTCTCGTCCGAGCTGCAGTCCGAGTAGTGGAAGACAGCGGAGGGCGTCTCCGCGACCATCACGCTCTTCTTGACCTTGGGAAGAGTAGGGACACGGGTCAGAAGGGACACGGGGGGTCACCAGTGCAGGGGGAGCCTGGAAGGGGTGCGTGAGGGTGGCCCACCTTGCTGGCCATGGCACTCCCGGGGCGCTCCTCTGCATGCAGGGGGACCCTGGCACGGTCACAGGCCGTCTGCAGGTCTGAGGGGGTACCTGTGGACAGAGGGGAGACCAGGGGCCTGAGCTGGCGGCCAGGGCTGGCCGGGCACCGCCAACACCCACAGATGAGACTCAGCTCCGAGAGCGGAGCCACCAAGCAGCGGTGCCTTCTAAACGCGCCAAGTGCCAGCAGGAGCCACCTCGGCCCCAGCGCTACACATTCGGCCGCTGGGTCTGCCCGCCGGCCACCAGGCCCGAGCCGGCGCTCCCCCAGAGGCAGAGGCCTCCCACCCTAACCCTTCGGCAGCAGGGAAGACAGGGGGCTTCCAACACAGGAAGTGCAGCCACGGCGTGACCTGACAGAGGCCCACGAGCCAGGGCTCGGAGGGGCAGCGCCCTCCATCTGGGCCAGCACCGGGTGTGGCCCTCAGACTCAGGGCTGCCCTGTCCCTCAGCCGAGAGTCCTGTCTGCACTGACAAACCCTCAGCCTGGTGAGAGCCAGCAGCCTGGGAAATGTCTCCGGAGGCTGCACATCTGCAAGCTGGTGGGCACAGCCCCGCACGGGGAGGGCAGTGGCGCTGGTGGGCGACCCCCAGTGGCAGGAGGGGGCACGCAGGGCCCACAGGTGTGGCATCGTGGACGTGGATGCCAGGGGTGTGGTGAAACAGGGCGGTGTGGGGAGAAGCCCACCACTGCCTGCAGAGCCAGAGAGTAGGTGCAGGGCCCCTGGGTAAGCCCGGGGCAGGGACAGGGCCCTCACCTGGGGGAGCAGAAGCGGCCTGGTCGCCGGCCTGGGCCTTGCCGAGCGGGTCCGCCCTCTCCTCGCGGGCAGAAGGCAGCGGGAAGGAGTGGCTCCTCTTCAGCAGGGGCCCTGAGGCAGCGGCCCAGCTGCCCCCGTGGTCTGCGGGAGGGCACGGTGGAGGCGGGGCTCTGTCCACAGTGGCACAGACCCCATGTCTCCGCCCGGAGACAGCCTTTGCATGCCTGCCCTTGAGGGCCTCTCCTCATCCCCGGCACCTGTCCCCACCTGGCCAGGTGACTGATGAGCAAGGGACAGCCTCAGACCCAGGCCCTGCTGGCCCCGCCTGGGGGGTCCTCCTGAACTGGCCAGCCCCGCGGCCGGCGGAGCACCGTGAAGGTCGGCTCCGGCCCCGGGGTCCGCGGTGCCCTCTCCTCGGGCCGCTCCTAGCCAAGCGCCCTCAGGGTGCACCTGCGTGAGCCCGGCAAGCCCCCACGCCCATCGGCCCGAGGTGAGGCCGTGTGACCTCCAGGAAGGGCCCGGCCATGGGCAGCGCGGACTGTCACCTGCTGTCAGCTGCTGGCTGACAAGCACCCGTCCAAGTGGCTGCCAAGGCCCCCAGAGATCTCAGAGCAGCGAGGATGCAGCAAAAACCAGAGGCTCCCCCAGAATACCTTCTCCCCGGGACCAAGCGCCTCAGCAGGGACAGACGGCAGTGGGTGATGGGGCCAGGGCGGGAAGTGCCTGGGCTCTGGTGCAGGCCTGTCCCGGGGGCCAGTACCTGGGTCGCAGGACTCCTGGGGCCGCTGGGGCCGCTGGGGCCGCTCCTCGGGGCCGCTGCTCAGCTGCCTCTTGGCCTTTCCAGCAGACACGCTGGCTACAGACAGGAGGGGGATGGCCTGGCTCTCCTGGGACGGAAGAAAGGAGGTGCTGCCCTCGAGGAACAGCCACACCTGGGGGGACGCCAGGGTCGACTTGGACACCAGTTACATGAATAATGGGCCTGCCCATGTGTCTCCATGGGCGAGCATCATCCCCTGGACTGAGAGGTCCCGGTTCGATTCCCGGTCAGGGCACATGCCTGGGTTGTGGGCTTGATCCCCAGTGGGGGGCGTGCAGGAGGCGGCCGATAGATGTTTCTCTCTCACATCGACATTTCTCTCTCTCTCCCCCTAAAAAAAAAATCAATAAAAACATATTTTTTTTAAAAAGGGAGAACTAGCCCTGGTCGGTTTTGCTGAGTGGTTAGAGCATCGGCCCACGGACCAAAGAGTCACAGGTTCGATTCCGGTCAAGGGCACGGACCTCCGTTGTGGTTGAGTCCCCAGCCCTGGTTGGGGCCGTGCAGGAGGCAGCCACTCAATGTGTCCCTTTCACGTTGATGTTTCTCTCTCTCTCCCCCCCTCCCACTCTATCTGAACAAAAGTGGAAAAATGTCCTTGGGTGAGAATAAAAAAAAAAAAAGGAGCCCTGGCCGGTTTGGCTCAGCGGTTAGAGCATCGGCCTGCGGTCCTCAGAGACCCGGGTTCGGTTCCCGCTAAGGGCATGTACCTCGGTTGCAGTTTGTCCCTGGCCCTGGTTGGTTGTGCGGGTGGCAGCCACTCGATGTGTTCCTTTCACATCGATGTTTCTCTCTCTCTCTCTCTGTTCCTCTCTCTCCCTCCCACTCTACCTGAACAGAAAATGGAAAAATGTCCTCGGGTGAGGATAAAAAAAAAAAAAAAAAAGGAAAACTGGTTTGTTCAAAGTGACAAAGACCCAGCAAGTTTAATTAATAGTCAAAGTGGTCAGAAACCCTAACTTTCTCCATTGAGATGAAAAACCACGTAGGAAGGAAAAGGATTTGCCCTAAGACACCAGCAAAGAAAGATGAGAAAGCTGGGCCCCACCGAGTCAGGGAGGGGCTGGGGGAGACACATCCGGCACCGGGGCCACAGGACACGGCCGGCTCCGACCAGGGCCCCTGGCAAGTGCCAGGCTCACGGGACAGGTGCTCTTCAGGCTACGGGGACACAGCAGGTCGTGTCACAACTGTCCCATCGACTTCTCCCAAGGACTCGGGGTGGGGGGGCTAACCATCTCACAGCACCAGCTCAGCCTCACGGGCCTGGACAGACAGGGCGGGGCTGAGGGACCCCAGGCACCAGAGGGGACGGCCTCCATCGGACAGGCCATCACTCGGCAGGCGCCCGGTGACCAGCAGAGCTGGGGACAGACCAAATGCGGGACTCGGCACAGAAAAGGAACCCGCCTCCCGCCGGGCAGGCCCCCTGGCCGCCCCCAGCACTTACGGGGTTGAAGAGCTCCGTGGTCAGGCCCAGGTAGTTGTGCAGGGCCAGGAAGGTGACCCTCTGCAGCCGCACCATGATGATCTGCAGGCGGCAGGGGTACTGGGCATGAGCCCACTGGGGCCACTTGGACCTGAACCCGTTTGACAATCACCAGGTCCCCTAAGATGTCAGCATCAGGGGCATAAGCTCTGTGTTATTTGTAAGTCTTCTGCAAATCTAAAATCACTTCTAACGAGATTTAAATTTAAAAACTTTTGGGGGCAGCAGCAGATCAGAAGACCTGAGGTCACAGTACTGATTTTTATTGTAGGACATGCATACGAGGTTTCCAGAACCTCCCACAGTCCTCCCGGCACCCACCTGAAGCCCACACGCAGCAGCCCGCACTGCCCGAGCGGTCAGGCTCCTCCTGGGACCCGTGCGGGACTCTGTGACAGCTGGGACCGTACCTGAGAAGCACCCACCTGCACCACCCTGACCAGGGTTTCAGGGTACTTCTCGAACACCCCTTGAAAGGCCACAGCCGGAAGTCTGAGGATGGTGGACGGGGTGGCGGCACGGGCAGACACGGTTTTGTAGGGGGCAGTGTGGCCCTGCAATGACAGGCGCGGTGTGGGCTCCCGGCGTCCTGAGCAGACCCGGCTCTCAATCCCCGCCACGCAGTGCAGGACACCAGCCTGCGCAGCTCGCGCCAGACTACTGGCGCCACATGGCCCCCAGGGAGCCGCGCCCAGTGTGCCCCAAGGAGGAGGCTTGGCTCGAGGAGGCCGCCTGCCCTAAGGCCCAGGCTCAGTGCTCCGGGGTGTGGTCCCCGCTCCGAAGCTGCCCTCTCTGGGGCACAGCTGTCTGTCACCACCCGCTCCTCCCACCACTAGTTCCCAGCAACCGCCCCGCTCTCTTCTGTCTGGATGGTTTTGCTTCTGTCAAATCACATAAATGGAGTCACAGGGTCTGGCTCCTGTCACAGTGAGACGCCCGGGACACAAGCACACTCGGGACTGCCGACAGCCCAGACCGAGGCTGATTCGCAGAAGCACGGTGTCCTCGGGGTGCAGGGTGCACGTCTGTGGTTCGGAATCACACACAGGCAGCTGCTGGGATGTCTGCACAGGGGTGTCGTGTGACAGTCCACACTCCACTGGCCGGGCCCCCAGAACCACCCAGCTGTCTCCTCCGTGCTGTACCACTCAGCACCCCCAGCCAGGAGTGAGAGTTTCAGGGAACCTGCATGGTCACCTCCTCCAACCCTGGAAGTCCCCAGGGTCAGCAGCACCTAGTGCCACACCAGGAGGGAAGACCCGCGCAGGGGGGGTCCCGACCTCAGGGAGCAGAGGGGCTGCAGGCTGAGCAGTGGGAGCCTCCATCTAGTCCATCATCCAAGCAGGGCTGAGGCGGCCCACGCAGTCCCCACCTTCATGTTCCAAATGCCCACTTGCGGCGTGCGCCGACCCGACAGCGTGACTCCGGCCGAGTGTCTGCTGGCACCTTTCCCTGCTTTCCAGTGACTCGTGGTGTCCGAACACCGAGTTCCTCGTAGACTCAGGACATAGTTCCTTCTCAGGTGTGTGCTTTGCAAATATTTTCCTTCAGTTTACGAATTGACTTTTCATTCTTCCAACAGTGCCTTTCACAGACCACAAGTCTTTTGTGTTCAAGTCTGATTAACCAATTTTCCCAGACTGCTCCTCTGTCGTACCTGAGAAATCTCTGCGGAGCGGGAGGACACGGGCACCCTCGCCACCTCCTTCCCGAAGTGCAGCCTCAGGTCTCCCATGCAGGTGCGTGGCCCTCTCAGAGCCAAGGGGCCTGCTTTGCAGGTGGAGGGCTGTCCCTGCTGACTACCCCCCAAGACAGCCACACCCCTGCCAAACACCCGCTCACCCTGTGGCACGATGTGAACAAGGTCTTGTGACTCCCTCAGCTTTGTTTTTCCTTTCGGATTCTCTTACCTATTCGAGTTCCTTGCCTCCCATGTAATTTCACAATCCGTCTGTCCTGGGGAAAGAGCCTGCCGAGACTTTGCTTGGAATCACGTTGTGCGATGTGGGGAGATTTGCCTTCTTACCAACGTGGAGTCTTCATGCTCCCCCTTCCGCTGGCCCCTGACCAGCGACGTGACGTTTTCAGCCCAGACCCTGCACGTGCCTGGTCCCGTGGCCAGCAAGGGTTCCGGGGGTTGGTGCCATGACAGACGCTGCTGCTCTCGCCTGTCCCACTCCCAGATGTTCGCCGCTGGCACTTAGAAAGCCCTGGTGTTAGATCCGACCTTGGCCTCAGAGCTCACTCGCCAGCTCCTGTGCATCCTGGGGCTTCTGCGGGGTTCTCCACGTTCCCCACACCACCTGGTGCGCCGTACCCGCCCTAACCACCCGGCAGGGCCTCCAGGTGGTGCTGACGCGGTGGCGAGAATGGACTTTCTGGGTTTGATTCTGGTCTTCGAGGGAAAAACTAGTCTCTCCCATTTCAAGCAAGATGGTAGCTGTGAGTTTGTAGGGGTGTCCTCTTGGATTTGGGAAACCTCTTCCTAGCTTTCTGCGTTCCAGCAGGAAAGAACCTTCACGTGCTTTTCCTGCCTCCACCGGGACGATCGTGTGGCTTTTCCTCAGGATGCCAATCTGGTTCACTGCGCTGACCTGTTCCTTTTCTCGATGCATTCATCAGGGCGACCTCGTTAATACAGTGCCACAGGTCCCAGATGGACAGCTCTGTTCACACGGACCAACTGCGAAGGATGAACAGCTCACACGTCTCCCTGCGACCGTCACACATCTCCCTGCGACCGTCACACGTCTCCCTGCGACCGTCTCAGTCTCTGCGACAGTTCCACTAGTCTCTGCGACCGTCACACGTCTCATGCGGACGTGTATCCGTCTCCCTGCGGACGTAAACGTCTCCCTGCGACCGTCCACATGTTCCCTGCGACCGTCTCACGTCTCCCTGCGACCGTCACACGTCTCCCTGCGACCGTCACACGTCTCCCTGCGACCCGTCTCACGTCTCCCTTCGACCGTTCATGTCTCCATGCGACCGCAACGTCTACCTGCGAGTCTCACGTATCCTGCGCCCGTTCACGGTCTCCATGCGGGGACGTCTCAGTCTCACCTGCGACAGTCACTCGCTCCCTGCGGACCGTAACACGTATCCCTGAGACCGGCTCACGCTCCCTTCGACGTCTCACTTCTCCTGCGACCGTCTCACGTCTCCCTGCGACCGTCACACGTCTCCCTGCGACCGTCTCACGTCTCCCTGCGACCGTCACACGTCTCCCTGCGACCGTCTCACGTCTCCCTGCGACCGTCACTCGTCTCCCTGCGACCGTCACTCGTCTCCCTGCGACCGTCTCACGTCTCCCTGCGACCATTACACATTTCCCTCTAACATGCGCGGGGCTCGGGTTTCTAATACTTCATGGAGGACTTCTGTGGTTTTGTTCATGGGGTACCGGCTGGCGATGTGCTTTCCCTGTGACGTTGCGGCCTGGTATCGGGGTGACAGGGCTCCGGGCTGGATCGGGAGGCGTTCCCTCCCTCGCACTTCTCTGAGAGGGTCCCTGCGAACCGGCATCGCTTCTCCCGTCTGTGCAGGACCCACACGCACCTGCGGGAAGGACTTTCCTCACGAATCTGACACAGGACTACCCGAATAACCTACGTCCCATCGAGAGTGTGGGTAGTTTGTTTCTGTCCAGGGCTTCAGCAATTTCAACCAAGTTGTTGGTTCGACAGGGACAACGCTGCTCGCACACTCATCTTTTCAGGCCTGCCGTCTACAGAAACGCTCCCGCTCTCATTCCCGACGTCCGCGGTGTGTCTCCTCCTTCACGTCAATGGTCGGGCTGGAGGCCTCTCCATTTACCTATTGATCTTTTGCACGAGCCAACTTTTGGTTTTGTTGATTTTCTCTATTATTTTCCTATTTTCAATCTGATTTCTGCTTTTATCTTTATGACTTTCTTCCTTCTGTTAGCTTTGTATTTTCATTCACTCTTCCTAGTTTCTTAAAAGCTTAGATCACTGATTTGAGACCTTTCTTCTTTTCTAATACAAGTATTTGAGGCTATAAATTTCCCTCTATGCACTACTTTAGCTGCACTCCACAAATCTTGGTATGTTGTGTTTTCATTTAATTTAAAATACTTTTATTTCCCTATAATTTCTCTTTGATCAATATTTAATTTAAAAGTGTATTTTTAATAGCCAAATATTTAGGGGATTTTCTATATTTCACTATTGGTTTATGTTTTAATACCATCACAATCAAAAGGCAGACTTTGTATGATTTCGATCCCCTGGAATGTATCAGTGTGTTCTGCTGTGCTGGGTGCAGTGTTCAGTTATTAACTAACCACAGTGGTGGGTAGTACGGCTCAGACCTTCCATGCCTTCACAGGCTTCCTGCCTACTTGACCTGCCGCTTGAAAGAGAAGCTAAATTCACCGACTGTGACTCTGCACCTGCTTCTCCTTTTCAGTTGTTTCCACTCCTGAAATCACGTATTTTGAAATTCTGTTAGGTGAATACATGTTTGGGATGGGTCTGTCTTTTTGGTCCCACACAGGAGGTCGACAGAAAGCTAAAACAGAAGGGTGCGGAACACGAGAGGAGCCCAGAGGAGCGATGGAAGCTGCTCCTGGAGGGGCAGTGGCAGATGGCAGAGCTTCGTAAAATACCAGGTGTGCCTGGCCATGTGGCTCCGTGGACAGAACGTCATCCCAGGGACTGAGAGGTCGCTGGTTCGACTCCTGGTCAGGGCACATGCCCGGGTTGCGGGCCCGATCCCCAGTAGGGGGCGTGCAGGAGGCAGCCCATCAATGTTCCTCTCTCACATCCATGTTTCTATCACTTTCTCCCTTCCTCTCTCTAAAAAGTCAACAACAAAATACCACCAAATATATTCTTGAAGTTTTCCATGTGATTTTACAGATTTACACTTTTAAAAAAAACAACAAACACAAATGTCTGGTCGGGCAAAAATGATGTCCTTCCACAGGATGAGTTAGTTGATCCCACAGAGTTATTTTCTCTGAAGCGTCACCCCCCCCCCCGGCCTTCTCCTCTCCCCACTAAGCGAGGAGGTGGCCCTGCCACAGACCCAAGGACGAGGGGACCACAGCAGGCTGGGGGCACAGCTCACAGGGCTGGGATGGCATTCAACCCGCAGCCATGAAAACCAGGGCCGGCCCCAACCAGGGAGGACAGAGAAGGGTTTTCCCTGGTGTGCGCCAAAGCTGTTTTCTGCTAAAACCCACTGGCCGAGGTAGAGGGAGGTGTGACTGGGGGTTCAGCTCCGTCAGGGGTGTGCACCCCTGGGATCCAGCAAGTCTCTCCTAAGGCTTGTCCCACACACTAGACCTCGAATCCGCGAAGCATCGCCCACCCGAGGCCAGTGCTGCAGCAGCAAACAGCGAAGGCTGGGACACAAGGCGCCATGAGCACAGAAGACCCGAGCGCCCTCCTGGGAAGGGGGAACGTTCCACCCCACGGGGAGCTGTGCCTCTTGAACCTCAGACCACGTGTGTGTGACCCGGTCCGAAACACAGCAGTTTAAGAGACAACCCAAGCCGGAGATCAAATGCCCAGCTCTGCTTAAATACATGGAGTAGCTCCCACTACACCCCAATCTCTGGGGTCCCCCCCACCCCTCCAGATCAGGGCCCGGCACTGGGGATGCCTGGCCTTGGTGCTGAGGGACCTGTGTTCCGGCGAAGGTGGGCAGACCAGGGGCACTCACGGTGATGACGTCCAGGATGCTGAGGAGACTGTGGACGCTGTCCCCGGCTAGCACCTCTTTGACCACCACCTCGGAGCTGTCCTGCATGTGGGGAGAGCAGAGATCTGCTGTCGGGGGCTCGGCCCAGCCCTGGGCAAACCGGGCTCTACTGTGGTCTGGTCCGGAGAGGCAGAGGCCACACCCTGCTGACTCGCAGGGACCAGAGGTGAGAAACTCAAAGCAGAGAACAGATGCAGGAGAACAGACCAGAGAGTGAAGAAACCCAGCCAGGCCCTGGCTGGTTTGGCCTAGCGGTTAGAGCATCAGCCTGCAGACTGGAGAGTCCCAGGTTTGGTTCCCATTAAGGGCATGGACCTCGGTTGCAGTTTGTCCCCGGCCCCAGTTGGGGTTGTATGGGTGGCAGCCACTCGATGGGTGTCTCTCACATCGATGTTTCTCTCTCTCTTCTTCCCTCTCTCCTTCCCGCTCTATCTGAAGATAAACACAAAAGTGTCCTCAAGTGAGGATTAAAAGAAAAAGAAAAAGAAAAGAAAAGAAACCCAGCCAGGCGGCACAACATCCCACGGCAGGGCCTGTTCCCGCCCGAGCCCCGAGCCCGAGCCCCACTAGCCCTCAGAGCCGCGGACCTCTCTGGGGGGCTGTGGACCCGCGCTACGTGTCAGCATGAACAACGGCCTTCTGCACGGTCCCCACGGACTGAGACAGACGCCCACTAGGTGCTGGTGGCCTCACACAGCACGGGCCTCACCGGACCAGGACACATCCCGAGAAATGACCCTGAGGCTGTGTGACTGTCACAGGGCGCGCACACCTGGGCTGCACCGTGCACCCAGTCCTGGGCTGCTGGCCGGGACGGGACGTTAACTGTATGAGGACGGTGAACCCCGTAACGACGGTGCTTGTGTCCAAACACAGAGAAGGCACAGTATCGACACGGGGTAACCGATGAAAGCTGGTGAGCTGTCGGGGCACCGGGGCTGCTGCGGGGAGGCCGGGGCTGAGGGTGGGGCTGAGGGCGTGGCCGTGCCCGACTGTGACCACCACACTCGGGCTGCACTCAGTTCCTAAAAGATGTTTCTTCCTTCAACGATGAATTAACCTGCCCTGGCTGGTTTTGCTCAGCGGTTAGTACATTGGCCTGAAGACAGGAGAGTTGTGGGTTCGATTCCTGGTCAAGGGCGCATACAGGGGTTACAGGTTTGATCCCCAGCCCTGGTCGGAGTCTTGAGGGAGGCAACCAATCGGTGGGTCTCTCTCACATCAACGTTTCTCTCCCTCTCCTCACTCTATCAATGGAAAAATATCCCCAGGTGAGGATTAACAAAAAAAAAAAGTAAGTAAGTAAGTAAGGTGCTCTGACGTCACCACAGCTCTGACGTCACCGGGCGACTGTCCCGGCTCCTGTACCGCCTCACAGGCCACCGTCCTGGACGGGGCTGTCATGAAGCCCAACTGGAGGACCTGGGAGAAGGCCGATTCCTTTCTGACTGCCCAGCAAGCCCAGCCACAGACGAGGCTACGCGGGAAGCGCAGGGCGTGCGGGAACCACCTGGGTGGGGCCCAGCCCCGGGGCTGGCAGGTGGGAGCGTCCCTGATGTTGGGAGCGACTTCGTGCCCTCCGGGGTGCGCTAAGCATTGGCTTCAAACAGTAACAAGCAGTGGGAAGCAGCCTGGGTCACCCCACAGGGCGAATGAACCCACACGCCCACCTGCAAAGCACCCAGACCTCGCAGGCTTGGCCTGAGGTCGCCGCCCCTGGCGACGGCGCTAGGGTACAATCTGACAGGGACAGGAAGCGAGTGTTCAGCTTCCAGGTGAGTGGGTGCCCTACTCATTCCCGTAGAGCCCAAGCCGTGATACCCGAAAACAGGCAAGAGCGCCAGGGGTCCCGGCAGAGCAGCGCCGAGCGCCAGCAGCCTGTGAGGAAGGGAAGGGCTCCGTCCCCATGCTCGGGACCGACGTGTGCCTCTTTCTCAAAGAACCGAAAGCCAAGATTTTGCACTAACTGCTCAATGGAAAACTCCTTACCGCATCCTGAATGCAGACCTCCAGCCGCCCGTCCTGTACCACGTAGATGCTTGTGTCCGGCTCCCCCGGCCGGAACACGTGCTCCCCTTCGAGCAGCTGCATGAAGACCATGTGTTTGCACAGTTCCAGGAATAGTGGCTTCTCAAAGTGGCCCAGGACCCTGCAAGAACCACAGCACACATGGACTCCTGCCAGTAGGGAGGGCCAGCGGGACAGCCTTCGGAAGAGACTGACAGGAATCTGGGCCAGCGTGACCACCAGCCAGGTCCAGAGAGCTGGCTTCCACAGGGCTGCGGCCTGGAGTCACCACGAGGACCAGAGCTTCACCTCCAGGAGTCCCCGCGAGCTGCTTCCAGCCCAAAGAGCCCTGGAGCCGCAACTCTGAACTTGAACTGGATGCACAACCAAGGCCAGGCCTGGACACACTCCTGGGACCTGGGAGGAAGATGGTGGAGGGAGACGGGTTTCCAGGAGAGGGAAGGCAGGGCTCCTGGGATGGGGGAGGGACCAACTGGTAACTTTCGGTCCAGCCTCCACTCCCACACGTGCTCTGAGTTCCCCTGGAGGTGAAAATGTAAACACAACAGCCAAGAACGGGTAAGGAGGCTCCTCCAACCACGGGGCAGAGCCGGAAGGAGCGACACTCTGCCAACCATCGGGGCCCCGGGGAGTGCGTCCGGACGCCAGGCTGCGGCAGCCCCAGCAATAATGGCCCCCTGCCCCCGGCTCCTCTTACCTGACGTTTTTCAACATGTACAGAACTTCCAAGGGCAGCTGAGAGTTCTTCACGTCGAACTCCGTGAGGTCGGCCTCCAGCAGGGACGGCGGGGGCTCCTTTGGCTGCAGGGTGGGGTACTCCTTCTTGAACCGCAGGATCCTAGAGGCAGAGCCGCACCCTGGAGCTGGGCCCCCGCAGCGGGGAGACACAGCAGTGCCCCCGGGAGAGCAGCGGGGCAGGTGTGGCCTGAAGGGCAGTCCCAGTACCTCTTGGCCAAAGACAGCACCTTGGTCCTCTTCCTCACCCGCTGCCGGGGGGCGGCCGTGCTCCCCACAAGGGTATGGGGGAGTGTGGTCACCTGCAGCGTGAAAAGCAGAGGCTAGATCCAGGTCTCAACCTTGGGGGCCAGTCCCTGCCCTCAGCCGGCCTTCATGTGAGGTGTGTCGGCCCCCGGGTGTCAGCTCCGTTATGCGCAAGTGGTCACAACTCCACTCCCTCCCAGGTGTCTCCGCACCACTGGACCCCATTCCTGTCCTCCTCCGCCTGGGTCTAGTTGGTCACTGCACAGTCCTCAGTGGGACCAGGGGTGGACGGCCCCCACCTGACATGCACGAGCCCCTTCCACTTGCTGGGGGTCACTCCGTGTGGCCCTGCGCTAGGCTGAGGCAGCCCCACACTGTCCCCACACTCCAGGTCTGACCCCTGCCACCGGCAGGCACAGCAGTGTCCAAGCTCTGAGCGGCCACCGCAGCTGTGAGCAGCCCCAGCTGAGCTCCTGTCTCCAGCACCTGAAGACCAGGACACCTTCTCGTCTGACGGTGCGGGTTTCCCACCAAGGACACGCGCTACCTGTGTACCCAGGCAACGAGAGTGACTGCTGGAGCCTGCAGTCTAAGTACAGGGGCCTCTGGGCGGTCTGGAGTCCTTCCTGCCCTCAGGGTTGGGACCGGGCTGGGGGTCTCCAGGAACGGCTGCTTGTCCCCGGAGGGGGGCTTCCACCTTGTGGGGACTTGGCCCCAAATCCTGGCAGGACCACCAGCCACAGGCCTGGAGCCAGGACCCTCCGTGCCCACACGCCCCAGGGACGTCTCCAGTTGAGACAAACGCTCTCTCTCGGGGCCCACAGGCCTCTGTCTCTGCGCACCTGCCAAAGCCGCCTCGGAGCTCTGACCCCGGCCCAGCCCCACCAGGCCTCCCAGCCCACTGCCCGGTCACCTTCCTCATGATCTTCCGGCCGTAGAACATCACCTTGTCCCTCTTCCGGAACCTGTACTGAGGGGTGGGTTGCACTTGTCCTGCGAGGGAGCAGAGCGGTCTCCTGAGCCGGGCCCGGCACCCAGCACAGGAAGAAAAAGCAGCGTCTGGCCCAGGGCTGGTACACACCCACCAAGGGACCAGCAAGGGCAGCTTTTTCCACAGAAGCTGTGCTAGAGTCAAGAGAAGCTTGCGAAGACTCGGACCCTGTGCACTCAGCGCCCGCCTAGACCGCCAGCAATCTCCAGGCAACGCCACCAGGGGCTTGAAACGCAGGCAGGTCACGGTGCCCTCGTCCCTCCCACCAGAGCTGGAAACTGAAGCGATACTCACGGGATCGGTTAACCCTTCTGTACACAAAAACGATGGTGACGCCAACGAGGGCCAGGAGGGCTCCGATCACCATCCCCGTGAGCTGGGCGAGGGGGCAGACAGAGCACCCCTCAACAAGGCTGTAGGGAGCCCACCCCACCCCGCCACAGGTGGAGCCCGGCCCAGGGGGGAGCCCGGCCCAGGGGGAGCTGGTTACCATGGTAGCCTGTGAATGCTGCTCCATCAGCTGCAGCCACCAGGATTGCAGGGCAGTGCCCAGACAGACGCCAGCCTGGAAGAGCGCACCGGGGTCAGGAAGGGCAGGGCAGGCATGGCTGCCCGGGGCAGTGGGCACAGAGCTCCTGGTTGGGGGAGACCCTGGGAAGAAGCAGTCTTCTGGGAGCTGAGGGCCCGAGCCCACGTGCTCGGAGCAGAGACCTGCTTCCATGACCACTCGGGACAGCAGGGCAGCGCCAGCTGCCGGCTGTGTTACACGTCATGAGCACCTCTGCACCCTGAGAACTCAGGATGCCAGTCCAGGGAAAAGGCCCAGCTGGCCACAGGGGGTGTAAAGGCCGACTCTCGATGTTCTCTGGTCACCAACAGGACCTCGAACAGCTGGCCACAGGGCACACAGAAGCCCAAGCACCAGCAGTGCCGAGAAACCCCAAGAGGCCATCTGGACTTTGAGAAAGTTAGATTCCAGCTCCCAGCAGAGTAGGGCTATGAGCCTGCTCCCCTGCTGCCCCAGGGGAGAGCTCCCCTGGCTTCAGAAGTCCAGAGGAGGGGGTGGGGAGGGAGGGAGGGAGGGAAGTAAGCCAGATGGTGAGCAGGCAGAGGCTCCCGTGTGGCAGATGCTGGCCGATTCCCAGAGAAGATGAACAGGAAATAAGACCAGCAAACAACCACATTCTGATCCCCACCCTCCGTGTCCACGTGCCTCTCCCCAGGCAGCAAGGAGCAGGATAGGACCGGGGCACCTGCCAACCCACTCAGACCTGACACAGCTCGAGGACTAATGCAGCCGGCCGGACCCTCCGAGAACCAGGAGCAGGATGGGACCGGGGCACCTGCCAACCCACTCAGACCTGACACAGCTCGAAGACTAACGCAGCCGGCCGGACCCTCCGAGAACCAGGAGCCGGACGGGACCGGGGCACCTGCCAACCCACTCAGACCTGACACAGCTCGAGGACTAACGCAGCCGGCCGGACCCTCCGAGAACCAGGAACAGACATGGCACTGATGCCAGCGAACCACAGACAGACGAGAACAGTTCTCACCAGCAAAGTGCTGTGTCCGGACAACCGGTCAGTGTCCAGGAATTTCACCCTCTGCACTCAGTTCAGGACACTCACGGAAGCAGTGGGGCTTTTTGCTCCCGAGCTGAGGCCCCCAGCCCCTCCTGGCCCAGACTGAATGCTCAGACCCATGACCACACCACACCCTTCACTCCACACACGGCAAGTCTGTCCACGGAATGGTCCCACAGTGTCTCACCGCCTCTGAGCACAGCCTCCATGGTCAGGCACCTCAGACTTTCCAGCTTCTCACTGGGACTCTAAGGCATGGAACTGATCTCGGAGGAGGGAAACACAGGGTCCCCCCCTCAGTAGGCTCCAAGGAGCTGACCAGAGGCTGCATGAACCCTTTCCCCTGGTCCAGAATGCCCCCAACTAGTTCCGATCCATCCGGAACCCTTTAGCTCCATACCTCTGGGCCGGGGTCCTCCTCTTGTCCCATGGCGACAAAGGAAACAAATGGTCCAGGGGAAAGAACAAAGACCGATTCAAATGAGGTCAAGTGTTCCACCAACGCAGTCACGCAGGAGAGCAATGTGTCCACCTTTCCCCTGGGTTCCTTTCCACGTTCAACTGTTTTCAGGCCTGGCCAGTGTGGCTCCGTTGCTTAGGGGTCCTCCTGTGCTCCAAAAGGTCACCAGCTCAATTCCAGGTCAGGGCACACGCCCAGGTCAGGCTGGACCCCAGCTTGAATCCCAGGAGAGGGCGTGCTGGAGGTAGCCGAGCGGTGTTTCTCTCTCTCTCTCTCTGTCCCTTTTTCTCTCTGAAATCCATAAACACGTGTTTTTTAAAATTATGACTTTACTGACAGGCAAACCCAGACAAGAAGCACCTCCACGAAGAGAAGCTACCTATTCGGAAGCACCGGAGCCACTTTCGTAAACAACCCTCCCTCACGTGGCCACCCAGGCACCTAGAACTGCAGCCAAGTTCCCAGCCAGCAAGGGCAGTGAGCAGCCGGGCCAAGGCCTCAGGCTGATGCCAGCTTCAGAGCTGGGCAAAGGCCGGGGGGGGCACAGCAGCTGAGACACACTCCCCCAGTGGCCCATGCCTGGGGGTCTTGAGACACACTCCCCCAGTGGCCCATGCCTGGGGGTCTCCCATCCAAGGGCCACTGAGCCCTCAAGTGGGTGTGCTGGGTCCAGGGATGACGAACTCCGAGACCAGCTCTGCTCACCTGGCCAGCACTGGGGCCTTCACCCTGTAGCTCACAGGCCCCTTAGGAAAGTGGCCACAAGGGAGGGCTAGTCTCTTCCCAAATCCCACCCACAGGAGTCGGGGAAGGCAGGTGGGGGAGCAGGTGCGTTTGCTGGCGTGCGGGCACCTGTCCTGTGCCCTCCCCATCCCACAGCGGGAACCCTTCTGCTTCATCTCCTTGAGGGCCAGCAGGGCCGGACGGTCTGTGGCCTGCTGCTGTCCTGACCAGGCTGCCTCCCTATACGCAAGCTGCGGGGGGACAGGCCACTGCAGCTCCTCCTACGCTTCTCTACCTGGGACAGCCTGGGGCCAGAGGGAAGGGGACCCAGTGAAGAACTAAACAGGTCCCTGGATCAGGTTTGGGGGCCTGCAGAGCCCTGGGTGTGGCTGAGAGGGTCATCAGAGTTAGGGGTGTCCAGGGCTGGAGATGCCAGAATTAGGGGGAACAGCAAGTTAGGGCGTGTCTGCGGAGCCCGCGCAGGAAGGGCACAGGAGTATCACCAGGGGTCTGAGTTGGGGGCCTCAGGGGTTACAGGGGCGTCAGGGTAAAGGGGCAACGGTGTTACAGGGGCATCAGACAGGTTAGGGGGTGTCGGAGTTACAAGGCGTCACCGGCACACGGGCACCCGTGGGGGAGGGGCGTGGGGTTAGGGCGCTGGTGTTACAGGGGCACATGGTTAGGGGTGTCGGATTTACGGCGTCATCGAGTTCGGGGCGTCGGGCTGGGGCCCGGGGCCCCGCCAGCGGCATGGGCCTGGGTCACGCTGGGGGCGCTGCCGGCCGCCCTCCCCACAGGCCGGGCCGCCAGCTCCGGGCGCTCGGCGGCCACTCACCGCGCCCGCATCCGGGCCGCGCACCGACACCGGCTCTCCCGCGCAGGGGCTGCCCGGCCCCGCCCCCTCGCAGGAACGCGGCTGCGCGTTGGGCGCGACGCAGCCAATCGGGGCGGCTCTTGCTGCGGCGCGAGGGCGGAAGCCGGGCGCCAAAAGCCGGACGCCGAAGCCGGAAGTGGGCGGGGCCTGGTGCGCAGGCGCAGGCACACGCACACGGGGGCGGCGGCAGCATGGGGCTCCTGGGCGCGGCGGCCCGCTGCGTGGTGCGCGGTGCCGACCGGATGAGCAAGTGGACCAGCAAGCGGGGCCCGCGCACCTTCTACAAGAGCCGCGGCGCGAAGGGCACCGGCTTCCACGCCCGCGGCAGCAAGTTCGTGCAGGTCAAGGAGATGGTGCCCGAGCTGGTGGTGCCCGAGCTGGCCGGCTTCAAGCTCAAGCCCTACGTGAACTACCGCGCCCCGCCGGGCCCCGACACGCCGCTCACGCCCGCGCAGCTCTTCCGCGAGGCCGTGGCGCCCGCCGTGGAGAAGGACTTCAGGGACGGCACCTTCGACCCCGGGCGCCTGGAGAAGTACGGCTTCGAGCCCACGCAGGACGGCAAGCTCTTCCAGCTGTACCCCAAGAACTTCCCGCGCTAGCAGCCGCACCCCCGGGCCCGGCCCCACCGGCTTCTATTAAAGACCGTGGCTACCACAGTGCGTGTCTGGGCGTGTGTCTTTGCGAATTTAAGGGCGCGACACAGCGGGTCGGGGGCAGTGACCACGGCGGCGCCCCCAGCCGCTCCCCGCGGACGTGGGGAGCAGGGCAGGCTCCGCTCCACGACACCGCTCCTTCATCCCCAGGCCCTGCGCAGCCCCAGGAACCGTCCATGGAGCTGTGGGCGGGACCCTGGGGGAAAGACACTGCTCCCCTGGGGCAGACCCAAGACCAGGCCCGAACCCTCGGGTCTCTAGTAACCTGTAGTGTTTCCTGTGTCGGCCTGTTTCAGTGATGGTCCTTCGCATTTTCCGTGATCTGCCTAGTACTTAATTGACCCTAACAAACTCTAAAGGGTCAACATTTCCTTTTCCTGATAGTTAGACTGGAAGAGAGGGAGGGAAAGAGGGACACATCTGTGTCTTGGTAACCTCCTGCAGGACCCCGACCAGGGCCAGGGATCAACCTGCAACCCAGGTATGTGCCCTTGACTGGTAATTGAACCCATGGCCCTTTGGTCAGAAGGCAAACGTTCTAACCACTTGGCTAAACCCACCAGGGCAAGGGGCCAACATTTCTGTATTGAAGTAAATGGGCCCATTAGCTGGGCACCGATTGTTTAGCATAGAATAATGTCAGTTATGACACCTTCTAACCTATATGGGTATGTTGCCTTGCGTCTCGTTGGGAAAGAAGGAAACAAATTAGAAGTGCATTTCTGACTCAGAACACCTGTGTCTCCTATCAGTAATACTGGGGCTGTGATCAATTCACCAGTAGCCTGTGACAGACAACAATGAACTTGTCTGTGAGGGCCAAGAGTCACCAGCCCAGATGGGTGTCTGGATTTCTCGTGGGCAACACATCTGGGAGCTATTCAGTTCACTAAAGCCACAATGAGGAAGTGCGATTAATCCACTGCACTGACATCTCAAATTCCCAGCACTCTATGGCAGCTCAGCTCACACACCATTTTGCTTACTGCAAAGTACTTCTGGTGATCTTTTTTCAAGTTAATATAAAACTACTCTGGTGCCCAGCCAGTATGGCTCAGTGGACTGAGCACGGTCCCATGGACTGAGAGGTCCAGGTTTGATTCCCAGTCAGGACATATGCCCAGGTTGCCAACTCGATCCCCAGTTGGCGAGCAGGATGCAGCCAATCAATGTTATTTCTCTCTCCCTTTTCCTCTCCCTCAAAAAAATCCATTAAAAAAACAAAACAAAAATACAACTACTCTGGTGATATAAAATAGCTTTTAAAAGAACCTTCAGTGTGTCCAGCCAGTATGGCTCAGTGTTTCAGTGTCAACCCATGGACCAAGAGGTTGCCGATCAGGGCACTTCAGTTAATATAAATATTTCTTAGATAAGTATGAAGAACTAAAAAACTGCCAAGTCTGAAAGCCAGGAGAGGCCCTGCACTGCCTGCCAACACCTCCATGCCAGAATCACTATTGAAGGGCCCAGCCCATGTCTACTAAAGAGAAGCCAACTGCTTTCTCTTTTTTTGTTGATATTTTGTTCAGATAGAGTGGGAGGGAGGAAGGGAGAAAGAGAAACATCGACATGAAAGGGACACATCGAGTGGCTGCCACCCACACGACCCAACCAGGGCCGGGGACAAACTGCAACCGATGTACGTGCCCTTAGCGGGAACTGAACCCAGGTCTCTCCAGACCGCAGGCCGACGTTCTAACCGCTGATCCAAACTGGCCAGGGCCCAACTGCTTTCTTTCTTTTTTTTTATCATTCTCACCGAAGGACATTTTTTGTTTTTTGGTAGAGTGGGAGGGGGAGAGAGGAAGAGAGAGGGAGAAACATCGATGTGAAAGAGACACTTCGAGTGGTCGCCACCTGCACAACCAACAGGGCCGGGGACAAACTGCAACCGAGGTACGTGCCCTTAGCGGGAACTGAACCCGGTCTCTCCGGACCACAGGCCGATGCTCTAACCGCTGAGCCAAACCAGCCAGGGCCCAACTGCTTTCTTGACTGCACTGCAGCTTCCGGAGATTCACTGAGCCCTACACTAAGCTTCCGAGACAATGAGAACCTCAGTAAGATGGTCTGAGGGCAGTTCATCACAGACACGGGCTTTATGATTTCAAACCAAGCACCCTGTTCCCTCGCTCAGCTGTTCTCCCACTTCAACAGGTGAAGAACATGGTCATAGAAGGAGCAAGTGGCTAGAAGGCTGATGTCAGTGTTTGCTGTTTCCACATGCAGGTCATAGTCACAGATCATGGTCCCTGGGGTATGCAGCTGGCTGCTGACCTTCCTGCCCTCTGTGGATGGCTGGAGAGAAGTCTTCTTCTTATTTCCAACCTGGGGCTTGATCCAACCCTCTCCACCATCGTCTGCTAAACAACTGCGAGAGGGAGGTCCTGCCGGCTGGCCTGCCACCTCGACGTCTTCTGTCCTGGCCCCTGGGTCGCTGCAGGAAAAGGACCCTATGTTGGACAACTGCTGGGACTGTGGTACAGGGCAGAAGGTGAGCCAGGACCAGTCGGCTCCGTACACCAGTGAGCTGGGCAACTTGTGGGACGCGGAGACTGTGCACATGTCCTGCTTCTCCTCTGGAGCGAGACAATACCAGAAATGCAACGTTACTCAGAGCAGGTCTTGGCACCCCCTAACGATGGCCCTGCCCACCCTCAAAGGGACACTGCAAAGAGCAGCCACTGTCACGGAGGAGTGGCCGGGATGTGGGCAGCGGCAGGGAAGCAAGCCGACATCGGGCGCAGTGCACCGAGTCCCGTGAGCACTCGGCCTGGCTCACAGGCCCCACGTGTGAGCTGCTTTCCAAGTCGGAGGACCCAGAAAGCTTCCCAGTGAAGACTTTGAAGCAGAGGGAAAGGGGATACCCAGGTGGGAGGGGAGACAGGCAGAGAAGTGGGGGACAAGCACAGGGGAAGGAGAATGAGGCTCACAACAAGGGGAGGTGGTGGAAGTGCCCTTGGGGAGCGGCGACCCGTCTGGAAAGTCAGAGCCAGCCCCAGTTCAGCATGCTCTGTTACAGAGTGGGACCTTCAGCTTGGGAAGGAGTCACTGAAGAGTTTGAGCATGAGCAGTTTCCTGATGGTGAGTTGCTATGGCAACCCTGAGGCTGGAGGGCAGGAACTGGAAAGAGGTCGGTCCTCTGTCCAGAAGGTGCAAAGCTTGGAAGCTCTGAAAGCAACACACGACCGGAAAAAGAAGTGAGTGTCTCCAGACCGGAGGTGATCTGGGGTCCAAGGCAGGGCTGAGGCTGGCAGGAGCTGCTGTGGAAAGCCGGCAGCCAGTGAGCTGGGGATGTGGGCTTACAACACTGCCACCAGCTGGACAGCCACAACACTGAAAGGGTGGCCATCGCTGGCCGCCCAGTGCAGGGATCAGTGCCACGGTGACCTGAATCGTGATCAGAATGAGCAAGGATGAAGGGGGCCGAGCGCAAACTGGGTTGATGCTGGAATAAGGAAACATGCCTGCCCTGGCCGGTTTGGCTCAGCGGTTGGAGTGTCGGCCTGTGGACCCGACAGTCCTGGGTTCAGTTCCCGCTAGGTGCACGTACCAAAAAAAAAAAAGGAAAACACGCCAACAACACAGCTACAGCACAGGAGACCCCACCCCTGGTCCCGGGCTTCGTGTGGACAGAGGCAGCTCCAGACAGAAGCCAGACCCTGAACTTCCCAAGACAGCGGAGATGCTCCCCAGGAAACCATCCCTGTCCCTCCACATGAACACCTGGACGGACCTGGAGACAGGAAGGGCAGGTATTCCTGCTGCCCAGGAACCACGAAGCCGACTCAGTGCACGCGCAACGGTCAGAGAACTCGGGTGCGTGTCGGCAACAGAGGACCGAGTTCCGTAAAGGAGAAAAAGGACAGCGAGTAGCATCTCCAGCCAGAATGCCAGGAAACGGAAAACAGCCGAGGCAGAATGGCGCTTCCAAAATGCGAAAACGCACCACACCGCGCGTGGCTCGGGAATCACACACTCAAATCATGGGATTTCTCTTTCTTAATGGAAATGAAATGACTACATATCAGAACCTAAAGACAGACTTAAGTCAGAGAAAAATTCCGACATAAAAACACTTAGCACAAACAAGGTGATAAAGGTAAGCGAACTGCACTCCTCACTCGAAATGCCCAACAGCGAAGGAGCCACAGGAGGAAGACAATAAAGACGACAAGGAGGAAATCACTGTTAAAAAGAGGAAATTTTTTTTAAAAAATCACAAGTAACTTCCTTACACATCTTTATGCAAATAAGTTTCAAACCGCAGATGAAACGAACCAGCCTAGGAACAGCCAGGTAACCCACACTGACCCGTGGAGACGGGGTAAACAAACCGATTCACACAGGACAGTGTCATGTCAAGGAACTACCGTGAAAAACAGATCAGGCCCACGGGGTCTCTCAGAATTTTGCCAGATGTTGAAAGAAAAAATAATCCAAATGATACATGTAAATTATTCAAGAGAAGAAATAATTCCATACTTGGTTTTGATTTTCACATGAATCAAACAATGCTAATATCAAATCTTTTTTTTTTTTTTTTTCAATCCTCACCCAAGGATATTTTTCTATTTATCTTCAGATAGAGTGGGAGGGAGAGAGGGGAGAGAAAGGGAGAGAGAAACACCTACAAGAGAGGGACACACTGACTGGTTGCCTCCCGCACAACCAGGGCCGGGGATGAACGGCTACTGAGGTACATGCCCTTGGCCGCAATCGAACTGATGTTCTCATTGATGTTTCTATTTCTCTCTCCTTCTCCTTTCCTCTCTAAAATCAATTAAGAAAAAAAAACAAAACAAAACTAATGGCTTTCAAATACTCAGACAATATCCAATTAGAAGATACAATGAAAGAGAATGTTACTATTTCATTAAAATAGCAACAATAAAAGATAAACCACTTAAGAATAAAGTGAACAAGAAATGGGCAATGTGTACACAGAAACACAGACTTGAACAAGCGGGAACATATCCCTTTTCTTGAATGATATAACCCCAGATAATAAGTCAGTCACTTTTAAAGTTCATTTATATTTAATGCAATCCCTATAAAACACCAATAAGCTTTTTTTAATGAAACAAGATAGGCTGACACTCAAGTTCAAAATAGAAGTTGGGAAGGAGACCCCCAGAGGCCGAGCCGAGACACAGCGCCCCACAATGGCAAACACTGCCCGCCTGCGGCCGCGGCAGAAGAGGGAGACAAGGAACCGAGCACAGCAGAGTTGGGTACAACCAGGGCTGAGTTCTGCCCAGAAAGTGTGAGACAGAGTAGGGAGGAAGCTGACGCATGACTGGGACACCGTCCGCCAGCAGGAAGAGCAAGGCAGAAGGTGGGCCAAGGGTGGTTATGAACATGACAAGGGCAAAGGCTCCAGGGGCAGAGGCCCCGGCAGGGTCACGGCCCCTGCAATGCGGGAGGTTCCACAACCGGGGACCTGTCAGGGAAGGACCACAGCTCGGGGCAGAGTGCTTGCAGTGGAGACTGTGGTGCCATCACAAGGCCTAGAGGGCCACTGGGATGTGTATGGGGGAGTCTGGGGGAGTGCAGAACAGGAAACCGGGAGCCCCGCCCCACCAGCTGCCTCTGGCCCACTCACCCACTGCCTGCCTGCAGTCGAGGACCCTGAAGCCGCCGTACATGCAGGCCGCCAGGAGCAGGTGGCCGTGCAGAGGGTGCCACCTGAGCCTCCACACCCCGCCCTGCACAGGCACGTCAGCAAACGGCTGCGTCATGTTCCGGGTGTCCCACAGCAGAACGTGCTCGTCGTAGCTGGAACCGAACCACAGGCAGTAGGTAGGAAAGACCAGCTGCTCCCCAAGGCCCCCTGCTGGATGGAACATCTCCCCAGAGACCAGTCCCACTCGCCTCTCCAGGACAAGCCCCCTCTCGCTTACCTGCTCCCTGATTTGAGAGCAAGCCCTAAGCAACTGCAAGAGCTCTGGCCAGTGTGGCTCATCGGTTAGAGCACAGGCCACGGGACCAAAGCGTTGCAGGTTTGATTTCTGGTCAAGGGCATATACCAGGGTTTCAGGTTTATGTTTTTTGGTTAATCCTCACCCAAGGATATTTTTTCCCACTGATTCTTAGAGTGGAGCTGGGGCGGGGGACATCGATGTGAGAGAAACACATCAATTGGTTGCCTCCTGCTCACTATGATCCTTCAGTCTGTGGGCCGATGCTGTAACCACCAAGCTAAACCAGCCAGGGCACAGGCTGAAGGCTTGATCCCTGCCCATTTCGGGGTACGTGCAGCAGGCAACCAATTAATCAATCACTATGTCTCTCTCACATCAATCTCCCCCCGCCCTCTTCCTTCCACTCTCTCTAAAGTCAATGGGCATGGCTGGTGTGGCTCCGTGGATGGACCGTCATCTGATGGACCAAGAGGTCCCAGTTTGATTTCTGATTGGGCACATGCCCAGGTTGTAGGCTCAATCCGTGGGGGGGACCTGAAGGAGGCAGCCAATTGATGTACATCTCTCTCACATGGCTGTTTCTCTCTCTCCATTCCTCTCTAAAAAAATCAATAAAAACATTCAAAAACAAAAAGTCAATGGAAAAACATCCTGAGATGAGAATTAACCAAACAAAGGAAGGGAAAGATGCAGGATGGACCCAGGGTGCCGACGCAGGGCCTCACCTCCCGGTGGCCAAGATGCAGTCCTGGTGGGGGTTACTCTGGATGCTGCACACACCCATGGCGTGTCTGCGGGCGAAAGGCAAGGCCTCAGCAGGAGCAGGCAGGGCCACCTCGCTGAGAAGACCACGGGAGCGCAGCTGTCACACTGAGCGCTCGCCCCACGTGGTTTACCTGTTGCTGGTGAACACAGGTGTGGCAGGTTTCCTGGTGTCCCAGCCTTTCAAAAGGCCGTCGTCCCCACCTGTGTGGAAAGAGAAACACCCACTGACCACGGTGCTATCATAGCAAGTGGCCATTTCTCGAGGAGAGAATTTACATCTGTGAGGAAGTTCCCAGGGCGGGGGCTTTTCCTGGGTGGTTTCAGGTGGCCATCAGGCAGGAGAGCTCCAGGGATGGCAGCCCCAGAACACTCACCCTGTGCCACCGCACCTGTGTTTAGACTTGAACAGGACGCCTGCGGGGGAAGACAGATTCCCAGGACCCAGCAGAGGCTCTGCCAAGGTCCTCCCTGGGCCTGCATGGCCCTGTGACCCTCGACGTCAGCCCTCCTGCCGTCTGGCCGTGCTGCTCCTCACTGTCGTACACCAGGCCCATTGCTGCTCTAGGCCCTCGCCTACCATGACCTTGCTCTGCAACAGGACCATCTGCGCCTGCCTGCAGCACCCCTGGGCCCTCACTCTGTTCTACCTTCCCTCTTCCCGAAGCGCCTGGCACCCCCGATCTCCTGTGCAATTTCTTCCTTGCCGTCCTCTCTGCAGTGTCCGTCCATCTCCTCAGTGTGGGCTCAGTGAAAGCAGGGACTTCCCCCGTTCACCGATGTGCCCTGAGCGCCCAGACAGAGCTGGGCACCCAGCAGGTGCTCAGTGAATGCCTGCAGGGTGACTGACGGGTCCTGACGTGAGCCTGCTACCCCACTATACCCCTGCTCTGAGTCAGCGGAGCCTCACGGGAGAACCAGTCCAAGAACGAGACCTCAAACCCTGAACCCTCATCGCTCACTGAGCCCGCGCAAGGCCGACACAGACGATGCAGGAAGGACCTGCCCTGGGAAGAGCCATGACAAACGAGATGCGACCGGGCCCAGACAGGTGGGACAGAAGCAGCCGATCTGAGACCTGAGAAGAGCCCGACAAGGTGTGGCCCCTCGGGAGGCATGACTGCGGCCCCCAGACCCTATCCTGGGGCTGGGGCTAGGGGAGGAGCGGACGCGCCATCGCCCACGGCTCGCGGGGGAGTCCAGGGCACGCTGGCGGGAGTGTGGGCCAAGGGCAGATAAATGGACCCAGGGCTCCGAAGGCGAGGTGAGCACTCAGTGCAGCCGTCTCTGGAAGAGACAGTGTCTGAGTGCAGAAGGCGACACCACAGGGCGATGACCGGAGGCAGAGGGTGACCCAGGTCCCCGTGGAGGGAGGAGCCTCTGAGCAGGATGGGGAGCCCGGGTGCCCAGACCCAGGGAGCACGCAGAATGCTGGCGAGGGGCCAAGCAAGACGGGCTGAAGGGGCCCCTGCCTGGGTGCCTTGGCCAGACCTCCACAGGCGAGGCCATCGGCCTCCTGCGTGAAAGCACAGCCCACGGCTCCTCCCAGCCACGGACGGAGAAGGAACGGGTCATCTTTGCATCTGCACATCCAGCAGCTCCTCTCGGGACCAACGCCTCCAACTCCGGTGAGAGTCCCTGCCCGGGTCGGAGGCTGGAGGCAGCCGCTGTTCCTTCCTCCTCCCCCCGAGCAGCCCCACACACAGTAATCTAAGCCCTGGGAAGTCGGCTGACCCCACCTCTCTCGTGCTTCCTTTTCCTCAGGAAGGTGAACCCTCCAAGTGGGCGGCAGCGGCGCGGAGCCTGCCCCCAAGCCAGCATGGGCCCACGAGCACCAGGCCAGACTGAGGCCCCTACCAGACTCGAGCACCAGGCCAGACTGAGGCCCCTACCAGACTCGGCACAAACAACAGGGCGGAGGCGGGGCTCCCTGCCCACCTGGGCAGTGCCGCTCGAGACCCGCAGCCCACAGCACGCTGTGCTGTGCTGATGGTGGGGCCGACCACAGCTTCCGCCAGAGAGCACACCCTCCGCACCAGGTCTTCAACACCCCAGCGCGTCCAGGCTGGTGGCCGCGCAGGGCGAGCTCACTCCTCCCGCCAGGCTCCAGAGGGACGGTGATGGCGCTGTGGCGAGCCCAGAGGGCACCCACCTGAATACACGACTTCTGTCTGCCAGTAATTGAAAGCAGCGATCCAGGCCTCGAAGTGATGGGCCTGCCACGTGGCCACACACTGCAGTCCAGGCCCCGCCCCGTCCACCTTCAGGAGGTGCAGCTGCCCCTTGGAATCGCTGCTAATGATGTTTAAGGACTGGTCACTGGCCCTAGACACACGGCACCAACAGAGAATGCAGCTGAACGTCACTCTGACCCAAACGCATCACCCTCTTCTGCTTCCCAAGTGATGACACTTTGTGCCCCCAAGACTGTCCTGGAAGAAGCTCTCCACAGACCTGGCACGCACATGCTTCTCAAGAGGCTTGTCTGGGCACCTGGCAGAGACCAGAGCCACCGCTTAGCTTGTCGAAACAAGTGAGGGCCAGCTTCTGCGGATGCACACACCAGGCTGGTTATCTGGGAGGCCCGCGCTGTCCCAGGTGGACTGGCAGGGCCTCCCCAGCTTGGAAGCCTCAGTCGGGGGAAGCACAGGCGGCTCTAATTCTCTCCTGCATGAAAACAGGAGGGAGTCCCCGGAGCAAGGACGGCGGCCCTTACCTTCCTGCTCTCCCAGTGGACCAATCCAGGGACAAGGCCAGACACTGCTTGTCCAGGGCAACGCGGGCACACGGCTCCAGGGTGAAGGTACTCTCCTGGAGGGACAGGGCCGCTGTCAAAGGGAGCAGCCCGAGACCCTGGCGAGGTCAGCCTCCAGCTGTGCAGACGGCCATTCCCTCTCTCAGCCCCAGGGAACGAGGGGGGAAGTCACTCACTCAGAGCCCAAGGACACTGAGAAACTGGCGCCTGCCCTCCAGGAGCTCATACCCCTGCAGGACTTCCCACACCCGTGACCTTGGGCAAGCGGGCATCTCTCCTTCTCAGACCCCTGGCTGGCCACACTGGCCCCGCCCCTCCCAGCCCCCAGATGCTATCACTCGCCTACTTGGGGTGGGAAACACCCTGGTGCACGCTCTCCAGCTCCCCAGGCCTCCAGGAACACTGCACCTTGTGTCTTCAGAGACACAGACGAGGGACACTTTCCTCTGCTTCCCCTTTCAGAAGCCACGACCGGCCATTTAAACACTGTTTCTCTCTCCTGTGATCTGTGTAAGTTAGATTAGCTAAGCTACCTGGACCTGCTTGATGCCACCCACAGGCTCCTGGCAGGTTGCTTCATTAGGGAGCTCTCTTCGGTCTGCTGCTCCCGCCTCGATCCTGGTCTGTGGGCCCATGGCCTTCCCCAGAATCCCCCTCGTTCGCAGGACGGGGCTGCTGCTCCCGCCTCAATCCTGGTCTATGGGCCCACGGCCTTCCCCAGAATCCCCCTCGTTCCCAGGACGGGGCTGCTGCTCCCAGCACCTGAAGCGAGGCCCCTTCCACACAAGCCCTCTGCTGCAACCTGCTCGCAGCAGGACGTGTGTCCCCCAGAGGCAGGCAGAGTCCTGTGGGCTGTCCACTGCCCTCCCCACAGGGCCCCCAATGACCAGGGCTATCACTGCATGGGGCTTCTGTCAAACACCTAGGAAGTTCACGTAGGGGTCATGTGCTGTCCTGACTGTCAGGGAGAAGGACCATTCCCACCTAGGAAAGTCACTGCTGTTCTCGGACCTGGGAGCATCCACCCAGAACACTGGTCCAGGCTCTCCTTAGACGGACCTGCAGGTCCGTCAACAGGTAGACCAGCAGCCTGTCACTTCAGTCCTCTGCTGGTGACACACAAATGACTTCCTCTCAGAATTAGATGCAGAACCAAATAATCTAAAATAGACTGCACGCTACCTCCCAACGTCTTGTGATCAAGTCCTCGCTGCACAGAACCTATCCTAGAAAATGCCGCTATCAGCCTCCCTCCAAAACCCTCTCCGTTCAGGGTCCTTCCAACCGACAAAGCCCAGCCCCAGTCACTGACCTCGGACCCCGCCAGTTGGAAGAGCTCTATGAACCCACCAGCATCTGCTACACCCAAGAGGGCACGATCGGCCACCGGGATGTGGCACCTGAGGAAAGAATTCACACGCCAGTCAGAACAGGGGCCCTGCCCATCGTAGGAGAGCATAATGTACCCCAGTAACACCACTTAAATTACGGCCCCTACATTGCTTTGGAGGCTACAATTCTGTTCCGACAAGATTCCCCGGGTTGCCCTGGCCGGTTTGGCTCAGCAGTTGGAGCGTCCGCCTGCGGTCTGGAGAGACCCGGGTTCAGTTCCCGCTAAGGGCACGTACCTCGGTTGCAGTTTGTCCCTGGCCCTGGTTGGTCGTGCGGGTGGCAGCCACTCGATGTGTCCCTTTCACATCGATGTTTCCCTCTCTCTCTTCCTCTCTCTCCCTCCCACTCTATCTGTTACAAAAATGGAAAAAGGTCCTTGGGTGAGGATAAAAAAAAAAAAAAAAAAAAGATTCCCTGGCTTATGGATCAAAACACCAGCATCGTGTCTCAGAATGACACCAACTCTGGGCTCAGAAACTGACAAAGGAAATGAACCCAAGTCTACATCCTCCTGCAAGTGCCCACAGGTGGGCAGGACGGTGAAGAAACGCACCCACAGCTCAGAGACTGGCCCATCTTGTTGAATGCTGCCAGGCATCAGGCTCCCTGACAAAGTCACAAACTCCAGACGGGTGGGGTTGTCCCCAAGTTTGTACCATTTCATGTCCAGGATGGCAGAGGTGTCTATCCTTTGGACCTCAACCAGGGGGCAAGCAGAGAGGACCTCATTGCAGATGTACAGGTAGAGACGGCCGACACGGATCTGAGGCTCGACATTGTCCAGGTCCTTCTACAAGAGATGCCGGTGCGCCCGGGTTACCCTAACAGACCCTGACGGTGGGACAGGGAACCAGGGAAAGAGGTCTGCGGAGACTGGATCCCGCCTGGGAGCAGCCCCCGACTGCCTGAGCTGGAGAAACCTCTGCTCCCCTGCACAGGATTAACCAGTGTGCAGATATGCAGCCCGCCACAGCGCTGCTTCTGAACCTGCTAACAGGGACCAGCTGGGCTCAGGGCCCCACAGGGACAGCCTGTGCTCCAGGGCCAGCTCTTTTTTTCTTTTTTTCCCTTTATTGATTTTAGAGAGAGGGGAAGGGAGAAGGAGAGAGAGAGAAACATCGATGAGAGAGAACATCATTGGCTGCCTCCTGCACGCCCCCCACTGGGGCCTGGGCCCACACCCTGGGCATGTGCCCTGACCCGAAATCCAACCGGCGACCTCTTGGCTCAACCACGGAGCCACAGCGCCGGGCCCAGCTCTCTTAAGGGTCCTGGTTGGCACCCGCGCCTGTGCTTCCAGAGATTAAGCACCGCGGCTGGGGGACCCCATTCTCCCTTTACGGGAGACCGGACCGATAGAGGGGGGCCGCGCTGCGCACAGACGGCATTCCGCTCCCTGGCCGCGAGGTCCCCGCCGCACGTCCCCCCCGGGGCTGCGCACGAGGCTGCTCCCCGCTGCAGACGCAGGCCCGCGCGGGCTGTCGCTCCGGGCCGCCCCCAGGCCTGGGCGGCGCCGCGCACCTCGCTGTCCGGCTCCCGCAGCTGGTAGGTGCCGCAGGCCAGCACGCGGCGGCAGCCCTGCAGCGGGCACCACTCCACCGCGTCGGCCGGGAACTCCGTGTCCAGCGCCTGCAGCAGCTGCGCGCGCCGGCCCGTCTCCCCGGAGGACGCGGCGGCGAGCGGGCCGGGCGAGGCCAGCGTGCGGGCGGGATGCGGGCGGGATGCGGGCGGGATGCGGGCGGCCGGCGGGGAGCGAGCGGGCGGGATGCGCGGCGGAAGCGAGCGCGCAGAGGGCGGATCTGCCCGGCCGGCACTTCGGCTTCCGCAGCCCCTCCCTCCGACTCCTTCCGGGGCGGGACTTCCGGCCGCTGTCGCCGCTCCTCCTGGAGGCCGCGCTCCTGCGCCCCCTGTCGGCGGCGGACCTCGGCGGGCCCCGCGGGCCAGGGCGCGCCCCTGCCCAGCGGCGTCCGGCGGGGAAGGCAGGCCGGCTGGGCCCCGCGGCGGGGAGCGGGGGAGGAGGGAAGCAGGACCCGGAGGTGGAGGCGTGCAAAGGGCCGAGACAGTCGGGGAGCAGAGCCCAGGGTCCAAGGGGCTGGGCCGGCTGCCCTCCTTCCCTGAGGTCCACCCAGAGAGGTCCACCCGGCACTGCGCAGCGGGGGGCCAGACCTGCGCCGGCCCAGCCGGGGGGACACGAGGCCCTGGGCGGGCAGGTGCCGGAGGGCACGGAGAAGAGCCGGCCTCTGGCCAGGGCAGGGGTCCCCCGACTTAGAATGTGAGGGAGGGGACCCCACATAGTCACATCTGATTTGGGAGACTGGGAAGGCACTGAAGCCTTTGAAGAAAATCAGTGTCCTCTGCCCAACAGGACTGGGGGTGGCGAGGTGGGGACCTTGTTATGGACTGTACTATGTCCCCAAAAAGATGTGGTGGTCCCACAGCACCATGGAACGTGGCCTTTGGAGACGGGGTCTTCGTGGAGGTGATCAGTTAAAGTGCGGTCATTAGGGTGGGCCCCAATCCATGGCTGCTGTCTTTTTTTTTTTATTCTGCCCGAGGACATTTTTTGATATTTTGTTCAGATAGAGTGGGAGGGGGAGAGAGAGAGAGAAACAACAACGTAAAAGGGACACACTGAGTGGTTGCCACCCACACAACCCAACCAGGGCCGGGGACAAACTGCAACTGAGATACGTGCCCTTAGCGGAACCGAACCCGGGTCTCTCCGGACCGCAGGCCAACGCTCTAACCGCTGAGCCAAACCGGCCAGGGCCATGGCTGCTGTCTTTATGAATGGGAATTTGGTCTGCCAGGGAGACCCGCTCACGGAGGGAAGACAAGCAAAGACAGCATGGTGTGGCCACAAGACAAGAAGCCCCTGGGGCCTGGAACACACCTTTCTCTTGGCCTCCAGAGGAAGCTGGTGCTACCCAACACCTGGACTTGAGCCTTCTGGCCTCCAGGACCGAGAAAACCCATTATTTTAAGCAACCCAGTTGGGGACTGGTTACAGCGCCAAGAACCTGGATGTGCTGAGACAAATCCACATGGACACCAGGGCACTCAGCCTGCAGTTTGGAAGCAGGGCTACGGCTACAAACACCGATGTGAGTCAGCCTCTGGGCCAGCAGCAGAAAGGGCCGGTCGTTCTACAATGCCTGAACCGCACCCTCTATCTGGTAAAAATAGGGTCAAGTCTGCAGGCCACACACCACACTCCCAACAGGTTAGTAACAAGCCCCACGTTGAACCTTCTAAATGTTGAACTTTACAGATGCTCTCAGGTGGATGGCTACAAAGATCAAGAGGTTGGGGCCATGGCTGGGTATCAGGTAGGGACAAGGGAAGCAGTCTGTGGGCCCTGCGGCACCTTCTGCTCCGGGGACCAAGGTGGTGACATGAGCAAAGGGAAGTAACTGCCCTGGGGCCAGCTCTCGCCCTAAGGCCCTGTTCCCAGCGCCAGCCCAGGGCCCTCACCAGCAGACTGCACACATGGGCTTAGCAGTCAGGTATGGGACGGCCACCCACCGTGGCTCTGTCTCCCACGTGGCAGAGAGCGATCCCCAGGTCCAGGCTATGCCACGAGAGCCACAAGACTATGGAAAGCAACCACGTGTCAGGACCCAGCATGGTGCTCTGCAGTCAGCCAAGACCTGCACGCTTCCCTTTCAATGTAATTTTCTGACAAACAGCTGACCGCAGAAGTGTGTGCTGGTCAGGGCATGTAGACAGGCTGCAGCAGCAACTTGGCCACTCCCCAAAGGACACAAAAAACCCACAGCCTGCAGCCTAGTGCCTCCTTGTCGCAGAAACCTTTGCTTCAAGGTAGACTGTTGAGCACCCAGGACCCATGCTTAGAAGACCACCCAAACCACAACATGCCCATCTACGCAGGCTCTCCTGCCTCAACTGTCCTGGCCAGAGCTTGCCTCTGGAAGCAGGAGTTACCCCCGGCCTGGAAATGTCCCCCAAGCTCAAGCCAGCTCTCTGTAGGGACGTCTCTCAGGATCATACACATCCCCTTCCCTGATAGCTCTGAGCCCGCTACTGCGCAACCTATGGTCTGCAAGGACCTGGAGCAGCCCTCCCGTATGCAGCAAAACTGTCCGGGACCAATAGAACAGGCCGTGTCTGCCCTGCGGTGGAAAGGAGAGCTTCCACATGGAGTCCTCTCCCCTTCAGAAGACCCCTCCTTTGGGTTTGGACCAAGGCCTCCTGTTCCCTGTGTGACCACCTGTTTCCCAACACTGTTCTCCAGGACACACTGCCCAGCAGGACACCAAGCACACAAAAGAAGCTACCAGGTCAGTTCACAGACCAAAGGTCACCCCGGGGCTGTGCCAGGCAGAGAAAGCAGTGGGCACACAGGAACGCTGGAAGACAGCAGCAGAGCGGCAAGGGGGAAGGTGTAGCAGGGCCTGCAGGGCCTGCAGGGCCAGCCCGGCAGTCGGCGCTAGAATGGCCGGCCTTCCTTCTCCCAGGGAGGGAGGCCTCTAGCAAACTGGCTGCACCCGGACACCAGCCCGTCTCTCTGCCCCGAGGTGGCAGTGCCCAGTGTGCTGCCAAGGGTCCAGAGGCGGCTCCAGGGAGGGAGAACGAGGCCCAGCCAGTGGGCGGGGAGCAACGGCTGCAGTCCAGACAGGGTCCAAGCAGACCTGCTGGGCAGAGGCCCCACGGAGCTCCCAGCCACGCAGCAAGTCCAGGTGAGCACTTCGCAGAGCTGGGCTGAGATCACTCCAAGCTGCTCCACATCGGCCAGCTGCTCAGCCACAGGGCAAGAACGGTGTGGCCCCTCACCTGCCAGCCACTCGGGAGAAGCCCAGGAACAAGGCGGGCCCCACCCGCCCCAGGAGCCCGGATCATTTAGAAATATGCTCAGCAGTGAGTGAAGATCAGAGTGGCGGACGCTGGGTGACTGCACTTTACTTTCCTTGTAGATGCCACACCTGTGGCCACACCCCTGGGGAGCGGCTTTGCTCCACGACAGTTTTAGAAGTGTGCCCTGACCGTCTGCTGTTTGAGGAATACAGCAAACGATTCTATTTGTAATTCCTAGCCCCCCCCCACTGCCTCCCCCCAAAAAAACTGTACATGAGTTTACAAACATATTAACATATAAATAACGAGAAGCATCCTGGCGGAGCCTCCCCAGCGGTCTCTACTCGAGGGATCACTTCCGGGGAGCACCGCGGCGCCACGCAAGGTGCCCGTGCCGAGGGCCTCCGCCGCGCCGCCCTGGGCTCCTGCTGGCGTCTGCAGCACAGCCGGGCTCCACCACCACCATGTCCGCGGTGTCCGAGGAAGCCGGGAGCGCCGCGCCCAGTCATCGCTCCGGCTCAAGCTCCTGCTGGAAGGGGCGCCTCTTCTCCCGACAGTGCTTCTTGTGGGCGGGCCAGTCCTTCTGCTGACACTGGGAGCCACAGTACCGGGCCACCTGGCAGCGCCCGCAGATGTTGAACTCCCGGAGCTGAAAGGACACAGAACAGGTCACCCCGAGAGACTACATCTCAGGGTGGGGAAGGACCCGTGCCCCAGCCCCCCAGCCGGAGAGCCATAGGGAGGGGTCCGAGGGGATGGGGAGCGGAGCAGCCCTACCTGCTTCTCGATCATCGTGCAGGGAGGGTAGTGGCACTCGTAGTAGGTGCAGGAGTTCTCCTCCTCCTCCACCACGTCCCCGTTGGCGTTGTAGTAACGCGTCACGTTCAGCACGGGGAACTGCTCCTCGATGGGGTCCGTGGGGAGCTGCTGGATCGCGAGCCAGTACAAGCTCTGCTCCCTGCAGGAGAGCAGGGGACCAGCTCAAGGCACAGGTGACAAGGGCAAGAGTCCAGGACACACCAGGGTTCCCTTGTCCCAAGGCCCCGCCCCACTGTTTGTTACGGCAACTGGACTTATCCAGTGGATGTGGGCTCATCTCCATGTGACACCCAGTATGTAGCCCCCTCTGTCTTCCCACTAAAGGTGCTAAGCAGGACTCTCTCCCACACCTGGAACTGATGGACAGCCAGGCACGGGACCATGCGGCCTCAGACCCAGCACCCAGCCAAGCCCTGGCACCTGAGCAAGACCAGGCAGCCCTCTCCCTGCTTATGGCCCAGCGGCGCCTCTTCCGCCACTGGTTGGTCCTCCTCCCTTCGATGCTGTGAGCTGCTCCACACCCTTCTAAATATCTGTCTGTGAGTGGACAGCGGTGTCCCAACAAGAACCACACCTAACGCTAGAGCTGAGCAAGGTGCCCTGAGTGAGCTCAGGCGGGGGGCGGGAGGGGGCACCACCTGCACTTTGAGAGCAATGGTGTGGATTGAAAAAAAAAAGGTAACCCACAGAATGAGGGAAATATTTTCAAGCAATACATCTGGTAACGGATTAATATGCAGGATATATAAAGAACTACTAGCCCTGGCCGGTTTGGCTCAGCGGTTAGAGCGTCGGCCTGCGGTCCGGAGAGACCCGGGTTCGGTTCCCGCTAAGGGCACGTACTTCGGTTGCAGTTTGTCCTCGGCCCTGGTTGGTCGTGTGGGTGGCAGCCACTCGATGTGTCCCTTCACGTCGATGTTTCTCTCTCTGTCTCCCTCCCACTCTATCTGTACAAAAAACGGAAAAGTGTCCTCGGGTGAGGATAAAAAAAAAAAAAAAAAGAACTACTAAAACTCAACAACAAAGTAAACAATACAACTTAAAAACAAAGCATATGAATACAGCTCGGTGGATGTGGCTCAGTGGATTGATTCAGCGTCGCCCCATGGACTGAGAGGTCCTGGTTGGATTCCTGGTCAGGGCACAGGCCCAGATTGTGGGCTCTATCCCCAATAAAGGGCGTGCAAGAGGCAGCCAATCCATGTTTCTCTTTCATATCAGTGTTTCTGCCTCTCTCTCCCTGCCTCTTTCTCTAATATCAATAAAGGAAACACATTTTTAAAAAAGGAAGGAATGACATTTCACAGCCCAGAGACCCTGGAAGGAGCAGATCCATGGCTCGGTGACAGGGTGGGCAGTAGGAGACCTGCGTGGGGTCGGGGAGGGCCGGTCCCAGCATCAACACTGAACACGCGTGCGCACTGGGCCACAGGGGAGCCATGCACGCTTAGCGGCCCTCCTCTCCTGATTGGTTTGCTGGAACAGCCCTCCGGCCCCAGTGCCTGGGTGGAGTGAGCCGAAGAAAGCGGACTGGGGGCCGGGGCTCGCTCGAGGCCTCGGGACACGGCCCTGTGGAAAGTGAGTCGGCAGCTCAGCTCAGAGCCAGCAAGCGCCCTGTCTGCACTTCTGCCGAGCTAGGTCCAGTTTCTGTCGCTTTCTTTCTTTCCTCTCTCTTTTTTTAAATGTATTGATTTGAGAGACAAAGAGAGGAAGGGGGAGAGAGAGAAAAGGGGAGGAAGGGGGAGAGAGAAACATCGATCTGTTGTTCCACCCATTCACATTCATCGGCTGACCCTGGCATGTGCCCTGGCCGGGGTCAGGCTCGAAACCTTGTGTACTGGGATGATGCTCTAATGAACTGTTCAGCCAGGGCCGTCACTTTAAACCAAAAACCTATGAGGATGACTGTTATAAAAGGGTCAGTTTCCCTCAAGAACAGGGAATTTTAGGGCCACACTTTATCACGAGGAGCTCAGAGGCTTGGACCCCAACCCTGCCCCTTGTTCTGCAGAGCCTGGTAGGAAGTCACTGTGTGCGGGAACCTCCAGAGAGCCCAAGTGTGGGCTGGGTGTGGCCTCCTGAGTGCTTAGGGACCTTCCCCTCCACACCAACCAGCTTGGCCTTGGAATCCGCTGTTCCCAACTCCCCTGCTCAGGGCTCTGTCAAGACCCTGAGGATAACAGCTGCAACAGCTCATTCACCCAGTCTCCATCCGCCCAGACCCTGAGACACGCTGACCTATCCAGCCCCACTACGTCTGACGCTGGGAGTCATCGCTGCCCACGTCTGGAAAAGCTGCCCGGAGACCTGATGACAGGCACAGAAACCCCAGACAGCCCCCTCGGAGCCCAAGATGCATGTGCAGCCAGGGACACCTGGCCTGTGTCGTGCCTCGGGGACATGGAGGAGTCCTACCTATGTGCGGGCATCCAGCATAGACAACCCTGCTCGCAATAGAGCCGACTCTCAGAAGAACCCCCCAAAAAAGATAATCGTCAGGACCTTACCAGCCTGGAAGAAGAAAGGGAGGACCCCATGCCTCAAGGGACAGTAACCAAGGTCCCCACACCACAGAAGCAGCAGCACAGAGACGGGCCCCTCTTGGTGAGGAGCCTGGAAAAGGACGTCCTCAAGAACGGCTCTGCCGCCACCGCCGGGCTGAGAAGACCCACCTCTGTTTGCTGGAGGTCTCTTCTGCTTTGGGCCGCCAGCCCCACGGCACCAGCTGCAGGTTGTCCAGGCGATTGTCCACAGTCACAGCGTTGAGATGCACCACCTGAAACCCGGGAGCGATGCCGCCCCTATGCCGCTCCCTAGGAAACAGACGACTCTCTCGATCCACCTCCCAGACCTTCCCGGCACTGCAGCCATGTGATCTGAACGGGCTCCCCATCACAGAGCGGACACATCAGGGGCAAGGATGCCCCAAGGGATCCAAGGGTGTCTGTCCGTGGCCCAAAGAGGACCAATCACATTGATGGTTCAGGACCGATTGGAAAACTAGGCTGCAGAGAGCCAAGGCTGGAACCCAAACCATGTAACACACAACCTAGAAAACACCCTGAGCGGTCCCACTGTGCACGCTCAGAACAGCAGCCCCTTCCCCACATCCAATGACAGGCTCAGGAGGAGCCTGGCCAGACCAGCCCCACCCTTCCGAGGGGGCTGTGTGCTCTCCGGTGTGTTCTGAGCAGCAGAACAGAAAGAGCACTTGGTCTGGAGGCTTTGGCTGCCCCACTGGTGCCATAGTACACAGCACAAAGGCCCGAGCGCGGGCGGGGGGAGGAGGGGGGCCTGCCTTGGCTCCTCGTCCTCCATGTACCTCAGGGCTCAGGCAGGACCCAGCAGCTCGAAAATACCCACCACAGCCCAGCTGGTGTGGTGCAGTGGTTCAGCGTCGACCCTGCACCAAGAGGTCACTGGTTTGATTCCCGGTCAGGGCACATGCCCAGGTTGTGGGCCCAGGCCCAATGGGGGGCATGCAGGAGGCGGCCAATCAATGTTCTCTTTCGTTGATATTTCTGTCTCTCTCCCTCTCCATTCCTCTCTCTCTAAAGTCAGTAAAGAAAAATTTTTTTTTAAAAAAAGAAAATACCCACCACAGCAGCTCATGAAGGAGCCTTCCTGAGCCCCTTCCTCGATTCTTGTCAAAGGCGTATGCAAATATCTTAGCACCATTTCCATCTGCGTCTACTTCCATCCGGGCCTGAGAAGGAACAAGACGCAGGTCTGTTAGAAAGCCTCCGATTCTCAGCAACAGTTCAAACACCTCCTAGAAAAACCGAGTGAAGTGAACAAGCCAGAGGGACAGAGCCAGGCCTGTTCCGGGACCCTGGGGTCTGCAGAGACTCCCAGACGCACAGCGCGAGACGCCAGCCACGTCCCACGCTCCTGCACTCCAGCAGGAGACGCTCACGAGCCACTCTGCACAACGCTGTGGACACAGAGAAAGGAGCCTCCCTACCCTTAAAACCCACAGTCCGGTGCGAAAGACAAACCCCTACACAAGCAACCCCTGTAGGAGCAGGAAAGGCTGAGACCAGGGTGCGGGGTTGTCTCCTGGAGGACTTCCGAAAGGGAGGAGCAGGGCTGCGGCCTGGGGCGTGAACAGAAGCTGGTCAGGTGGAGCCAGTGGCGTGACAGAAAGGAGAGCACTGGGCACCAGGAGGGACAGGGTCCAGGCCAGGGGAAGGGTGGGTGGACAGTCTCTGAAGGCACCAGGGCTTGTCCAGTGGAATTCAGTCACAAACAGGACATAGCTGGGCCTCTTTTTCAGGAAAAACGGCAGCAAGGGTGGCCGCTGGGGAGCATCGGCGCCGCTGGGGAGCATCGGCGCCGCTGGGGAGCATCGGCGCCGCTGGGGAGCATCGGCGTCGCTGAGGCAGCGCCGAGACCTATGTTCCGAATGGAGCTTCACAGATGCTCCATCACCAGGAAGAAAACCGCCCCTGAGACCCTCCCCAGGCACCGGCCCAAAGCAGGCCAGCAGAGGGAGGCCATCCTTACCTCAAAGGAGTAGCCCTCCACCAGCGGGATGTCCTGCTCGTCTATCAGGGTGTACTTGGTCTACAAATTAACCACATTTCAGAAGTTACATTTGGGATCCGGGTCAGGTCCTAGTCACAGGCAGGAACGGCCCCTTCGGGGTAAGAGATCAACAGACGAGGGGCAGGGGCAGTGTACCACAGAAAGCAGGTAGCCGCTGCCAAAGCTGGTCATTCCCCACCCAAGACTGTACCAGAGGAGCAGGTACCAGGCTGCACTTCCCGTCCGCACGAGGCTAACCGTAAGAACTGCCGCCGTGTTGGCCAGCCTCTACTCTGAGCGTTTTAACGTGCCAATAAACCTAGTCCAACAGGGTGGGCCTCGCTGGAGCAGAGGGGAGCAGCAAGACTGAGGCAGAACATCCGGGTTTAAATTCATGGTGACTCACTAGGTAGGGTAGTCAGCACACAGCTGCCCACTGGTTTCTCCTTCTTCTTTTTTTGTTCCGAGTAAAATGTTTCAAGGGTGACATTAATGTAACCATTCACTAAGTTAGGGGCCTCAGAGCTGGTGGGAGCCCACCCTTCCCTAGTTAGAAAGCCACATCCCTCTTGCACGCTGGGCAGGGAACGGCTCCCAAAGGGACCAGTCTCACTCTTGCTTGGAAAGCTTGTTTCTAGGGTCTGAATCCGTTTTACCTTCATCTGACTGCCTCTGCTCCTCTCTCCCACCCGAAGCTTCCGCCGCTGGTGATGGGAACAGGGTTCCCATCCAGGGTAAGGTCCGCGGCTGGTGCAGCTGCACGGCCGGCCGGCTCCTGGAAACAGCCAAGCCTCAATGCCCACAGGTGCTAGGAAGCCCCGGCCTCGAACACGCGGAGGGCGGGGCCAGGTAAGGGAGAGCAGCAGAGGGAGGCCCGGCTCTGGCGAGGCCCACCGAGGCTCGGCCAGATGTGGCCACCGCTGGCAGCGTGAAACCTGTGCGAGGCTCCACTGGGACCCGCAGGCACGGAGCGGCGCGCACACACCGGTCTTGACAAGGAGCGAGCGCGTCGCATCGGATGGGCGCTGCGGTCCCCGCGCCGCAGGTGCAGCCCTCGGCCCCCTCCTCCCGGGCCCGGCACACGGCCGGAGCCCCAGGCCGCGGCCCGAGGGGGGATGCCCCGCGGGGACACGCTGCCGGCCCGCCACCCGCACAACCGCCGGGCCCTGCGCTCCCGGCCAGGCCCCGCGCCCCCGGCCCGGCCCCGCGCTCCGGCGCCGCGCCCACCGGCCCAGCCCCCGACCCGTGCCGCTCACCTTCCCGGCCACCCGGCCGAGCCGCACGATGCCCAATTTGAAGTCGGTCATGGCCAGGCCTGCGCTCGGCCGGCGGCGCGGCTCCCTCGGGAGGCGCCGGGCCGGGGCGGGGCCGCGGCGCGCCGGGCGAGCCGGGCGGGCGGGCGGGCGGGCGGGCAGGGGTCGGGGCCGGGCAGCCGGGCGGGACGAGGCTGGGCCGGGATCAGGCCGCCTCCGCCGCCGCCTCGCGCCCGCCGGACCTGCCACGCGCCGCCGCTGCCGCCGCGCGCACCACCGCGAGCGGGGCCGAGGGCGGGGTGCGGCGCGGACACACCCCCGCCCGCCGCCGCCCGGCCAATGGCGGGGCGCGCACTGCACCAGCCGGCGCGCGCCGCCCCGCCGCGGCCAACGGGGAGCTGGCGAGTGCGCCGGCGCGCCGAGGCGCAGGGCGAGCGCGGGGGAGGGGCGCGGCCGGGGGGCGGTGCCTGCGCGGCCGCCCCGCGTACGTCAGTTTCGCGGGAAGCTTTGTGCGGGCACGGGCTCCCGCGGCTCGCGCCCCCGACACCGCGCTGGAACCCCGATCCCGCGCCCGGGCCCAGACCCAGACCCCCACTCCGCGCCCCGCCCCTGCGCCGCCCGGATCCCTCGGCGAGCTCCTGGCTTTGCGCCCCGGGGCTGTCCGGAGGGCCCCGCGGGCTGGGGTCTGTGCGGGACTCGCAGCGGCTCCCCGTAAACGGTCCTGCGTCCGCTCGGGGTGAGGACGGCACCCCGGAGCTCCCGCCCGCGGTGAAGCAGGCCGGAGGCCGACGCCTGCAGGACGTGGGAAGGAGCCCGAGCCGAGCGCCCTCCTCCCTCCCCGGCCACCGCGTCTCGTCCCCATGGGGGCCTGGTCAGGACCTCGGTGGCCGCCCCCACCCCAGGATACACCAACCTTCCCTGGGGCTCAGGCTCCCGAACTGAGGTGGGGCGCTGTGCAGGGACTCCTGGGCCTGCGGTCTTTGGCGGCCTGCCTACCACCCGTGCCTCCTGGCAACCACTCCAGCGTGGCTAGCGCTCCCAGGACCCACTGCAACTGCTCCGCACCGGTGCAGACAAACGTAAAGCCCCTACTCACATTCCAGGGAGGGAGACAGAAAAAGCCCATGATAAGTGCGTTATGTGCCCTGTTGGAAAGCCATAACTGCCATGGGGGAAACACGTGGATCAGCTTTAGGGGTGGGGGTCCTGGTGGTGAGCAGAGTAGGCCTCATTGGCCAGTCAGTCTGAATAGTGGAAGGAGACAGGTGAGTCGTGTAGGCACGTGGGGAAGAGCATCCCCGCAGCGGGAAGAGCCAGTGCCCAGGCCTTGGGAACGTCTCTGGCATGTCTGAAGACGGACCAGGTGAGTGCAGAAGGAGCAACAGGTTTTACAAGGACTCTGACTTTTACACTGAGACAGAAGTGAGGATACAAGGAGCTAACCGCTTCACACCTGTCAGTAGGGTGTCATCAATAAATCAAACCAGTGTTGGCAGAATGTGGAGAAGAGGGAACCCTCGTGCATTGTTACTGGGGTTACAAATTGGTGCAATCAGGATGGAAAACAGTATGGAAATTCCTCAGAAAAATAAAAATAGAACTGCCATATCACCCAGCAATTCCGCTTTGGGATATTTATCAGAAGAAATCCAGAACACTAATTTGAAAAGATAAGTGCACCCCTATGTTAATTGCAGTGTTATTTACCGTAGCCAAGATATGGAAGCAACCTAAGTGCCCATCAGTAGACAAGTGGATAAAGAAAAAGTGCTGCATATATACAGTTGAACATTACTCAGCCGTTAAAAAGAATAAAATCGCGCATTGTTACTGGGGTTACAAATTGGTGCAATCAGGATGGGAAACAGTGTGGAAATTCCTCAGAAAAATAAAAATAGAACTGCCATATAACCCAGCAATTCCGCTTTTGGGTGGCTCAGTAGATTGAGTGCTGTCCCATGGACTGAGAGGTCTCAGTTCCATTCCTGGTCCCGGTACATGCTCAGGTTGTGGGCTCCATCCCCAGTAGGGGGTGTGCAGAAAGTGGCCAATTGATGTATCTCTCTCACATTGATGTTTCTATCTCCCTTCCTTTCTCTCTGAAAAAAATCAATAAAAACATATTTTAAAAAAGAATAAAACCTTACCATTTCTGACAGCGTGTATGGACCCAGAGGATATTGTGCTGAGAGAAATAAATTCAGACAGAGAAAGATAAATACCACATGATTTCACAGATAGGCAGAATCTAAAAAACAAAATAAACAACAAACAAAACAGAAGCAGATTCATAGATACAGAGAACAAATTGATAGTTGCCAGATGGAAGAAGGAGGTGGTTGGAGAGGTGAAGGTATTAAGAACTACAAATTGTATGGCTGGTATGGCTCAGTGGTTGAGCATCAACCAAGGCACCCAGAAGTAGCCAGTTTGCCCTGGCCAGTTTGGCTCAGCGGTTAGAGCATCGGCCTGCGGTCCAGAGAGACCCGGGTTCAGTTCCTGCTAAGGATACGTACCTCGGTTGGTTTGTCCCCAGCCTTGGTTGGTCACGCGGGTGGCAGCCACTTGATGTGTCCCTTTCGCGTCGATGTTTCTCTCTCTCTCTCTCTCTCTCCCTCCCCCTCCCACTCTATCTGAACCAAAAATGGAAAAATGTTCTCGGGTGAGGATAAAAAAAAAAAAAAAAGAAGTTGCCAGTTTGATTCCTGGTCAGGGCACATGCCCAGGTTGTGGGCCCAATCCCCAGTGGGGGGCATGCAGGAGGTGGCCAATCAATGTTCTCTCTCATCAGTGTTTCTATCTCTCTCCTTCTCACTTCCTCTCTAAAATCAATAAAGAAAAAAAATTTTTTTTAATGAACTACAAATTGGCAGATATAAAAACAGTCATAGGATGTTTCCCTGGCTGGTTTGACTCAGTGGTTAAAATGTCAGCCCAAGGACTAAAGGGTCTCGGGTTTGATTCCTGGTCAAAGGCATGTGCCTGGGTTGCAGGCTGGATTCCCCGGCCCCAGTTGGGGTCATGCGAGAAGCACCAATCAATGTGTCTCTCTCACATCGATGTTTCTCTCTCTGTCTCACACTCTGAAGATAAATGGAAAATATCCTTGGGTGAGGATTAACAAACACACACAAAAAAATCATAGGATGTAAAGTACAGACAGCATGGGGAATATTGTATTAACAGTGTATGGGGCCAGGTGGGTACTAGAGTTATTGGGGTGAAGAGTTATATAAATGCCTAATCACTATGTTGTACACCTGAAACTAATATACTATTGAATTTCAACTGTTATTGAAAAATGGTTTTCTTTTTTTTTTTTTATATCCTCATCTGAGGACATTTTTCCATTTTTTGTTCAGATAGAATGGGAAGGAGAGAGAGAGAGAAACATCGACGTGAAAGGGACACATCGAGTGGCTGCCACACACGACCCCAACTGGGGCTGGGGACAAACTGCAACTGAGATACATGCCCTTAGCGGGAACTGAATCCCGGTCTCTCGGGACCGCAGGCCAGCACTCTAATCGCTGAGCCAAACCGGCCAGGGCAATTTGTTTTTTATTTAATTTTCACCAGAGGATATTTTTTCCATTTATCTTTATATATAGTGGAAGGGCGGGGAGAGAAACATCGATATGAAAGAGATACATCAATTGTTGCCTCCCGCAGTACCCTGACCAGGGCCAGAGATGAACCACAACTGAGGTACATGCCCTTGGCCGGAATCGAACCCAGGACTCTTTGGTCCATGGGCCAACGAGAGAGCAGTCGACTTTATAGTGGGAGAGGAATGAGCATGTTTATTCACCAAAGGGAATGATCCCAAAGAAAAGGAGACGTCGATGATGCAGGAAAGAGATGGAAGATCTCACGGGAGAGGCGAGAGGCTTCAGGTTGGAGCAGGGGCTGCTCAGTGATGGGTGTGGGGTGAGTGTGTGTGGAGGTAGGAGTCTGGGGAGTTCTCTTCTGAGGAGAACTTCCTACTTTTTCAGTTAAGCAGAAAACAAAGTGATCAGTTGAAAGGAAGGAGAACGTAGCAAAGGTTGCTGGTCCAAGGGGAGGACCAGGAGTGACTCAGGGACTTCCTAGAAAGAGCTTGGAAGGCACAGTAGGATGGCCTGGCCGTACTAACGAGGAGCAGTCAGAGCGACTGTGTTTTTCTCCAGCCTACTTAGGATTCTTCAGAGGAAGCAAGAAGAGGCATGGCTTGAGCCAAGATTGGGGTTGTGCCCAGTGAAGCTAGTGAGGTGAGGGGGCAGGGAGGTGGGAGAGCCTAAAAGAGAGTCGTCCTGCCCTGGCTGGTTTGGCTCAGTGGTTAGAGCGTCAGCCTGTAGTCAGGAGAGACCCAGGTTCGGTTCCCGCTAAGGGCACGTACCTCGGTTGCAGTTTGTCCCCGGCCCTGGTTGGGTCGTGTAGGTGGCAACCACTCGATGTGTCCCTTTCACGTCGATGTTTCTCTCTAGCTCTCTCCCTCCCACTCTATCTGAACAAAAAATGAAAAAATGTCCTCGGGTGAGGATAGATAGATAGATAGATAGATAGATAGATAAATAAATAAATAAATAAATAAATAAATAAATAAATAAATAAGAGAGTTGTCTTAATGTTTGCCCATGGCATTTGAGCTGAATGAGAAAAGGAGGAAAAACACCCGAGGGGGCAGGATAGGTGGGTTGGTCTGGGTGCTCCATGGAGCGGACTAGAACAGAGGAACGTGGACTTGAGTGTGAGGGGGCTGCAGCTGTTGGTGAGGATGATGTTTTTCTGTTATCTACTGATGTCTAACAAACCTCCCCAAAACGTAATGGCTTAAAACAACATTGACTTATTATTTCTCACAATTCTGTGATGGACAGCATCTTTTGTTCCACGTGGTGTCAGCTGGGTCCTTCCTTTGGCTGCACTCCTCTGGGAATTTGACTGCAGCACATTATTTCTCTTCCACGTATCCTTTCTCTGTGTGGTTTCTGTTCATCTGTGGTTTCCCCACATGGCCAGGCAGGATAGCTGGGCTGACGTCCCATTGAGCAATCAATGATTGGGCCTCTAAT